ATGAGTCACCTTATGAGCAGTATTCAGGTGGTGTATCCACCTGTGCGCTCACATTAGTCTTCCGACTGAGGTTAATTCATGAGAAGTAAAATGTGTTCACCCGTAGAGAGGGAACAAGGTCTCTACGAGGGCTTAGGGTTAGTCCCACAGGTGTATGGTCTCCAATAGACAGCAAAGGTCTGTAAGTCCGATAGGTGTATGAGCCTTAAGCCCAATTCGAGTCGCAGGATCCTGCGGTTTTTCAGAACGAAGTGGGAATCTCGGTGATTGCCGCAAAAAGCTCCAGAAACGGTGGACCAGACCGTGTCCACCCACTTCCACTTCGACCTCCACGATTGCTATGAAAAAGGAATAGAAGAGAGTACTAGAGATAGATTATGCCCCTGAAAAAGGAAAACTGGATAGAATTGCATAGAATAGAATGGGCAGCAGGTTGAGAAGTAGACTCAAACGTTGAACCTGTAGTTTCATCTCACTCTTGCGGTCAATAGCTATTTTGCTTGGTGGGATAAATCTAGGCTATGAGGGAAAAGCTACTGCGGCCAGTCGTTCGTCAAAACAACTATTCGCGGAGACAGAGTGAGTGGTCAATAGTCATTGAAAACAGCTAGTCGTTGCTTGAAGGGATAAGTCTACGAGATAGAGGGAAGGCGAACCGGTTGTTTTACTTTATACTTATCTATGTGCTTTGAGCGCCGCTGGACCTGAGCCCCAACCTTATCAAAAGGAAGGAGCCAAGCAATCTAAATTTGCAGCACACCTCTGAGAAAAAGTGTGGTCGTAACTTGCGTCGTTGCACTACTTCGAGTGAAGGTGTAGCTCAACGCTTCTCTCCCGCTGCCTTGTCCAACACACCAACCACCCCCTTTTTAGAGGATGAAAAGTCTGTCTTCTTCTAAAACATCGGGCCTAGTAGCTCCTTCAGGTCGAGTTCTTTGGGACTAAAAACGTAAGTTGTAAGTACAGAATAATGTGAATCGTGGATATAATTTCAAATAGTAGATACTGGAGGATGGTCAGGATGAATGATTGATTCTCCCTTTGAAAAAAAATGTATGATCGATATCGTCCAAGGTACTCGACTCTTAAACTTTTGGCGTCCCATCTGCTGGGGTAGTGATTGCGCTATTGAATTGAGCGGTATTGACCTTTTCAGAGTCTTCGCCCCATTTCAGGGTGTGCCTTCTCGTGTCGTCGTAAGTGCCCCAATCGTAAATGAAAAGAAAGACAGACGAAGCATTGCAGATATTCTTGGGAAGTACAGCTACAAACTTAATCGAGACTCGTGTTGAATCTCCTCTTCATCTGTTATCTCTTCGTTACAACCATCTTCCTCACAGTAAACTACAAAGAGCAAGAAGTCTTCTACAACTAGGTTTAAAGATGTAGTTGTGTGATATATTTGAACTCAAAGAAGCACTTTCGAGTAATGCTAGTTTAAACATGTCTAGTTCTTATACTTATTAGTTCAAACATGTCTAATTCTTACTGAGTAATACTAGTTCTTACTTGACGAAGTAGCAAATCATGTCATATCTGCCACGAAGCAGCAAATCATGTCATATCTTCCACGCAGTAGCAAATCATGCCATATCTGTAATTCCGAATTCTTGTGAGCCTATACACGGATTCTCATCGTTCACCACTGTCTGTGTAACTCCAGATGCGGTCTGTCCTTTAGTTACTTTGTTTTCACGCAGCAACGTTAGAGCTTCAGCGCCAACTTCTGCGCTCTGCCCAGCTACTCTCACCTCCCCGAAAAAGAGGCTGCGTCTACGTGTGTCAGCTGCACTCGACCCGGGCGCTTCGATGATGACATATCGTCCCACCTTGTTCGAGCAGTAGACCTGCGTTTCTTAGAGCAGGAGTTCATCTTCATGTACAGAGAAGTTCATGTAGATGTACTAGTTCGTCTTGATCTTCATTAATCTTCAATTCACACAATTGCCACTAGTTTCGAGTTCATCTTCATAATCACAGAGGTAAGTACTCACGACACACAGACTCTTTCACCGGGTTGTATCCTCTTGTTTTTGTTTCGGCTCAACTGCACATACACAGGGTATAGGCAACAAGGTCTAGCCACAGGAAGTGGAGGGCATCTTTCCAGCAAGAACTATGTTACGTCTTCCAGAATAGTGCCTTAAGTCTTGTGCACTCGATCTGTCAATGTGAAAGGACTAAGACAGTCCGCGCCTTCGCAGGTAAGCGTCGCACATGCAGGCACGTCTGGTTCGGGACAGGCTGGGCCTCCACCAGCCTGGTGATCAGGGTGCTGATCACGGCACCAAGCTCTAGTAGCCGAAGACTCATGATGGACGCACGTGCTCGCGCTGGAACGTCCGATACTGGGGGTTAGACGAGAAGTCTTGTTTTATAAGCAAATAACGGGCTAAGCGGAGAGAACAGTGCAAAAGAACGCACATGGTCTAGTACACAGCATCTAGTACAGGTAATATAATGTCTTGAACCTGTGCGTCCAGTCATACTGCTAGCAGAGGGCCATAGATGCAGGAGGGAGATCAGAAAAATTTTGCACAAAGTTCTGTGCAGACTGCCACATCAGAGGCTTTATTACAGACGAGGTTCTTCTTGCAAATTCTGTAGGATAAAATGCAGTTACATCGAATACAAATTTTTTGTCAGACAAGACAGTCTTAAGGTGACAATAATGCGAGTTCCCAGTGTCTTATCATTCCCGTCCCCAGTGGGGCTAAATAAGCGTTCAACGCGATCGTCCTTCTTAGACCTTCAATAAATCTTCGTTCGTTCATCGCAAAGTGCATCCTGGAACGACCTATATAAATCCCCCTCTATCTTTAGAAAGGAGGTCTCAGGATGCTCTTGTAGATGGATTTTCAGAAAATTTGCCTTAACTTTAACGAACAACTCCACTTTATCGACGTGCATGTTTTGTCCAAGGTCGAGCTGCACCCATGGACACCGAGCGCCGTTCTTAGAGAACGATCATCTGCTCACTGCATGATTTAACTCATCTGGAGCAGCTTTGACAAGTTCCTTTCCTTGTGAAAACAAACACGTGAGAAATTTATCCTCCTCTTGAGGATGATTACGTTTACCATTGCGGTCCTATTCTGAGCCGTAACATAGTCACCCCACTCACCCTGCACGCCGGTGCCAAACTCAGTACCGGTATTGCCGTCTACCAAAAAACCTCTCCCAACTTCAAGACATTAGAATCTAAACGATCTAGAAACCTCTCCCAACTTCAAGACATTAGAATCTACATCTAGAAGTGGTAACCTCTCCCAATTTCAAGACATTAGAATCTACATCTAGAAGTGGTAGTGGTAACGTCTCCCAACTTCAAGACATTAGAATCTAGGAGTACCTAGAAGTGGTAACCTCTCCCAATTTCAAGACATTATATATAATCTTCAAAATTTAATACTACGTAGAAGTGGTGGAGTACCTAACAAACTGGAAAAAACAAAACCAAAAATATATTATCGATCAAGTATAGTAATTAAAAGTTGTTCCCCAGTATCGATCAAGTTATTCTTGTCTTCTACTACTAATCAATGAAAAAAAAACGAAGACCAAGAGAAGAGTGAAGAGCTTCCCGACTCACCTGTACCTAGTGGTCGAGATAAACTATAACAATCGTAAAGGCCGGATAGAGATGAACTACAACATATCAAATGTAATGGCACATCAACTGGAACTATCTTTATAGTGTTGCAACTACGACTAGTAGCCTTTATTGCCTTATGAATTATACTCGCTGGATGAATCAACTTTATCCGCTGCCGGTGTAATGTCTGCGCTGGCGCGGAGCAGAGTAGAAGTCTCTGTCATTTGATGTTCTTGTTGAAGCAAGCTATTTATTTCACTCCCAGCATCGCGACTTCTCGATATTGACGATCTTATCGTTACTCCCTCATCTCGTCCCCTACCTCGACTTGGAAGTGTAGTTTCAGGAAGAGCCTTCGAAGTACTTCTATAATCCGACCTGTCCTGGTCGAAGAAGATGTCGTCTTCAAATCCACTGGAGTTGTCCTCATCTGACGCCTCTTCCACCTGTCGTGTGCGGTCCTTCCACCTGTCGTGCGCGGTCGTCCGTTGACGTTCTTCACTGTTCGTCGTTTCGGAAGCTTCCTCCACGTGTGTGTAGGTTCCTCCACACAGCACCATCACCAGTATATGAAGAACCCACGACACTGATGATCCCAAGTTGTACATTTCGTCCTTTACGACCACCTCTGCTTGGTGGTGGTGGTCCTCTCTTCATCACGACCTTTCTGATAGTACCAACAACTGATAGAAGTATCCGGAATGGGTCCTTAAGCACCTCTTGTCACTTTCCGACTTTCTTTTGAGAGAAACCACTAGAGAAAGCACGGCCCAAAGAACCTACTCCGGGATCTTGGTGTTTGTAACCTCCTTTATTTGCGTGAAATATTTCTCATCCTCCTCGCAACAACAGCCGAGAGCATCGGAAGGCATTCATGTCAGGGAAAGGAATGCTCCCCATGCATCAGTCGAAGACGTCATCCTCATCTGCGTGCGTGACGCCTCACCGGCGTCAGGCCATGTCGAGCATGTGACCACACGACAAGCCAGGAGCATGATGTCTGACCAAGCGCATGAACAAGATAGCACAAGAGCAACCCATTTTTAATACAAGCTACATTGCAAAATATGAACAGATTTGCTTCGTGAGTGGAGTGTAGAGGCTCCCTGCCTCCGAGTCAGAAAAAAGCCACCTCTATCTCGAAACCCAAACAAAAACGATTGGATTCGAATCCAATGCTTCAGCACAAATCATAATTTTGCTCACACCTCCTATGCGTGTGATCACTGAACAAGATCAACGTGCTTGCGTCGCGGTTTAGGCTGGGTCGGAACGATGCGAAAGGGAAGGCTGGGAAGAGGAGGGGGATGAATACAACAAACATCAACCACGTACTATGATTCTCTCTCGACTCCATTTTTCACAGTCGGTTGGGCATCTGCATTAGAATCTCGCGCGAGCATTCCTCATCTCTTTCACAGCAGATGCCTCGAATATCCAACATTTATGGAAAAAGCAAATCACGCTTTCTAAAATCCTATGACTCAAAATCTACTGCTTCACTCTACTTCTGCCTACTTCCTTCTACCCGTCCGCGCTTGTCCTGCCTTTCTTGAATCCGCTTGCCCATGCATAGAAGCATCCAGAGTAGTGAGTATTCCCGTCCCATCGTCGTAAAAATCTGCTTGATAGACTTCGATGTCCGATATTTTCGCGGTAAATAATACAAGAACAAGTGCTGTTTCAGACTTTACAATATCTTAAGTCTACAGTGGAGCGAAGCACGAGCATCTTCTCATGACGAGCACATTTTTTTCAGACTTTACATCTTCTCAACTACTTAAGTACGTACTCGGCGAAAAATCGAAACTGAGACTGACTACTTAATCGCCGTAATAAATCAACGCCGACTGAGACAATTTTGAAGTTTCTCTTTCTGCTAAAGCTAACAGAGATAATGAAGATTGTAACTTCACATAAACCGATCCGAAAACAAGTTTGTGAATGTAGGTGTAGCTGCAAACTAGTATAACAAACGCTTTCATCTCCCATAGAGACTTCTGGCTCTGACCCAAATATGGATTGAGGAATACTCCCCACTGCTCATGATCAACCTGATTTTTGAGCTTCGAGTGCATGCACGGGTCCAAGAGCAGGAGGATCCGTCAAAGCGCTCATAATATGTGATGATCGCTTCCTATGAATTTCTTTTCGCTGTAGAGTGATAGGTCGAGTGACGAAGTAGAGTTCTAGTGCTAGATCCTAATACATATCTTGTCTTACAACTGTTAAAGAAAGTGTGAGACTCTTACTCGGAGTTTGCCTCATGCTCCCACTCTTACTCGGGTCGCGGGAGCTTTTTAATTTCAAGGTTTTACTTCTCAAATAATAGTCGTTATCTTTACTCTTACTTGTTTCTGTTTGATTTAATTTCAGCGTCCCTGCTGTTTTCATGATCCTCCCACTAGAGAATCCTCCCATGATCGTTCTACTTAGCATCTCCTTAGAAAACTCTTTCCGAGAAAAGAAACTCTTCCCAAAGTCCTAAGGTAGAATATATCCTGCCAGAAGACCTGCAAAGCAGCCGCCCGCGAATGCGACCGCTTGGTTAGAGGAGGTCTGAAGTTCATGACAATGATCATGATCATGATGATTATAGTCCCAAAGTCAATGAATGATTAAGCCTGTGAGAGAAGAGCCAAGAACCACAGGAAACAGGAAAGGCTTATAATACTACGAGAGGGAGGGACGACGATTTACTTGTTACGACGAGTATCATTATTCGATAATCAATTTCAATACATGATTAACCTACTCCAGGCAGAGTAATCTATAATTAGCAATTTACAGAAACCGAATCCATCATCAAACAGAATCCATACAACCCATCATCCATCTTAAGAAGTACTCTATTATCATTATACAGTTTTAATCCGGACTATAGCGTATATAGCCATAACAGGTGACACCCCTATTCCTGCGGCTTGCGTTTCCTCTTCCTCGTCAATGGATCCTGCTCGAGTGCCATTGAAATCGTCCATCCTTGATTAGCGCTATGGCTGGTTGAATGAGTTGCCCTTTTTCTCCCTTGTTTTCTCCTCTAAATCGAGGGGCACCCGCCTCTTCAGCATAGTCCACGACGGACATGGGATAGCGTTAGTGAAAAACTAGCCTTAACTTGAGCTGTTCGCTGCAACTATGACCGTCCTTGTAATTGTTGAAGTCGTTATCTGGTCATCGACGTCAACCTCTTGTGCGGACAGGTCCGTGGCATTGGCACAGAAACGAAGATTAGCGGGTAGATAAAAGATTTCCTACTTCTTGTCCGTTTCTTGTCCTCCGGTCAGTTGACGTTAAGACAAGCAAAGCTTGTCGGAGAAGAAAAAACGGCTATTTTTGAATGAGTTCATGATAACCCCTGGCCTATCAGAAGAAGATGCTTTCTAGTATTGCACAAAGAATGCATTGACGCACTTACAAGAACTACCTGATCAACAATCCTGTACAACTTGAGGTTGTGAGATCTACATCCATAACACGAAAAGGTGCACAAAGCGAGGCAAGCAGCGCGTCCTCGAATTCACCCGAATGAGCTGCAACTTTTAACTCTTCAGCTGAGGACTCTACATCTTCCATTGAAGTCGCAGACTTTGAAGTGATCGTACTTTGAAGGACAAAAGACCACAACAATTGCTCCTTCGCTGATGAAACTAGATTCGAGTTTTCGACAGATGCTAATGATTGATGCAGAAGGTCTTGATCTCGTGTTAGAACTGTCGGAAGTGCATCCTTGAAAAGTATGGGGGGGTATATATTCCATTCCCTTGTAATAGATACTCCTTGTTCATACGTTCTTTCAAGGATGCAGTCAAAGATGCACCATTAGCTACAGCCTTAATTGTGCAAGAATAGGTGGATCCTCCGCATGAGCTTCATCCTGCTCCTCCTCTATTTGGTGTTGTCCTTCTTGTGCAAGTAGAGTGCGTTCATTCTCCGCATCACCCTCTTGGTCTGTTTGAATTTGCTGCAAGCCTGCCGCTTGAGCTACTGCTTGATCTACAAGAACTTCGTCATCTGCTCTACCATTACTAAGTAGAGTTCTGATCATCTCGAGAGGCAGCGTCGACATCATCGAAGCACTAAAGTTTTTTGACGTGCCGTTAATAGTACTGCTTGATGTTGTTGTAGTATTAACGGCATTATTGGCTGCAGTCAAATTGATTGCACCGGTTGAAGGAGGTGCTGTGGTTGGCGTTGCTGTTGAGTTTTGTGGCTCACTTGTTGTGATTGATGGGGCAGCAGTGGTCTCAGGAACAGGAGGCTCTGTGGCCTCAGAAACAGGTGCGGCCGTGCTCTCCGCGGGCGCCATTGTATTAAAGGCCAGCAGTCATTGGCCACTGACTCTGAACGGGAGGGGCCTCACATCTCTCTACTTGTTTTCCCTCACTGTTCCCCTGTTCTCTCAAGGGGACCCTCTTCGATTTCAGTGAGCAACCTCTATAACCAATGAAAGTTGAGCCTTAATTGTAGTAACTATGTTTGCTGCTATGTTTGCTGGCGCAGCTGTGGTCTGATCAGCTGCTACGAAAGTCGTGACATTTACAACCGAGCACTTGGCGTTGTCGATGTGGTCACCTGCTGCAGGAGGCAGCACGGCTTTCGCAGCAGAAACCACTGCTTTTTCTGTATCGTGAGGCTTTGCTTGCAGTTTCACCACAGTTTCGCTAGCAAAATTGGAGCGATAAGAAATATGTGAGTAAGAGTAAGTAAATCTAACTTTTTAACTTTAACTTTGAGTGTCTATAGCTAGCGCTTCAAGTACAAGCTCTCAAGCTCTGCGTGAAGATGTTGCTGATTATACGTTTCCGTTTGCAACAACATTAACGCGAACAAGCACGACTAGTCAACAAGAAAACCACGAACGCCGTAATTTTTCCCGTCAATTTTACCGAGAGGGACACTTTCGCAAAATGTTCAACCACGATAATTGTCGCGGTTGGGCCCTCTATCACAGTCGTCGTCGTGGTAGTAGACGTCGCGGTCGCTGTTGTAGTTGAGGCAGTGCTGGTTGAGGATTAGAGGAACTAGTCGATCGTGTGTCTTAATTTCCAAACCGACGGTGCTGTAGGAAGTGCATTTACAACATCATCATGATGGCGTCTCAAGTCTTCATCCTCAAATACATAGTCCAGAGTCAAGTCTTCATCCTCAAATAGTCCAGACGAGTTTGTCTTGGTTATTAACATGTAGCTAGTGTAGTAACAAAAGTGAATAGATGAGCGCAATCGTCTATTTAACAGAAATCAGAATCCATCTCTGTCATCTCTGCGGAGAAGTATCTAGCCTTCAGCATGACTATAATTTCGTCCATCAAATATAATGCTAAACGAGGGATCCTATTTGTCTAGCAGGAGAAATGGCTTATGATTTATTATGGCAAGATCCTTTCTTAAGACGAGCTCGTGGATGAAGACGTTGAAGTCGATGAGGACGAACTACTTGACGTGGTGGAGGAAGTCGACGAACTACTTGACGTGGTGGAAGAAGTCGACGAACTACTTGACGTGGTGGAGGAAGTTGAACTAGTCGAAGTCCCAGTGCTCGACGTCGTTGAACTCGATGAGCTGCTAGAGGTGCTTGATGAAGTGGTTGTCGCTGTGCTAGTGGAACTGCTTGTTGAGGTGGAGGAACTGCTTGTCGTGCTCGAACTCACGGTCCTCGTGGTCGTTGTCATTAGCCTTAGCGCTCGCTACTAGGAAGAAACGGGTGGAGCCTCAAGCTAACTAGGAAGAAAAAGTAAGGTTAGGTAAAAGGTATATAATGCAAGAACCTGAAAAATCTTACTTTGATAGATGACCATAGAAGTACTCCTCAATCTCTCTCATCAAGGAGGATAAGTTTGAGTTAGTTACTTTTCAGTTTCAGAGCTGTGCTGAAAGTAGAAAGATGAATTGTACTTCTGAAAGGAAGCTGAATCATCGCGAGCCTTAGTGTTGTCGTCGTCGTCGACTCTGTGGTGGTGCTGGAGCTCGTCGTTGTACTCGTCGACGTGGACGAGCTTGAACTTGTTGAGGTGGAAGAACTAGTTGACGAGCTCGAGCTAGTTGTTGTGCTAGTGACGGATGACGAGCTTGTCGAGGTGGAAGAACTAGTTGACGAGCTCGAGCTAGTTGTTGTGCTAGTGACGGATGACGAGCTTGTTGAGGTGGAAGAACTAGTTGACGAGCTCGAGCTAGTTGTCGTAGACGAGGTGGTGCTCGTGACCGTCGACGAGCTAGAGCTAGTTGATGTCGACGAAGAGGAACTAGTTGAGGAGCTAGTACTCGACGAAGTGGACGTACTCGAGGAACTGCTCGTCGTGCTCGTTGTAATTGTAGTCGTTGTTGTTGTCGAGGTCAACGAACTCGTGCTACTCGTCGTCGTTGTGCTTGTCGTGGATGTCGTTTCGGAGCCTCCGTAGAGGTTAATGCCGCACAAAGTCAGGGTGGAGACACCAGTCGCAGCGTGCACCGTCATCGACTTCAGATACCTCCAAATCGCCACGTCCGTTCCACTGAGGTTAGAAACCCTAGATCATCAAAAAGCGCTAGCTCGAACTTTCTTGACAAAAAAAGCGCTAGCTCGAACTTTCTTGACAAATTTGGTCTAACTCCTCTGCCATGTTCCTCCTTTCTGATATAGTGCGGTTAATAACCACCATCATCGTAATATTGCCATACCAGAATCACTAGCGACAGGATTTGGTAGCGTCAGTGCAGCAGCCGTCTGTATTTCCGTTTCCGAAGGACTATCTGTGGACGCGCCTATCGATTCTAGATCGCCATTGAAGATGATACGGGCTCCATTGAGGCCTGCACTCTGAGTTGCATCGTCCACGTTCCATATGACCACTGTGCTAACATATCTCTCCTCATCGTCTGGGAATGTGACGCGCCACCACGCTGGGCTGCTAGCTGTCGTTCTAGGGCTATTAGAGGAGGCGGGTTAGGAAGCTGAGAGCTACAGTAAGAAGTAGAGAGGCAAATACTTGCTTCATGCTATTCGAAAAACTGAAATAAGCGAGGAACTGCTGAAACTCAGCGAGAAGATACTGAACAAGGAAGAGCAGCCCTGTCAAAGCTACCTCCCTTATTTCATTCAGTAACTCGCTTATTTTCAGTTTTCGAGTAGTTAAGTCTCTGAGAAGACAGTCTCTAGTAGTTCTCTAGTCCTCAGTAGAGTGTAGTTCCTGATCGAATAAGGGTTAGCTAGCCCCGACTAGCTCCCGCCATAAAGCAATATGCTGGCCAAGTCCTTGATGCACCTGGGTCCTCCGCTTCTTTCCTGTACAGCAGCGGCAAGTAGGGAAAGCCCTCGTAGTGTTTAGTGCCCGACTGCGACACCGTCTCAAAAAGCCCTCCATTAATTGAAGTCGTTTGGAACACTTTGGCGCCAATCACGTGAATCCCACACAGCGTCAATATCCCTCCATTGGTGTCATCAAACTTCGTGAACAATGTTAAGGCGTTGATCTTCCGTCGAACCGTGAGGGTGTTAGAGTCTAAAAATACGGTGAGAGCTCTTAGGCGCGAAGCCATGAAATAGAAGACGAAGTCCTTACTTCGTGATCTCCTCGTAAAAACAGCCACGAAATGAGGAATCTCCGGTAAAAGCAGCCACGTGAAGGAGTCTCGTCATCTCTACTGAGTACAAGCAGGAGTACTCAATAAGAGATGACGGACTTTGTCGTCATACACCACGATGTTCTAACTATCTCACTCGTCTAAGTCTGACTCTGCCAGTAGCCGAGAAAATAATTGCAGTCTCTTCAGTCTGAGAAGCAGTCTCTTCAGTCTGAGAGCAGCCATAATCGTTGAGGTGGAAGCAGGGAGGTGGAGGTTAGGAAATGGAGGCAGGGAGGTGAAGGCAGGGAGGTGGAGGTGAGGAAGGTGAAGGAGAACAGAGACTTGGAGACAGCGAGGCGGAACAAAAGGTGCAACACCCAAGGCGAACGTGAGGGGCTAAGGCATGGCAAAGAAGTCCCAAGGTTTGGCCGATATCTAGTAGCTAGCTATGTTGTGTCTTGTCGAAAATCCCACGAGAATGGCACACCTCGGTGGGAGCGAAGCCAACGAGTAATAGCAGTCTCTTCAGTCTGAGAAGCAGTCTCTTCGGTCTGAGAGCAGCCATAATCGTTGTCCCCGCTGCGTCGCCAGCGATTGCACCAATTGACGTTGCGCCGCTTAGGTCTACGGATTTGTCTATTTCTGGACCAGCGATCTGCACACTCGGCGCATTTCCCAGATAATCGTCGTACATGATTCGCGCATTGTCTAGCTTGTCTGTGCAGCAGTCCTCACGGTTCCAGAGTATAATGCTGCTCACATACCGCGTCACGCCTGGCGGAAAGGCTGCCCTCCACCAGTTTCGGAAGTTTGTGTCTCCTCCATCGTTATTTGTGTGACAGCAAGTTCCTCCAGCAGTAAGGTCTCTCGCACCTCCGGTGCGATAGGCTAACGGCATCCAGGCCGCGTGATCTTCAAAAGTCGAAGACTGCGACACATCGAAGTACAGCTCGTTGTTTAAAGTATTTGGCTCAAAGGCTGGGCTTGTCGTTGTCGTGGACGATGTGGTGGAGGAGCTGGTAGTGGTCGTTGTCGTAATCGTCGAAGACGAGGTTGTACTCGTCTTCGTGCTTGATGTACTGGTCGTGGATGAGGTTGACGTGGATGAGCTCGAGGTTGTTGACGTTTCAGTCGTTGAACTCGTCGTCGACGAAGTGATCGTGGTCGAAGTGATGGTGCTCGACGACGTAGTGCTTGTCTCTGACGTAGTCGTGGGCGTCTCCGTTGTCGTCGTGCTTGTCTCGCTTGTCGAGCTAGTCGTACTGGTTGGGGTCGTTGTCGAGCTGGATATCGTCGTGGACGTGCTGACGGTTGTAGAACTTATGGTCGACGTCGTGCTCGACATCGTCGTGGTTTTGGTTGTGGTTGTCGTGGTGCTCGTGGATGTTGTAGTTGTTGTGCTCGGGTGGCAGCAATATTAGAGCTAGACCGTGAAGACAACACTATCATGACGCCTCCCCCTAACTCTCTCTCGTCTCCCTCTCTCATGATGATGGCTCCTCCCGGTTTGCAGCAGCGTTTGTGGGTTACTAACAAGAGTAGTCTTTCCAAAACCATACGTTTTTTCTTTTTGTAAGGATGCAAGCACTACAAATGAGTGCATTGCAAGACGAGTTGTAGTTGCCTATTCATTGCCTTAACAATAGTCGCCCGTGCAGGTGCCTGGCGTAGTGGGGTCGTTGTCGCAGGTCAGGCCATCCCCGGCTATTAGCGGTAGAAGGCGTGAGATAAGAAAGTGCCACAAATCCTAGCTAAGGCGCAAGCGTTTAAAATCGAGAATTTTGGGACTTTAGCGCATCAAATCCACAGAACCCAATCCCAAAACGACGAGAAAACGTGGAAAATTTTCGAAATTTGAAAAATTCGAGTCCAGGAATTTCAATCATGGAACTCCGCGGAAAGTAAGCGCTTAAAGTCAAAAGCCTTGGGACTTTAGCACTTCAAACCCAGCGAATTCAATCCCGAGACGACGAAAAAACGCGGAAAATTTTCGGCCATGAGATGAAGAAAGAAGAGAGACAAGACGAGCAAAACCCACGCAAACAGGATCACTGGCAAGACTTGTCAGCCATGTGATGAAAGACGGGAGACAAGACGAGCAAAACCCACGCAGACAGGATCACTGATAAGACTTCTCGGCCATATGATGAAAGAGGAGAGACAAGACGAGCAAAACCCACGCAGACCGGATCACTGATAAGACTTTTCGGCCATGAGATGAAAGAAGAGAGACAAGACGAGCACAACCCACGCAGACAAGATCACTGATAAGACCGCTCGGCCATGAGATGAAAAAAGAGGAGAGACAAGACGAGCAAAACCCGCGCACACAGGATCACTGATAAGACTGCTCGGCCATGAGATGAGAGAAGAGAGACAAGGCGAGCACAATCCACCCAGACAGGATCGCTGATAAGACTCTTCGGCCATGAGATGAAAGAAGAGAGACAAGACGAGCAAAACCCACGCAGACAGGATCACGGATAAGGCTTTTCGGCCATGTGATGAAAAAAGATAGACAAGGCGAGCAAAATCCACGCAGACAGGATCACTGAGCGGACTCCTCGGCCATGAGATGAAAGAAGAGAGACAAGACGAGCAAAACCCACGCAGACAAGATCACTGATAAGTGCATAAGTTCACAAGTTCACACTGAAAGCGGCCGCGGGCTTCAAGCTGCAGGCCAAGGGCTTCCATCAGTCTCGCGCCAAGTAGTCTCCACCTCAAAGACTTACGCGCGAAGCTTCGCACTTAAGACTCCCAAGCCAGAGCCCTGCACTAAATTCAAAAACAAACAAACCTTGAGACATCTCAAAAACCTCAGAGACAGAGGCGGTCTCCTCTGTTAAATTCTGCGGCGCCTCTGCCCCCGACTCCTCTGGCGCGGACCACTTCGCCAGGAAAGCGTCGCGAGCTGGCGGAAGAGGAGCGGGGGAGGCGCGTCTTGGCGAAGAAAATGCTCGAAGGAGGTGGAGGATTCTAGTGTAGGGAGAGCTATCGGGCGCTGAAGTCTAGTATGTAATACAACAAGATGACACGACTGGGTTTTACCCACGATCGTGACAAGGAGTCTCCGTTTTCTCTTTTAAGAGGCACGGTATATTTAATTAAGAGCGACTGCGGTGTAGGATGGAGGTGAAACGAAGCGGGCAAGGTCGGGAGCGCAAAGTGGCCCGTAACTTTGGCAAGCGATCTGCTGGACACGAGTAGCTGCCACAGTGAGGACGACAATAATTAGAGCGTGCTTCTTTTCATGTCATGGAACCTCTTTATTCGTCATTCAAACGCTATAGAGGCCTTTCAGCTAGTACCCTGTACCTTCTAAATAGAAGAGCAGGGTAACCGAATGATAGACTATCAAGTATAGATAAGATTGGTGGCCCCCTTACAATTGTATTCTCCGGGGAAAGTACGGCACCAATATGAAAGAACATGCTGAGAAGCGTCAACGTGGATAAAAGCCGACCATAAAACAGATAGCAGGCGTGCACTGACCTGCAGCTGCAGAATATTCACCTTCAGCGCCTGTGCACTTCACACTGCCCGGATTGGCTCTGGTTAGAAGGTTAGGCTTATACTGCTTCCCAGCATCGAGAAGAAAAGAATTCTAGACGGTTGCTCAAGAGTAGAAAAACTGCAAAATACTCTAAGAGCAACACTCTCCACGTGATTAGCTCATAGCGCTTGCTTCAAGACTAGAGGGACACTCTGACTCTCCACCACGTGTTTAGATTTATTGCATGAACAAGGGACACACATACGAGTAGAGGGAAAGCTATAGCGAACCGCTTGCTTTACTTATTGTATTAAAAGCCAGAAGTCTTAAAACCATCGCGTGCGTGGCTGTGTTGCATACGTCCTCCACGGCTATCGCTGCGCATGACTCCGTACAGCATGTGTCCGAATTGCACTTCTGTTAGACGAGGTGTTGGATTCTCTATCAACTGCTCCTGATGACATGGTGACCAACTGCTCCTGATGACGTGACGACATGGCGCTAGTCGTCTTGCCTGTGTCATTGGTTTTAATGTTAGGGTTATAAATATAGGCTCCAGGGCTTGGGGCCACAGGTGCCCCCCTTAGCGTAGGGGGGGGCACTGGTACCCCCAGACCCCTTTTGGAGGCGTCTGCCGGCGGTTGAAGGCCTCAAAAGGGGGCCAAGTGGCCTCCTTCGCTCCCTTCCAGGTGCTTGGCTGTCCCCTAGAGGCCTCCGACTTAGGTGGAAGGCCTCAAGAGGGGCCCAAGGGGCCGCCCCTGCTTCCTTTCCAGGTGCTTGGCTGTCCCCTACAGGCTTCCGAGGTAGGTGGAAGGCCTGAAAAGGGTGACAAGTGACCTCCTCCGCCCCCTCCCAGCTGCCTGGCTGTCTCCCCGAGGCTCCCGACATAGGTGGGAGGCTTCAAAAGGGGCCCAAGGGACCGCCCGCGCCCCCTTCCAGGTGCCTGCTTGTGCCCTAAGTGCCTCCGATATGCCTCGCCGCCGCAGCAGTGCGCCGGCAGTGGAAGGCCTCCGAAGGCGGCAAAAGGCGAGGGGCTGGACCCCCTGAGCCGTGCAGCCTGTGCCCTCCGGGCCCTTGGTCATCGGCTTGTTTTCTCTTGCGACCGTGGCCGCCTTCGGCGGCCTTTCACCCCGGAGACCTCCCGCCTGCGAGGGTCAGAAGAGGCCAGGAGGCCCATCAGGAGGACGCTGGGAGGCCCAAGGGGAGGCCCGCGCCAAGTTTTGACGCCTTCGACCACTCGCATCCGCGGAAATGCGCGCGCGCGCCACCACAGACCAGACCGCAGGGGGGGGCACCGTCCAGCCGCCCTAAAACATATTTATATGAATCCTTCGACCTTTCACCATGCTGATACTTTTATAACTACGTCTTAGACTACTCCCCTTGTCCTCGAAGCCAATATGCTATCTACTCTACCAAGTAGTGTACCATTTAAACTAGGAAATTTTGCAAATGAATACATGGATTCTCTATCAACTGCTCCTGATGACATGATGGCCGACGACTTTCCTGAATCTTGTCTGAGTTCTTCCAATTCCATCCTCTGATGTACTAGTTGGCGCTGTGCTGAACATGATCGGGCACTAACTCAACACTCTCGGTCCTTGAGCTATCATGTCCTTACTCATTTTAAGACTTCGAATAATTCATATTTCTAATGAGAATAGCAAGCGAACGCCTTTACCTCATGATTGTAGAGGAGCAAAAAGCTCGAAGTTAATGAATTTGATTTTGAATGGCTCGAAATATAAGTGAGTAGGAGTACTACGATCCTGCTAAGCTGCCATAAGACTGACCTGGGCAGATGATACTCACAGGATTGTCTTGCTTTAGGTGATTTGCGGGACACCCACTGGCAGCAAAGGAATCGCACGTCCTATCACAGCATCCCTCCTGCGTGCACCACGTCGAAGGAGCAGGACTGATATACGGAGTGGTAGTTTCTAGTGCTTTAGAGGGTAGGGAGATGGGGAAGGTTTCAACCCCCTGAGTGCAATTCACTATCTCAACACACATCACTAACCGAGAAGTGAGGATGACCTCAACCAATTGAGTCTCACAACAAAGTAAAAAAAGTTATGCTTCTGCGTCGTCCTCCTAAATGTAATAGCAGTCCCTGCGTCTGTTAGCGCTTGCCTACATAGCAGATCGGGTGCCTTCGCGGTCCATCCGGCAGCCGTGTCGCACGTAAAAACTTGACAGTAGGGCTCGCAGCATTTCATGAATGGGAAGCAGCACGCAGAGGGGAAGAGTGCGCGTTTTTATAGAAAAAATTGTAGAGGAATAAAGTCCTGATTGGAGAGAAAAAGTCGTTGGAAAAATTTAACGGCTATTTTTCTTTCTGGTAGGATAGGATAGAATCATGCTTCGGAAGTCGCTGTCACGGGATGGTGACTGCTAGGCTATTTGGATCATGACCACGATATATTAAATCTAATAAGTCATCACATGGGAGATAAAGATTTAAGCACAATAGAAGGCGTGGCCCTCTTGTCTATAACAAGGAAATCTACCAAGCATCCTATGTCTCATACATTCGTTATCAAGGCATCCGTTTTCTCCTGCACAGATGGTAGCGCCTGTTCTCTTCTTCCACCCACTGGGACACGTGTGGGCGGAGCAAAGACGCATACTTCCTTAGAGCCTCATCATGATCATCATTATTGCCTCGCAAATGGTCGCACATGATCGCCACGCAACCGACGATGATGATCATTCATTATCATCATCATCATCATCGTCGCAACCGGCGAGATCATCATGATCATCATCATCACCGACGATGACCATTAGCATCACCACAGAGCATGCATAAGTACTTCCTTAGAGCCTCATTAGCGATCATGTGCGACCATTTGCGAGATCTCGCAAATGGTTGCACATGATCGCCGGCGAGACGAATTCCTGCCAATTTTTTGGCGTCAAAAGGCCTGCTTTTTTGTGTCTTTTGGCTTGTTGTGTTGATATTAATTGTCTCTTTTTTCGTACAAGAGCGACAGACTAGTGTACTAATACAAGCAAGGAAGTGGAAGATGTCGCTAAAAATTCTTTCTGATACGGGTTTGTTGAGACGAGTGCTTTGTCTAAACGCTACTTCTCTCGGATAAGTTTGAGTAGACTCCAGCTTTTTCTTAAAGTTTAGCCGTTATGCTCTGTCGCACGAAGAAACTTATTTGCTCACTGGTGCTGGCTACCTTGATCGTGGACGAGGCTGATCTTGTCGTCCCCTGCTGCACGGTTGACGTTGATGAGGGTTCATTAGATCTAAACTAAGTACTAATGAGATAAACTACTAAGCCCTTTGTATGTAGAGCAGAAGAAGTTTATCTTTATTATGTTTTGCCTGAGCAGCTGCTAGTTCATTAGATCAACAAAAATTGTAGGAGTCCTTGCATTTTTGGACTACTCTTCCAGGGAGGAAGCCATCACAGTTCCTACTACTAGTTGCTACTAACTTGTGCCTCTATTTAGGTTGTAGGTAATAAGTACATAAAATTGTACTAATAGATACAGCCTTGTTTAATGAATAGTACTACGATCTTCCTGAGCCTAGTGATCAATCAGCCAATCAATCAGCTTGCCTCCGCAGGGCACCGCTCTCCCCGCAGCTGCGACTGCCGCACCTCTCGGGAGCTAATGAGTTCTGGGTTAGCTAATGAGTTATTGGTTTCTATAATTAATGAAGAGCAAGCAACGCGAGATCTCCTACTAGTTCCAGCAGTTGTCTCCATGTGCAACATCCTTAAACTTTTCCTTGTCAGCACCAGCCTCGGCCAGAGAAGAGGCTCCACCTCCGGTATTGCTGGATATGGGACAGGTATACTTCACTTTCCGACCTGTACGGCTATGATAAGCGCAGTAGTTGCCATCTGCAATCACATTGATTTGAGTAGCCACGTCGTCGATGAGCCATAGGGCGTCAGGAAAGTCCATATACCACCATGCCCCTGCTCTAGGAATCGAGTTCCTGCTCGGCCAATTGTTGCAGACGTGCCCCGCAGTGCCTACACCGGCACCGAAGTCATCTGGTCCAGCATATGTTAAAGGTCAGCATTCATTGGTCACTGATCATTCATCTGAAGGGACGCGACCCCCTTCATACTTCGTTCTCTGTTATAGTTAAAGCTCAGCATTCATTGGTCATCATGATGCTGAAAGAAAAGGGCCCTTTACCCCTCCTCTACTTGTTCTCCCTGTGTTTTGCCCTGTTTTCTAACGAGAGGAGCCTCGCTGCGATCCCAGTGACCAACCCCAATGACCATTGAAAGTTGAGGAGAAAGTTCATGCTGCAATCTAGAAGTAACGTTCGTCCCTCCTCTAATAGAAAGTTGAGCACAAGTTTTCCCACCTGAGTTTTCCCCTGTTGGTTCTCTCAGTCAAGCGGGCCCCTGTTGGTTCTCTCAGTGACTGTAATGAAAGTTCTTGAGCCTTAGATATGGTTCCGTGTTGCCTTTGGTTTTTTTTGCCTCTACTTGATGGCCATCGACATAGAGCCGAAGGACGCGCATCGGGCCAGATGTCATTTTGGGATTGTTCGGCCTAACCCAGGGATATTTAACGCTAGACATCATGAGCACTCACGACTTCTATGATTGATTAATATCTGTGGTTGAAGTTGACTATAATTGTGGGTACTTCCTTTCCACTTGAGCAATTCAACATGATTCAGGATTATGAAGAATGTCCCTAATAATTCTAACGTCACGACTCCAGATACTACTAGTGAGTGTGGTCTAGCCTTAAGATATTGCACATCGATACAGAACTCCCAAGGCCCCTCGTCATCCAGGAAGGGACGAATGTCAATAATTAGAGCGGCCCTGACTAAATGGAAGCTCTTTCGACATAGACTTTTTGGGTGCCCTACTATCTACGGAGAGCTACGACGCCGAGTGATGTCATGTCGAGATCATTTCTAGCATGCAAACACAGTTCTTGTCTGCTGTCGCTGTACTCAGCAAGAAGATTTGACAAAGCGGAGACGAAGGTATAATCTGATCTCAACATCATTGTTAGTGAAACTACTTGCGGAATTTATATTAGCAGGAGCAAGCTCTTCAAATTATCAAGTACAATACAATGACTACTGTAGTAAAAAATCTCACTCAAAAGTCTACACTGACTTTTTAGGTCTTAATAATGAAACTTAACCTCAAAAGCAGTCTGTACTTACGGTTAACTTTCAACCTCAAAAACAATCTTGCGGCCTTAAGGTTGTCTTATCATACTGCTCGAGTATTGTGGAGGATTCCCATTTCCCACTGTGTCCCATGACCTTGATTAGAGCCCAGAGCGACTCGCTTCCTTGTCCCTGCGTTTCTTCAGAATCCTAGGACACATCTCTTCAATTAATTAGTGCTTTGCTTTCTGTGCTCCTTCTTCTTCATTTCTTCAGAATGGTCCTGAGATGAAGGAAACAGAAGAAAATGACCGCTGGAAATGAATTGCATTGAGCCTTAACATCACCGCACCACTGGAAAAGAAACGGGCCCACATCTCTATAAAAGTGTCCTTCCCTCTTCTCCCCTCTTGCTCCTAGGCTACAACGCAGCACCCCTTTCATATAGGATCTTCATTCTCCTTAAAATTATAATGATCTTTTTCATTCATTCACGCGCCCCACCCTGGCTTTTTTTTTTTTTTTTTGGGACCTGGGTCTCTATTCCTCGCCATACGAACATTTAATTACCCTGCGAGAATCCTGAAGCACAACGGCCTTACTTCTAGACAAAAAAGCGGACTACCCCTTTCACATTCAATCTCTTCTCATGAAGTGATTTGTCCGACAAGTGTAGGAGCAACATCCGGAATCGCTGATCATTGCCCTTTCAGATTCTTCAAAAGAGCGAATGAGACAAACTTAAACGGGAATGACAATAACTCAAAGGTCAATAGCAATAGCTTAAACCGGAATGGCAATAACTTAAAGGGGACGACGAGGAGCCTCGATAGTCGTCTGTGACTCAGAGAGAGGGGAGAAGAATAAAACATGATAGATTGAATCCCCATAATCTGTGTACCATGACCAGTAGCGCCCACCTCGACAAAAAGTTAGATGCAGTTGATCTTGATAGAGTGGAATGATTCACAACTGTACTTACACTGTGCTTCCAGTGAGTGTAAGGAAGAACCCTGGTTCGCACCAAGGAGCTGAGCGTACACGTAGTTGAGGGAACGTAATTGGTTACGGGTTTAAGCTCTATGACGATCGGCGTTGCTGTGTTGAGTCTGGACGTTGTGGCTGGTTTTGAGTTGACTAGTCAGGTCGTCCTGGCTATTCAGTTCCTCACCTTTGTTGAAGACCTTTATTACTATGTATCCTTTATACTAAAGACCTTTACTAACCTTTACTAAAGACCTTTTGACTAACCTTTACTAAAGACTTTTACTAAAGAGGCATTTTACTAACGACATATGCTAAAGAGCAAGAGCAAGGGAGTATGGAGGATCAATATCGCACGAGAAGGTCATGTAGTTCCTGCGATTCGGTTTCGGTGTCACAGTCCCAGCACGTCCCGGTGGTCCTTATGTCCTTCCTAACAAATAAAGCACTAGTCCTCATGCCCAGTTCCTACTTGAGATAAGTCCAGTGCTCCTTATGTCCAGTACGACATAAGATTTAAAGTACAAGTCAAAAACAGAGACTTCTGTTGTACTATGTATAATATGTCGCTTCAAATTCAAACTCCTCAAAGCCAAAGTAAACAAAAACAAAAGTCAAAGCATGAAGTGAGAGTGAGTGCTCCCATAAATCTGGGTGCAACTTCTGTACTAACCCTGTTCTGTGAGTGTTCAAATACTTTGCTTCTAAATCTTATTGATTGGAGGGACTAACCTAGGATGAAAATGAGGGAAAACTAACCGGCTACTTTTCTTTACTTTGCTTCTATTATATTACCTCGCTGTCGTAAAGATAGTAGTCCCTATGTCGTGACGCTATCTAACTATAATATATCGCTGTCCTCGTAAAGATAGTAGTCCCTATGTCCTGACGCCGGTGGGGACGGAATGTTGGGCATGACGACGCAAAGCCGGGTATTCCTCACGTCATACGGAGGCGAAGCACCGGGACTTCCAACTCCATTGGAACCCGCATTCATTGACCGAAGGGGTTAGTTAGACACTTTTGACCGACGGCGTTTGTTACTTAGTCTAAGTTAAACTATTTTTCTCATTGATTCGGGGAAAGATACTAGATCTTCAGCCCCCCTTGGTCAGCTCTGCCTTTTTCTGACCCTTAGCTTAGCACTAGATCTAGACATACAGGACAAAGATCCACTATGTATTGTTTTACTCGACGTCCACCCCTCATGATCTATCTAAAAAAAGGCCCAAGCCATTCCCTGTCCACAGGTTCTTCTCCTTCGATTCCTTCTTGGATATCTGAAGAAATGACCGTAAGAAGTGAAATGTTTTGAGCTCTAAAGTCAAGCGCTCTGATATATGAGAAGCCTTCTCTTCGCCTCTGATAGGTGGATGATCAATCGAGCGTAGGAATAAGACTCGTCCTCTCTATTTCATAAGCGCTCTTGGCGAGGTTCGCAGGAACTTCCAGAATCGATGGATCAGTCCCTGCCCACCTACTTCTAGCTCCACTTCTGTTATCCCTGTTTCGGCGCTGCTTCGGGTAAAAGTGTACGTGATCGACTCGCCCGCAACGCCGCGGCCGACACACCAGCCACCTTGTTTGGGAGTGCCATCCCCTGGAGTTATAATCGCCCGATTATTAAAGGTCGACACTCATCTTCTGCTATATTCAAAGATCGACACTGACTCGTCCGAACGGGAAAAAGGGCTCCACACCTCTCTACTTGTTTCCCATAGTGCTGTTCCCCTGTCTCTCTCGGGAACCCCTCTTCGATCTCTGTGACCACTCTCAGATCAGTGACCAGTTGTGAAGGTTGAGCCTTAATATTAAATTGCGCCGTTTGGACCATGTTATCGTTCGTCCAAGGCCTCGTATACTCGTACCTTTCGTTGCCCAGCATTAGATCATCGTCATGATGTGCATGTCATGTCATGGAACCTCAGTGAAGACTTCTTCTAGCTGCTTCATCATCATCATCATCATGATTGTTTACGAATGCGAAATGGTCGTCAACGTGCTATCTAAGTAGTATGCAACGTGCTTAAAAAAATATTGCATCTTAAGAACCAAGCCCCATCGAGGAGTTTGAAGTGAGAATAGCCATGGCACGGATTCGCCAGATTACTCAAGATAGTCTGTGACTTGTATAGGGTCGCGGATGCCCCACTCCTACCACGTTCCTCTACAAGATTCATCGAGGAAGACCTGATTACAGCAGGCTCCTCTTTCCTCGGCTTCGAGATCTTCATAGAAGAAGCAGGCTTCACATTTTCCCTAGAAGTAGTTTCCTCGTTCTCCAGCGACGAAGATGAAAAGCCGAGTTGTAAAAGGCCTGAGCTTGTCGAATTAGTTCCCCAAGCATCCTGCTCCAAGTCCAACAGCTGATCTTGATGTCTTTGCTCTTGAACACGGACAGACGTTCTTTTTCTTTTACTACGCACCACAACATGTTGATGCTCTCCGTCTTCAAGCAGTTCATCTTGTCGTTGTCCTCCACCTTGTGGTCTTCCACCTCGCTCTCGCTCTATCTCTTGAGAATAATCTTCTTTCCTCAATTTTTGCATCGTCCTTTTGTCCCTGAAGATAGCGTGCCGCTCTCCTTCTGGCCCATGATCCGCATCCTGTTCTACGTCCTGTAGTAGTTCTTCACCTCCTACCTCTACATCAGTAGTAGTTGTTCCTTCAGAAGTAGTAGTACACGTTACAAGAACTACACTTTTTTCCTCCACGAGTTGACGAAGAAGCAGAAGCAATAATACCGATGTTGATGTTCCTCTTCTGGCTGGCAAATATCTACGACACCTAAAAAGGTAGTACAGCAGAAACATGTTCTCAAATCTCCTCCAGCTTGTGGTTATTCACACCAGCACCTACCCAACTGCTGTACTTGTAAGGCTGCCCTGTTCCTCGTTCTTCTCTCTCTCTCTCTCTGTGCTGACAGGCTTTGAAGTGACTTTGAAGTGCTCTCTTCATCACGACTTCCGTGTCCTCTGCCTCTTCTTTCCTTGCAGATTCATCAGGAAGAGAGGCGTAAACGTTTCCCACCAGACGCGCCACTAAACAGCAAGCGCAGAGATCCGCAAGAGCAAAAACGCCTTTCTGCTCATGTAACCCCGCATGCTACTTGTAGTACTTACCTATTTTTACTTGTGGAAACTAAAAATATGGATAAGAAAACATCAGTACCTACTTGTTTACTTTTTTCAATGAATTGAATTCATCTTCATTTCTGACGGTTGACTAGTCTAGTTGTTGCTGGGAGGGGTGTATAAAGGGATTCGGGGAGGGTCCTCTCAATCTCAATTCCACTCGCAGTGCCAATCACTCGAGGTGCTCTTCACCGCTCGAAATGCCCATCGCTCGAACCTCTCAACAAGGCTCTCTCTCTCTCTTCATCACGACCGATAGCACCGTCCCCTTCATAGCATGATGCTAAACCTTGAGCAATATTAAGGCACAATCAATAGTAAGTATTTCAAGACGAGTAGTCGTGACTCGTGAGTACTTAGTAAAAATCTATAATTGCATTTGCATGATAATATCAACAAATCCAAGTTCCTCTAACCTCTCTTCATCAGATTGAATGCCTTTGAATAAGGGTTTCACGACACTCAGGCACGCGACCGCAGTTTGGTCGCTGCAAACATGTCTAAACTGCACGGGTATTGATTGAAAGTCTTCGTCAAAATGAGCGGGGTCTTGATGTCGTGTGAATGTAATTTTAATTGGGAGCAGGGTTGTTTACGGTTTGTCGATTTTGACATTTTTGGTGGATATAAGTAAGATCAAGAAATGTTTTTTGTGTCGTCAGGACTCGATCTCGTGGAGGGGCATGTTTTAGTCATCGTGTAGTTCGTAGTCGGGTACAACTACGGCACACGTTTGTCTAGTACTACGACGCAAGGTCTTCATGCGAGAGTTTTCAACGAAATCTTTGAGAGAATCCTTAGACCCATCTACTGAATCTGACAGCCGTAGTCACCACTATGAACTGGACTTATCATGATCTGCTTCCTTCAACTACTTCCTTCTCTAAGAAGTCCAAGCCGCCTTACTCTAGTACTTACCCACCAAAGTTAAATCCCCCATCGTTTCCTCCGTAGTTTACCTTGCATTTCGAGAAGTCCATCTCCGGATGCGCTTGTTTGAACTTCTCCAGCAAGTCGTGTTGTTTGGCCTGGTCACTGGTCGGCAGGCCCATTTGCTTCTGTCGCTGGTCATACATCATTTTCTCGACAGTCTGTCGAGTCTCGCCATCAAGATCGCTCAATTTGGAATTTTCGGGAACTATCTTCTTAGTGTCGATCTCTTCGTCGCCTGTTCATGGGGAACAATAACATTTTTGTGGGAGGTTCAATAGTACTCTCTTCTGAGCAAGTCTGTCGTGTAGCGTAGACGAATGATGTTCATGTAGTTGTGTATCCTAATATAAGTGATCACTTGATGTTTCTCACAGTACTATGTGTATGTGAGCAATAAACAAACAATACGAGTAAAAATCTCGTTGCAAGAAGAGTAGATCAGTGTATTGAAAAGTACCTTTCACAATAGTCGCCCACCACTTCATCTGGTCCACTTTTTCGAAGGAAATATGAATCGTCTTTCCATCCAACAAGAGCCATGTGCAATCGTCGACTTTTACACTGCCATATAGAGATCCATCGAGAATAGTTTCCCCGTTCTTGTAACCGATTTTTAACTTGTCCTGCATTTTGAGTGGGTGATGGGTGAAGACGGGATGACATCTTTGGAAAGGATGTCGATGCAAGATGAGAAGAAGTGAAGTTCTTGGTCCAAAACTGTGAGAATAGAGAATCAACGAGTAAACTCTCCACAAGATTGATCAAAATGATCTTTATTACTTTGATTTACCAGGTAGTAGTCATTGCCAGTAGCAGTCATTGTACAGTTGTTGTGTGTTGTATTACTTTTATAATTTACCAAGTGGTACTAGTCATCGTGAGTACCTGTTTGATCACAACCGCCAAGTCTTTTGATTTCACTCCTGGTCGTACTGGCACGTACATATCCGCTGTGCCCAGCGTCTGGGTCCAAGAATACAGCGACGTACTTCCTCCGTTTCCTATCGGTGCTGGCCCCTTATCTTCCTCCTCTTCCGCTGCAGCTTCTACTTCTTCGCCGCCCTTGGGGTCAGGGCTTCCTGCATTAGTACTGGCATCTTCGGCTGGCAAGAGTCTTTCTTCCTTCACAATGCCGACTGGGGCGTCGTCCGCGACTTCTTCGATAACAACGGCTTCCTCTTTGCCGTCTTCTATTAGACTAGCACTTCCTAGCTTATCGTGCTTGATGATGATTATGCAGATATGACTTATATATACTTACTTATAGCATGAAGGGATAGCCTAAAAGTGGAAAAAGGAAAACAAGCCGGCTCTTTCTTTATGGAGATATGACTCATTATATAAGTACTCAACTAGAACTACGCCTCGTGGTGAGTGTACTTAATCACGTTATATATACAGATACACGAAGCGACTCGCTACTTAAGCACGTTATATATCAAGAAAGAAGTGATCTTCTGCCATCTCATAATGTCTTCCTCGCTTTCTCCGCGAATTCTTCCTCGTCTTTCTTCTTCTGTTCTGCGGCTCTTTTCTTTCTCGCTTCGTCCAATTTCCTACTGCGGTCCTCTTTCTCCTTCTGAATCTTAGCTGCTGCACTATAATGTTTGTCGAACGCGGCAGAGACTTTCTTCATGCCCGTCGCCCGATCCGCACCGACGTAAAAGTCGGTCTTGCGACCTAGGAAACCGAAGAAGGCATCAAAAATCGAGTCGATTGACCCAGCTTGCTGGGCAATCGTGAGGAACAACTGATCGAAACGTTCGTCGCCCATTTTTTTTTCTATTTTTTAGCTTGTTTTTAACACGTAATAGTTCTCCTGAACTTAGGAAGTACAAGAAGAGAGATGAAAATGGATATGGAATCAATCTAAATGCAAATTTTTGAAAGAAGATAAATTCAAATCGAGGCTGCGAAAAAAAAATGCTTATTGCCGCGCTTCGAGAAGCTTTTAATCGCGGAAAATCTAATCGGTCTCTGTAAAAAACACGCTTTCAAGTATCTGTATCTGATGTAAAAGCAATTTCGGGGTCTATCGCATCAGAGCATTTGTTCAAGGGATCTTCAAAATATTGGGATCTGTAGTTGCGTGGAAGCGCGTCTATTTTTACGACTTCGTCCCGGATCTTCTTGATCTTGTTTTTCTCTTCATAATAACATGGATGCTGCTGAATCAATTATTACAAATTATTCATCATTCTCATTAAATAAAGCGCGCTCCTCGTGGTCTGAAAAGAATGTTGAGAATGCTCAAGAACATCAAGAACATTTCCTGGTAAGATCGTGACGCCTTAGTTCTCTATACTCTCTCATTTGCATTATCTCTAAAGAATGCCTCGGGAGGCGCGGGATTATATTCTGCCCTTTTATACCTGCTTATCCTGCTTGTAGCACTTGATGTTTTATTCATCACGCCAACAGCTGCATTTGAATTTGATGATGCATCATATATTGAAGAGGACATAATTCTCAAGTCGTTCTTGTTCTCTCCCGGTCCCGGTAGTTCATCTTTCCTTTCCTGACCTGTGTCATCTTGTTGTGTCATCTTGTTGTAGTGTCCTTTCGTCCACTCGCCAGTAGCTTCCTCCCACCGCCGCGTGCTGTAGGAGATCGCTACGAAAAAGACGTACATGAGGAACAAAGCCTGCCAAACCCCTCTGTCGCTGAAATCGGTCACAGCATGCTGCACGCTAGCGCCTCCTTGCGCCAGGCCTAAACCATAGCCGATAGAGTTCACCATGCAAATCACGAAGCACCAGAAACTAGCCACGTAGACTGGTAGATGGTAACTGACTAAGGGGCCGCTAGTATTAAAGCTCAACATTCCTTGTTGGTCACTGACTCTGAACGGAAGAGACCCCCTCCAAGGCTCTCCCCTTTCCCTTCATTTATTTCCCCTGTTGGTTCTCCCAAGAAGGGGTCTCCTCTTCGATTTCAGTCACTCCAATCTAAATGGTGACCAATGAAAGTTGAGCCTTAATAGTGGAGAAAATGTACTTGGTGTAGGAGTAAGAGGAAGAGGAGAATCTGCTAAATGTTGTGACCATGTCGTTCTTGTTTTTGCCGTTCTGTCGATCCTCTTCCCGTATCCACGCCTTTGACATCCAGCAGTACCATCTTGTTTGTACCAGAATCTCGCAGACCATAAACATGGCATTCAAGGCACCCCAAACGAGATATTGTGGTTGCATATCGTGCCAGATAGCGACAAAGAAAAATATCACGAAGACATTCCAATGCTTAGTTTTCCGGCCGCCAAGGGGGATAAAGATTAGAGTGAGCAGTCTTTCTTGACAGCGCGTTTCTCAAAAAAATGAAAGGCAATCTTCCTCTAGTTGAAAAGGAACTCGTTCCAGGAGTGAAGCTCTTCGCTTCGGCAACTCGAGCAACTCGTGGCAACTCGAGCAACTCGAAACCCGTTATTGGCCTTACTCTATATATAATGTTGAGACGGAATCATGATCGAGCTCCTCCAGTTGTCGAGAAAATATGATCGAGAGCCGTAAGTAAAGGTATTTCAAAATAAAGCGGTTGAAGCTGCAATGCCAGCCACGCCAGAAGCCCTGTAAGGTATTGGTGTTGCTAAAACACCTTTGCATATTCTCCACCACGTCGACACCCATTAAGAGGGACGGAAATTAGAAGAAGAGAAAGAGATGGATCACTAAAAAAATCCAAAACTATTACAGTGAAGAACACAGGCCCATCGCCGTGCTTACAAAAACTGCCATAACAGAATCGGAAGAATCGCCACAGCGTTGCGAACTTCAGCCACAGTACCGGCAACATCCAGTACACTAGCTTCACCGCTAACCCGGCACTACTCTGTTCACTTTCTAGCAGGTGGAAAATGGTGCCAGAGCGTACTAAAGCATACACTGGCAGCCAATGTAGGAAGAACTCCAATAAAACGAAGTGCAGGAGAAACCGCAGAAAATAGCGTCCAAGCGCCTTAGCTGTTTGTCGGTCGTTTCGTTTGTAGTCTACTGCTCCTGTGACAGGAGGTGAGCTTGTCGCGTGGTCTCTCCTAGAAGTAGATGTTGCAATTCCAGCTGATATTAGGAATTCCCGATACCCTATGAGTGGTCCCGCGAGGAAGAGTGGAGGAAAACAGACGTAGGTGAAGACGTTGACAAAGGAACGGAGTTGCTGCACATCGTTTGTTGGTCTTGCGTCAGTATCAAATATGCTATCCCCTTCTTCTTCTCTAGGACCATCGTCTCTACTTCTACCACTTCCTCGATCGGTCTCTTTATTCTGGGAATTGCGTGTTTGCACCGAATCCGCCCAATCCAGTCCAAACGCTAGTACTTTGATTATCAAGAATCGAACCCCTGACTCCATCGATAGGCTGCCTCGAAGCAAAGGCCCTTGTAGTGCTCTTGGAAAGGGCGAAAGAATAGTCGAACGAATTATGGTCTCCACCAAGCTGTCGAACCGTGTTTGTATGTACACTAGTTGTAGGAAGATTGCTCGTGCAGCTGTGCTAAGTAGGCTTAAGCTTAGAAGTTCGGGTCTGGGATTCGCTGGAGAAGATGTGGTTACAATCGAAGAAAGGACAGTCTGACTATCTCGCAAGAGAAACAGTCCAACTGCTGCGGTCCAGGTTAGAAGACGCACTGTTTTTGCATTTCTCGTTCCGCATCCATCTATTCTCCTAAAAACAAATTGAAGCAAGCCAAAGAGCAGCGTTATGTAAACCAGTCCCCGAAGTCCGTGCAAGTACAATACGAAACCGCATCCCATTACTAGTAAGGACTGCCGACGATAGTATCCTTCCAGTGTAGTTTGACTTCTGGCGCTACTGCGGAATGCGATATAACTGCGATGTGCCACAGCGGTCAAGATCGCAGTGAGAAAGAGAATGGGCAAATTTCCACGAAGCTCCCGCCATTGAATGTCACCGTTATCACGCAAGTAGAAGAACGTGAAATCGTCCTTTTCCGAACCTGGAGATGGTGTTGTAGAGGGCCTAGGGTCGTCTTGCTTCGCACCAGCTTCCTCTGCTACTCCTTCTACAACTACTTCTTCTTTCTTTTTACCCGTGTCTTCAGCATTTCCAACAGCTTCTTCTACTTCCTCTCGTCCGCCATCGAGAATATCCGATGGTCGGACTGCACGCCACCTGCTGGCTCTACCACCTAAGCTTGAAGATGCTTTATCCCCAGCGTTTTTATAGTCATGTGCGTATGCAAATGACCATTTTGATGCAGAAGCTTCGTTCCTATTTCCCTGCGTCTGCGCAAGCTCCTCTCCAGCAAAAGAACGAAAGGCCCAAGCATTTCTTGTTCTTGAAAGCAGAATTTCCGTAATTGCATCAGCGTTATTTTCAACATGGGAGACGCCAGTACTAAGTGACGGAAAAATGCCCAGACCACCATCGCTTGGTTGAAGAAACCGCAAGCATGCGGGAGTCGATAGGCAGTGACCTCGCAGCCTGCTGGCCAATTCTGCACCATCGTAGATCAGGAAATAAGCGAGGATCGTGAAAGACGAGAGCAACTCAAGATAGCGGAAAAAGCGACTTCCTAGAGCACTCTTGTACGGCGTATACGCCTTGTACGCGGTGGCGGGAACGACGGATGAGGAAGCCATGACTTGTTTTTGATCATTACATAGATATTGATTCAAAAAATTATACATAGGGTGCTCGAGCTCAACAAACATTAAGGTCACTATCTTCTTAACGTGGAGGTTGTGAGGTAGCATAATCAGGAGTGACTTAGGGTTCCTTGCGAGCTACTCAATAATGTATGCATGCTCTCAAGAGTTTAGAAGTCACTGGGCAGCTGCGAACACCCCGCCATGCGCCTCGGCCTCTTTCAAATCTTCATGTGCCCGCATCGCGTCGTCCTCGTCCCTTCACTTCATCTTACTATGATTACTGGTCCGAGCATTCTTGTTGGAATCAAAATTTCATATCTGGCATTTTCTTGGAGATTCTCTGCTTCTGTGACAAATCCATTTTTCGGCGCTAAGCTTACCCGAACCACAGAGTCGTCATGTGCTCCTCCAGCTTCATCTAGGTTCGCAGTCACCAGATTGCGATCCAGGTTCCCAGTGTTGACATTGTTGAGAGTCAGCTTTTGCCGAATGTCATGGACAAGAACATCCACATCTCTGGTGTCATCATCTGACATTTCCGTACCCTTTCGCGGATGCTCCTGCAAACTTCGAAGCACGACATCTCCCACATCCGGACGTGCGAGGAAATCGTTGTAGAGCACACCCTCTACAAAGAGTTCATCTTTTATATCCACATTTTTGAGAGAAGCAGGAGACGAGGAGCTCGAACTTTTTTTAGTATTGTCGTCCCTTGTGTGAGTGTGTCGTACGACAACAGCGGCCCTTGTTGTAGTATTGCTAGTGGTCGTGTTGTTTTGTTCGTCATTTTCGAAAACTTGTGTCCGTCGGTGCCACCACTCCCCGAAGGCTTCATACCAAGCAAGTGCCCTTAGATTTCTCCTATAGAACAAAACATCCCCAGGCTGTAAAGTCTCATGCAAAGCCTGGTCAGTCGTAAACCCGTCGTCGCGCCCATAGAATTCTACTCCCGCAACCCGCATCGCATCAAATCGGGCTCTCACAGCACTACAGCGATTGAGATGAGTTCTTCGGATGTAGAGTTCCCAAAATGTGATCGTAGTAGCTCCTCCTAGAAGTACTCCTATGAATATCAAAGGTGTTGTTCTTGTACTAGCTGCTGTGAATCTTCTAAATCTTGTTCTGGTGGTGTTTTCTCTAGTACTAGAACTGGAACTGCTGCTCCCTGACGTGGTCTGTCCGAACAAGAATGGTGCACGTCCTCTACTCAGGTATGAAGGTGCCGGTGCGCTTGTACTGAAAGGCCTGCCAGGAGGCTTGCAGCTACCATAATGCCTACGAAATGCAGGACGAAGAGAGCTGGAGCAGTGCAGTGCGAAGCGCTTCATGTTGATCAACAGTTCAGAACAACTAAGCATGTCGGTTTTTGTACAAAGTCACCGTTCTTTGAATTATATATACATCAGCCTTGTGCATTGCGCCCTCTCTTTAGACCCCTTGTTTAAGCGTTTTACCCCGACTCGAAGATCTTGCTCTCTCGTCGTCTATGACCTAGCAGCGAGAGGAACAGGCGCCAAGCTCGTCAACGTTGCTCGTCCAGGTGCTTTCGTCAAGGAGGGCGCTTATTGTGTGTCTTCACCTTGACGATGATGTTAGTCGGTTCGGATTGGACCTACGACTTCCCTGGATCTCTTTTGAGTTATACGAATTTCCCTTACTTTGCCTACTCCACGATCGGTCGCTATCTAAGTGCTTCCAGATGGTCCCATAGCATTTGGTTCAAAATGTCATATCCTCTTGGCAACAGGGTCTGATCCTAATGTCGCAACACACCATCCAGTATGAGTATCCGCTCTCACCAGGACGTTCTCACCTGCTAGTTCCACACCCCACAGATGAGATAGAACAGTCAAAGAAAAAATCGTTTACGTCTCGTCAAACTGCGAATGATATCAATTTTAGAAAATATCAAACCCTACGCCATAGTGCCACAACGCGGCAACACCAATGCAATACAATAAATCTCGCACAAAGTTCAGTGCAGACTGCCTTAAGGGCGTCGTAGTGTTTCGTTTCAAAAGAGAAAGATTAAAAATCGGAGCAAGGAAAAATCGCGAAACTCGTCCTCTTTAGGGGGAATCGTAAAACTCGTCCTCTTTAGGGGGAATCGCGAAACTCGTCCTCTTTCGGGGGAAATGGAGTTGGGAAAACTTTCAACTACTGCCGTCCCACACCACAGATGGCAAGCCTCAACAGTTTGATGAGTGGACGTCGTGACAAGACCTGTCTGTTGGACACAGACCTGTCTGTTAGACAACATGAACAACTACAAAGGATAAGGGTGCCATCATTCTTCATATTTCCGACCGAAAAAAACTTATTATATTCACAGCACTCAGTCCTCTCACCTTTGCTTCTTCTTGGAACACTTTCACTTCACCAATCACCATACACCTTCATGGTGAGGCTGAGAAAGTAACATTTTGCCTGAGCAAATTCTTTCTACAACAAGGGAATCACATGGTTGTTCTTGGATCAACCTTTTTACGAACTTCTCAGGGATATCGCATGTAGGAAAAGGGAGGTGTACTGGGGCTTTATATTAACGTCTGCTTCATCTTCTTCAACTAAAATCAGATCTATGTATAATTTTCTTTGATTCTTTTAGTTCTTGAAGATACGATTCTTTTAGAAGTCTTTTCATCCACGTGGAATCGAAAGATGTGGATGATCTTGTCTTTATGAAGGCATCTTTCAGATGCGAAAATATAAGGAGTGGACATGAACCAAAACGAACAAAGGTAATGCTGTAATATTCATTGCGTCGTTCAAGATGTAAAAGTAAATGAAATTCAAAAAGTTTTTGCATCAGGTGTCACTCTCATTTCATGATTGTGGTTTTTCAATACTTGTTGTCGTAGTTCCACCTTCGATTGTGCATTTGGTTGATCCCTTCTCTTCCCTCTTATCAATGTCAGAGGTATTTAGCTTGCTCGAGGAACGGGGCCTCGACAAATATTCTCCGAAAGAAAAAGATTTGCAATTATCCCAGAGTAGATATGATATTTTTACGTCTCAGCAGGGTAGGAAATAGTCCATGTTGTCATCAGGCAAAAGAGAGAGTCCACCTTTTCGAGAGTCCACCGTTTCAGCCGACGTGAGACAATCCTTCTGGGTCATCCGGGTCATCCATCATATTCGGTGGCAGAGCTCCACTATCTTCCGATGACGGTTCATCTCCCACACTGGCGGTTCGGGCAGCGCGTCCGTAGATTTGTGACAAATACGACGTTTCTTAGAAGAGGTCACGAGGAATCTAATCCATTTTTCCTCTTCTTCTTGTTGGGATTTGGGAAAGTCATCTTATTTGTAGGGAAGCTGCTTCCTCTACAAGAACTCAAGCGATTATTACTGCCAGTATAAGGTACTAGAAGGAAGGATAAAGTGATGAACAGCGCCTTTGAGTAGTAAATCACCAAGGACGAGAATGAAGGGATGGAGATGGACGAGACTGAAGGGATGGACAGAAGAGAAAAGTCTAAAAGTAATGGGAGTGGGGCAGCTCCTCCAAGATGTAAGTCTGAAGATGGACTTCTAGGAGCCTTAAGATTTCGTCGAATCTCCGTTTTCCTCTTCAGCGGGCTTGTTGGGGTCTACATAGGTCTGTTTGTCGATACCCTCCCACAAATCCCATGCAATTTGCGGCCTATACCTGTCGTGTGAAGTTGGAATTTCTTCAGCCATGAACAAGGTATTTGGTTATGGTAGACTGTATCTAACGAAATAAGGGAGTGAACAACGTTACAGTTTCAGTACACGTATCTGTTGAAAGAAAGTGAAAGTAGAATGAAAAAACGGTAGTTGTAGTTAGTACACTTGTCTGTTGCATTTTTTGCAGAACCAGTTTTCGAACATGTAACTGGATTTCGTTCTGTTTTTCTCGGCGCGCTGAGAGGGGTCGTCCATAGACCACATATTTCCAGGTGGCCCAGGACCAAATTGCGGATTATTCGGCAAGAACTGCTTCTCGCATTTATCGCAGTAGCTCTGGAGTCTCTCGTATTTGTGACTAGGAAATTGTCTTCCCACTTCGTTCATGCGGTACCACTGCTGTCTCGAGACTAATTTCGGCATCTTGTAGACGTCGAGGCCCAAGGTGTCGTCACGGTTCATTTGCGAGAGAGGTTTGTAGCGACGATGAAGCTTTCTGCCGGACTTCGTTTTGCCGCCATAGCTTCGCGCATGCTGGGTCAATTTGTCGAACTTCAGATCCATAGCCCTACGCCACATGGTGTTCCCTTGGCGCTCGCGCTCCTTACGTGCGTTTCGTCCTGCAAGGTCTTTACTTATCGTGCGCATCTGGACGTCGACTTCGCACTGTTTTGTGATCCGTTGTTTATGAACACGTATCTATTTAGTAGTAGTGGTAGTCTGTAGTTGTGTACCCATTCATTCTTGAGGTAGTTTTTAGGACAAGAACAATCGTCAGCAACATAAATGTACTCAGATCATAAGCTCCTCTGAAGCAGAGAGAAAATTGACAAAAAACGGAAGTAGAAGTACCTGTCCTTTCGCATCCCCTACTAAAAAGGTGGTTGCTTCGTCTACGTGGGTGTGGAAGTGTTTGTGCTCGAAGTTTTCCATCACCACAGTGATAGGAGCACGAGTTCCATGCGACAAAGGATCTGGCGCGGTGAGTCTATCCCGTTTCTTTCGCTTGAAAAGCTTCAACCGCATGAGCAGTTCTGCCAAGTTCTCACTCGTAGTGTCACCTCTCAACTTCGCAGAGACGCGCTCGTCATTCACGTTCTGGGTGTGCAGCTCTGTGATAACCAAATCCGATGCCCACCATCGTTGATTGAGACCAGTAGAGATTGAAGCTGTTCCAGTAGTATTTGTGTTAGAAGAGGACGAAGATGATCCTACAACTCTTCTTGCAGAGGAACCTGTCATAGAGCTATTCCACGGCTCACCCACAGCTGAAAGGGCACCGTCCTCGCCTAAGAGTCCCTCGTCCTCTCCCATTTCGACTGCTGGATCTTCCTCTTGGCTCTCCTCTGGAGAATCGGCTACATCGTCTTTATCGATCCCCAAAGCATCGATGGCAGCTTGAATCTTTTCAGCTTTCTCCGTCCAGTGACGCGTGTGGTCCACGAAATCCTTATTGCTGTCGTCCATGATCTTGGTACCTGAAGGAAGGTACTGGTTCTCGTCTTCCTCCTCTCGCTCGAGAGCCGCAAAGGACTCCGTTTCCTGGATTCGTGCACGCTTATTTTTATTTGCTGTTTGAAGATGTTTCGTTGTGTCACCCTTGTTGAGGATCTTGGACTGGTGTCGGTCGTGAAATCGTTCCTTGCCCGTCGCTTTGGCATTAGTATCGCCGCCACCATCTTCGAACTTTGCGAACAGTTTTTCTGCTGCAGAGATCGCATCCCCCGGAACATGCGACAAATCTGTAGTTTTGGGATCTTCTAGCGCTTGTTCATCTTTCTCCTTCCTCTTATTCTTACTATTTTCATCGCTACCCTCTCCTGTCATCTGCTTGTCCTCTCCAGTAGCTTTCTTCGCTGCGGCTTTGTGGTACACGATCTTGCGATCCTCCCAGTGTGCGCCCGGCGGCATCGGATCGTTTTCGTAGGCGTAGACGAACCAGTACTTTCGCTTGTCAAACAGTCGCTTCGTAAAGCTTCGCTGCAATTCTAGTTGTTTTCCCTTCGCTAACGGATTGTCAAAAAGCTTCACACGCATTTTCTCAAGCGCCTCGCCGGAAGTGGGCTGTGGTGGTGGATCATTGCAGTAGCTCAAATCTGATAGAAAATTCCATAAATCCTCGATATTTATTTGAATCAGTGTGTATTAAGTAATTGCATCATTAGTACCTCTCGTTTCCTTCTCCGTACCAAATAGACGCGCACTCTTCTATATCCATCTTTCGTGATCCTCCAAGCACCAGGATAATGGCACTGCCAGAAGGGTGGGAGCTGCTTTGTTGCAACGTTCATAGCCTCCTTCTGGTCCTTCACTACTTGCTTCTCCCGCTCCTCAGCAGTTGCCAAGTCTAATTGCGGCACTAGGAGATCGAGCCACGCAAGCTTTGACGGATCTTGTGCTGCCTCAAGTTCCGCTTCGTCGTCCGTGTCATCACCGTCGTCGTCAAAATTGGATAGGTTAGAGAAATGTACTATATTATTATTTTCGCCACAGTTTTCAATCCTTCTAAGTACTTGGTTGTGTAAGCAATACTTGTGGAAGGGGATCGTCCTTCTTCTATGAAGATGAATCTTGATGATTTATTCAGCCACAGTAGTTTTCTATGAAAATAGTGGTAGAGCCGTCCTAACTAGGAGAGATATAAATGAAAGTGCATGACTTGTCCGTCGAAGTCCCTGATCTACATGTCGTTGAGCAAATGCGAGTCGAGTGAGGAACGCCACAGTTTTCAATCCTTCTACTTGGTTGTGTAAGCAATACTTAGCTTGCTGTTCTTGCTATGAATGCAGCCACAAGTACAACTACGTAGCTAGAAGTAAGAGCAACTACTGTTTTTGTCCTTGTTGCTTAACTTTTCTGACAGCCCGATTTTCGTTCTCTTCTACCAACTGCAACAGTGTGCTGATAAACGGGTTACTTGGGTGTGCCTGTCCATCGTAAGCATCGTGTACGTCAGCGGTAAAATGATGGTAGAATTCTGGCCTGAACCTCAAGTCTACTCCTAGGCGACGGAGCAACGCCAGAGGGCTCAATTTTTCGAGTGGCGCTCGTCGGAGCACCCATGCTTGAACAGCGGGTCTGCTTGACTTATGACGCGGACTTCGTAGGCTTCGCTGACCCGCAAGTGCGACTGCCTCGTCTTCCACAGATCTAGCACCGCCGCCATTCTTATCGATGCCCTTGTTCTCATCCCAGTTCGCGTATACCTGCATCTTTGTTAGTTCCTCGGCGATCATGAGTGCACATTTATCCTTGCTCCGACCAGTTTTGCGGACAAGCTGCCAGAGCTGTCTACCCACGCTTCTACCGAAGTTCTTGGCGTCCTCTGTGGGTGTAGAAGGAGTTTTGTTGTCTTTTACGGCTTCCGCCGTCGAAGCACTAGAACCTTTTCCTCCTACATATCTCAGGACAGCTTGCATTCGGTTGTTCCGTCTTGTCAATAGCAGTCCTCGTGACCGCTTTTTGTTGTTCCTGGAAGACAACAGCATCTTCTGTGCTACTCGTGCACGCGCGCTCTTAAATAACCTCTCCCAAGCTGCCTCTAAACGCAAGCTTCGTCTCTCTGCTCGAGTGCGGCGCGCCACGACAAGCGAGTAACCAGCCTCAGTAAGGCGTGAAAAACTCAATATATTCGACTTCTTGCTGGTGTTTAATGATGAACTACACTCCATTGTTGATATACTCTCCTGCATCAACTCCGACAAAGCTACGTCATCTCCAACGTCCTCAAACTGTGAAAGTACTAGTTCTTGTGAAGCATCAGACTCCTTGCCGATCCTGGATGCCACGACTGCAGAGGAACCTCCTCGTGCGCGAATGTTCTTCCTTCCTCCTTGAGATCGCAGCACTGGCGAAGTTGTACTAGTTGTTGTACCTGCTTGATGTTTTCCAGTTCCAGATGAACTAGTACTGCTAGGATCGCCTCCTTGGTCCTTCTTCATTCTTGCTTCACGGAATTCACTCTCCGCTTCTAAGAATTTGCTACGAATCTCTGGATCGGATTCACTTCCAGACTCCTCGCTATCTTCATCCTCCCACGTCGTCGCTAGAGCTGTTGATGCAGCATAGGAAGTGTCTGGCGCCGCCTGTTCTATGTCCGCAAGAGCTTGAAGAGAAGTATATGTAGTTGAGCTTGCGGCAGCTTTACTAGGAGAAGATGATGCTTTTGACGGTGAAGTACTAGATAATGAGTTCTGTTTTTTAGCAACCTGTGCCGAAGCTGCGAAAACGGCATTTGTACAATGCAGATAGGACTCTAGACTTGGATTCTCATCAGGTTCTCCAGTAACTGCGTTGGCGTTGTGGACCTCCCATCGAAAATCGACAGCATCCTGCACCACAGGGATATGCCAGTCCACAAGGAGACCTTCATAGATCTGTCGCTTAATTGGTTCTATTCTTCTATCCGCTGTTCGTTTTATCAGAGATATCTGATCCTGCTTACGGGCCTGTAACCGCTTTCTTGCCTTCGGGTCCGAAGTGCCTCTGTCAGGATTTTTTACTTTGTCCCCAGGAGTCCCAGGAGGGTGGTCTCCGGTCATGCTGCTGTCTGGCACAGGTCTTTCTAGTACCCAGTGTTCTTGCTCTCCAGTTTGCTCGTTCTGTTTCAGGTTCATCAGACGATTCATGTGTAAATCAACTGCCTCAGCGCATGGGTCGTTCTCCTTTGCTTCATCGCCCGACTCGTAATGCTCAGCCGAATCCTCGTCATCGCCGAAAAGAGTAGAAAGGGTGGTGGCGCTAACGCCATCCTCTAGTTTTAGTTTTTCTTGTTTTCGAGCTTTCTCTGCTTTCTTCACCTGGTCCGACACGTCAGCGACGGAGCAACGCTTCCGCGCAGCTATGAATCTGGAATACGCTTCCTCGGCAAGAAGCAAAAAATCTGACTCCCGCATGCTGCGTGGGGCCGCTTTATTCTTGCCTCGCCAAAACCTACTAAGCACAGCTTCAGCGATCGCCCGCGTTTGTGCAAAGCCCAGAGGAGTCAAGTCTGCACCTGAGAAATACTGATTTTGTTGCGACCTTGGTAAGAATGCAAGTTCGCTTTCTCCTAACGCTGGCGAAGACCCAAGCGAATATGGCAAATCCAAGTCTGGCAAGTAGGCCTTAGGAAGTTGTCCTCGCTTCTTGATCTTGTCCCCATCCTTCTTCTTCCTGTGATTCTGAATTGAGAGAAGTAAGCGCGCTTCTTCCGCGAACGAAGGCATCTTTTCCTCCTGAGGGTTTAGATCGGCTGATGTCGCCCACCCTAGAGCCTCTAATGCTTTGCTGTGCTCCGAGACATGTTCGAAATGGGGATGCGCGCTCATTTCCAATTCAGTTGGAAGCCTCTCGAGCTCTCGTAAAACGCCAAAGTCTTTCGCTTGTGGAGAAGCAGATGAACCGGACTTCAATCCGTCACCGTTTGCAGCTTTTCGTCCTCCTGTTCCACGACGTAAACTCCTTGGAATCGTCAATCTAGTGGCGCGACGCCACACCCTATCATCCTTGGCTGTAGACCTTATTGGTGCTCCAATAATGGTTTTTTTCTTGACATCTCTTTTCGAAACGGGTAGGCATCTTGTCTCAATGTCGTCCAACGCTCCTGCATCAAGGTCACAGGCCTCGTCTAGTAGGCAGTTAAGAAGGTCGCTGTCGCTGCTCTCGTGCTCCCTAGTTTGGCTACACCGCGCAAGATCCTCTTCCACTATATGTGAGGATACTTCGAAGTCGCTGGAAGATAACAAACCCTTAGTGAGCAAGGTCAGCTCGTCCCCTTCATCAGGTTCAGGTATATTCAAAACTAATGGACGCTGTGGAAACAACTTGAAACTGCGATCTCGCGGACTTTCGACAATAGGAGCTCGAACAAAGAGCGGCTCTTCCGTTGCAGCACCAGCATTTTCTTTCTTTTTAGTACTCGGACTTCTTCTAGCACCCTGCTTAGTGGAAGTAGATGATGCACTTGCACTTTTTCTCGACGAAGATGAAGGCGCATCATGCTTGATCAAGAGATTCTTATTTGCGACTTGATGAAAATCTTCCTCTCCTTCAAGTGTCCAGTCCTCTTTACTAAGTGGTTTCGTCGGATCCTTGAGACCTGGAAGCAACGCCGCATCGCCGCCTAATTTTTTGACTACCTCCAAAAGTGAGGCGCCGACTAATGCTCCGCAACCCAGCTGCATCGGGTTAATACACTTATTTGTAAGCTCCGCCCGACCCCCAAAAATATGGACTGGCACAAGTGATTGGAAATCACCGAAATTATCGTACACCACTGGAGAAGATGAAACCGCTCCACCTGTCAACGACGCTGGCGCCACAGCATAATTGTAGGACGAAGTAGACGACTTGTTCCTGTAGTTTTCACCAAGTACATGCTGTTCCCCCAGGATCACTTCTCCTGGAGACAGCACAGTAGTAGAGTGAAGAAGTCCTCGCCTGTGTTTCGGACTTGATCCCTTGATGTTTCCATTGTTTTTCGCAACTACAGCAGCGACTGCACCACAACTGGGTGGGTTCTTATTAGCAGTTGTACCCTTTGAAGCGACTTTTGCAGCGGCTACTTTTGCGGCCGGTGACGTCTTTCGCTTTTTTCCTGCGGTATTAGTCACTGAGGAAGCATCTTCATCAGAATCAGAGTCGTCTGATGAACTACTGTCATCCGAGGAGGACGATGAAGAACTGTCGTCGCCTCCAGAGGCTTTCGAACTAGCGGCTGGTGCGCTTTTAGGAGCAGCATTCTTGGGCGCTGCGGGTTTTTTAGGCGTCGTGCCTTTCGCTGAATCCTTGGTGGCTGGTACTGCTGCTGAACTACTTGTTGCACCTGCTGTAGTACCTAGTATATTAGACCTTTTTACCGAGGATATTCATCCTCAGGAGCATCTTCTTGGTAGCCGTTTTCCCTTAGAAAGCCCTTCCAAGATGCTCCTTAAGATGAATAAGAGTAAGCATTAACTGTAGCTGTACCTGTTGCAGCTGTTGCGGGTGGGCCAGATCTGCCGTTTAGTTTGCCTTGATCTGCAACCACCAGGGAATCGCTACCGGGGACTCCTTCATGCAACTGCTCCAACAGCGCCGTCACGGTGGCCCTAGCGCAGGTTGTGTCGCAACTCAAAGATTAGAGATAAACTTAGCATTAATGTAGTAAGTTATTGACTGATCCGGTGTTTCACTCAATTACAGTTTCTTCAAATAAGCACTTCTGCCAAATAGAGTTAAACGAGGTATTCATCTGTGGTCCTTAACTGCTTGCAGCGTCCTCGAGTTGTAGCAGCGAGTTTCGGAACAATTCCCCCTGCTCCTGGGGAGCGTCGCACAATGTTGGCAGGTTTCCCATCGCCGCCATTCTATGGATCTCGGCATGCTTGTGATCCTGGTAGTGGACTCCAAAATCTGGCCTCAGCATGGTGCTGTACTCAGGCGCTGTCGCTAGCATTACTGCATTCCGTCTATTTCGATAACCTCCGTGTCTACTCCTGTGCTTATTGAGGTACGCTCCCTTTCGTTTTGCGAATACACGGCGCATGCCTTCAGACTTCGCAAACCACATCGCGCTACTATCCTCACCTAGGAACAAGATTGGGTTGATAGATTGTCAATTTTCTTGCGATGAGATGTTGAACAGTTACTACGACGGATATAACAAGATTATACTTCAAGAAATGACAGAAGCTCCAAAAGACCATACCCAAATGCAACTCTATACGTAGCGAAGTTTCAAGTGCTAGAATGTGTTCCTTAAGGTCGTTGCAAGTTGGTAAAAAAGGACTGTTGACTCCCAGAACGAGAAGCTTTGGAGCGAAGAGCGTAGTGCTTGATACGACTCTAAATTTACACCTAGACTCCAACAACAACAAAAGCATTTAGAAGCATATCAAATACATAGATCTAATTCCGGTCGGAAGACGTGAAATGCTGCAAGAATTTTCCGCCGCCGTCGGTCTCGTTCCACTGCCGCTTTCTTCACCGTCTTTCCAGGACTGATCGTGTGTGGCAGTCTTGCGGATGTAAGGTTGACTAGCTGCTTCTGTCCTTTCGATGCGAAGGGTCGGAGTTGCAAAGCCTTTACGTCCGACTTTTGTACATTAGAAATGATAAGTTAAAGTTGTTGAGATGTGTTATTGTAGTTACAACTCTTGTTACTCGCTTGTCTGTGAAAAATAACTACTCCAAAGCCTCCCACTCGGAAGTAGTCCATGATGATAATTCTGAATAAAGCCTGATTAATGCTGAAGTCAGTGCTAAGTAAATATTCATAAATCTTAAAGAACACCAGAAAACATGGAGATCGAGATTCAATTATACAGCAACACGAACATTACTTAGCTGCCATAATATTTTTGTTGTCGTCAGATTTCCGCAAATCGTCTGGATTGATTCCTTCAGCAAGAGTAATTTCTTCCGCTCTGTAAACGCCCCCTTTTTTGAGCATTGAAGGGGGTGGACGCGGCTTCCCACCTTTATTTCCTTTGCCAGGTTTTCCACCTCCGACAGTAGTACCGGGTTTACCACCTTTCTGCAGAGGACCGCCCTTCATCCCACCTGCTCCGGCTATTATATTTCCAGGAGCACCTCCTCCAGGTTGCATAGTACTTCCTTTTCCAGGCATAGGGCCTCCCTTTCCTTGTGGATAAAGTGGCTTTCCCTTCTGGTCTACGGCACCCTGCTTAGTACCACCCTTAACACCCATCACAGGTTTCGCATACAGCTTGCCATCCGGCCCCTTCTTCATCATCTTGCCTCCTGGTGCCATGCCCAGCATATTATTCGGCTGTTTTCCGCCTTTCCCCTTCATCTCCGCACCCTGCTTCATCCACGAGGCCGATCCCCCCTGCTTGGACATCACATTACCACCCGGAGGTGGATACTTGCCCGGCGGATATTTACCTGGAGGATACGCGGACGAAGACGACGCACCAGTCGATCCCTTGGCCGCTTGAGCAGCTGAAGGCCCGGTCTTGGCGTGAGCAGAGGAGGATGACGCAGAGGAGGAAGGCTTGGCGGAATAAAAATTAGAGCAGCAGAAGCTGTTTCTATATCTATGTTGACTAAGAGGACTATTTTTCCCACAGGAGTAGAGAAAAAGAACGGTCTCTTCGAATTTTAGATTCAAAAAATGTGCTGTATTGTAAGTGTTTATTTCATCAGAAACGTATCCCACTATAGCTCAAACTTTTTGTCGTAACTTCCTGATCGCTAGACATCGATAACTCACTAGAATCCGACGATTCACTGCTTGAGCTCGAATCTGATGCTCCAGGCTTCTTTTTTTGAGAAGATTAGAAGAAAAGAAGAAGTTTCTTTGAGTACTTCGAAGAAGATTAGACTAGACGTGAGTAGTTCCATTGATTCTCTTCAGAAAATGAAACAAGCTGGAGTTCCCAGATGGAGATGAGAGGATTCTCAAAATAAACGAAGTCTCCTTATATTCATCCGCTCTCATTCATTCACTCATTCACCCATTTGCCTGTTCTTGGGGTAGAGTTTGACGCGAGGGGACGCAGGGGAAGTTTGAGTCTACTTTCATCCTCCCTTTTAATGCTAGTGGAATCTAATTACGATGCGTACTGTATATTGGAAATGAAGGGACTTGCTGACCTAGCATCATGAGGGAAAAGAACAAACCACGTATTCGTATTTTTTTTCAAGATGAAGATTAAGTAAGCAAAGCAGAGCCTTAAAGATTTGCCTTTGGCGCCTTCTCTTTTGCTGGAGCGTTTTTCTCAGCTTCACTTTTGTTTTTTTGTAGTTTGTGTTTGTGCATCTGCCAGTTCCGAAAATCTAGCTCTTCTCCCCTCGCTATTTTCTTCGCAAACTCTACCTCATCCGTCCCATCCCATTTTTTTTGTTTGAACCATGCCATAGTCTTCGCTTCATCCCAGAGTCTTAGAGAGGAGAGGCGAGACTGACAGTAGGGGGCCCCCTAGAAGGGCACAGGTTAGATATAGGTTACAACGTTGGATCATGTGCTATGTGCTTAGGTTAGGTTAGTAGGTTGTGAATGATCCTGCACAACGAGCACCCCCGACAAGCAGATCATAATATTCTTTCTTTATTATAACCTAAACCTTAAAAGCAACATCTGCGCAAAGAGGTCGTAGCAAACAATCATAACCGGCCGCTTCTTGCCGTCGTCGGGACCGCACGGATTAAAGGTTGAAGCTAGTTGTTGAAAATAGTTGTTGTTCATCATGCTAAAAAGTAGCAGCTAAGAGCTAGGTGTAGAGGCAGTCAGAGCTACTTGCTAACCGTGCTAAGCTAGCAGCAGTTAAGAGCTAGTTGTTACAACGATTTTTCCCCTTTCCTAGTAAGGTTTTACTTAGCCTAGTATTCACTCATTCATATTTTGCGCGAACGCGTCATATTTTGCGCGAACGCGCGCCTAGAAATGAATAGGAATTCGATATTGCGTGAGGAAATAAGCCTAAGAAGAGACAAAGAGGGAAAACGAACCGGTTGTAGGAGATAATTAAGAACAAGAAAAGACAAAAGAGATACTTAAATAAGAACTATCAGTTTTAGACCAAGGGTCTCGATTTCTATTCTGTTCAAAAAAGGTGCTATAGATCTTATATATTTAAGCAACCCTTGAAGCGAGAGAACAGAGCCAGAAAAGCGAGCTCAACCTCAATTATCGCTGAGATCATTGGGAAGATCAAGAGTAACAGCACTCACGGGAAAGTCTCGTTTTGCGGACCAATTATGGAGTTTCCCTTTCCGTTTCGCACATTTCTAATAATAAAAAAGACTCTCTTTAAAATAAGCCAGCGTGTCTGTGTAGAAGACCTTAGTGGAAAAATAGAAGCCTAGTAGTAGTAGTGTACCCATTCTTGAGATAGCTGACCCTAATAATTAATAGAACTTTTGCTGGTATTCTTAATGTGCAGAAGAGAGACCTTAGTGGAAAAATAGAAGCCTTAAAATAATAGAACTTTTGCTGGGTTTTGGTCCTCTCGACTCGCCATGCATCATCCGGATACTTGACATAAGTCCAGTCCTGTCTCCCAATCGGATTCACGTTTTTTAGAACCAAAAGACGAAGAGGCAGCTGCATCTACTAGTAGTAGTTAAAAGTTGTTCCCCTTGATGTATGAGTATTGACTACTTTTGACTCTTCAAGCCACCAAAATGATTGAAAGATGGCGCATATTATCTTCAATGAAAGACGGTGGACTAACCTATCTAGGAGGAATGAACTACATGTATTGGGAAAGAGTGGATGTTGTTCTTTGAAGGAGTAGCTCTACTAACTTGGGCCAAAGCAAAACTTCTATAAGCATGTAGATCATATAATTTTTTCAAGAAATCTAGTGTGAGACTACAGTAATATGTAGACAAATGAATCAACAAAAGAATTATCACTCTTCATAGTTTTGGAAAACGGCGCGACATTTTCTTTTTTTTCTCCTTCTTCACCATTTTGCCTTCTCCCGGTTTCGCAAGAATGAAGAGAGACCTAGACTTTCCTCGCCTACCTTCAAGAATCGTCTCCCTGGTTCAATCTATGATCTCAAAAGAGTTCTTGTATACCTACACAGAGAGCCGAGAGGTCGTGCAAATAATAAAGATAAACTACTTAGGAGTATTATATTATAATAAGATGAACCTAGGACTTTCTAAGGTCAGTATTTCGCTGGAGCAAGAGTGTAGAAAGGACATCAGTCTAGTCTCCGAGAAAGAGATTATAAATCATATTAAATACAAAGAAGATGAAACAGATGAGTGCCCCTTCTCCTCCGAACGGAAAGAGTAGTATTGACGGAAAGAGTAGGATATGCTATACCAAAAAGTGTTGTCAATTTCAACCATTCCAACCATTCCCAAGTGGGAAAGTTTGCATAGCTATCAAGCAAATCGTGGTAGATTGTAGTATAACATACTAGTGAAGTATTTCTAAATACTATTAAAATACTTCTAGTATGTTATACTACAACTATCTACGGTACCACGACTGCTAGATTTAGACAGATTTAACTACTATGCATATGATTTACTGTGTATCTGGTGCAGGAGACCACCTCGTAACTCGTATCTGCTTCTTGTAATTCGGGTCTTTGTGCCGTTCGTCGTACCAATACCCTGTACCTGCCTTAGAGCTGCGTCATGCTATTAAGTATGATTCTACTTCTTCAGTTCTGCATTATGGTATAATTGATTATCCTGATATACATATATCTACCAGGGAAGGAGGCCCCCCCCCTGTGGATGGATCTGGTGGACCACGCCAGAGGGGTCCAGCCTTGCCACCTTTGCCAGGTCTGTCGAGAGGCTGCCGGGCGGGAAGGCCTCAAAGCGCCCACCTCTGACCCCTTCCCGCTTCTTGCCTGTACCCTACAGACCTGGCAAAGGTGGGAAAGGCTGGGCCCTCTTGTCGTGTTGCGTGTGCCCGACAGAGCTGGCAGACGAAGCAAGGCGGGAACCCACCCCCTTGGCGTAGGGTTGGGCACATGCAACGCGCCAGAGGGGTCCACCCTTGCCACCTTTGCCAGGTCTGTAGTGTTGGGCACACGCAACACGTGAGAGGGGTCCAGCCTTGCCACCTTTGCCAGGTCTGTCGGATACATGCAGCACGCCAAGGGGGCGGGTCCCGCCTTGCCTCCTCTGCCAGCTCTGTCGGGTACACGCAACACGACAAGAGGGCCCAGCCTTTGCCACCTTTGCTAGGTCTGTAGGGTACAGGCAAGAAGCGGGAAGGGGTCAGAAGTGGGCGCTTTGAGGCCTTCCCGCCCGGCGGCCCCTCGAAAAGAGGGGCCGGGGCGGGGACGCCCCCCCCCTCAAAAAGTTAGATCGGGGGGGGGGCCTCCCGCCCTGAGCCCTGGAACATATATATATATAATAGTACTTTTTCCTTCTGAGTGAATTCTAAGTGAATTCTGAGTTGTTATCTTCTCCGGGCTGAGAAGTCGCTCTCGACTACATTACTACGTCATTTTTGGGGCGAGTGACTAATTGATTCTTTTTGGTACATGGGTCTACTTTTCTCGCTTATTCTTCTCCGCGAGAAGCCTGCCGCACGGCGGCCAGGCACCTAAAACTATCCAAACGATTGAGCACGACGGCCCTCGCTGGAGAAACGCTAATGCGATTAATTGAAGTGGAAAGTGAAAAGCTGTAGCCTTAACTTCGAGTATGTCTCTGGCGTCGAGGACCTCCTGGTGGTTTCCAAAGTCGTTGTCTTTTATCCATTTCTCTGCTACAGCACTGTTATGCTTTAGCATTGCAGCAACGGCGTCCTTCATCACAAAATACTTACCTGGAACGATGAGGGGTTGCAATGACTGTGTGTCTGAGTGTGCTGTATCCTTGATAGATAGTACTGTAGTTTTTTGATTGATTGATTGATTGAAAAGTACTATCCTCGAATCAATTTACCTGCTAATTTTGAGACTTCGAACAGATCAAGCCTTATTTTACTCCTCTGTAAATAAAATTATAACAAGTAGGAAGCACTACCTCCGTTCCGATATTGTTTTGCATCCGGGCCCTCATAAACGAAACGGGGATTTTTATCCAACCTCTTCCACCCGGGGGGTATTGGAACATTCCTCCAATCGGGGAGGCTCGGTCCCCGCTTTTTCGTTTTTCCGTCTCCTTCTGCCATCTTTTTTACTGATGTGACGACTGAAACTGTAGTGAGGAACGACGAGAGGCCAGCGCGAGTGATAATATGTGAGTCACTCAATCGATCAGGTTGCCTCCGCAGGGCACCGATAATTGAAGATAATTTACTTACAAGAAATGATCTGCTCTAGTATCAAATAGAAGCTGCAATAGTGAGTTTGTACTATTGTTCTCTTAGAGTCGTGTCTGTGATGATGTCGTCCCTCATAGTACACAGTTTGTAGTATTCATCTTCTCATCTATCTGGTTCTGTGCTTCTACTTCTTAGGTTCAGTTCTGACAAGAATGAGCTTATCAAAAACAGGATACAGAGTGAAGACGAGACTCACTGTTCAGAATGGAGGAGTGGCAGAGTGGCAAAAGTTGAGGTTCATGGTCCAATATGGCTAAGGCTTCTATAGCATTCATTCATTCATTTATTAGGAGTGGCCCTAGCGACGACATGATTCATCATCACAAGAAGATTAGCATTCCGAACATTGATTGAGTACCCACTCGTGGGGTGTAGCAAGGCTATTCTTTCTTTAATCACTTTCATCTTCCAGATGTTTCTTGTCGGTACTATTTTCGTCGAGAGAAGAACTTTGCTGGTCACGAACGTGACATGCGTAGGTAAGTACCCATTTGTTTTTGTTTCCAACAATTCATTCAAGATTGTGAAGGTGTGAATTCTGAAAACTGACACGCAGAAATGGAGGACTTGGATTCTTGAGGACAAAATTTGAACTTTGAAGAACCCCTTGAAGAAACAGGTGGAGCATTGATTTCGGAAGTTGTAGATGCAGGTTCCACGACCTAACATTCTTCCCTTCCTTCCTGCATTCATTCATTCACCTGCAACGCAAGAACACGATCAATATACTCCGGAACACGATCCATAACAATAGGACTGACACGAGAACTTCTCACGACCACACAGCAGATCGACGAATCAAAACGTCATCGCTTGTGTGTATGTAGAATATAAAGGTGGTGGTAATCGTCTTGGTGTCGGAAACACATAATAAAAAATAAACTCTTCAATCTGTATCTGATTGAACGAGAACAAAATATTAATCTAGGCATAGTCGACATGATTGCTCGACGCTTTTATTGGTACTACTACATTCAATGATCCTAGTCAACTACATCAACAAAAAATTACAACTACATTTACAGGTAGTTTAAGCGGGTCGTGAAAAAGTAACACACAGGGCTACTATAATGGGATACTCTAATATCCTATGTAGCAAATAAGTAAGTACATAGAAGAGCTCCCGTACAGGTCGCATAGTTCTTGAAGAAGAGCAACTTTCAATAGGACAACTTATTACAGGGTAGTAAGTAAATAAAGGGTAACTTCCATTTTAAACTTCCATTTTAATTAGAGGCCAACAAAAAGACTGAGTCTGAGCAAGATCTTTGAGTTAATTCATTACAGATCATGTAAGGGGAGAGCGAAAGTATACAACTACATAGCGATGACCGCGACAGCAACGATACCTTATCTCTTAGTGGGAAGTGGTGGAGACGCTGAGGTTATTCTTATTTCCTGCGACTATATTATAGACACATGATAAAGAAGGAAGGTGAAAATGAGAGAGACAGTCAAGAAGTCTGCCGTTTATGAAGAAAGCACCAGAGGCACGAGTAATGATAAAGGGACTTCTAGACGGCGAGTAGTTGTAGCAGGACCACTAGAGAAACTCCTGCGATGAGTCAACGTGTCGAAAGCACAATGTCGCATCTCTATCGGATCTATCATCTCCAAGCGCAAGTAGCAGCTGCACCCATTATAAGTTATACAGCATCGTGGTTCTACCCCTACGTACTGCAACCTCTCGTATCTTTACAGGTTGTGAAGGGTCCCTCCTAGAGAATAATTCATGCTCTCCTCCTATCCTTACAGGTAGATGTAGAGCGTCCCTCCTAGAGAATAATTCATGCTCTCCTCGTATCCTTACAGGTAGATGTAGAGCGTCCCTCCTAGGGAATAATTCATGCTCTCCTCGTATCCTTACAGGTTGTAGAGCGTGCGCAGCCGGTTCCCGAGGTCTGGCGGCGAGAGGCGCAAGAAAACATTCTCCCATGCTGGTCCAAGCTTGTCGCGGTAGGCCTGTAGAATCTCCATGAACTGAGCACGCAATTGATTCCCTTCTTTACCGTCGAAGGCAGCGACGTTGTACAGCAATAAGGTCAAGGAAACATGCTGAACCGGCTGTTGCTGCGGATTGTTCGGATTCGGGGTCGACAGTAATGCTTCGGGTTCGAGCTTTATTAGGTTACAAAAACCTAAAAAGGCTCGCTGTTTCTCGTGGTCATTTCGGGCATCTTTCATCGTCATGATTAGAGGCGAAAAAAAATGCATCATTTCAGATTCAGGACTAGACATGATCTGGGTAGCGTTGTTTCCTTCTACATGTCTTCTTCGCTCTCAGTAGACGCCTTCTTTGGCGAAGATGCATTTCCTACACTCATAACATCAACCACTGCTGCGCGAACTGGCCTCCGGCAAATGATTGTCGCATTTCCTCTTGCGAGATGCACGCCAACCGCCCAAGCGTGATACAGGTGTTTATTTGGTACGGATTGAAATTTCCGTAACCACTATCATGCACCATGTTTTGCTCGACTTGCAAGTGCAAACTCCGCACTAAAGCGCGGCAAATGCCTACTGCGTGTGGCTTCATAGACACGGAATCGACTTCGGTGGTCACTTCGCCTATTGCCCAAGAAGCGTTGTTCGCCACTGCAGGATTTACATGCAACAAATTCTTCTCACAAGCGGGTAAAAGTTGCCCAAGCAATGGACGGAGGTACCTTGAGGAGGATTGTTTGTGTCGTGTTTCTACTTGTAGTGGTAGATGATGAGCATAATAATTATGATAAATTGGACCTATAAACTAGAGGTGGTCTAAACTAGAGGTAGTGCTGTGAACTAGAGGTAGTCCTCTAAAAAACTAGATCTAGAAATGAAAACGACACGAAAATATCAAAACAACGTGTACTGAAAGCAAAATTTCGCGCACTCTCCCATGAGCGCGAATGCACACTGCTGTGTCGCGAAATGATAGCCTTCGTTGTCCCTTGCGCACAAAATCGCTGGAAGAACGTTCACAAAATTCTTCTCCCTCACGATCGGCTCAATATCGCGTCCGAAACCGTCTACTAAACTCGAGAGCAAGTCGATTGCTGTGTTTTTTTGTGAGGATTTCAAGGCATCACATTGTTGATCATTGTTGAATGATGTGAGAGTGAATGGTTGATGTGCTGGTTTTTGAATCAGTGGCTGAGTTGAGTTTTGATCATGACTGATCATTCATGACACAACAGCACTATCAGAAATGAAAAAACCCTCTAAAAAGTACTCGTCGCCATAATATCCCTCTCCGGTCGTTCTGCTGTGTTGGGGTTCTCCAAGAACAACTGTTCTTGTTGTATGGTCTCCTGGATGATTACTCCGCATTTTTCGATAACTTTGCCTGCTAGAGGCTCGAAAAAGCTGCCCAAATTTTCTATCAAGGCCATTAGGCACTCGAATAGCGCAATCGTGATCTTGTCATCCTTCTGCAATTCGTCGAATTTACGCATGATAGGAGGTAAGAGGACTCCAAGACTCCCTTCACTCCTAATTTCCCACCGCACATTGCGCACGAACGCCGCTGTAATGTGATAGTGGTCAGACTCGAACTTTTGAAAGATGTTGAAAATGAATATATATTTGTGGTGGAGCCGACCTAACTAGAAAAAAGACAGACCAGCGGAAGATATAAAAGAGAAAAGGGTCACTATCATGAATATATAAATATAAACATAAGAATGTAGTAGTAAGTTGTAATGCCAAAAAAAATAACTACAGTAAGTGATAGATTCCCTCAAATTGATCATGTTGCCACCAGAAAAAGCTTCTTGAAAGGTTCTTGTTTGAGTCCTCATGAAAAAGAGCGAGAAACATATCGTAGTAGTAAGTACATGTGCAGTCGTATAAGCCGAACACATTTTTCGCTTGATAGGTTTGAAACGCTTGTGCCAGTGTGCGAACAATATCAGGGATGAAGGGGTCTAAACTTCCTGGAGGCGGCGTCTCGGATAAAATCGCAAAAGCACTACAAGCGGCCTCCTGCACTCGCTTGCTTCGATCTATTATACGCAACATTAGAGCTACCGCCTATGCATCCTCCTCTTTGAGAGTGACAGTATCCTAGGAAGGAGCTTCTTTTTCAAAGAGAAAAAGAAGAGCCATGGATCATGGCGTTGAGGGGATGCTTTATTAGCGATACTAGCCTTAACAACAGGATCACCTTGAGCACCTCTACCAGAACGTTATTCCTCTCGACGATCCAGTAGGCATAGCGGGACAAGCACCAACAGGAAATACTCCTCAGCAGCGGTTTTTCATGGACAGAGGTACGGGTTACGAGGAGGGATATCACTTCTGGTAGATGGGGAAGCATCCTTTCGTAGCATCCATGACCGATGGCGCCGATAGCCAAAACCTGCTTGATGTGGGAAAGTAGCTGTCAGTGTCAGTGTCAGTTAGAAGAATTAGCATTATTTGTGCGATTGTGAGTCTGCGTAAGAGGAAGTCATGTACTACGCTTTATTTTGCTTCTGAAGAAGTCCACGTGCATTCAAATTCTTTAAAACAACATCTTCTGAATCTGACTAGTGACTGCTTGTAACAACTGATACTGAAGATAATGAAAATAAGTAAAATCCCTTACCGCACTCTCCATGACTTCCCAGTCAGGGCTTTGGAGATGTTGTGATATAATCGGCAGCACCAAGGTCATCACTGCTTCCTGGTAGGCGTTTGCTAGGGTGTCTAAACTATTCGCGGCCGCTTTTCTAACGGTCCATTCGGCGCCGAAAGTTAGAAGAGGACGGGGTATTCTATTCCAGGGAAGGGAAGGGCAGGAAGGGGAGGAAGGTTTCACGTGGGCTTATGCTGAAGAGAGGAAGCCGGAGATTCATTGACGATAGGTAAATTTTGACTTCGATGTAAGGTAGTCATACCATTTGCCTTTTCTAAGCTATCGAATTTCTTGAACATTTGTTTAGACCCTACATGAGATGAGTGTATATTCCTTTATCCTTCTATCAACCCCAGGATCAAGAAGTCTTCACTCTATAATCAGCACAAAAATTATCCACTACCAAAAATCATAACCACGAGTTCCCTGCCTCAGGCTTTTCGTCTCCATCGTCGTCTGCGTGCTGGTTTCGACTCTCATGTTAGAGCTCACAAGGATTCATTTCTTGCGTGCATTTCTGCAGAAGCCCGAAGAAGGAAATTGAAGAAAATGTCCCTTGGAAATGAATTGTGTTGAGCCTTAATCATGAAACCGTGGCTGGATATCCTGTGCGTGATCCTTGGCGTCGCCATCATCGTCTCGATCATACATGTTCAAGTAGTCCGTATTGGTATACTTCATATTTGCGAGCAGGACAGGCACCAGTTGCGGAAGAAGGGATTTGATTCCTGTAGTTTTTGTAGAAGCAGATTTGAAAAGGGATCATTTGTGATACCTGTTTCTTGAGAGCCGTTATTAGGGTAAGTACATTAGAAGAGCATGGTACTCAGTGACGAGGACATCAATAAACTACGTAGCCACTTGCACTTCATCATCAAAGAAAAACTCTGGAATATAAATAATCGTGCTTGCTGAATATTAAAGAACACCGATCATAAAGTAACTCCTGTTACAACATCATCAAAGGGGTCTAAAACTACTACTATAATATTACATCATCATGTTACAACATCATCAAAGGGGTCTAAAACTACTACTATAATATTACAACATCAAGGGCTTAAAACTTAATCGAGACTCGTGTTGACTTGTATTACTCTCCTCATTTTTCCTTTCTTCTTTCCCTACTACTATAATATTACATCATCATGTTACAACTATAATAGGACGAAACCATAGTCGATCGCAATGACGACCATAGCACTACACACACAGAGCACAAAGAAATCCGGCGGGATCGTACGCGTCGCCCGGAGCGCATCAAAACAAACAAACAACTATAATAGGTCTAATTCTACTTTCATAACAAGGAAGCAAATGAATTCTACGTTCATCACAAGGAAGCAAATGACAACCGAGTCTGGCAGTACCTTCATAATAAGCCGGCATCCGGACAGCGTTGGACCAGAAGTCACAGGCGTCCAGGCGAATTTTTTCGTCTGCATTCTGAGAATGTCGTAGCATAAAACTCAGCACGGTGCTTGCGTTCTCTGCACCGATGAGTTTGTAACCTCAGGTTAGTTGGAAATATGATGTTTTGGTTAAAAAATTATTTTGGCTTTAGTTAGACCATGCCATAGGTAGATATTGTTTGTATTTGTTTTCCTTTGGAGTGTTGTTTGTGTTTGTTTTTTTTGCGCAATTATGGCATGGTTAAAAAATAATAATTGGGGCTTTAGTTAGACCATGCCATAGAGATTAAGGGTTTGTATTTGTTTTCCTTTGGAGTGTTGTTTGTGTTTGTTTTTTTTGCGCCAACACTGTAGACGAAATCTACTTTTGTTGACATCATCTCCTGCTACGTGGTTACAAAATAGAGCAGTATGAAGAAGAAGTTGGAAAATTGTTTGAGATGAAGTAACTAAAAGGGAGAGCAGGGAGTACCCTTGTCTCCATTCAGGAGATATGACATCCCCTTTACAACGCCTCGTAGCACTTCTACGTCCTCGTCTTGCGCCAACCTCTCTATCATCTGCAAATACGATGGCAACAAATTCCCAAGCCAGTGGATTAGAGAAGACCTATAATCATGAGAAGGACAGTCTAGTATCAACATCACGTCGAGGTACGTCACATAAAAAGTAATCCCTGAGAGTACGCGTTGTAAAAAAAATATCCTATTATGGTATCCTATGCAGTCATGTCATGTCGTGGTACCTCTTTTGTAGCTATCACTGTCTACTTTTGAGGGGACCCAGTATCATAGTACCTCCGAAGGAGAGGTACATACAATACCGGTTTTATCCACTTTTTCTAGCAGCCACAGTTCTTGTCTGCTGTCGCAATCTAACTGCTTATCCTAATATTGTCCTATTCTCATAAAGTATCATATGGCGGATCCTCTAGCATTCCTGCCAAGGCGAAATGGTTCGACAATTGCACTGCATATTGGCGACAGACGAGTGGCGCCTCTAGGGTTCCGAATGTGAAGACTGTAGGAAGCAGTTTAACTGCCGCAAATTCGAGAAACTTCCTCTGAGCCTCTGGTATGTCAGGAGGAGCACCTACTAAGCCACCCATGGAGAGATTAGAAGACCAAGGCATAATTATATCGATATCTCGAGAGCCTTAGAATTCAAGAAACGATCTTTCTAACAAAAAACAAAAGATATTTTGTACCTTGTGAGAACTTGTGAGAACTTGTGAGAACTTTACTATCTTTGTAACTTGTATCTTATGGATGGAAGGGATGCATCCTTCTACAAGAAAGAGTGAAAACTACCCGATTGTTCTAAAAAACCATGATCATGCGCGAACAAAGAGAAAGACCTTCTATCTTATTCTACTCTGTATAGTAATCCTCTAGTTCGTGATTTTTACGTGCCTCTATTCTCACAGTTAAAACAAAGAAACAGCTGGTTATCATTTGAAGCTTGTAAACCATAACTACTACACTCACAGTTAAAACAAGGCATGTGTATGCAACTGTCATTCCTAACACCCGTAGAGACAAAGTCTGAATGTAATCATTTTCACATAAGAGGTTGTGGCACGTGGTGTAGTGACTCCTTCTTCATTACGTCACAGGCGTCCTCGCAAATTTTCGTGAGGCAAGAGAAACTCCCGTCTAACCGCTCCACTGAGGATGCTCTCGAACTGCTAGCGGGTGACGTTCCTATCTTGAGTCCATCCGTCAGTTTCTCGATGGCATCGAAATTATTAGGCAAATGCGTCTTCTGAATGATGAAGGTCAAAACGTTGCCAGAGGTCTCTCTGATCACGCGGGAAGTATCCTGCACCGTCTCCACTAGCTGATCCCGCACGGTCTTAATGTGGACTGGACAAAATTAGAAACTAACAAAGGACTATAAGGAAAAGGATATCTAAACAAGCACTATAAGGAAAAGGATATCTAATCTCTAGACTCATAGTACTACTTCAATTCTTGCAAAAGCACTATAAGGAAAAGGATATCTAATCTCTAGACTCATAGTACTACTTCAATTCTACTTGTAATGTTGAGAAAAGTCGTCTCGTACAACCCGTTGTCGTAGGTACTAAAAGAGCAAGTTGTAGAGGTTGTAGGTACTCAGGGTAAATTTCTACTTATGTTGAGAAGCAAGTGGACCTTCAACAACAAAAAAAAATTCTCTATGATAAAAATGTTGATAAAAAAATTACTCTTCTACTTCTACATAAGTAGTAGGCACTCAACTCACAGCTAATTATGTTGATCATCTATTTTTTGTTCATCCAAGGGCCATAATCAAAAAGTTGGAAAATATTATCGCCTGCTTGACGAAAGACCTGCTTCAGACTCAGGCCCGCTCGTTGCCGAATCATTTCGGACTGTTGCTTGTCCTGGAATATGTAGATCAGGTAAAGAATGAAGTCCTTCCTCTGCGTCAATTGCTGAAATCTCTCAGCAGCTTGTCGCTGGGCCGCATTGTCATGCTGGTTAGACAACTCCAGCGTCGATAAGACGCCAGATAAAACAGCTTGATCCATCTTGTTGAACAAGCTCCTGCGCTTCTACTTCTGAAACAAGGATTGAACAAGATGATGTGACTTTATTTCTCAAAGGAAGCAATTGCTGAAGTTCGAGCCTCCGGGAAGAAGCAGTGCGTGTACTAAAGCTCGCGGAAGTGAAGCTTCTACTAGTCGTCGTCGTAGTCCTCTAGCTTCGTTCCAGTGTTCTCAAGATTCTCCTCTGCTCTTGTACCTTTTCGCCTGGCTGCTGCTGGTATAGTGATCTTTTAGCCTGGTCCTTGTTATCGCTGAGACCGATGACTTCTCGTCTTTTACCACTTGTTCTAGGTAGTTGTACTTAGAGGACTTGTGCTTGTCTGAGAGAGTGCGCAGGAGAAAAAGGTGAGTAGTTGTTGCTCTCGATGTCCTCGTCGTTAGTCTGTCAGTGGCCGCCTACAAACAACTAAGAAACTGTTCTTCTTGTTTGGGTCACCTTGCTTCCATGACTAAGGGACTACTAAAACCCTGTCTCCAGCTTCTGTGTCACGTTGGCTCATCTCATGCTCCTGGGCTATGAATGTGCTCCCCTACTCCTACTTAGGTTGTTACTGTTAATATGCTCTACTACTACTTTCCCTGTTGTTCTTTCTACTTGAAGACGTGTCGTGCTGCATCTTCGTTCCTGATACTGCTCTATCAGGGTAGTAACTAAGTTCAACGAACTTCTTTCTCCCAGTCCCAACTTTTTGACGCCCCGTTTCATCTATTCCCCTCCATCTAATTCCAACTTGCCAACCTTGAGCGTTGTCACCGCATTACGACCCTCGCTTCGGGACATGGGCAGCAGCAAGCTCATCAACCAACAAAGTTTTTAGCACCATTTTTGCTCCAGACTACATCAACCATTCTTTTTTTCAACACGTCTCATAAAGTGTTTAAATAGATTGCTTGTTACTACTATCCTAACATATATAATAATTGTACGTACATCACCATGAACGCTGCGCGTCGTCTCCTGCTGAGAATGTCTTTATCAGAGAAATCAATTTATAGCGTATTTTCTGCTATTTCTACGAGGAGGAGGAAAGGCAGCAGGATAGTAATACAGTACGTAGTAGTAGGAGGATCACTTTTCAATAAGGAAGAATGCCAGATTGTAGTTCGTTGCCTCATTGCAATTCTTTTAGGTTTAGGATTAGGATTAGGATTCAGTCCGCCGTCCACCGTCAACTCTTCAGTCCTCCATCGTAGATCCACATCCCGAGTAGAACACATTCATCTTGAACACCGCGTTATGCTTCTATGCATCTGTAGGTGGACCCTCATCATCAGTCAGTGCGTTTCAGGAACTAGTCATTATTTGCATTCTTCAAGACCTAGTACATGATTGACATTATAATCATTCCTTTTATACTCGGAACCCAGATGTCACGTTATCCTTCTTATCACGTTATCGTTCTTGTCATGTTATGATCGGTTCGTAATTTTTACTTATCATTTTAAATTTTTCCTCACTTCACATTATGCATTCATCTACAACTATAGCCGGAGATTCCTGGTGGTACGGCTACGGAAAACGATCCCTATTTTTTCCTTTCGATAATAAAGTTGAGCAGGGCAATCGCTCATCGTATCCCTTTCGTATCAGGAAGAGGCAGGACCCCCCCCCCAGCCCCCACCCCCCTCAAAATCGGCGGGCAAGCTTCTTTTACAATTCTGGTTGAAGATGAAGATTACTATTAACATTCGGAAAATTGACTAATTACGATCAAACGCTTTTCATTCTGGAGATGTACACAATGGAAAGCATTCGCAGATGAATTATTTATTACAACCTATTTTAGCAAGAATACCCATTCTTTATATTTAGTATCAAAGTTCAGATCTTAGCCTTTTTGTGTTTTAGTTTTTACTCTTTATCTCATCAATATTTACTCAATACATTCATCGCCATGCTGTTGGTGGCAATCAATTTCAATTTCAGATTTTCACCTTCTCCATAACACTACAACACCTTATAATTCGAGACAGCCAAAAAAATAATCTGATTTTTTCTCGTGCATAGACTTCAGAACTTCGATCCTCATAATCTCAATAAATCTTAACCCCAATGAATCTTAGCTGTTCACATTTAACGGCAAGCTCAATCCTCTTAGGGTTCAGGCATTTCGTTCCATCGAATAAAGTCTAAAACTAAATCTAAATCATCTACTGCGGTAGAAAATCATTCCTCTTGGTTAGCTTAGGCTATGGGCCCTAAATTCGTAAGACCGCAATTATACATCTGCTAGCATTTGCCCAAATTCGTTAACCCCCCCGTGAAGAAAGTATTAGTATGCCCCTTGCCAGCCTTAAAACGGTTGGATGCAGCTTCATTTTTTTTTTTTGGTACACTAATCATGCGGACTATTTTTTACTTTTCCGCACCTTGTTCACTTACTGATGAATGCATTAATAGTAGTGGAGCCAGCCTACATAAGAAAAAACAAAATTGGATCTGCAGCACAGACCAGATGGGTGCTTCGCTGAAAGAAGACTTTTGAGGAAGGAACAATCAAATTCAAAGCCAGACAGACTGACTACATCATTCGATTGGAACATCAATCAGAAATTTAAGTATAATGGCACAAAGCTCTTGCCCCGCTCTCGGACAACTACCTCCTCGCAAAAAACAAAACATAAGTCGTTGCCGTTCTGTTCATCGTCAATCAAAAAGTATAGATCATCGACCACTTGATCGGTAGGAGATTACTCCTCTTCTCCGTTCAAAGCTACTGAAAAAACATCCTTCTGTTAATCAAATCAAGAAATCAATGCACAGACACCTCCCGCATCCGCTCCTCCTCCTACTCCTTTTCATTCGGCACTATCCCTTCTTTACTGTGTTACATCGATACCTACCTGAGAGGCAGCATAGTCGGCACTACCCGTAGAAGAACCTCCGTCGTCCAGACTCTGAAGTTCCGGGCTCATCGGAAAACGAATGACGTTGACGGCGACGATGATTTTCGTTGCATCCCCATCCGAACCCTGTTTAATACGCGTGGGAACGCTCAGATCGTAGTACGCAAACACTTTCTTATTCTTGGCCTCTGTGCCCGGAGTGGTCGTCAGCATATAGCGGCTCAGCTTGTAGTCATCGAAGCCCGGTTCTTTGCCATCACCTGGAACAAAAATGTCAGGTATAGTAAAAGAACGCTTCAACTCAAAGACGGGTAGTTCAATAAAGCGCTAGGTAGTACTACAAAATAATGACTTACTAGATTAAGTGAGAGCAACTAAGACGGACCACTTCGGAACATGAGCTTCTTAAAATATAAATAAGGAGCTGTAGCCGCTGCACATGATGGCTGCGTATGATGAGCTCCTCTCTCAGTAGAAGTTTCATAAATTACGAAGTTAGTACAAGATAGTTTTGTTGTCTAACCTAGAAGCATCATCCGCAAGTAGCTGGCTCACCTAAGGAAGCACCAAATTGTAATTGTCCATCTAACCAAACGGCCTTTTGCACCTAGGCCTTGAACAAGTGTGGAAATGCTTGATATATGTTTTCGGGCTGCACGTTACCCCCCCTGCGGTCTGGTCTGTGGTGGCGCTCGCGCGCTCTTTTCCGCGCTGATTCTCGCGGATTCTAGTGGTGGAAGGCGTCAAAACTGGGCGCGGAGAGGGTCCCCTTGCGCCTCTCTGCATGTCCCTCAGGGACCTCCTGGCCTCTGCTGACCCTCGCAAGCTGGACGTCTCGGGGTTAAAAAGCCGCCGAAGGCGGCCACGGTCTCAAGAGCAAGCAAGCCGATGACCAAGGGCCCGGAGGGCACAAGCCGCACGGCCCAGGAGGTCCAGCCCCTCGCTTTTTGCCGCCTTCAGAGGCCTTCCACACCCGGCGCACTGCTGCGGCGGCGAAGCAAATCGGAGGAATGTAGTGCACCGGCCGGCAGCTGGAAGGGAGCGGAGGCGGCCCCTTGGCCCCCTTTCGAAGCCTTCCACCTACCTCGGAGTTCTGTAGGGTCCAGCCAGGTAGCGGAAAGGGAGCGGAGAAGGCCCCGGGGGCCCCTTTTGAGGCCTTCCACTCCCGGCAGACGCCTTCAAAAGGGGTCCGGGGCTGCGCTAGGGGCGGGGTCCCGTCGCCCTGAGCCCTGGCTCATATATATATTATATATATACCGCCCACGTGCCCCCGGCGTGTACACACGCCGGGGCAAGGCGGAAGGGTCTGGCAAATGCTACGAGTTACATAAAATCCATACGGCCTACCGGCGTGCTACGAATTACGTAAAGAGTGGCGGGCTATGGAATAAGCTAAGCAGCTCCGCGCTACAAGCTACTACGTGCTACATAAACCCCCACCCTGGCAGCACCCGAAACGCCCAAAAGGAACTACTTCGAACGAATGAGGCAAACGGGTAACCAAATACATACGCCGAGAGCCAAATCCTTGAGCAGATCACTCCAAGCCTGCTGCTTTCGGTTCTCAGCGTAGTGGCTGGGCGAAGCACTGCAGTCGACTCCGCTCACCGTGAGAACCTCGCGCGCCCCCTGGCCCGGGTTTTGGGCGTGGGTCCCCTACTCTTGGAGTGTGTTGCGTCTCCGGCTGGCATGGCAGTGTCACGAGGGGGGCCCCAGGCTTGTCGCTTTCGGTTCTCCGCATAGTGGGCGAAGCACTGCGCCCGACTCCGCTCACCATGAGAACGTCTACCGTGGATCTTTCCCGTGGAGAGAACTAGGGGGCGGCCCCGTTCTACTCTCGGCTTGTTTGCGGGGTTTTTTTTACTCTTTGCGCCGTTTTGGGTTTTCCATCCAAATCGCGCAGCTTTATGGTGTCGCGTTGCTGCCTACGTTTCAGCTGCTTCGCGTTTGCTCTCTGTGAGCCATTTACACTCCCAAGCTTACGGCGAGTTGCGCTCTATCGCTTAGCCTCCCTGTCTGCTTCTGGCTTTCTCGAGAGGTGTGGGCATGCGTCATCTCAAGGCTTTGATCTAAGTGAACAAGAACAACGCCACGCGAGCAGTGCTGTGCGGCTTTCATGTGCTTGGGCGATGCAGTCTTACCTGTGAGCCGCTTGAGCTTTCTGATCAGAAAGCAAGCCCAAGCCTATGGGCTTGCTGGTTACTTATGGCTTACTCGAGAGGCCTTGTCCTTTGCGCCCATTCTTTTCTGATCCAAAAAGCGCAGCGCGATGAAGTTACTGCGTACTTGTGAGCTGCTTAAGAGGCCCCACCCTTTGGCTCAGTTCAAGACCCTCACCCAAACGGCGCAACGCTGTGAAGCTGCTGGCCCTTTTGACTTGCTGGGAAGGTCTCACCCTCTGACCCAGCGCAGGCACCCTACCCAAAAGGCGCAGCTTTATGAAGTTGCTGCCTACTTTTGAGTGACCTGCTTGAAAGGTCTCGGCTTTTGACTCTGCTCAAACCTCCCACCCAAAAAGCGCAGCTGTATGATATTGCTCTCTACTTTTGACCTGCTTGAAAGGTCCCAGCCTTTCAGTCAGCTCACTCAGAGGTCTCCCACAATCAAAGGGCGCAACTCTATGAAATTGCTGCCCACTTTTGACCTGCTGGAAAGGTCTCGCTCTTTGGCCCAGATCTGGCCAGCTTGGTTATTCAAGGCGCGCAGCTTTATGGAATTGCTGCCCAATTTTGACCTGCTTGAAAGGTCCCACCTTTTGACCAAGCTCGGGCATCCTATCCAAAAAGCGCAACGCCATGGGGCTGCTGTCTGCTTTTGGCTTGGCTTGCTTGAGAGGTCCCGCCTTTTGCCTTTCCTTGCTCAAGCTCCTTGCTCAAAAAGCGCGCTCTACTTCATGAAGCTGCTGCCTACTTTTGGCCTGCTCGTAAGGTCCCGCGCTTTCACTCAGTCAAGTCAGGCGCCTTACTCAAAGAGCGCAACTCTAGGAAATTGCTGCCCACTTTTGACCTGCTTGAAAGGTCCCACCTTTTGACCCAGCTCAGGCCACTCAGGCATCCTATCCGAAGCGCGCAGCTTTACGCGATTGCTGTCGTCTTCTTTTGGCCTGCTTGAAGGGTCCCACCTTTTCACTCTGCTCCAGCCTCTTATGCAAAGCGCGTGGCTTTATGCGTTTCCTGTCTATTTTTGACCTGCTTGAAAGGTCCCACCCTTTGACCCAGCTCAGGCCCCTTATCCAAAGAGCGCAACGCCATGAAGTTGCTGCCTCCTTTTGAGCTGCTTGAAAGGTGTCGCCCTTTGACTTAGCTCAGACCTGTTATCCAAAGCGCGCAACTCTATGCCGTTGCTGTCTGCTTTTGAGCTGCTTGAAAGGTCTCACCCTTTGACCTTGACGTCGCTCAGACTCCTTATCCAAAAAGCACACCTCTACGAGATTGCTGTCTACTTTTGACCTGCTTGAAAGGTCTCACCCTTTGAGTCAGCTCAGACCCCTTATCCAAAAAGCGCAACTTTATGAGATTGCTGTCTACTTTTGATCTGCTTGAAAGGTCCCACCCTTTGACGCCGCTCAGACTCCTTATCCAAAAAGCACAACTCTATGAGATTGCTGTCTACTTTTGACCTGCTTGAAAGGTCTCACCCTTTGAGCCAGCTCAGACCTCTTATCCAAAAAGCACAACTTTATGAGGTTGCTGTCTACTTTTGATCTGCTTGAAAGGTCCCACCCTTTGAGCCCGCTCAGACTCCTTATCCTAAAAGCGCAAACTTATGGGATTGCTGTCCACTTTCGAGGTGCTTAAAAGGTCCCAGCCTTTTAGTTTGAGCCAGCTCAGGCTTCTTATCCAAAAGGCGCAGCTTTATGAAGTTGCTGCCTACTTTTGAAGTGCTTGAGCGGCCCCATCCTTTGAGTCAGCTCGAAACCCTTATCCAAAGCGCGCAGCTTTATGAAGTCGCTGGCTACTTTTGACCTGCTTGAAAGGTCTGACCCTTTGAGCCAGCTCAGGCCCAGGCGCCTGATCCAAAAAGCACGCAGGTGCTAACTTGCTCAGCGTGTAGCTGCTGGGTGCTTGCCTCTGTTTGCGTTTCTTTGTTTGCATGTGGGTCCTTTTTGTAGCACATACGCAGACGCAGCGGATTTTCTTCATGAGATGACTGGCCCCAGGCTGAGGCGCTTCGCTCTTCGTTTATTTTTGACCATGCAGCGCGGTCCTTGGCTTGTGCTGTTGGTTCAGGGTTTTGAGGTACTGCCGAAAGCCTTAGCAGGAGCAGAATCGCGGGAAAGTTGTACTCAAAAGCGCGGCACTTTTACGGCGCGAGATGTATACATCTAACCCGTACATCTTTCCCATGATTTCCGTACATCTCAAAAAAGTGGAATTTTGGAAACCTACTATGAATCGCCCCGGTGTAAGTACATCTCAAGAGTACATCTTTCCCGTGATTTACGTACAAGATATATATCTCGAGATATATATCTCAGACGTATACATCTCACCCGTACATCTTTGCCATGATTTGCGTACATCTCAAGCCGTAAACTCACTCCCGTTTAGCATTCAAAGTAAGTTTTGGTTTATAATATAGATAATTATACTAGTATTACTTATTTAAGGTGACCAAAAATACCAGCTTCGCTTTCGGAGGTGCAGACATCGGTCTGGACCCAGTTGTTCTTGTCCTCTTTCTGTAGAGTAGCGCTAGCGAAAGACATCTCTTCGCGTGCGGCGCGCGGAAGCGCTCCGCCCGCAATCAATTGGGATAGCAATGTGGGAAGGAGTAGCGGCTTTTCGTCAGACTCGGGCGTCCTCAGCAGTTCCAAGTTGTCCCACTTCGTCAACTCCAAGCACGTGGGAACACGAACAAAAGGCGGCGAAGTAGAGGTTTGCTGAAGATGTACTAATACTGCTTGTCCTAGCGCCTGTAAAGGATGCTCGTCTCCCTTTGGCTGTTGCTCCTTTACACGGCACAATAATCGGTGCCCACTCGCCGTTGTGCACACGCGTTCATAGAAAAAGGAGGCCTTGCCGGTGCCAGTCTTTTGATGTCTCCACCACGTCGCGGCGTAGGCATCTGTCAGCTTGCTGCCAAACTGCTTTTCCAAAACCGAAGCCTTAAAGGCGTCATTATACAAGTTCCAGACCGCTGGTACCCGCGGACTCAGCGGCGCGATATGGTCGTAAATCAAAAAACGCGCCTGAACCAGACGCAGATTCTTCACCGTCTGCGCTGCAGCAGCATCGCTATCTACTGTCGTGCTGCCACGAACACGACCAGGGTGCACCTGCTCAATCACCGGGCTGCCCTCCTCATTTCGCGTGTAAAGTGTCGCGTAGTCGCTGAACTGTCTGCTTGTCCAACCAACGGGGTCCATACTGTAGAAGCGGCCTTTCCATGTGCGCCAGACACGCTTGATGGCAACGAATTTCGCCAGCCCTTCCATGAGCATCTCCATACCAGCGAAGGGGTTGCCTTGACCCATGTCGCCGACAAACACCAAGTGCCCGGGAACCTCCACCAGCTGGTTCATTTTCGCCCCGAGCTCATCTCCTTGAATATGATTATTAGAGAGTCGTGCGCCGATTTTTCCTCTCAGCTTGGAACCCCCACCTTCTTTTTGATACAAGCTCAACCTCTCTTACCCTTGTAGTCTTTCATAGGACGTCGAGCGAGTCATACATGATATCAAGTACAATTTAAGCCTTATAAGACATCTTCTATTATAAAGCTTCTTATTGGTTAGGTTTCGGATACAGTGCATGTGGACAAGGCTACACAGCGGCTGCACCATACGAGGTAACAGTAAGACTATCAAGAAGTCACACAACCTAAAATTCAACTCGGGTAGAATGACAATTCAATGCAGACTGTGTAGAACACGAATCAGCGTCGAACTAATGTCGATCATCCTTGTTGAACTAAAAGGCAAACTTCCCAACGGTCCCTACTGCCAACTGTTAAGGAGAAAATGCGGGTGGCTTTGCCGAGCAAGACCCAAGACCAAGAGCTAATCTCTCAGTCCGGCCCCCAAGGTTACCCGGCCGACATGTCGCGCGCCAGAACTGGTTTTGAGCTTCAGTAAGAATACCTGCACTAAGTAAGTTCCAATAGCTTCTTATTGCGAACTTCATTATATTATAACACATCTTCACCACCATAAGAATATCTAGGTCGAACGCGGATTTGCCCTTCAGCTCCGGCAGCAATGCCACAAACTGTCTGAAACCGTTAGTCTTGCGCGTCTTGACCGTGGCGACAGCCTGCAATGCCGAGGGGCTCCAAGCGCTGCCCTGCGGGGAAACGAGATCCCTCGCATCCGGAAGATCCGTGAGCGATTTCGCGGCAGTGTGCAGGCCGTACGCGATTCTTAGAGTCAGCTTTTAGTTTTATCCATCTCGGTCCCCTCATCCCGACGACCCCTCTGCCATTCTTCACTAGAGGATACTATGGGATGAACTAGAGAAAAATGAGTAACCATAGTGAAGATATAAGCTTTGAAGCAGAGAGAACAGTGCTTAAGATAGGCGAAACACTTACACCTAGAGGTCAATACTTGAGCACCGGCCCCATTCAAGAACTATCAAGGCAGGGGAGGACGGTGAAAAAACAGAAAGAACTTTTGTCACTCAGAAAGAAAGGAAGTACACAACTAAATGATGTTGACCATAAGACTGCGGCAGCCCCGTGAGGCAAAGGAGTTCCCGGCAAGATTGCGAGCGGCACGTGATTCTGAGCCCCTGGAAGTAGGTCCATTCTTAGATTCTATGTTAATTGTCAATCTCATCCCACATTATCACTACTAGCGAATAGGGAGGATCATCTTCTTCTCCCTGTTGCATCAAAGAGTAGCACTTCTATCCAAAGAGTAGAGGATAGGATAGGATAGGATAGGATAGGATAGGATAGGATAGGATAGGATAGGATAGGATAGGATAGGATAGGATAGGATAGGATAGGATAGGATAGGAGAGGATAGGATAGGATGCCTTTGCCTCGTTCTCACACAAGGTGTATCCGGAGGCGCGGAATCAATAACACTTTTGTCCAAACAAGAATGTTGTGGGAGACTGATTTAGAGGACGTTCTTGATCATGAAGCTGAGAAGCTTAGTTACCTTACAGCGAGCCCCCCCTTCCTAAGTATCAAGGAAAAATATAGTTAGTATGCTCTAGTACTAACTTGGGGTAACAGTGTGACACTTCGATAAGACCAAGAACAGGCCTCGAAATCAAACACGACAAAGAGAACCAGATGAACGCTCAATCACGTTGATGAAGAAATATGTGGGCTATATATGTTTTAGGGCTGCACGGCGCCCCCCGGTGGTCTGGTCGGTGGTGGCGCGCGCGCGCGCATTTCCGCGCTGATTTTCGCAAATTATAGTGGTGGAAGGCGTCAAAACTTGGCGCAGGCGGTCCCTGGCGCCCCTTTTGAAGCCACCCACCTAGATCGGAGGCCTGTAAGGAACAGCCAGGCCGCTGGAGGGGAGCGGAGGAGGTAACTGGGCCCCCTTTTGAGGCCTTCCACCCCCGGCAGACGCCTCAAAAAGGGGTCCGGGGCGCCACGGTACCCCCCCCTACGCTAGGGCGGGCACCGTCGCCCCGCGCCCTGGATCATATATTCATATCTCTTGTGATGCAACCTGAGTTCCTCTTTAGTACAGTAATGATGACGAATGGACTAGACGGTGTTTAACCCCAAGGAGACCAGCGTGCAAGTAAATATCTCTTTTGTATTATTTGAGTAGACAACAACATCATGGGTAGCAGCATAAGCTCCGGTACTGCTGGAATAGCGACGCAGGTGCTTTTGTACGGTCGATAGTCGAAGACGGACGCGCAGTCAAAAGGTTCGACCACCCCAGATGATGCGGAACTGAGATCTGAGATGGCTGCGATGATTGCCCGCCCGATCCAAGAGAAAAACGAGGAGGAGTAGTGCCAGATCCGAGAGACAAGTGCAACTCGGCAAACTCGTCTTCGCTCGAAAGCTGGGCTTCTCCAACGTAGTAGAGCACGGCCGCCCTCCGGGCGCTGTTTGCCTTGTCCTTCTTGTCCACGTGCGTGGACAGACCGCTGCGAACCAGCAAAAATTTTTCGAGGAGGCCCAGATTCGGATATAAAACTTCATGAAGCCCAGTATCCTTGAGGCTCTGGTCTCTGCCCGCGACGCCGGTGCAGAAAGGATGAGCGTTGCTGCAAGTCACAGTGTCGTCGAAATCGAAGAAAGGCAAGACAAGCTCCTTGCGTAGAAACCACTCCTGATTGCGAGCGTGGTAGTTTGATCAAATCTCAATACTGTTCTTCTTCTTCGATAGAAAAGTGAAGTGATCAATACAATGCGATACAATAAATCTCGCACAACGTTCGACGCAGACTGCCTTAAGGGCGACTTCATTCATTCAATCAAGCGCGCGGATCTGGACCCGTCCTATGACTGCAGTCATAGACCCGCCCATAACGTCCGAAGCCGTGCGGTGAAGTCACGTAGATCGACAAAGAATACAACGACGATGGCCCTCACACTACCAATAGCACAACAAAGCGAAGCTACGCTACGGCGAGCCAGTTTGGGCAAGGCTAATTTAGGTTAGGCCAGCTTGCGTTAGCGAGTGCGGCTAGGTGAGGTTAGGTTTGGTTTGGTTAGGAACCCCTCAGGAAAAAAAGTAATGCACATAGTATTTGGCAAATCCAAATACTTACCCACCTCCATCTAACAATTGCAAATAGGGTTACGAACGACCTCAGGAAGTACCCATCTCCATCTACACATTATCACGTACTACTAGATGCTGGCTACTGCTTCTCATGCAGAGAGTCATAGAATAAGAAGCATCAAAGAGACTATGTATAATGTTGAGCAATAAGGTATACCTAGGAGAACTCTTCAAAGTCCGTTGTTCATTGAAGAAAAGTTTTAAAGTCCTTAGGCTAGTGCTAATAGTATCTCGTATAAGCTAGAACGAAAGTCGACGCTTGTCGTTTTTCTTTCTTGCGCCACGGTATACTGCATTTTTTTCCTTTATGTCTTGGCCTAAAGATGGGCCTAGACGGAGAGACTTTTGAGGCTTTGACAAAGGTAAAAGACAAAGAAGAGAGACAAAGGAAGTCGACGATGAGCTAGTCGCTACGAAGTCAGATTATCGGAGGCCCGTCGCTGTCTTTGTCTCTACGCCATCAAACCCCTCAGCGCTTTTTTTGATCATGAACGCAACAAAGATAAGAAAACTTTCGCAGATCAGCACAAGACTGCCGCAGCAGCAGAGTTTGTCGCCTCGCTTCACGACTGAGAAAGGCCGACGCCTATTCTTGTATTGCAGACAGCTCGCTTATTTTGATAGGCACGGCTTTCGGAGATGGCATCAGCGCACTCTTTAAATTAATTGCCAGAAGATGGCGCAAATTTCCTAGACGTGTGACGCCATTGGCCAGCCTCAGACCCCACGAATCTTGCGAATGTCTTGAGGCAATACACTGCCGAAATGTGTGCCATGCATAGCGTTCGCTATTCTTTCCATAAAATCGGGCAAGAGACTGCCCTCAGGCTCAGACTTTGAAAAAGTTAGACTATAACTTTTTAAAAGTCTGAGCGTGGGTGAGTGTAGTTTTCGCTCGATATCTATTCACGTTGTATTCTGAGTCTTCAACTGTGGCCCACCGAGATCATAACCAGAAGAGCGCCCGGCTTCCATAAAATGCAGCAGCACTGACGTCGCTCCTTTTTTTTGGATGCATGTCATTCATTAGCCAAGTTCCATCCACTCACCGACGCCGCCGCTTGACTTAATAACTTGCCAAAGAGCTTGGCCCCCTCCTTCTCTTATCAGTGTCCTCCAACTTCGCTAAAATGAAGCGCGGCGCATCGTCTCCCGCTGCTCTTTTTTCACAGTCGTCAGCCATTCTGTGAGGTAGCCTCGCTTTGCCTCTAAGTCTGCGCACTCCTTGGCCCAGTAACTTAGTGAGCCTCTAGCCAGCTTTGCTCTCATGCTCACAGCCAACAACCAGAAACGTGTCGCCTATGAGTTATAGAATAATCAACAAAGGCGCCACCCTCACGCATTTGGGCGCTTCGTTTGCTGTCTTCGCAGAGCATTGCCAAACCGGGAAGAGTGTGAATGTGGAACCGTGGCGCAACTGGCTAAGCCGTCGACTTCGTGCGGCTACTTCTCGCCATTATGTGAGAGAGCAACTTTGTTAGCAACTTCTTCCCATACATTCAAGCTCATTAATTCCTCGCCAGTCAATGAACCCAGCAAGGCGAGGCACTAAACGCAACGGCTAGAAATGCAAACTGCGTGCGAAATCGACACAGTTCCAATTGCACCGACATAGTTGGCCTCTGGTTTTCTTCACAGTCTGCGAGATATGGCAGGAGAAATACCCGCTGGCGCCAGAAGTTCTTACTGTGCACGCCGAACAGTTTCCGCGAGCGTTCAGCGCCCGGAATGAACGGGAGCAGGCTCGCAAGTCTTTCACTATTTCGATCCCGGCGGTCTTTCCACTAAAGCAAGGCAAGCACTAAAGTCGGAGAAGTTTGGAGATGCAGCTACAGCAGCAGCCAAGCTCTTCAGCAAGAGCAAAGCGCGGCCGTGGAATGCCGTTACACAGCTGGCGCGCTTGTTCGGGGCTTACCAGGCTGATGCGTTTTTGACTGACTTGGGGGCGCAGGAGTTTGCAACTGCTGTGGCGTCTACTCCAACAGCTGACGAAAGAAGGGCACTCGTCTCGCGGTGTTTGAAATGGGCACGGCAGCGCACTGTCACAATATGAGGGAAATACTTCACGCCGCTTCCCCAGAAACATCTAAAGCGCCTGGCGAACAATGCCAAGCACGACAGAACTAGCAAAATCATAGAAAAAACCCCGCTCCGCTGCAAAGAGTTAAAAGCCCGCGCACCAACAACCTGCACAAACAAAAAGTCGGCGCATGATAGTGCGTGCGAAGCATGTCGGGCCTCTCTCATAAGATTGCGGCCTTTCTATGGCGCAATCGAAACCAAGCAGATTGCGCAAAAGATGTGCCCTCGTAGTACGTGGGACAAGGCGCCGCGGGTGCTTCGTGGAGGCGGCGCCCTACCTGTCGCGCCAGTTTTCAAAGGCGGGCGCCTCGAACGCTCTGCAACGTCATCCAAGATCGCCGGCTGGGTTTTAACACCTTACCAAGCCGCGCCGCTGGTGGGTATTGGGCTGGAGAGCGAGAAGCTGAAAAAGCAGCGAGTAAGATACTAAAAACCTTTAAGAGTCAAGGCGAGCCTTAGAAAGAATCGACGAGGTTCCCCAGGAAGTCGGTACTAACTTCAGGCCTAGCAACCTCTCCCGGGCAGGTTTCAAGTATTTTGCGCGCAAAGCTCTGCAATATCTTCGGCCTTCCCGGTCTAAGAATTCTGCCGCTTCTGATCCACATTCTGAAGAAGGCACAGGCCCGAACTCGGACGATGGCGCTGAGTCAAGTGGTTGCGGTTCTTTTTGTGATGTTTGCAATATCTTCAGACCACACCAGTAGTTTCGTCGATAATGGCGACCACCGTAAAGCATAGCAAAACGGCGAGTGTGACTGCTCGCCATGCGCTCGATTTCCTTAATGTTCAGCGGTGCAGTGTGCACCGTAGTGAGTTGGCCCATGTCAGTCAAGCGATGCGATGCGCTCGCTTTTGCTAAGAAGTAACTTGCTTTGAACGTCGTGTGGTATATTCTCGCTAAACAGCTGCGGCGTGGGTCAGACATGTCAGACAATAACCGCAAAATCGACGCGCACTTGCTAAAAAAGAACTGAGGGCGGCTCTCTCTCGCGTCAGTTTCATAATCATCCTCGGGCGTCTTCTTTAACAGCTAGAAACTATCCCGAAAGCGTTAAGCAGCTAGAAAAAAGCGCGCACCGCTGTGGTTTTTCCTATCGGCGCTCCGTTGTCGTTTTGTCACATGGTGCGGCGCAGACGTCTGCCAATCTCTATCGCCTTCCACTTGGCTGCAGTGAAAGGCAAAGGGGCTCAGTGTGTAAAAATGGCGCGCATTTTTCTCGAACTATCGGGCTCAGCTATCGGCAGCGTCGCACTTTTTCCACAGTTCTCTCCTCAGTGCTCTGCTAAGCTATGTAGCATAGTCGGTTTTTCCGTTCTACCTCTTTCCTCTACTCTCTAGCCTACCCCCTCGGTCTAATAGTTCTCCGCTCTCATCATCTTACTCGACTCCTTCATCTTATACGAGACAAGCCGATCGCACTTAATAAACTTAACAGCAGCGCAGGGATGTCGTCATCCCTGCGCTAGCCTGTGATACAAGAACTATAACCTCTCCTATTGAGGCACGAACGATTACTAACTTTTTGTTCATCAATCATTAATGATCAAGTTGGTATCATCATACATTTCTAATTTTCGACTAAATACTCCTTGCGAAGACAAACTAAGTACCTTCAAAGTGTGCGAAATTCCCACCAGGGAACCGGATCCTGCCACAGGGTGTGATGAGCCTGTACCACCAGCAGACGCAGAACCAGCTGCAACATCCAAGACAGAACCAGAACCAGATGCAATAGTCGCGTCCTGGTCGGGTAGGGGCTCATCTGCAATCGCCTGTCGGGCCGTTCTTTCAGCATTCTTCAACTTAACATGCAGAGTCTGTTCTGCACTTCTCGGTATTCTGGTGGAGTCCTTACTCTCGAGTGAACCTTCGGGAAAAACTGCAACGCGGAGGTCTTCGGTTTTTGTCTTCTTCAAACCAAACCATTTCCGCGTTGCTTGAGTGGCGTACCCACCCCATACGTAGTCCGACGTCAGCGCCAGGCGCCACAGCCACGAGACGACCCACAGCAAATCGACAATAAAATTCTCGTCCAGTGGTCCCCGAACAACAACAGCCGTCTTTTGCCGAGCATGAGCATGGTCGTTAAAACGTTGTAGCTTCTTCTGTGTCTCTGCCAACATGTTGCCGAAGGCATCCGAAATCGTCGCAGTGTGCCCTTTAGCTCGCGAAGCCGCGCATAAGCCGCGCGCCAGAGCAACCTGCATGGAGAGAGCCACATCCCTTGCCAAATGCTTCTCTAAGAGTCCGCTGCTTGCGCCTCCTTGGCGAATAATGTCCTGCAAATTCACGCCAGGGTAAAAGTTCTGAAAGAGCTGGTCCATGTGCCGCGAAACCCTATTTTTCAACTTGTCGGGGCGGTCTTAGAAGCAGAACCTAAAACATATCATGGCAGAATCACCCTGGTGCTGCGTTTGTTCTTTTTCAGTAAAACTACTAGTACTTGTTATATATAATGATAAATGTTATAATCGTCATCACAACGAACTATCTATCGTCTTCCTCTTCTTCTTCTTAATAATCATAGTACTTCGCGGGTAGTAAATTAATAGTACCTAACTTGCCCGATTCAAAACTATCTGTAGGTGTCACGTCATGCCATTTCGCCTTTGCTTCTGGATTATCTGTCAGGTGTGAGGCGCCCTTTCAACAAACAGGTATCTACAACTTATTTGCTATTAAATAAGTAGATTGAGGTGAGAAGGCTCCCTTACACCCAAGAGGACAACGAGCATCAAAAAAAGCCTTAAGTTTGAGGATCTTCCTCCGCTTCCTTGATTTCGGCACAAACCTGATCAGCTGGCAGACTTTTTACCTCGGATGAAGCTTCTGAACGCTGAACTCTGAGAATTTCCTCAGGTTCCAAGCCAAAATTCCGTTGTAGCTCACTCAGTATATATGGATCGGCACTCTCAGTCTCATCTACCAAAGGCCGATCCATGCCAGAATTAAGTTGGTCCCGGTTCACGTCCCGCGTCCAACCAACGGCCCGACGCATTTCACGCATCTTTATTGCACCTGCAAAATGAACCGGAAAGGGGCAGAAGCCCCACAGGTAAAACTTCATCGCTGTGGAGAGACAAGTCATCGCTGACGCGGTACCTGGTCGTGGTGGACAGATGTAGTGATAATTTGAGTCTCAATCTACTATTTAGTATCTATAGTGATGATTTGAGTCTCAAGCTCAACCTACTTCTTATTTCTATTGCGAAATGGTAACTACCAAGTTTCACTCCACAAATAAATGTTTCTGACTGACGTCTGTGGCACATACTACTTCGCCCTCGCTGTGGCAGGGACTGAGTCTATCAGTGACGATTTAAGTACTCCTTCGTCCGATTCTGCTAAACGGGTGTCTGCTAAAACGGGAACTTTCGAGCAGCTTCGAGTTGGTTGCTGTGTTTTCGTTGCCGTTTTCGTGCTTACGGTTCTTACTTCTTAGGAGGTATCATGATTATCTTTCTTATTGTGATGCTAGTCGACTCGGTCTCTGAATCTTCAGAGTTATGCTTAGGATAACTGGAAACAATGATTCTCTAATAGTTGGGAATTAATACACTATTCTCGAGAAGTTGTAGAGGACTCAAGAAATTCGCTTTCTTATCCGTGTTGTAGTTGATGTTTTCGGTACTACCAGTGAATCAATTCGGGAATGTTTTTACGTCTTTTAAAATACTCGCTGTTTTTTCGACAGTTACTTGGTTGGACGTTATTCAATCACGCTTGGTCAAATCGTTCAGTGCAATGAATTACCGTCAAGACTCAACCAGAGGCTCTAGGACAAAATGCACGGACTGTAAAAAATTCAGATTGATCGTAGTGGTCATGGGTCTCGATCATGTTGCTGTTTCCCTGAATCTACGCAATCCCCTTGGTAGCTGAGCAGATGCGTGCCTCGCACAGATCTGACGACGCGAATCGACTCGGCGATCTGCCCAAGATTTCCCTGTGTCTCGTACAGATCTATGAAGCTAGATGTAGATATTTCTCTCCTTGAAAAATTTTTCGTCGTATCTCTTGCCAGAGGACCTTTACATTACTCTTAACAGACTCTTACCAGAACCCCGCTTTTCTCTTGACAGGGCGGCGCGCTTTTCTCTTGACAGAGCGGCGCGCTTTTCTCTTGACAGAGCTCCGCTTTTCTCTTGACAGAGCTCCGCTTTTCTCTTGACAGAGCCCCACTTTTCTCTTGACAGAGCACCGCTCTACTATTAACAGAGAACTGTTCTCGCATGGCTACTCTATGGACAGGCCGTCCGAACCAGACTTTTCTCCACAGATGAGAGAGAAATCACGCACCAGACCTACACGACGCGTGTCTTCAACTCAATGTCTCACCAGCCTTCTTCCCTTACAGATTATCCACTCCTGATCATCAAGACAGCTTCATGCCCAACTTTGAAAAATGGCCTAACAACAGAATGACAGACTTTTTTGTCGGCACACTAGCACGTCTGCGGGCCGAAACCTCTGAACTTCTCCAGACGCAAGCTGAACACTCGTGCACAATGTATGCTACGACCCAGAATGCTGCGTTGCGCAACAAAGGACACGACAGAATATGCTGCAACGCCTGCTGACTTTGAGAGATTGACTCAAAGGTCGTCGATCATGGACAGTGCGGGCCCCAGACACGAGGATGAACAGATGTTGAATGATAAAGAGGAGAGTTCTTCGTAAATTGTTTGACAATGTCAACAACAATTAAATCATACGAATAGTACCCTTTGAAGATTGATTCCCATGTTGTACCAGTGCGTCGGCACGTCCCCATCAACGAAGAATGAAAACCATAATACTAGGCTCTCAAATTCAAAACTCACTGCTGGCGGCAAGAGATTTTTTAGAAATGATCACAAGTACCGTCTACGACAAAAAAGGTAGAAAATCAGCAAAGGAACAAGCACTTTTGAGACATGTGGAGATCTCTTAGATCTTGAGGAAGGAAGAAAAATCTTGTAGTTGTAGGAGATGAAAATTATAAATCAGAACATGAAGGTGTTGAGAGAAATCAATGTGAGGTACCGTCTCAGCAGATGAGTCTGGAAATAGCAGAACAAAAGTCATTCAAGAAGTAGCAAAACGAGAGGCTAAGAAATTTCTCAACGAAGCTAGACACGAAAGTGACCACGTGCTTAGAGGACGTCTGTGGTGCTTGTGATCATCGATTAGCCGACTCCGATTGAGCCCTGCGATCGACTGATCGCGCCGACGACTTTGCGCCCTCTTGTTCTTGCAGGGCATGATGAACGGCTTCAGGACGTAGTAGCCCACGAAACGACGGCAGGCACCGAAGTACGATGGGCACTACGATGTTGAGCCTTGTGAGCACTCACCCAGCAGCAAGCTGGTCTGTCCCGGGGACCACCAGGAATCCGCAGATTAAAGCGTCGCTCGTGCGGTCAACTTGTTGGGTCGTTGCTCGTTGAGGAAGTTGAACACCGGTTCCCGTGACCGACCGCCATGTAGGTACTTGACCATGAAGATGGTACGCGTTCACTTCCTTCTTGATGTGACAGCCACACTTCCGCTTCGTCGTGGTTGAGGGAGTTGAACACCGCGTAGACCTCTTTCTTGATGAGACCGTGACTGCGTACTTGATTGAGCACCGCGTACGCGTTGTTCTTGATGGCCATCACGTTCTAGAGGCGCAAGCGTAGCCTCAGACCGCAGAGTCACTGGTGTAGTTGGGGTAAGATAGATGGAATTGTGGGTTGGATCATAGGCTAGATCCAACAGTGGTTGCGTACTATCGTACCTACTAGTACAAGAAAAGGCCGTGAACAAAAGAGAAAGTGGATCAGGATTAAATCCTTGATATCATGGCAGAGACAATCCTAATCCTTTTTGTGAATCAGACAGGAACAAAGAAACGTGTTGTTGAAGAGATCCAACTATAAGTACAACTTTTGGTGAAGATACATAGATACAACTTTGTTGTCATGATGATGGTTAATCTGGTTTCAGCAGCTCTTTCAGTAGAATATACCTCGTAGATTCGCCGGAAGAATCATCATCCTCTCTCTGTTGTGCCATCGCTTCTGCCCTAGCTCTGGCACGTGTGCGATAAATTTTGGGCTTCGGAGATGATTCTTCATCATCACTGCTACTCGAAGTTTCGCTCCCCAGAGGGGTTCTTGGCGCTGTTGTTCTCGGAGGTGATCTTGGACCTGTTCTCGCAGTAGAAACAACCACACCACGGCGATTTGGGAACTCTACAGATGCCTGCTGTTTTCTTCTGGAAGATACAGGCAGAGGACCATGCTTTTCGTCGTGACTATGCTGTTCGTCGTGATCGCTGTCTTCCTCTTCTGGTGGTTCGGACACGACAGGGTGAAATGCTTTCATCGAAGCCGCGGATCTGGATTGCTGTGCGACAACAGATTCATCGAGTCCCAGTCGTGAAGATATCTTCTTCACCACAGACGAAGATTTGTGAATGCTATTAGAAGTAGTCTTTGCACCTACTAGAGTAAGAGAAGCAGCATGGTGATTGGTGCTGCTGTTGGTTTTTTTAGAAGCTGCTACAGATGCTGGTGCATTGCTATGGGAGGAGGTACTGTTTTTTCCAGCTTCGTTTACTCCACGCTTAAACGTTGACGAAACAGTAGATGTCGACGACGACGATGATGCCGCAGCTGTGCAGCTTGTCGTCGTTACTGAAGAAACATGTGGTGTAGTCCTTCTGTGGATGAAGATGTTATCCTCTGTATTGCGGTCTTGTACACCATCATCTTCGAACAGTTGACTGTATCCTCCATCCAGAGAACTACTGGCTTGGTGCTCTGCTGAAACGTCGTGCCTGCGACGACTCTGGTGCCCTGATAACCCATCTGCTACGGCGGTACTATCGTCCTGCTGCTGACAGCTGGTGCGCTCCGTGGTCCCATCATGCCTTAGTTGCTCATCCGCCTCGTGTCGATCACGTGCTGATGCAGTTGTCACTCGAAGCCCTTGATCCACTTGATCCTCGACACCTACTTGATGATCTTCAGCTGGTCTTTTCATTTTGCCCTTCCTCTGCCGTTTCATGGTCGACTGAATGCTAAGGGTCTTGGTTTTGCCCTTGGTTATAGTGCTAGTGGGACAAGAATTGACAATGGAACCACGTGTCTCCAACGCTTGTGAATGCAGTCCACTCGTCTCAAACGCTTGTGAATGCAGTCCATTGACGATATTAACATGATACTCATCTGGAAGCTCCGTCTGTTTTTGCGCTTCCGGTATGGGTATCCGATAAGTGCTTGGTGGATTAGTGGGGGCAACGGGACGTGAAAAGTAGGTCTTCTATTCTTCTACTTGTAAGACACCTTGCAATCTTCAGAGGACTAGGATCCTCGAACATTCAACATCTGAGCACGACATCAAGTTGTAGCGCTGCAATCCTCTGCTACCTAAAAGTAGGACATCGCTGCTCAAATCTCCATCTTCAACCTTCACGAGATTTTACCCCTCGCCAGTCATCTTCTACAGCAGTCACATTATAGAGAAAGAAATCTCCATCAACCTCTTCCCATAACCTCTTGGTGCACTTCCGCATCATCCTTGTCGTCAACGGTCGCACTTTGATGCTTGTTGTGGTTCCGATTTTTTAATCGCTCTTCTCGTATTCTTTGTCGTTCTTCGTCTTCTGCCCGCTTAGCAGCTTCCTTTGCCTTAGCGTGGATTGGCGGTCGGCCACGCTTCCGCTTGATCACTATCGGGGATTCCTCATCGTGGGTCGAATTGATGCTGTCCTTATTCATCTTGTTTGGGTTCATACCTTCTAAGGTGGATCCTGTAGTGCTCCCTTCTCCCGATCGTACATTATTATCTCCAGGGTCCTCTGAGGCTTTTTTCCGACTGGAGGAGGGAGACTTGGTCGGACCTGGTCTATCAACAGCATTGGTACTTGTACCTAGATTGCCTTTCGCCTTGGTGCTCGACAAGCTGGAAGCAGTCTTGTTGACGTCACCCCCATGTGCAGGTTGTTCAAACCCTGCAAATTGTTCTTTAGCTGACATTTTCCTTGCGACATCTTGCACGCCTACTCGCAGGCCAGGAAGCTTCAAGTTGAGCGGCCCTCCTGTAATGTTGACTGCTGGTGCCGCACCTCCAGAAACAGAGGCACTAGAGTTCGCACTTACTTTCGAATTCCTCTTTTTTGCTTGGAGATTTCCCGGACTCGCAACCGACGTCGATGGCCGTTTCTTTCCACCAGCATTCGACGTGGAGGAAGGCCTTGCTGGATTGTTCTGGATATTTCTTCTTTCTTGCCGAGAAGTCGTCGTCGTAGAGTCTCTCCTTCTCCGCAAGGTCGAGGCGCCCTCACCCAAAGTTCCAGACTCATCTTCTGCATGCTGAGCTAGAATTCGCTCCCAGGTGCTAGAATCGCACATGACGGCAGTCGACAAAGTAGAAGGCACTACGATTGACGATCCTCCAGTAGTAGCAGTTGTGGTTAAAACAGGAACTAGAGCTGTTTCTCCTTGAGGGGCACGTACTCGGAGCCAGATCTTCTGCAGCTGCTCGTCCTCTTGGTTATTTTTACATCTAGTACTGTCGATACTTCTATAAGTACTATTCTTGCTGTCTAGAAGTAACGTCTCGTTCCTCGTGGAGGTCCACTTCGTTACCCCTGGAGGCAACAGAGCTTGAAGCTTCTCAGCACTTTTTCGTTTATCAGGAATTTGTGCGTTGGAGGAAGACGAAGGAACAGTGACCCCTCCTCCGGCTTCTCGTGCTACAGCTAGAGCATCTCGTTGAGAGCGCGAAGCGTCTATAAGGAACCCCTTGACAGAAGAACCACCTCCTACTTCAGAGCGCGGAGCGTCTATAAGGAACCCCTTGACAGAACCACCTCCTTCTACTCCAGGCTGCGGCGCAACCGAGCGAGAAGCGGGCAAGAACATGGAAGATGGCGGAACTCCTGAAGAAGTGAAGTTCTTTGCCGAAGGATGCACAGCACCAGAGTAACCTGAAAAAGAATTCATCTCCAAAGACCGAGGTGAAACGCCAGTGTTTGCTCCTCTCCTAAGTGTGGAAGAGGCGGCTGCTCTGCCAAGTTGCACATGGGAAAACTGTTGCGGGAAATTCTGCCCCAACCCGGTCAGAATACTCGCCACTGCCTCACTGTGAAAGGAAAGCTGCAAGCTCGGTTCAAGCGGGAACAGATTCTCCAAGGAACTGCCACGTTTCTGTTAGTATTTGGGAAAGATTTATAAATATATAGTGTCAGATGGGATTGATTCATGCTGTTCTGTGGGATCGATTGATTCAATCTGTTTCGTGGATTTGAAGATTCGTTATCCGTCAAAAAATTCAGTGGATGAAATGAAAACAGACAAATTTGTATCTACTTAGATCAAAAGAGTTCCTCTCTGGTAAGACATCTCTCGCGGAGGACAATAATGCAAGCGAATGATAGTAGTTCACAATGAGAATCGTCGTGAATAAGTCTCAGCCACTCAATTATTCACAAGAGAGTCCAACTGCACACAAATGCAAATCAAGGAGTCAAAACAAAGGAGAGAAAGCAACAAAGGACGGAAGAAAAAAACGAAACTTTGAGAAATTTCAAAAATATCCAACCAACAGCGTTGCAATACCCTGATTTTCTGCACAAGACTCTGCGGGTATCCATTTGATGCCGCCAGGTTAAGGATGGGATGATCGGCGGGGTGGTACAGGCAAAAACGTCCTTCGAGATCCTCAACAAAGTACCGGGCAAGTGCAATCTGTTGAAAAAGTTTGAGTGAATTTGCACGATGTAGGTGAATTTTTTAAGTCGTCTAGTGAAAGAATTTACGTCGAAATACACGCAGGTCTCATCTGTAAGAGACCGAAATTATGATCCCAGTTGTATCGTTGCTGAGGGTATTTCTATTTGCAAATATTCCAAGTCCAAATTACTACTACTTATCACATGATTATCAACATCAGCTTTACATAGATCATAGTACCCGTGCCTCTGTCGCTGGTAGTCGCAGAATCTCATCCAATGGACTTGTCCTTGACCTTGTGATAGCGCACGTGCTATTCCAAGAACTTGAAGATGAACTTGAATTCCAAGTAGACGAACTGCTTTCATTCATATCCCATGAGTTTAAGTGTTCGAACCAATGATGATCTTCACAAATCGTCCTCACAGTAGAGACCGACACTGTGCTGAGCGTGAGCTTCTCCGCGCACATCTCGTGAAGGATGGATCTTCCGTTGTTCTCGTAGTTCACAGTCTTCAGCACGTGGAGAGAATGCCTGATTTGTTTTTTTTAGGTGTCAGATGTTCCTGCAGGAGTGTAACTTATAGACGAGAAAATCTTCGGTAGTATTGTCCTCAAGGGCGGACATGAGAGTTAAACACCTAGTATGGTGAAACAAAATGACCAGTAAAAAACATCGTAGTCACAAAAACTGATGAATAGGTCGAAATGAAATCGCAGTACCCTTCAACCCTTTTCCATGGTTCTGCTGACACGAGAGGTTTCCCGAGCGCGGCTGCTCTCTTCCTCAGCATTTCGAGGTAAGCCTGGTCTTTGAGGGCATCAACGTTGTTAGCATCAATAGCTGGTGCTCGTGCCGGGGCTCCTGTCCCATCGTTCAGCTTACGTCGCTTCGGAGCGCATGCACCTTCTTCACTCGAATATTGTGCTAGAGAAGCGCCGCTGCTTGCCGCTTTATCTTGTGCATTTTTTGACTCCGGGGCAGCAACAGCACCGCGTCTTACTCTACTTTCATCTCTGCTTCCCCTGTCCTCCAGTACTCCTCGTGCTTCTGCCTGCGCAGGAAAGTTGTTCGTGGACGTAGAGGACACGACAGCCTGCTCGATTGGAGGAATCGGCGACACTTTTTCCACCGCAATTCTGTACGCTCTCAATCGTTTTGGCCGCGCACTCAGGTACCGCACGAAAAACGCTGGCTCATGTTTCTGCAACCACCTTTCGTAGTACTGCAAGTTCCGCCTGACCATTGCGTCCAACTGAGCTGGCTGTAAGCGAAACCGACACTCCACTTTGAGAGAGGGAAAGTCCAATGCCGCAAAACCGAAACAGTTCAGAAACTGTACATTGCGCGTCAAGCCGACTCCTGCCGTTACATGTTCTCGATGGTGATCTAGTATCCACCAGACACAGTGCCACAGAGCTGAATGACCAGATTCCTCGTTGATGACATTGACGATGTCACGCAGTTGCTCAGCGCGCAGACCGAAGCCACGATGCAAAACCTCGAAATAGACGCGCAAAGGGTGACGAATGTTGTAGCCACCGCCAGAGTCGAGGCAGTCGTCGACATACTCCTCGCACAAATCTCGATGGCGCTGAAGAGCGACCTCTTCGGCACTTGGCGGTCGTACGGCTGACGGTGGAGGCAAAGAGCCTTCTATCGGAACAGGTGGAAAATGCTCGACCTTGCAAGGATCTACAGCTGGAGGAGCTGTAGATCGAACAGGAACATCAACAGCAAGGTCCTCCATCTTGCTGCCGTCTTTCGCGTCGTAGTCGTCTGCTTTATTGCTATGTGGAGGAGCAGCTAGCTTCATATCACCATCAGCCTTCTCTTGTTTCTCATCTCCCTCCTCTTCAGGTAAAGATGGAAAATCTTCAACCTCTGCATCAGGTGGTGGAGCTGCTTGCGGTCGCGACACTGCATTGTCAGGCGGTCTAGTTTCTCGACAGGACTTATCATTGTTCTTGTCTCGTTCATCCCCTTCTCGTCGTGACCGTGAAACCACAGAAGTGTATAATGAAGAAGCGGCCGCTGCACCACCAGGACCTTTTTCATCGAGATGATCACGACGGTCAACACAAGAGCCTACTTCAGAAGTGGCAGATGAACTAGGCACTTGATGCTCCACTTCCTCCAGCAAGGATGAATCCCCTTCGTCCACGTTTGATCTGTCACTCGGTGGTCGAGTTGCTGGCGTGCCGCACTGCGGATCTCCTACTTCCTGTTCGAGTACCAACATTGACATTTTATTTGAGCCTTCTTTAGTACTGTTCGTTGTGAGGGGCTTATCTTCTTCGCAGCTGCCTCCAGGTTCATCCAGTAGTAATCGATCAGGGAGCTTGGATGATGAGGAGGAACCTCCAATCGTCTCACGGCCATCGAGTCGCACTACCATATTGGCTGACGAAGAAGGAACAAGAGCAGGAACCGCGACAGGGCTATCGCAACCTCCTGTTGCGGTATGCGATGATGACGGCACAAGCGGAGCGACGACACCAGATGGGACACACGCATCTGCAGCTGCGGTACTTGCGTTCAGTGTCGACGATTTTGAAGATGCCGTGGCAGCAGTCCGGTCTTGATCCTCTTCTTCATCAAGTCCCAAAGCCTCGTTCACTGCTCGCGCATCAACGCCTTCCTTTCTCTTCAGCTCCCCCTTTGTATATGTGTCGCCAGCAGCTTTTTCTCTACGGCGACGAGCTGCTACTTCACTGTCCGAGGTAGAAGATGAAGAGGAACTCTCACTTTCCTCGTCGCTGGATGAAGACTCCACCTCATCCGTGATCTCTTCAGCTTCGGAGTCGCTAGTTTCCACTACAACTGTGGTAGTGGTTGCACTTTTTTTAGTCGCAGAAGCAGCAGCAGGAGTGGCTTTCGCCCTTCTCAGTGACGGTGCCTTACCATCCTTCCCCTTAGATTTCGCAGCTGCCTTCTTGGCTGACGCACCACTTTTCTGATGACTCGAAGAGCACCTGCTTGCAGAGGACGCCGATGCAGCTGCAGCTATCGGAGCAGGAGGAGGCGGATGTACAGGAGAAGGCACTCTTGCATTGCTGGGTCGATTATGAACGGAAACGTCGACTGCCGCAAGCTCGTGAACGAAGTTATAGTTCTTCCAGAAACTTTCGTGTAAGGGAGTCTCCGAATGCCCAACGTCGAAGTCAGCACTCGCGGCACCCCTGAAGTGGCGAACCATGAGTTTTGATCATTTCAAATAGATATCATTGATTTGAGCTGTGTGGTTGTACATGATTTGTCATGAGTTTGATATAAAAACCAGGAACACGTGAAGGGCAAACTACTACACGTCAAAGTACCAACATCAAAAGAGCTACTCATCATGAAGAAGTGTCTACTAAGCGATGAATAATACCATGCTTCTAGCATCCTCAAAATCCTCAGAATGCATGCTTTGTGCACAAGGATAGATCCATCGATGTTTGTTTGATTCGCCACGCAGATCTTCAAGATCTGGCCTAAATCATCGCACTGCTGTAAGGTCTCTTGCAGCTCCCGCAGTGCTCCTGGCGAATTCAAATGATCCGGTGCCTTGACAAAGTCGACGTCCGCATAACAGTAGCAAATTTGCAAAACCCGTCGTCTCTGTTCCTCGGTCCAACGATATCGGATCTGCGCACCAGTGGGACCGCTTTCCTCGACCCAACGGTCGAAGTACTCGTAATACCTAGTTGTGGATGAAGTAGAGTTGCGAACTATATAGTAGTGGCTCTACTTTTAGCATTGTTAAATACTATCAATTTTTTTAGGAATCAATTATCAAGGACGTTCAAATTCAAGTTCAGATTAGGGGTTCAGGTATAGACTAAAACTATCATATATAGGATCTTATGATGGTGTGGTTGATGGACAATTCATACCTTTTTTAGATTTCACCAAGTCAATAAGAATTTTCATGGTGAATTAGAATCTAGAGTGGGAATGCTTTGCTTTTTTATGTTTACCCTACAAGGGCGCGATACTACGGTAGTACCTTGACGGTCCTTTCCGGTTGGCAACATCAAATCAAACTTTTACGTTCAGATACTTTTTATTAGATAGTATAGAAGTACTTTTACGTCCTGATACTATTAGATAGTATGGCAGTACCTAGTACTAAAGATGATCACACTTCACTATGTAATAGAAAAATAGTACCAAAAATGATCCCACTTCATCACATATATTCGAAATTTTGACGCAATAATATACCTGTATCTCTCCGCCTCTGCTTCCGACAAAAGCCATCGTCTTGGTATTTCACTTTCGGTCGCGCGCTTGAGAGTCGTAATACTGTTGCGGAGTGGAATGTGAGCCGGCAACCCTTCGGCCGCTAGCAGCCAGCTTGATGTTGGCTGGCGACGGGACATGATGTTTTCTGTATCGTATTGATCGGGGGGTTGTCGTATCTGGTTACTCGAATGAGTTGTCGTTTTGTAATTTAGGAAGGAATCGTTAACTCTTTTAGGTTTAACAGGGTCGTTCTTGCGTTGATAATTTATAGGTCTCGTCGAGGGTTTTTGAGTCGTCGCAAGGATATGTCGTCAGAATGTCGCAGAGTAAGAAAGTCTTCAAAACGTGTTTTAGGCTTAGGTGGGTGCGCGTCGTCGTCCTCGTTTAACAACAAGTATTCGTTGATTGTGAGATCAAGAACTATAATCTATGACATATTGATGGTCTTCTTAGAGCAGTCTGCAATGGATTGACACCACAAGCAAATGCTTTTCATCAGATAAGTATTCAATTGGCGTAGTTGTTTAAGCCGCGTTAGACTAACTATCTACGTAGACTATCGATCTGAATTGGTCGACGTTAATTCAGTTTTAGGGCAGGAGCCGTATCACATAAGGAGCCGTTCTAGTAAACTAGCTTTTCAGTGAGGACTTAGTTTTAATTACTCTATCGACATGCCGGTGGGTAACGGACAATGAACTTACACCACGTCCCTACCCCCGCTGGCATCAAGACCCTATGAGTTGGATGGAGAGAAGTTGAGATGGAGTAGTTCTTGTGATGAGAGAAATAAAAGCTTCATCATCTCATGATTTCAATTCTTCGGACAAGAAGAATGCGGAAACATGCAAATTTGGACTTTTTTTACTGACACCGTAGACTTACTTTGTAGGAACTTCTTTGCAGTTCGTTGGAACACGACTGTGGAGGATCAACAAACTAACATTTTGGATTTGGAATCAGGATTCGCATTCTTGTTTCATCACAGTGTATTTGAATTTGTATTTTTTGACTTGTTTTCGAACTTGCAGGACTTGCCTTTTCTTAAGAAATGGATCATCTGTTTTTTTACGAGAATGGACACGTTGGACTGGAACTCATTTGAGTAATCTTTTTGTGGCTTGTGCGTATTATGTGTCGTCGTGATGTGTATCTTTATAGCAACAGTCAACATCCGCGGGTCTACGATTGTTCTTCCTAAAATTCCTCACAGGCGCAGTAGTTCAACATCTATGCCGCGTGTATCTTCCTCGTATTTGAACAGTTGTATGGAAGATATTTCTTATGATGGGGCAAAGATATTTCTTATGATAAATACAGGGGTAGCTCCTAACATGATGTGTAAGTACTGTGTTTCATGATACCAGATCTACGGATTCGGTGTGGTCTGGGGTATTCTGATGTTGACAATAACGCACGTTTTTCGGGAAGGAACAACCAACGAGGCACGCTATTTACGAGCACTTCGGTCATCGGTCAGCGCTGTGAACGACTACCGAAGAAAACGGCTAATAAGAACCTCCGACTTCCTTGTGCTTATCTTGCTGAATTTACCTTGATCCTGTCTTTCAGTGAAACATAAACAGAGTGAACAAACGCGGAGAAGACTTTTTTCACATACTGTTTGCTCGGCAAAAACCCCATTTACGAGGCTGGAGGACATCCAAGGCAACGAGCAATCCGACTTCATCCAAACTCCTGTAGAACTCATAATAGTCATTGCTAAACTATAGTAAGGAAGAAGGATGAAAATGAAATAAAACCAGCCTTTGTTACAGATACCAAGTGCTATTCCGCCGCCGCCCTTTTCGGACTAGCTGACTTCTTCTTCTCCGAGTGTTTCTTTTCCGATGCTTTCTTCGATGACTGCTCCTCAGCAATAGTACCATCTCCACCTTCTTCGTTTTTCATCTCCACATCGCCGTTTGCCTCTGCAGGAGCTGCTTCTTCAACGGGCTTCGGAGGCTCCTCCACTGCTTTCGGTGCAGGTGAGACGAATTTGGCCAAATTGCTCTCCACTACAATGCTCATAGCTGCTGGCACTATCACCACGATTCTGCCGGCTATTTTTAGAGAAGGTAGACAATGATGTAAGGATCTAAAATCGAAGATGCATGAACTCAATCAAAATCACGACGAACTTAAGCTTTTGACTCTAGCCAAGATGACTAAACTAGGTGTGGAGTGCTGCACAAGATAGAAAAAGGATCTAAAAATGTCCTCCTTGTCCTCATGGAGACCCCTTTTCGACATTTCTTAACTTCCTCTCCGCGTATTCCCTTCGCAGAACTACAACATCCGCGAGACCATCCTCCAATGACGGAACCGACACAAGTTGGACTATCTCTCCGAATGCCAGCTCGGTTCCATCGGGATAGGCTGTTGAATTCTTCAAGAAGAATCCACGACTCGCAACGTAGGACAAGAATTAGAGCAGGTAGTTGTAGGCAATCACATCATCAGTCCTGGCTGAGTGGATCATGGATTCCCCTTGTTCTTCCCGCTGGTTAAAGAGCACTTGGAACGAATAGGGGGAATTATCCACTCAGAATAGTCCACTTGAGATCATGATCTCGACTACGCATAAAAGAAGGCCCTCTGTCCACTGCTTCCCTGAATCGAACAGTAGCCGACTTCTCCAGCCGAAGTTTCGACGTAGACACGATTCAGTGTCTTAGTAGTAGAAGAAGTGTTATTTGAGTCGACTGGTCCACCCTTGAGTTCCGTTTCCTCCACATCCCCGCCACGCAAAGTCAGCATTTCTCCAGCTTTCAACTCGCGGATCTTAGCAACTTTGTCGCCTGCTAATGACAAGTTTTCTGTCAACAAAACTGGTTGAACTACTCTGAAATAGACCTTGGAAAACCACTTCACGAAATCGTCTTTCGATAAGGCCCCTTCTTTAGCATGTGCTTCCTCTTCTTCGCCGTGATAGACGGTGCAGAACTGGCGGCAAAGCGTCTCTACGGTCTCGGTTTCGAGAGGCAACTTCAACTCTTTCTTGAGGACCTGCTGAATTGCTGCTGGAGAAGCTAACTTTTCTTTTTATTGTTAGAGAGGACGAGGACGAAACGAGTTTTACTTTTGAATCAAAGACCAATGTGGATCATGAGAATAATGCCTCCAGACTTTAGACCGAATCATGGTGCTGATTTTTCCTTTCTTGTTTTCGGTATCTCTTCGTACTTCATATAACTCCACTCGCTCTTCACCTCGGCCAGCCTTTGATGAAATAATTCTGATGCAGCGAAACGAAATAACTTTCTACAAAGTAAGAGAAAGTCTTGCCATAAGCCAACCCCTTATTGCTCTCCGCCTTTACGCATTTTTCGAAGAGTTCGCCTCGATGCTTGTCATGGTCCTTTTTCCATTTCGAAGTGATTGCCCTTGAGATTTCGAAGTGCGCTTTTTTCGGAAGGTCGCTTTTCTGTGAGCGCAAGAAAGAAGCCACACGAGTGGCAACGAAGGTGGTCGCTTCAGTGCACCGGATTCGAAGGTTCGTGAAGAGAGCTACTACTTCTGCGAGACCATAGGGAGCACGCTTGGCGTCTTCGCCTTTGTCTTCTTTAATATCGGCTTTTTTGGCACTGGATTTTTCCGCTTAGAAGGAGAAGTTTCAATTAATATAATGTGTTCAGAATTTTACAAGAAGTGTCCAAAAGTATATCATCAAGCACTTATGACATAATCATGTTCCTATCACCTCCTCTACCACAAGATCCATCTAAAAAAAATCGTAACTATAAGTACCTCTACTAGAAGTGGTCTACCAGTGGATTTATCGTAACTATAAGTACCTCTACTAGTGGTCTACCAGTGGATTTATCGTAACTATAAGTACCTCTACTAGTGGTCTACCAGTGGATTTATCGTAACTATAAGTACCTCTACTAGTGGTCTACCAGTGGATTTATCGTAACTATAAGTACCTCTACTAGTGCTCTACCAGCAATAAAGTCTATCTCTTATCTTGATATCTCCAACGAAATCATAATTCATTTTCTTCGTTGCCGGTTCTTTCTCAGCATCATCCTCTTCACCTTCTTCCACATCCATCGGAGCTGTTTCTTCTTTTGGCGCTGGAGGCACCACTGGCTGATGGGCGTCGAGCCAGGCCGTGACGTCGGTAATGACTTGAGAAAGGGCATTGGATGTCTCCTCGGCGGCTTCAATCGCAGAGAGAGCCTCCTTATAGGGTGTCGTTTTCGAAATGCGTTGTTGGATAGCTACGCGCACAGCCTTGTCGGCTGCGAGCAAAACATCTCCGTGCTTCGATGTCTCCGTGCGCCAGTGAGCGACGATGGCCTGTGTGAAAATCATATTTGAGTACCGTTGATATACTTATCCATCGCAAAAAAACTACCGAGTTAAGGTTCCTGATAAAACTTGTTCAATGACTAGTTCTCAAATCCGATACTAAAAGAATCCTTAAGACGTACCTGATGTTCTTCCGCAGTTTTTCTGCTTGTCAGAGATGAGTGCAATGCTGCTAATCTCTGCACAGTGGTTGCACATTCGCTTCTCTTATCGAGCAAACTTTTTTCAGCCTCCTTGTAAGTGTTCAAGAGCTTTTCAAAGCGCGGTCTTAGCTTCTCCAGCATTGACGCTTTATGCTTGCCATTTGCTGACAAACTCGGACTATGCGTCGGCGAAACTTCGCCGTTAGCCTGAGCCGCCTTCGCCGCTTCCGGTGTCCACACTAAATGCAAATCCGCTTCGTATTTGTGAAATTTAGGTCTGTGAGATCGCAATTCCACTAGCATATCCGTCAGCTTTTTCTCAATTTCCGCACCCAGTGTTCGCACAGTAGTGGACTCCGGCGCCGTCTCCAATCGCTTTACTACTGACTCGTTCGCTTGTTTCTGCACCTTCTTGTCCAACGTCTCCAATTCCGCGCACACGGCCTCGATCTGCTTGGCAACTGGCGCACAGGCCTTCGTCACGACTTGATTCAGATCGAAGACTAGATTCTTGCACATATCCGCGATATTGGCATGCATGTCGGCGTCTTGCAACAAGTTCGTATCGGCTTCGATATCACTCATGCTGCTGCCCAAAGGACCCACTATTAAAGGTCAGCATCCTTCATTGGATTGGTCACCGACTCTTCTGAACGGAAGTAGAGACCCCCTCCAAGGCTCATCTCCCCTTTCCCTTCATTTTCCCCTGTGGGAATTCTCTCAAGGGGCCTCCTCTTCGATCTCAGTGACTCCAATCTAAATGGTGATTCCAATCTGAAAGTTGAGCCTTAACACTAGATCCCTCGCGTGGCCTCCTGCGGCTCCTGGAGAGGCCAAAACGGAGATCCCAGCTGGTGTCTTCGGAGTAATAAAGGCAACAGTCCCGTCTAACAAACTCATCACTTTCTGCTTGTTCGACTCTTCTTGCAACGATAAGACAACAACCTTCTCATGTCGTCGCAACGAGCGTCCCAACTGACTGCCGTTCTCATCAAAGAGAGGCGATTCTTCCATCACGACGAAATGGGCATCGAAATTGCAAACGAAAAGTTCAGGTGCTTTCATGGCAGCGGAGGGGATTAGCGATGTACATAACAAAAAGAAATACTTGCAGGGAGCTCTTTCTACAGTGAAGAAAAACAAAATTTGGGTAGTTTATCATATTATTCGTATTCGTATGATCTAGGCCCACGTGTAAATTATAATCAGTTTCTTAAACTCCCACCCGGAGGATGCAAGTCCACAGTCGCTTGGTGTCGCATAGTGACATACCCCTCAACGCCATCTCTGTCGCGACGAACCTTGACGCGGCGCACCTTGCCAATACGTACTGGCGCTTCGATCGCAGACAAAAACTCGTCTTTAGGAATTTTCCCGATGTATTCCTCTTTGTCGACCACGTCTGCGGGGACCGTTAAATTGCAGTTGCTGGACGACTGGGTGAGGACGACCTGGACCACGTGTTTGGATAGATGATCATGCAGATGCAGATTCATCGTTGTGTCAACTTCTAGTTCTACCTGAAACTTTGAGAAGCTGTAGCTGCATTCAAGAAGATATTAGTATTCATAATATAGAAGAAGTACCTCCTTCACACACAGCAAAACCGCTTTGCCGACATACAAGAAGAAGTCGTCGCATAAGATCAATCCCTCATTCTCTTGTGCAAATTTGCTCTGCTTCGCCGACGCAAGTTCAACAGGTTCGGCTTCAGAGTCTGTCGAAGGCAAAGCTGGCTTCTCAATGCTCTGCGTTCGCACCTCCAAGCACTTCTGCAGTAAAACCGGGACTCGTTCAGCAAGATCCTTGGTCACAATACCCTCAGCGTCAAGGAATTGGACGATCTCCTCGGGGAGAAGACCGGTGCTGATGTGGTAGTTGAATTTTATGGAAATGGGAGATTCACGTTGATGAGATGATTGTATCATCGTCATCATGCGTCTTTAGAAGTTGCATTTCAGAAGTTGCAACGCAAGATCAATTGACTCTAGTACTCCAAGACTCACATTCAACTCCAAGACATCCTCGACTATCAACCCTAGCTATACCGGCTCCCCTTCCCTTCTTCCGGACTATTTCCTGCCATCTTATCGAAAAACTGGGCTTCGGTCAAATTGTTTCCCTCCATGTAGCTTTGGACGGCACTAGCAATCGCCACATCCAATTCAAATTTTTCTTCGGCAACATACAAAGCGCGTTCCCGGTTCCACGTAGAAATACCATCTAAAAGACGGGCAACTCTGGCAATATAAGCAGATTGTAGACGGACACGTAGGGGGTTAGAGGAAGGGACTGGTGTAAAGCGGATGTGGTGGAATTGCAATTAGTATAGAGGGTAAATTTTTTGGTAGAGGGAGGTAGGCGTGAAATTGGGACAGGATGGAATTGGTAATTCTGAATCTGATTTGTTTTTTGTTCAACTAAAAACAATCTAGATTTTAAATCCCTCGTTTCACAACCACGAAACAGCAACATCTTCATAAACTTCGACAACTCAGGGTCCCTTGGTGTTGGTACGGCAAGACATGGGTGCTTCATGCATTCGGATCCGCGAATGTGGGCTATTAGACCATTAGCTTGCTCCGCTAATTTCCTATAAGCTGCCTCCTTCTGCATCTCTGCTTCTTGCAGCAAAGCTTCTCGTCGCCGCCCAGCGGGGGAAGTCGGGTCCTGTGTGGGGCGCAGTTAACATCTTGAACAAGGCAAAAGAGAGATGAATGAAGAGATAAGGACTTCTTCGATCTAGCGGATCAACGAATTCACATCCATCGTGTAATTATTTCAGAGAAAAATCGAATCACATGATCTTTTGCATCTACCATTTCGTCCGGATCCGCATCTTTAGGCGGAGAACCAGGAGGTGGCTGTTGCAATGCCGTAAATGTATCTTCGAGGTAGAACAAGGCTTCCAGAATCTTAGTGTCAGCGGTTCGCAATAGAACGTCTCGCTTTTCCTTCAAAACTGCTTCCTTCTTAGCCTCCTCTTTCACGGCTAAAGCAGCAAGAACCGAGTTTCCATGTGCCTTCGCAATCCGAAATTGGTTCAGCCCTTCTGTGATGGAAGACCTGATGTATGATGTCAGGTGGAGTTGATCTTGATGCTGATGTTGAAATAAACAAGAAGCTTCTGATTCTGATTTTGTCATGTTAGAACATTGTACATGTGGTGTAATTCCGCTACTCCCTCCCGGCAGCAGATATCTTCAGATGTCCTTCTGATGATTTGAATCTATTCGGTGTGCTGCCTCTAAGATATCCTTCTATTTGTGTAGAAAAAGCCACCATTTCTCCGTCATTTTCGTTCGCAGCTCGTCCACTTTTGGTCTGTACGAAGCCAGCTTAACCGTCTCTTCTGCAGTTGCCTCCATCATCTTAGCATCACAAAAATCCGTATTCTTCTTCAAAAATTCCCTGAGCTTCTGGAATTCAGCTTGAAGTTTGGTGGTACCATCGGCTAAAAATTCCGCAGCTTCGGAAACTAACGACTTAGCGAGGTCCTGCAGTTGGAAGGATAAGGATTTGTTCATTGCGATCGATAAGGATTTTGTTCGTTATTACAAACCTTAGGATTTCGATTTGTAACCTCATGAAGATTATAAAAAAGGACAATATAATTCGGCACCCTTGGAACCGCAATATTCCTCATATAATTACCTGCTCACAGCTCGTTGCTCCTCTAAAATAAACTTGACTCCCATAGAACGACGTGTAAGTACCTCATCTTCCTTCAAATCCTTCGAGTTTTTGATGATGTAAGCCTGCGCTTTCGCCTTTTCGAGGAACTCTTTTGCTTCCGCTTCAACCGCTGTCCAGAGTTCGTTCGCTTCAGTTTCAAACTCCTCTTCCAAGAACTTTAATGCGATTGCCGCACCCTCTTGCCTGTAGTTGTTAGTTTTTTGTGAGGGTCCTATGATATCTGCGTTTCTTGCCTTTCCAGTCTATTTGTCGAGGTTTCTCTTTAAATTTTAGATTCATCTACTTACACATATGAGAACATATGAATACTCGATCATAATTGATGAAACCCGCCAAAGACAAACTACTCTCTTGTGGAAATGACTCGCTCGAAAATCATACCATTCTTTCTTCCTTGCTTCGATTTCTTCTTCTTTGGTTTTAATCATCGCTTCCCACTGCTCGATCTGCTTTGGGTCGACCGATTTCGCGTAGTTGGTGAAATTGATGGCTTAACTTAGAGATGGAGTTTGTGTGGGAAAGAAGAAATGCTTATGTCCTGATCCCGGTGAGGTAAGCATATGTCCTGATCCCGGCGAGGTAAATTACATGGTACCGGAGACCTAGCCTGTGTAGTGTCTTCTTGGTGTCGGTTTTTTCTTCAAGAAAACCCATCGCGATGCTGTTCTTCCTCATTATAACACAGTACTATCATCTAACTAAGTACTCAATTTATCAAAGTCACAGTTATACTCAATTTAATCAAAAATCGCATACCTTATCTAAGTACTCCATTTATCAAAGCCTCATAGCTTACACTGTTTCAAGCTCTCCTCTGCGTAGTGAAGCTGTCGTTTCCAGTCAAAGGTGCCACGGTAGTTGGGACTGGGAGTGAGGAACTTCACATTCTTGGTTAGCATATTGATCGCAGCAGTTGGATCCGCAAAAGTTCTCATTTGCTGTTGCCCATCGGCTTGCGGCTGGATCATATTAGAACCTTTCAGAGATGAGGAGAGAAGGAGTTGTTACATTGTGTTGAGATGTGTCCAACCTAGGGACCTTATGTATATGATAGTTATATTAACTATCTCTAGTATAGTGCGGCAGTCGCAGTTAAGACACGAAGAAGCATCAAGTAGTCGAGCTACCAATTGAAAATTCAAAAAAATTTCGTCATCCAACCAAACCACAAGGACAACCAGAATTCATAATTCCATATCCTCCATTCTCCTGGTATTGTCGCTTAGCGTTCGGTGCGCCATAGCCACTCGCATCGTCATTGCCACGTCGACGACTGAGTTCTGAATTAGAGCTCAAAACATTTCATATCTTTGGCTCACGTCTGAAGATCCTAAGAAGGATAGACTTATAAGGAAAAGTGAGCATGTAAACCTGAGATAGTCAAAAAATTTTCACATGAGAGGAAACAATCCCGAACACACACAGAGATCATTTATTTTGAGCCTTAACTGAAGGTGTCCCAGTCTCCATACGGACGTTTGGATCGGCCTCCTGCTTGTGCCAGGGAACACGCCATCCGCTGGATGGAGGCACATCACCCGTATGCGGATTGTGAGCCCAGACCTAGTTTTAGTGTGCGGTTTGTGAGCCCAGACGTACATCAAATGGTAAATCAATTCTAATTCATAAATCATTTCTCACTTTCGTTACTACTTCCAATACTCCGTAACTAATGGACAGCACCCTTTTCAAATTCTTTCAAGACTGTTCAACCTAAGTCGTCACCATTATCAACTACATCACGCCTCAAGGATAGCCTGCACGAACCGCACTTTTATCAAGCAATAAGCTCCTACTGATAGATGATCATGCAGATTCAGATTCATCGCTGTGTTTGGATAGATGATCATGCAGATTCAGATTCATCGCTGTGTTTGGATAGATGATCATGCAGATTCAGATTCATCGTTGTGTAGCAATATTAAGCTACAACTGATCTTGTATTTAAAACCTGTTCCCCACCAACAACCGGTGCGCACCACCAACCTGCAAGATCTGGACCATCCCGGTTGTCCCAATAATAGATATTACACGAACTCTCGGTTCCAGTCTGCTGGTATTGATTCTCTTTCTTGGATTAGAGAATGAAATGGTCGGTGAGTATGAAAAGAAAATCTGTTATCATTATCAAGTTTCTTAAGTAGAAAAGTATGATAATGATAACATATTTTGGCTTCATAGTGATTGAGATTGGCAACATGGATAAAATCTTCTGTCTATGAGTGATGTGTAGGTATGGAGGTCGTGCATCGTTATGTATTTGCCTTTGCTAGAACTTGAGGAAATTGCAACTACATCTCGATGCAGATATTAAAGCTACTAGCACTCACACATGAAGATAACATCACCTATCAATCATTGACAAGTAGAAGTGCCAGATCACTTCGCATAATTTTTGAACAACGGGCGATCGTGGTTCTTCTGGTCCGTTGGGGCAAAGTAGGTGCCGTTTAGAGCGCTCAGATGCCCAGAAAAACCAGTAACATTGCACTGCAATGGGACATCTGACTTGTCCGCGTCAACAACCCTCTGTGACGTCGCCATTTTGTTGCTTGTTCTTAGCTTGATGGTAGAAGATGTAGTAGATGGTGGTACTTGATTCTAGCAGTTGCTGGTTCTTTAGGTTTAGAACTTTAGGAAACAAATGACTCAAATAACAATTCTCACACAGGAAGAACAGCCTCTAGTTTTTACTTCTAGTTCTTACTCAATTGTTCAGTTCTTACTCAGCTGGGGAACAGCGGGAAGTAGGAACCCAATCACGGGACATACATGAAAGAAGACACTGAAAGATACAACTTGGCTTCACATCTTTATGTACGACAAAAAATCCATATAAGTATAAGAGCTAAAGTTGTTCTTTTCCTGCATTGCGAGCGTAGTGGTAGCAGAATCAGCAAAGCAAGAAGCTCACACAATTCTGGTGTGAAACTTGACGTCTAGTAAAAACCATGCTAGAGTGCTTTGTATTCAGTATTTGAACATTGGCCTCCTACCACGTCGTACTTCTAGTTTTGGCGAATCCTCAAATTTTGAGAGAAGAAAAGGATGGAATAAAAGGAAAACTGATGCTCGCTTCGCGATATGCTGAGTGATATTTTCACGGGAAAAGCAGGCAATCGACTGGCGCACCACTGACAACACGTTTGGATCCCAGGATCCTATAATCTTTTGAACGCACATGATGACTGCGTGATGATGTTTATAGCCTCGAATCATACTGCAAGAATGCGGCACCACACAGCTGTAAATTTAAATGGTCAAACACCACCTTTGATTTCACTTTCACAACATCATGTGTGAGCTACTAGTTGCGGCACTGCAAGTCCGAGTCGGGCTATGAGACAAAAGACCACGTCGTCCTTCTGACGTAGAACAAATAACTGTGCGATGTTTTTGACAAAAAGATGAAGATGGCACCAGAGACAAGGGGAATATTGAGTGCGATAAAAAAGCTACTTGGGAGGGAAAATTTTCGGAGATTCTTCTGATTGTTGGGTTATTACAGCGTCTTCAGAGAATTTAGTTCGTCTAGAAGCAAAGAAAGAACTTTGTGGGAACGACAATCCTTTGATGTTGTCTCAGGACCTCACTATTATCCTGGGATTCTTCATCGTCCAGAAGTGCTTGGAAGGAGCTCCTACAATCGCAACCTTTCCGGCCCCTCCACTTCAACCCGTCTCGAACTGCTGCCACTACTACCTTTTGGCTCGTCGTCAGCACAGTATTTCGCCACAAGCTCCGCCATGCGTCTCTTCTGCGCTCCACGTCCGTCTGCCTCTTCCTCAGCCTCCTCGAGCTGGGAGATTTTCTTGCGTTCTGCGAGAAGTTTGTTGGACACCAAGGCATCATCGAAGCCCTTAATAAGTCGAGGACCGCGAGGACCGCCATCTGCGTCAGCCTTCGTGCCCACACGAAAGGCTTCAGACTTCGTGCTGTATAGAGTAGTTGTGGTAGAGGTGATAAGTTTAAGTTGAATGATCTGTGCGTGGATGGAAGAAAGGTGGCTCTGGATAGATTTTCCTTTTGTGCTGGAAAGTAAAGCATGATGATCTGATGTCCTAGTATGTACGTAGGTATAATCATTTTATAAGTACGTTGGTCTCGGCATTGCTTTGCTTCCAATTTCCACGTGTCGTTGGTATGCTGCTATCATCTTCTCTTTTCTCTGTGCGAGACCTGGCAAATCGCGCAGCCTAGTCCAATCTAAATTTCGGGGGACTTCTAAATCCTTATCAAGACGTCGCTGTCTCTTTTTGTCGCGGTCCTCATCATCGTCACCATCACGCTTGCGCTTATCTGGTATCAGATGTAATATAGTGTGATGTTAGGGTGGTGCTGCGAGTGGTGCGACTAAGAATTTAGAGAGTAGACGTATTAAAGTCTCCTCCTTGTGACGTAGATATGTGTATTTTCTTCAGAACGAAAAACTGTGAGGAATGAATGATTACCTCCTTTATGCACCACTTTGACAGCTCCTGTTACTGGATTGATCTCGACTTCTTCCATCCCAGCATTCATTCCCATCGACGCCGCTGCTTCATCGATATTGTAATTGTACTGGGTATGATTCGGATCCCACTTCTCCAATCTGCCTTCTCCATTCCCTGGCAGCACCAAATCACACAAAAGAAAGCTCTCTTGTGTCTGATCCTCCAAGTAGCACTTCACTTGTGACCGGACACCACGTTTAAACTCGATGTAAAGGACTTCGCCTTGGAGCCAATCCGCTTGATTCGAGAAACATTGGAGTTTGGTTCCTGGCTGTAGATGCGCTAATTTGCCGGACCAATGCTGAGCTGCACGGAGACGCCAAACCTGCAGATGTTGCGCGAATTCTGCCTGAAAACGCTTGCGCTCTGGAATCGGGACGCGGGGAGGGATTAGAGTGGGAAATGAGTAGGCAACATTTCTTTCTCGTTGATACTATGCTTACTGCTGTATCTTTTCGTGTGGAATGAATGAACTGCACCACATCCCGCGTTCGTTGAAGCTTTTACTCTAGTAAAAACTACATCAACTATCAATCACACGACTTCAACATAAAAGCATCGTTTCGAAGTATCGATCAGTGTTCAAGAGCTCCTCAACGTATTCGCCGAAACCAATTCTCTGCTCTTTCGCAAATCCAGGTGCCATCTCCTGGTCCATAATGAGCAGATATGGTCTCAACAAAGCGTAGATATCCTTCGGAGGTGCCGTAATCCGCAACAGCATGACGCCCATAGCCTTACAAAACACATGGCGAGACTCGAGGAGGCAAGGAATGAAAAGGGAATGTGGTTGTGAATGGTGTGATATTAAGTAAGGGTAAGTAAAATCTCATTTCTAAGGTAGGTTGTAGACCGACTAAATGAAGCCAGCTTATGCTTAAGGTAGGTGTGGTATAATATACTTTTTTTGCTCCTTTTACATGGGATGTACAGACAATAATTTCCAGGTATAGGAGGACCTCCCTGGACCAGACACAAGATGCGCTTACTTAGATGAAAAGACACCGCAACGGCCACCTTCAAGAACGGCCCACGCCTATCGCGACCAAGAAAAGGCGTTTTCCTTTTTGTTCTTTGGTTCACTCCGCGTTGAAGTAGTTAGTTGGACTCAGGCGGGTGTCCAAGAACAAGATCCACTCGAGTGGCAGCGTCTTGTCCATCTACTTGACCACGTTGCGGCAGCGGAGGGCGTTACTCCTTCGTGGAGGGCAGGATCGTCCCTGCAGTCAAAAGGGCTGTTTGTACCGTGTTACGAAATTAGAAGGCTCCTAAACACGACAGCCAATGTTTGTACATCAGACACTTCAAGAAATAGGCTCTCCACTAGTACTAGGAAACTGCGCACGTATCTTCTGTGGACGGGTATCATCCAGTATCAAGACTGAGCCATAAAGAAGAAAGACGATGCCGCTTCCTTAGATCAGTCTCTCTAAAGTGCGACGCGTCGCCGGTTGCTCTGCTGCGCATTCATTTTTAAAGCGAACTCGCAATATGAATGCAAGAGTTGCAAAATCACTCCTTCAGAATGAGTCATTCTGATCCTTCTTTAAGAATAGAGGCTTACTCATCTTCTTCTTAGTCGAGAAGAAACAGGTCGTCGTGATCGGCGTCGGCGCAGAGTGGCGGTCTTTTCGTAGTCGGAAAGCTCAGCAAATTGTCCTGGTCCAGTGAGGTCTTTACGCAAAAGAAGAAGTTTACTCCTTTGCTGGTTAAAGGCCAGACGAGGTTTTCTTAAATTATCACTGAAGAGACTGTACAATACCAATGACGAGGAGGTGGAGGAGGACGTGTAATGTAAGCTTGACACTTCAGTTGCAGTAGTTGACTAACAACAAGAAGTTCGATTTCCTTACTCACGAGATGGAAATGTTGTCCATACCTACATCATAGATATTAGTAGTCGTAGTAGTAATAGTAGCAGTGTGCCCAGTCGTAGATACGTAGACCTATAGCCACAAATGACTTCCAATGTTGTTTTGGATCATAACATTAAGCTCCTCTTCCGTCAGTCCGTTCCTCAAAAAAGCATATAAAATGCAGAAGAAGTTGCTCGCTCGATCTTTTTCGCCTCTCGCTTCGCCCAAACTTTTGGGTGCCAAATGGTGGCAGTCCGCCACTTTCGTCTCAATTTCGTTCACCAGCTGGTTGTAACTATAGGGATCCAGAGCGCCTAATGTGCCGTCAGCCTGCACCTTCTTCTGCAGAGGTACCGACGCTTAGAGGAGCTTTTTTTCATGCTGGGGATCAGATTACACTTTGATGTGAATGTGATTGATGTGAATGTGATTGATTTGCTGAAGATATTGATATTCAGGTATAATCTATCATTGCATCTTCATATTCAGGTATATTAATCTATCATTGCATCATACTCTACCACCGGCAACTATCTATTGCATCATGTCATGTCCTCATGGTACCTCTTTCATAGCATTTCATCAATAAATGATTGCGTTGAAGAGGAACAATTTCCTAATTCACTTTGATGAACAAGAAGCCAACACACATACACTGAACATAAACTTTGCTTCCCTTCTGCACGAAAGTGAGTTCCTCCGCACCACACAATATTGCGTAATACGGCGCCCTCAAAATCTGATCTTTGATGAGTGATGGCAAACCGTAGTCGGGGCCACCGGAGAAGACTAGTTTTTCAGTTTCTGGATCCACATTAAAGCCAGGAAACCGCTTACTCGATCGCATCTGCTTCACACCTAACAGTCGCGAAACGTATTCCGTCGCTTGCACTTCGGCTCCGTTGCTTAACTCCTCTCGTAGAGATTAGAGAAGACGAAAGTGATCTGTCCTTGAGAGAAAAGAACAAGCAATAATTCTTGCCATCTTCGTATCCTACAACTCTTGATTTGCTCTCGATTACGAATTCTGCTACGGCAACTTGAACTCACTAGTATGCTACATGGTACAACGACCAGTACTAGAACTTCTACAACACCTCCCGAACGCGTACTAAATGAATGAATGAATGAATGAAGGAACATTTATTTCATAATTCTTTTTCAGTCGTTCGCATTCTGCATCCGCATCCCGCTTCTTCTTACAGTTTTTGCAGCTTTTATTCTCCCGTGTGTGCAAAAAACAGCGCTTGACAGCTTCTAACTTCTTGATTTCCGCATCGAGAGCGATTATTGCCGGACTCAATTTCTGGGCTGGAGGCGCCGAAGAAGCACTACTGACACTACTCGGCTTTGCCATCGCTGTAGACCGAGACCCAGCTGGCGGGACTGGGGCGACACCCTGTTATGAAGATTCAATGAACAATAATGCAAAGTAACAGTAAGTGGTCAACATTGTTGATGAAAAATATATTGGAAGTTGAGCAAGGTACTAAAAAAATTGATAAAATACTCGCGAGGCGAAGTACTAAGGAGAGAGATGTTAGCATAATCCATAACTCCAATGGATGGAGAAATCGATGATACCGGCACCACAGCTCCTACTGGCGTTGGTGGTGGCGGCTGTGCTTGCGCCTGCGCTTGTGCTTGTGCTTGGGCCTGAGCTTGCAACTGCATCATCAGGCCTGCACCAAAGGGCATCGGCTTCGGCTTGAAAGGCCGATTCACACCTCCTGGTCGCATCATACTCATTTTGCGAGAGTCGTTTCTTTGCTACTTCGTTGAAGTACAAAATAGAAGAATGAAGAAAGAATTTTTCTACCAATCGATGTTGAAATTGAAGCACCTCGTTAATAGCACTTAGGTGGTTGGCAAGGCAAAGAATCCGAGAACTACATTTCTTTGGTCAAATGAGTGGGAATCTTCTCGAAAAACAAAACCAGTGATCTGACGCAAGATCAAAACTGAGATTGGACAATCATTTTTGGAGAAAAGTGTTCATGCTCTAGTCATCATGCGTTGATAGTACTAGCCGCTATCAAATTACAAGAGGCTAAGGTTATGTATGCATGTCCTAAAAAAATGAACCAGTTGCAGATTGTTGGGACAGAGCGCTCGGGATCAAAGAGTATGCGTGTGGCCCTGAAGATTCACACACAATGTCCATTTTTCCATCCAGACACACGATAATAGAATTCCCAATCGGAAATGCATCTTCAGGTTCAGAAAAAACTTCGATCATGAATGGACAATTACATTACTTCTTGATAACTGGTGCTGAAATGTTGAAAACCTTGAATGACCTCGTCCGCATTTGCGATTCGAAGAGAGTCTTTTATTATAACACGAGAATTCGTATGCTTTCAAAAATTTCACCATATTCAGCACACCTTGAAGAGCGTGCGCCTGAACACAAGAACAAACTTTTGCTTGTAAAGCTTTCGTCGATGATTTTTCACTTTTAGCGCAAGAATGGGAACGACTAGTTAGAATAGATGTCATCTCTTCACAGTCACACCAACATACCACTGTAAAATTTAGTGGCAGTCTGAATGTGACTTGTTTGTATCTCTTGGGAACGAGGACATCTGCCTCATAAAAAATGTCTTGTTCACACAGTGTCAGTGATTGACTCAGCAATACAAATAAGCTTCTGTGGTTTCCGCATCCATGATCTCCAAGCACGACTTCTATGTATTTTCATTTCCAAGTTGTCGTGAATTTCCTTGATCCTGTCGTGTCTTCGATTTCCATCTAGCTGCGAAAGAACTTGTGTCTGTCATACATCGTGCGCAAAAAAAAATCATACTTCGGGTTCGCACTTAGTACTCCTTGGACATATTGAGTCCCTTCTCGACGAAGCGCGTGGGGGACTGTGTATGGTCGTATTGTTTCAGTTTGCTTATACTGAAGATTGACATTATACTGAAGAATGACATAGTAATAAATTTTACACTTGTTGAATGATGAGAATTCTCAGGATGCAACCTAGAGGAAGCAAGTATGACAGTGAAAGAACGACAGCTCGTTGCTTTGAAACATCACGAGAAAAAAAAAGTACATCAATGCCGAACAAAGCGCAGAATCCCATGAGGAAGATGGTGATCCACAACAATAGTGCAAAAAATGCCGCAAGCACATTCGGAGTCGGGGTCGGCAAAAGTGTGTAGGCGGCAAGCTGTGGTTGACGCGAGGATGTTTGGGTTCCTTTTTTCTTTTGTACATGGAGAAAAACAAAATCAATCAATTGGGGTGTTAAAGAAGTACTAGAAGTACTAGCACCGTAGATCTGCAAGGTTACACTTCCCTTGTTCACCAAAGTGAAAAGTCACAAACATCTAAGTACTGTCGTCTTCGGCGCGACGACTGCTGCTGCGGCAACTGCTGAAGCAGGTGCATTCAACAATTCTGTCGGTGGCATCTTTCCTACCTCAAGCGGGACCTGCTCTACCTGCGTGATGATATCAAGCTTCTTTTTGTGGTTGTTCAATCGAGTGTTCACAAATTATAGAAAGAGGTGAAAGTAAGAGGAAAGCAAGCATAGAGAGCATCTTCATAAAAACGATTGATGATATCAAGGATGTTAGTATTTGTGTTATTTTGCATCTGATTTTTTTTGATCTTAATACTGGTGGAGCACGTCTAACTAGGAAACAAAATTACATAAAAAGCAAGAAATCCAAGTATCTAAAAAAGAACTATAGCTAGGATCCGTTTATTCTAGGCGCCTCGAGTCATAAATCATAAAATCAATTCTAATTTTTCCATTCACGAGAGACCATAAACAAAGTCAATACCGTCGCCGCCTCTCGTACTTCCTGAGCCAGGAAGAGGGGCATGACACATGCCAGCAGAGCGAGGAAGAATCTCATCTTTTGTCTTTATGTTGAGGTGAAGCTTCACCTAGTGAATTCTCACCTAGTACGTAGATCTCCTACAACAGGTTATCGTTATACATATGTTTTTCTAGATCTATTCATTATTTCTTGCGCACTTGGTGGGTTACAGTCCTCATTAAAACCAGCCACATCATCATTATCCACTTACTTCAACGTATCTCTCATTGCTTATTTCGTAAACAATCAAATTAGCAGCAGGTTGTACTTGCTGCTAGTAGATTTGTTCGTTCAGTTGGTCCTCGTCGTGAAGTTCTTAGAATAGAACTCTCTTAAGGGAAAGCAATGCTCTCAGACAAAACACAATGGAGACCATGCAACCAGAATCCGATGCAGCAACAAAAAAGGAGCCTCAGCAATAGTAACGGGTCAGAAATTCTGCGCCGTCTTGGTCTTCTAGTACCTCTACGCTTGCAGGTCAGAAATTCGCCTCGCTCTCTCGTTGGTCATAGCAGGAAGGAACACTCTCCCTATTTTTTGCACCATGAAAACCACACGTTTATTGTGTGTACACTATGACTATGTCCTCACCTAGCCTTGTCTACGTAGATACGACCCTCATCCATTGGTCGGCCATATCCATACACCACCTGATAGAATATCCATTCAGAATGCTGTCACTCTTGTTGGGAAATAAGCCTGGAGCTCGCAGGAGTGTTTGACAACCCTGCCCGAATGAAAAAACTGTGAGGGGACGGGAATTAAAGGTTGCAGAATTACATTCTTCAGAACATCCCTCACCTCTTTCCTACTGGAAAAAGAGTGAGGAATGGTTGTGGGGGATGTAATTGGTTAACCCTTAAGGGAATGAGGAGAAGTTATGCAGTGCAGTAACTTCAGGACGGCCTTGTACCCACTCCTGAGATCACTGCATAACTTGCTCCTTCCTGAAGTTATGCAGTGCTGAGGACAGTGGGTACAGTCAGAGCCTTCCTGTAGATAATTGATGAGATCATGATTGATGTGTGCTGTAGGGCCAGATGGAACGCCCATAGAGACAAGGCAAAGGTAAAAAGCAACAGTAAATACAGCAACAGTAAATACAGCAACAGTAAATAGCAACAGTAAATACAGCAACAGTAAATACAGCAACAGTAAAAATCCATACCAAATGCAGCTGCAAAACACCCGATAAACAAGAAATATTGGATTTGGAAATGGCGGATCTCTATGCACTTTTTGCTGTAGTGCCAGAAGGTAGGAGGAAACTCGCATGGAAGGGATGGGATCGAAACTTACTGAGATAGAATTACTGAAAACTACTACTCAATAAGAAACTTCAAATAATACACTAGCAACATGTGAGCGACGAAGAATCTACTAGATTCAGATTCCAACTTGGTTAATATTGAGATGTCCTCGTTGTACAACAATATGAATACTATCTGCCCCTCTACTAACCATGATCATTTCGCTCGTTGCGACACTTTCGTAGAACTCTGACTGTCATATACTTCAAAAAAAAAAAACGAATAAGTTGAACCACAAACAAAACAGTCGACTAAGTAAAAGTATTCTAAAAACTCAAATAGTCGAGTAAGGTGATCTAAGAGAACTAGACTAACTCTACTTAGCACTATCCTTGAATATGAATTTAGCTGCGCTTTCAAATATTTTGAGTACCACATATTACTTTTCCTTCACGGTGTACACTCGAACTATCTTCACTGATCCCTGAAAACCCTCGGACTCTTACGAACGCTTTCCAGTCCATAACCCAGTCTTTTCAACTGTTTTGTGAATGGAGCCCGCACTCCAGCACCAAGCTGATCACGCTTTGGGTCCTTGCCAAGTGCAAGCAGATACGCGTCTCGCATCGGCATTAGGTAAATGTCCTGCGTGTTTCCTTCCGCAGCTTTCAGAACCCGCAACAGTTCATGATCGGAAGGCAAGGTTGCTCCTGCTGGACAAACGTGTTGTGATTCTTCTGGTCCTCCCATACACGAACTGTGTCGTGGTGCTTCTGGCATCGTCGATGGTGGTTCTTCTTGTGTTGCCGGACGAAAACTACGAGAACTCGCCTCTTGCCGGAAGGTGATATCGGCACTCCTATCAATATCGCTGGAGCGCGTACCAGTTCTTGTGCTGGCAGTTGATCTCACGTCAAAAGAAGTCCTGTTGCTTATGCTGGTCGTGGTTGTAAACTCAGGAAAGCTGTGGCTACAAAACGCAGTCGGACTTGTTGTTCTACTAGTTGTCGGAGTTGTAGATCGGGCTAGGAGCTCAAGAGGAGAGCGGGTGCGACGGGACTCGGCTGACGTTTTCGGTGTCGTCGGTGGGGATGATAGGCGACGTCCCGAACTTTGTACAGATGACGCTTGAGAAATTGTATCATCTGTAGTGGCCTGTGGATTCTCAATGCTGTCAAAAATCAAGTCCAGCATTTGCTTCCGATAGGTTGCGCCAGCTTCGCGACCTGCTGCTTCCACCTCCTCTTGCCTGAAGCGCGTATTTTCCTGCATCTGCTGGTGGCGCTCTCGCACAATCTCGAGTTTCGTCGCAAGACCTAGGTGCCCCGCATCTCTCGCTCTGTCGACCATCGTTCTGCCAGTCTTACAATAAAAATTACGTGTCCAGTAATTTCCTCTATAATACTCATTATCCTTGAAATTGACCAGCCAAAAACCGACTTCTCCGAGCAAGCTCTTCACTTTCGGAATATCGTTTTGTTCGGCTGCCACGTGCGAAATCGGGTCATCGAACCAATTGGGGCCGTCAACATCCACCATTGCTCTCGCTAATGCATCACCCTGATGCAGGGCACAAGCCACATCTCTCTCGAAAGCCGCAACGTCAAACAGATTGTAGAAGAATTTTGTGATGTGAAGTTCGATGACGTCGTCACGCGATTCTCCCTCTGGCGAGATGCCGATCTCCTCAAGTTCTTGCAGATGGTCATGCTTGTGCATGCAAATGATCCGGATGAACCACAATAGGTACCGAAATCCCCACGCAGGATACCGTACGGTCTTCGCTTTGCACTTGTCAAGGCCTTTTTGAACTTTATCTATCAATCTTAACAGCGGGGAATCCACTGTGCTATTCGGCGTCCTCTTGTTGTACCACTCCTCGTAATCGTTGGAAGAACGGTGATTGATCGCTGCAAATTGGTGGTGCTCGTACACACGACAGGCATCACCGGAATCGGCCATTTTTTCAAAAAGTTCCTTCAACTGCGTTTTCCGGTGATGCCACCTTTCCTCCGTGTCATCCTTCGCGTTAGTGTCGTCCTTCGCAACCGACGGCCGAGAGGTCGGAACGCGTCTCGCCCCAGTAAATCTCAGGTAACAATCCATTCTGAATGTCTGTCTCCAGTATAATTAGTTTTGATTGTAGGGTCTTCCGAAAACAACACCATTCAAATGAGCTTGATTAACAAACAAGTTGTTGATGGAAAAGACTACTTCGTACTCTCACTCTTCCGAGTAGGAAAATATCCTGGATCTTATAGAAAATCAAGAAACTCAGTGTAATCTCAAAGAATAAAAATCGTACCCGAGACAGCTTAGCCGCTCAGGATCAAAGAAAGTGGATTAGAATGAACTACATCTCCGCACACGAACTCGACCATGTTAGCGTCTTCTTGATGTAGAGCGAAAACTGATCTTCTTGATGGAGAGCGATATTTTAGTCTTGAACTTTCAATTGCACCAATTTCTTCGACTCATGGTGATCCCTCCCACGTTGTGTGTCGTGGTGGTGCTATAATTCCATGAAGATCTTTGGCATTTCCTGGTATTCTTGTACTCAAATGGTTATCTTTTGGATAAAAGTTTCACAATACGACGTGATAGTAGTTGGTCTGCCGTTCCCCAGTTAGGATCTGTAGTGAAGATGAGCCTTTCATTCATTTACATCCCAAGTAGTCCTTCATCAAGCCTACCCGCGGGATGATACAGTTCCAACAGTATGTCCAAAGCAGTAGCCAGGTATCCTCTTTCCTTGTCCCGTCCTCTCATTTCTTCTTCCACTTGTTGCTTTTAGAGCTTTTCCGGCCAATTCATCTCCACTAAGGATCGATATTACATTGCCGCGTCATACTTCTTACGTGTCATATGACCAGGTGGTCGTGAACTACAAAGTACTGTCACGCGTTCCGTCTATACATCCCAAACTAGTAATGATGTCTCGAGATCCATCTGCGATGAAACTAACATACCTCTAGCTACCACACTCTTAGTACATCAACAGCCTTAATTCTTTTACTGCTTTTTGAGGCGGGAGCAGGCGAATGCCCCTCCTGGTCTGCGTCCCTTCCCTTCCCAGGTGAATCCGGCGACCTTGTTGGGCCGTGGTCATCTTGATCATGAATCGTTCTGCTGCTGCGTTGTCCTTGAGGCCATTCTACAACAACAGTATCCGCCGAGCATTCCAAGTAAAAGTAGCCGGGTTGATAATCCGCATAGCCATCCTCATACCGCTCATTATCGCACCACCATTTCCCTGTGTGAGGTGGATTTGGCTTTGAGCGTACGGATCGTTTCTGCGCATACAAATATGCATAATCCTTTGCAGGTTCTGGACTCCTGCTGGAACCTGTATTTGCGGCTGGGGTTGATCCGCTTGAGTGCTTCTCAGATGCATGGACTGTCTCATCAATCTTGGTCCAAAAGGCTGCTGCATCATTAGCTTGGAGAGAGAACGTACTGCTCAAAATGGATTCGTAGACCTACGTAGTTGTTGAGAGCAGTGTACTATTTTTTATTGCTCTCAACAACGACCGTAAGTAAAAGAATAAATCCTACTACGAATCCATTTCCATTCCATGAAGTCTATCATTGGCTAGCATGCCAACCCCTAGACTATACGATGACACTCTGCAGCCTCAAATAATATGAAGTCAAAAAAATCCATTTCGAGCAGTACGGCATTTTCACTGTCTTCTATTTCCATTCTGATCCTTTATCAATCAATCTATCTACAGAAATAACCAGTTCCACCTAAGTTGTACTCCTATTGTACGGGTGGAGCCAAGCTAACTAGGAAAAGAAAAAGGACTCCTATTGTCATAATCAACGTACTCCCGCATATCATGGCGAAACACTCTTGTGAGAAACCGAGCTCCAAAATGCCAGTATTCGTCATAGAAAGCGTGTGCCGGTTTCTTACTTACATGCGGAAACGAGGCAAGGCAAACTTGCTCTTCCGTGAATTCCAAGTAGGGTCCGTGGTCGCCAAAAACGATACGTCGATAACCGGTGTTGGAGACCAGCTTTCTCGTTGAAGACGACTGTGCAGCTGCACCTAAATGTACTTCAGCAAGGAGTCCTTCATGATCACTTCGCAAGAAAATTGAAGGTTGCTCATCTTCTGGATTCCATGACGGGAACTCAGATAAGCCTAGTGTATCCCAAACGCGCTGTTGATCGCGGATTCGATTGGGCAAGTCCAAAACTGTACTTTTCAGCGGTCCACTTCTCGTGTACGAGGACGAGGAGGGCGAAACATTGGAGGACATTTTGCTATTTAATCAGTGGCTTTATTTTGGCTCATCAACGGAAACTGGTAACCTAAAAAGTCATCCCGGTTCCAAATTTTCAATTTCGTCTTGCGTGTCAAATTGCCAGAAAAAGTGAGTCAACAAAAAAAGCAGATCGCAAGATTTTTCGATAGGTCGAACAACTTCCTGGATGAACGCAATATGTGAGGTATTAAGGACATTCGTCCTCCCGCCGATTTTCAGCATGATTTCAATCGGGTCAAGGATTCATGAATGTTGGTTTCTAATGAAGCTGAGTTTGTTGGGCGCCGCACTTTTTAGCAGCGCAATTTTGGATAGGGGAAGCGCTACTTTCACCGAAGAAATCACACGCCGCACATTCCGCACCCCGAACCACGTCAGATGGCAAAACCGAGTGGTCTTTGGAAGCGTGGCGTTTTCTTAGAGGAAGAGTTGCAGGAAGAAAGCAAACCGGATCCTATGATTTTTCTACTATCCTTGCAAAAAATAACATCTTTCTTCTACTTACACACCATTTTTTCCAATGGACAAATCCAGACCATAAATTTGCTAAAGCACTCGCTGTCTTCTCCAATACGTTGCCATTGCCTTCTCGCAGATGTACGAGACGAGTCAACGTTGCGTAGATTTTCTTGACGTCTTTCAGAGGGGCGTCAAACGCTTCCACTAGCACTTTGCCAACGGCTTTTGCTCGACTCTGACTCTCTCCCCCAACCTGAAAATGCGATACCAAGGGATCAGGAGTCTCTCCTTCTCCCTTGCCAGCAAGATGCTGGTAATGTATGAAACCACCAGGTTTTTTCGCAGTTTCGACGAAGCCCTTTGCGAGATCTCGATCCTTGTCATTGAGATCTTCGTAGGGCGAGTCTTCTTGCCCGTCTCCACCTAGAGTTGTAGCGTCTCGCCGTCGCGCAGCCGCTACTTCGCGAACTGCCTTCTCGTCTAATTGCCTTTCCAGCTCATCCTGCTCTCGCATTGCTTCTGCAGGAGTGGAACTCGGATCTTCTTCGTCATTCGCGAATGATGTTGTTCCTATAATTGTTGTTCTTGGAGGCAGCAGGTTCCTTGACTTCGGAATGATCGGTGCCTGTGCGTGTGCAGCAGCAATCCCTGTTACTACGTTTCTCGACTTCGTCGTTACCGTTAACTCCTCATCACCGGCATTCAAATTCGTTAGTACGGACGAAAGCGGCGCTCCGTGCCTAGCTCCTGAAAATGGCAGAAACTGCGCATCCAATTGGTGGAGGAGCACCGTTAGCGGAGACATTTTCAGTTAGTCGTGGTACTCTCAACTCCAACTTTTTCTGAAATTTGCCGGAAAGATAGTTGTTAGCTCAGTGCTATTTGTATGATAGGCGCAGGCTATTTCGTGCAGAAAAGGTAGTACAATTCAAGTGAAGGTAGGGCGAGAAATCAGTCTCTACATGAGGAAGGGGGCACGAGGTTTTGTGTTGCACAGAGAACGGATGCTGGGTACCCGCACGTGAGACCGAGGACAGATCAAGCGTTTCTTACCTTGATTGATTTGTATCCGATCATGGGCTCTCACACTGACCGAAAATGATCAGCCAAATATAGGGCTTGGCTTGGGTGACATCTCGAATAGACGCGATTGATTCACTCTTTGACAGTTTAGAGTCTACAACTCTAGGAGCAAAGATGACCTGTCGCTCTAACGAACAGCCAACTAGTGGCAGCACGCATGCGCAAACCTAAATCTATATGATACCAAAGCAAAGCTGTATCCAAGCGTGGATGCCAAGAGTTTGTTAAAAAAACTAAAAGGAAGGTCAGTTGTAAGAAATGGGAAGTGGGGTGCGTGGGATAATGTGTCAACAGGTATAATGATCAGTCTTCAATCCGTTCTGGGTCGAGGGGTCCAATCTCATAAGGGATCGTGTTCACATAGGATTTAGTAGAGGACCTAGTCGGACACAGATTCACCACTTCCTTGGCAATCTTTCGTCGCTTCGTACCTTTGATACACAATGAATCCTCGTGTACAACCTTTACTTCTCCTTCCTGTTCTTGAGTATGAGAACCAGATGAAACCACCTCCAATCCGTGGCCGTGTTGTTGAGCCTCCCATAAATCCAATAACGTCTCCATCTTAGCGACGACCTCAAAGATTCGTCTAGGTAGTTCTTTTCGAAAGTAGTCATCCCGTACGCAGAGATTGACTGAGTCGATGAATTGACGTTGTAATCGCCGCATCAAATCACTAGAACGGAGTCGGCGCCACAGCTCGGTGACACTTGTGCTCAGGTCAGGGTACCGGATCAAATCTTCAATGTACTTCTCGAGTTTAGGAGGGATGGTCTTAGCTGTACTAATAGTGAAAGAATCATGATTATCCGTACTAGCTGTTTGTGTACTACTTCTATTTGAAGTCGAACCACCTCCTCCTCCTCCTTCTTGTAGACCAGCCGCAATGACATTCAAAAGTTCTGGATAACGCTCTCCCCAGGCTCTCTTGCCTACTCGAAAGAGATCTCGAGCAGAGCCATTGATACCACGTCGCTTGTTTGGCGGTGCTAGAGTCTCGAATTCCTCTAGGAAGTCCATGGTGTCGATCCATCGATCTCCAATGGCCGCTAATCGATCCACCATGTCTGCCTTAACGTCTTTTAGTTCGGATTCTGGCATCGCCATGTCTGCGTACAGCTCTAAACCCTTAACACGAAAGCCTTGCCAGAAGTCGCTTTGGGACAAGAAGTGCAGCACATGCGTTCGATTCAGCGTGACGATGCTCTCGTAAGCACAAACATTCATTTCTTCGGTGCCTACGGAGAGGGTGACGTGCGGGATGCCACCAGTGAAGTAAAAGACATCACCAGGACGTATTAGGCAAACTGCTGCTGCTTTTTTCAGAAGGGCTAGTTCTAGAGCGGGGAGACGGAGTTTTTTCTCTTGCTGTGCTCGAGATTTCTTCTCTAGAAGTTCTTGTACAACATGATCTGGATCTGTTGTACAACTTCCATTTTTCGTAGATGAAGTACAACCAGCAGACGGAGATGATACTGAATTTCCACTTTTCGTTGACGGCGTAGAAGCCCCATCTTGATGCGACTCTCGCTCCTGCTGCACCCCCCACTCCTCTTCTTTTAGAGGTAGGCTTTTGGTGCTCGCTTACCCCGCTTGTTATGCCTTTCTCATCCTAAGGGAGAGAGGCATAAAAAGCGGCAAGAAAAGCACCTTTAACCTACTCTTAATTCCTCTTCTTCTCTCGGCAGAAACAAGCAGTCCCCCACCAGGTGCAACAGTTTGCTGGTTTCTTGTACCGGCCAAGCAGCTAACAACTTGTAACCTGTCCAATTTTTGCCGATGTTCTGCCACAGTATCTGGTCGATGTGCAAGGCCTTGCCACTTCGATGTGCACCCAAGAAAACGCCCTCGTCGTAGCGGTCCCAATACAGAGCGTATTCGCCATATTCAGCGCACACATCTCGCATATCCCGTCTCAAAACGGTCTTCACTTTCTCCTTCTCCTGCAACGGGTGTGGCCGCTCCGCGTTATGGCGCAGCTCGGTCATGTACAGACTTTGTTTTAGGGTAGAAGATGTTCTTGTGTAGTAGGTGGATACTTCGGTGGATACAACTTCCGCATCCGCTAGTACTGATTTCTTCTCCTCCTCCAACAGTTCGTTCAACTTATCAATCTGCTTAGTCAAGTCCTTATCTTTGCAGACATCCTTCTGAAATTTGACGCGGTATGTCTTTTTCGTAGTGGAAGAAGCAGTAGTAGCTTTAGAAGATGAACTGTGCATGTGCTTGTCTTCCTGCTTTCGTGTGGAAGTTTCATCCTCTGATGTTGTAGCCGTTGTCGTAAGCCCACTTGTAGTGGAAACTTCTCCAATCACGGCTCCATGATTAGTTGTACCAGCACTAGAACTAGCCTCCTTCGTCTTTTGTTCAACATCCTTCTTCTTCGCATTTTTGCTCTCGTCCGCTACTCTTTTCAGCATGTGCGCGATCAAAGCATCATCATCAAGTTGCATACTACTAGCAGTACTAGAAGTATCCTCTGCTGCCTCTCTCGTCTTCACCAGATCCTTCTCCACCAAATACTGGACTCTGGCTTTGTACAGGCTCTCGAGTCCCCGCCTTCGGATTTCCTGCAGGAAATCGTAGACGTTCTTGGAATTGCGCAAACATTCTGCGAGCTCCTTATCGAAGCAGCTCTCGAGTTCGAGACCCAACTTGCGACAGCCGTCACCTGTAGAGAGCCATTATAATCATTTTCTGAGGACAAGTGACCCGATAATTGAATGAAAGAAGATGTCGACATTTTTATCAATCAGAGAACATAATGTTGCTCTACTGTCTGATGCTGATTATAGTGTTTGTGTCTTCACGATCATTACTGACAAAACATTTTCATCTTATCGAACAAGACATATCGCATCCAACCATTGGTCCAAGACAAAATACTTATAAACGAATCAAATTATGAATAGTCGTAAGTACGCAGAATGTAGACTCCATGAACGAAGTCTCCCGTGAGCAATTCGTCAATAAAGTCCACCGCATCCTCGAAAATGCGAGGCCGATGCTTCTCGAACAGCTCAACTGGCCATACGGAGGCCAATTCCCGCTCCTTCGCGGTCTCAAAGATTGATCCTTGGACGTGGTCGGGATTCATGATTGTTTGTTGTTTGCTGTTTGCGGTAGTCACTGTAATGAGTGATAGAGTGGAAACTGTCGTGGTGGGTCCCTAGTAAAAGTAGAGCAGAGGCGAAGACGATGCAAGAACATGAAAAAAATGAAAGTGATGTCAATGACTTGCACTACAACTAATTCCTCCAGTTGTCGTTGCAATTTTGACTTGCACTACAATGTTGCAATGAGTTGATGAAATCCAATGTCAATGACTTGCACTACGCTACATCAAGAGATCATGGTAGGCAAATACATGATGCTTCGGCTTTTCGATGGCCCCTCCCGACCTGTTGTTTTTTTTGAAAGAGACAACTTGATCATGCACAGCATCCTTCAATGTAGTTCCCTAACCGTTTTTCCTTGTTTTTTTTTACTTTTTTTCAAGCACCCCTACGAATTTCGAGTAGCGCAAATATCAAAGGCTTCTATGTCAGAAGGAAGAGTTTTCTATGATTGCGAAAATTTTCCCGAAGTCGTGTTCGTGGATCCTGTTTGGAGGAAGAACGCATCAGATCATCGTAGATGACGGGGAACAAGCAGTCTAACATGGTAGATTTGATTCAGCAAGATCGGAACTCAAACGGTGAAAAAGAGATGACGGGCGTTGATCTTCGTTTTGCGAACGGTATCGCAAGAAGATGCTCCCTTTCCGAGAACAATAATCCAGGTTCAATGTAGTTGTCTCCTGGATTGTTCAAAAATGTTGCTTCGTTTCCATCAGATACTTGTTGATAGTTGGAGGCTAACAAAAATGCTCTCACTTGGACTTGCTGATCAAGCAAAGAAAGACCCAGACTTTGAGAATTTGCGATGTCCTTTGTTCTCTCCCTGTTTTCCATGAACCCGTCTTGAATGCCATTTCGCTTAAGGTGGCAGCTGCAGCTTGTTAAGTATCTCAAGAACTTGAGTGGAATGAAAGACCCTATGTTCAAAAATCATAGGAAGTGTATTAACTCTAGCCACTGACCCCTCCAGACTCCAATGCTTAGTACGAAGACCCTCTTCGCAGTACGAAGACACCTGTCATGTTCAAAAAATGCAAATGATTATAATTCATTGATACAGAACCTCTGTCTCGATCTTTAGTATCTTTCGTGTTTGCATTGCGCCAAGAAAATGCCCGATTTCTCCACCGTCGGTGCCTGTCGCGCCTCTGATTTCAGGTAGCACATTCTGCTTGCAGCCAAATAAGCAACTGTATCGCATGTGTGCTCCGTGTTGCAGGCGTCTTTGCAATTGTTCTTAGAAGCGGTCAATAGTGGAGGCGTGAAAGTGAGTGTTCAATCTTTGGTGAAGTTCTTCTAGTCTTGTAAAATTCACAACTGTCAAAAATCTAGTCGACAGACGCAGTGAGTCCTGCACTCATCATGAAATTCTCATTCCTAAGTGCCAAATCCGGTTTCGAGAAAGCTCCATTTGGTACGTCGTGTCCAGCCACGTCTTTACCTTTCGTTTCCACCCACTCTGTGCAAGGTCCCACTTGCCAGTTTGGCTTTAGATACTGTGGAAAATGCCTCACGCCTTTGTACAGAAAGGGGAACCTGCGCATTTTTTTGAGTGGAAAGTTCTTCTCAATCGCATACGAGAGCATTCTTGTATCTCAGCACATCTTTCTTTTCCTCAACAGTCAAATCGACAAGAACGTGCGTCTTAGTCCACTAGGAGTAGTACTGCAGGTATAGCGGCGCTGTGTCCATCGTCCGGACTTGCTTGGCATTCCAGCCGAATCCCAGCTTGTGACCAACTCCTTGGTGCCATATCAGCTCAGCACCAGGCACAGGATGGTACGAAAAATACTGCAACAGTCGTGTTGCTATCGCGTTCAATACCGTACCTCCATGCACCGCAGTAGAATCAAGAGTGCTGTCACTCTCTTTTTTGGGTCCACCTCGCGTGTGCTTTTGAGTTAGAAGAAAGAAAGATCTTCTTCAGGGAAAGAGTATAGAAATCGTCTTGTATGAAAAAGTGAAATGGACTCCATCTTCTTGTATGTCTTGTATGATGGACTCCATCTTCTTTGTGTTCGATACGTTCTTTCACAGATCTCGAACTACAGTGAAATCTAGGAAATCTAATCCATAAAGCCAAATCGAGAGCGTCCGCGAAGATATGATGCCCGCATTTCTCGAGGAGGAAGTCCAAACCGTGTAAGTAGCGAAGCATCTCTGGCGCTCGACCGTAGACGAAGGCTAAGCCGTGATTTGCGTGTACTGATACTTGATTCTGCTGTGGCGATGCCTGTGCATTTTCTGTTCCCTCCTGTGGCGGATTAGCTTCTGCCAACTGTCGCTTTCCACCAGAAGCTGAAGATGATGAAGTCGACAGACTACGACGGTCAGCATTTAGGATACACTGTGCCCACGTTAGAGTCTGCTAGATTGCATCTCGGCCCCCTCAACATCTTGACCCCTTTTACTTAGTACCTTGCAATATAATTCATGAGAAGAATACTTACAGGGGAACAAAAGGGTACCAAGAAGATGCCGAGAATAATGGACACTAAAAGCTGACCTTAACCACGTGTACTCTTCGCCCAGATACTGTTCTGTGTTCAAGCGGCCAGCTTCAGGAGGACTCCAGACGAAAATGTTATCTTCGTAACCGGAATAGGAGTAGTGATCTGAATGGTAGTAGCTGAAGGCCGGATCAACCCCGTAGTCGTTGTTCTCCATGCGGGCGGGGGCTGGGGGAAGATTAGAAGCATGAACATTGTTCTGTCCTAGCTACCAATGTCATGTCATGTGTCCTCTTAAGCTACGTGGTCAAATAGCGTTGACGAGGTAGTTCAGCCTAATTGTCCCTTCTAAAAAGAAGAGCAATCTGGCAGAAATCTAGTTACAAGTACTTCAACTATTTACAGTTTATTTTATGATGTTGCCCATAGGACTAGCTTTTCCACCTCCACTGTTCCCCGAAGCTGGAACGTCAAGTGCAGACTGCCGTACTCCTCCCGACCCTAAAGAAACAAGAGAAGGTCCCGAAGCACCAGTCTCCCTCTCCAGACTCGTGTTATCCAAGTCCGACATCCAGAGCATCTGATTGGTCAATATTAGAGGTTGCGACATTGCATTCTTCAGATCATCCCTGACCCTTTTCCTACTGGAGAAAAAGTCAAGGATGGTAGAGGTAGTGAAGAATGCAATGTGGTAACCCTGGTAACACGACTTAACAATAGGGTATCCAGTTTTAGACTCTTGACCAAATCTCCAAGGTCGCTAGGTGTTGCCTGTGTACGTCTCTGGAGCTGGTAGCTCACCTCCTCGTTGACGTTAACGATTTCCGGGACTTGATGAACACTGTTCTTCCCATGATACTGCTTCATTGCATGAAGATCTGACCAGAGCTCTTGCGTCTGCACGAACATCTTCTCGGAGAGCAGAACGATGTGGTCTAGGTTGGGAAGCCTGGTCTCTATGAGACCGCTAAGAACCACGTCGGAGTCGTATACGAACGTGATATCCGACAGTTTTCTTGACCCAGAAAAAACTGGTGGTGCGCAGAGGTCAAAGAGTATTAGGTTGGAGATTTGACGCATCTCCTCGAATAAACGGACAAATTCCGCATGTCTGGTGCGAACATGGCCCGCTTTTGCTTTCTTCTTGCTTGTGTCTTTATGACCAGCGTCGGAGGCGGTGCTGGATGCTTTTGTACCTAGTTTTTAGAGGGCGGATAGGGAAAAACAGAGGAAAAAGGCAACTTCTAACGTAGTTATAATGGAACTTGCTCATGCAGAACCTTCACTTTGTTTAGAAGTAGTACATGATTCATCAGACATAATCTTTAGCATGGTCAGACGTCTCGTCCCTCTTGCCACGACCAGTCGTCGTAGGAGAGTCAATCGCATCCTCGTCGTGTGGTGGAATCAGGTATACGATGTATTGGACACTCCCATTGGGATCTGTCCAGTCGTCGGCCCCATCGGAAAGGTGTTTTATCAATTTCCCACGCTCTAGGTCTGTAAAATCCGTGCCGCTTGATGGAATTTCCACTTGATTTTGTTGGTCTGCTGTGCTAGAGTGAGAAGATTGTTGCCAGAAGGAGGAAGTCGGAGATGGTACTAAATTTCCAGACTGTGAAGACGAAGATGTTGACGACCCTGGTTGCTGTAGTAGAGTGTTGTGATCTGTACTGTGGTCTGTTGATGCCCACTCTACTGCGTCAGCGATGTCCTGTCCTCGCGTGTTCTCCAGCGTTCGCTGCCCTAGATGTTGAGCCCCTTTTGAGGAGGATAGTCTTCTGTTCTCGTCTTCACCTTCGTCTTGGTCAACATTGAGGTCTTTCTCTTCTTCTTGGACTTCGTCATTACCAGTTCTTGACATCAACAAGCGTGCTGAGATACTATGAACGGCAGAAGCCAATTTATCTCCCACCGCTGCGAACAAATTACCCAAGCCAAAGGGTAAGAACTGACTGCTCGCGCCACTGCTCCTTGCTCCAGCTAAAAGATAGCCACCGACTGCGCGTCCTACTGTGAAGAAATCTTCTTCTTGCGATGAATATCCCTCAAGTACATCACCCTTCTTCCACGCATTAGTGTCGCTCGAAATCAGCGCACTCCTGGTGATCTTTCTTTTTCCTTTGTCTGCTTTGATGTCTGCTACGTCTTCATCACCTTCACCAGGGCCTTCGACATAATCATCTGCATCGACTGAAGAAAGGGCATGATCCTTGTTCCGTCCTTTCTCCCCTCTTCCATCCAAGGTACGCAAGTTCGCGTACTCGTACAAGGCTGTCTCGTCCCTCTCTTGGAAGAGCTTCTCATCGTCCTCTGATGATCTCATAGCTGAAGAATCGACGTTATTCTCGTCCGACGTCCCCCGACCTTTTGATGGAGTAGTCGCCAGCTCCCGACTTCTCCCAGTAGTATCTTTTTCCTGTTTTTCTACAACTGTTTTTACAGCATCACTACTACCTTCCTTCGCATCATCCTCTAAGCTTCGCCTCACCTGTTGATCGTCCACACCTCCCTTCGCTTGATATTTTCCGTTCTTCTCCGTCTGTCTGTACTCCGATGGCACGTAGTAGGGGTTAGCGTCTTGACGACCTTGTGGTAGAGCGAACATGACGCTGCAGATGTGACGTACGACTTCAGCTCGGTCACTATGTGGTGAAACAACTGATAATATCAGTTTCTTCTTGCTTTCGTCAACGAACGGAATATCATTGAAAGTGATTCGCGGAGAAGTATACTTGGATGGGTTCGTGGGACTGGAAATTAGAAGAAGTTCTTAGAAGTGACGTAAGATTCAGTCATTCGATAGCTGCAGCTACTATGAGGTCACAGAGGATGTGAATAAAAGTAACATGTTGTTATAACATTCTATATCAGTCAGCGTCCACTTGAGGATTACTGGCAGATCGGTCCTTCACCAAAGTGGCACATGATACACATTCATAAGGAAAAAGTACTTCGCATAGCAGAACTTAGCGGCATATCCTCGCTGCTCCGCCCGAAGTTGTCTGTCATATTCAACCGCCCACTCCCGATATTCGCAATCACGTGGGCTGCCTCCGAGTCCATGTTAGCTAGATTCAAATCCTCGGGTGCTGATGCGCCACTGGGTCCTCTTAGGCCAGAAGAGTCTTTCCCTGTGTCTGAGGAAATAGCACTCGAAGATGAAGCGCCAGCCTTGTTTTTCTCGTCTTGATCGCCCTTGGTGCTTTCGCCGGCTCGTGGTCCTATTGCGAGTGTACCATCCTCATTGCGACCACTGGTGCTTCCTCGCCCTCCGATGACGTGACCAGCGTCATCGAGACTAAAATGCAGCGCTTCTTCAGCGATCTGTTCCGCAATACTCGCTGAATCATCTACCTCATCGCACGGTTTTAATTCACTCCCGATGTTCAAGTAGCTGACGAGGACACTTCTGCTCATGCGCCAGTAAAAACTGCCTAGATTATGTGCTGTTCGAGCCGTAGCACTAAGTGCTCCAATTGTTGTTCCTGTGCTAGCTCCACCATCTTGCGACGAATCTTGCTTGGAGCTCACAATATTTCCATCTTTGTTTAATATTTCAGAAGTTCATCTGAAAGGCATACTCTTTGGCGATGAGCGTCATCTCTTCAGATCATCCCAAGTAGAAGGAAACGAAGAGCAATAGTACTCGTCTGTGACGATGATTCATCATGAGCCGTAACTTGACTCGCATCTTTGCTCGCCAGCAAATGCTTTTCCAAAGCGTCGTGTTCTCCGGATCGCGTAGTGGGGTCAGCGTTGAAGTAGCTCAGATACAACGCTAAAAAAACCTGCGACAAGAATATTCCCGCGAAGAGGAACGCAGCAAGCACGCGGATCGAGAAGCATCCGCCGCAGAGCGTCGCGATACTGGGAGCTTGCCTCATCATCTTTATTGTGACGAGGTCCTTATATTAATAGGTTTATGGGTCGTAGCCGCTTCATTGCGTCTTGCTTTCTTGTATTTTTCTACACAGCCTTCATACTTAGTTGGTATACCTTCATACTTAAGACAAGGAGCCGCATCCAGTTGTTCTTCTGTGAAGATTAGGTGCAAATACGGTTGCAAATATTTAGGAAGGGTAGGAGGGGCATAGGGATAAGGTTGAGACCCACCGGGAAATGAAAAGTATGTCTCTCAATTCCTCTCGTGTCGCTCACTTTCTCTCCCTGCTTACCAGTCACTCTTATCTTTCTTCACTCTCCACGCCAACCATAAAAGCAGAAGCGTCATCATCCTCCAAGCAACTTCAAAGAAAAATTGCCACATTGATAGATATACGAACACGCCAAACGGCAGTACTAGAGTCCCCTACAGCCCGACGCGCAGGAACGGACTGTGATCAGGGTTGTTGGATTCAATCGTTGCTGGAGCGCTTTTAGTTGAGAGTACAACTACTTCTATGGGGATCCCATGAAGCTTTTACAGTGGTTATACAACATCATAGGCGAATCCGAATGATGTTCGTTGTATGATGGAGTGGCTGTGTGTGTGTGTGTCGTGTGTAATTTTTTGGAGGAGAATCTTCATGTTTTCATGTCCTACTAGATCTCCCAGGATCCCCTGGAAGCCTTCGCTCCTTAATTTTCGCTTCTTGCTGGCGGCTTTCCACACGGCTGAATCATGGATTGCAGCTGCTTATATCTTACCCGGGCAACGGACTCGTTTTCGATTACCGCGAACAAAGCACATCGGTTAAACCTGTGGTGGAACGTGATTTTTCACTATTGAAAGCAACACGTAACATTTAACAAGAAGAGCATAGTAGAAATGTAAGTAAACACAGAGACAGACATCAATGAATGCATTACATCATTAAAAAATACTTAGCACTGTAAAACGTCATAATCCAAAAATACCGTGAAGCATTGCTCGCGTGCGTATCCCTATGCACTGTTGTCATCCACTCCCATTTGGTGGTGTCCGGGTGCCCACAACCTGTGTACTTGGCCTGGATGGCTTCCATCTGGGCGTGGATGTTGAACTTTTTGAAGCCCCCCATCCCACCAGCACCACTTGTTTCGGGCATCGACATTTTGTTGGTCTTTTTAGGTGCTTTTAATGGTCGAAGAAGTGACTAGGTGAATGACAGGGAAAGGGAACGTGAAAGTGGAAGAATTTTTTACGCCACCTGCGTTTTTTCGTGGATTCAACAAGACGAAATCTTTTATTGAAGGAAAAGGGCAGGAACAGGTCAAATGAATCTATAGTATAATATGATAGTTACCACCGTTCGGTCTACTATGCACAGGAACATTGTGATTCGAATTCTCTGTTCAGACGGCCGATTCGATGACTCATGAGAAGATTTGATTTTGATGTGACGAAGATCAGCATCCTATTTGTAAGATTGAGACACCATCTCAAATGCATATTGGAAAGTGATCGCGTAGCAGCTCCAAGAAACCATGTTTGATGATCACAACACACCTTGGCTCTTTTCGGCACTTTCCCGCGCCCGCTTTCAGTTTTAGTTGGTGAAAAAGGGAAATCGTGAATTCGGAATAACATCGAAAGAACAAATTTGGGCGTTCTCAATTAGTAGGTTTGGGAAGACTGTAAAGTGGGAGATAGTCTTGTATCTATGGGGATCGTATTCAAGAGGTCGTTTCCCTCTCTTTCAAATCACATATTTAATAGGGTCCATGATAAAAATCATCATCGTCGTCAGAGGGCGGCTCATCTCCTAGCTCATCAACTTCCAAATTTTGCGCTTCGCCTTGTTCATTCTCATGTTGATCTTCTGCTCGCTCCTCATGATCTTCATAGACGGCGTCAGCCTCTGCAGCTTCCTCTTCGTACTCCACGTCACCCTCTGCCTGCTCCTCGTCATCTTCGTAGACGGCTTCTCCCTCTCCTACGGCATGCTGATCCTCCTCATTACCCTCTTGTTCATCTTCACCATCAAAAGCATCCTCCTCTTCGTTATGATGACCCACCTCATCTTCGTTATGATGACCCACATGATCCGCATGAACATCTATTTGCTTGTTTTGTTCGGCATCAACCTGATCCGCATCCGCATCAACGGGCTCGATATCATCCCATCCCTCTAAGTCTTCTTCATCTAAGTCTTCGTTGTCGCCCACAGCGTTATGACCTTGATGTGCTTCTTCTGCGTTTGCTGTATTGAACGACACTTCTTCACTGAACGTGACTCTTTTCTTCGATGAGGACGTCTTCGAAGCAGAGGCAGGTGGCGAGTTGTTGTGGTTCTTTAGCGAGTTGTTGTGATTCTCTATCACCTCTGCTTGTTGCTCTTGGTTGTCTTGTTGTACCGATGGAGTGGCCGCTACTACTTCGCCATTTTTTGCTCCACGACCAATTGATGTTGGAATTACAGACCGGCCCTTTGGCTCAGAATTCGGTCGAGAAGAAGGCTTCAGATTCCACAAATCAGAAAGGTCATCATCTTGTCCCGCACTATCGTCCCAAACTTGATCCTCGTCTTCCTCCAGTGCTGCCATAGTTTCATCCATTGCTGAGAAGGCTCTGTTTTTGGGTGAAGAGCTCTTCGTTTTGCTTGAAGATGATCGAGTAGAACGAGGGGAAATATCCTCTTCGAACTCGGCTAAATTTGTTTCCTCTTCTTCGAGCAGGAGTTGTTGCAGCGCGTTTCTAGTCGTAGAGGGACTTTCTGCCACTCGTTTTACAGCTTGTTCTTTGGAACCATTGACTTCTTTTTTAGAAGAAGAAGTAGCACTAGGGTGTTCGCCGTCCTTGGTACTCTCTTCTAGGCTTGGAGTGAGACGCGATGTTGAATCAAAGCGTTGCTTCTTGGACGCGGAGGATGGCGACGCTTCTTCTTGTGGACGCTTTGACGTTCCTCCAGCGACGGGTCCTCTCCCCGTACTAGAACAATTCGAGCTGAACATGTTAATGTTATTCTCAACGCCGTTCATCATAAGAGCTGAGGTAGACCCTGTCCTCTCCTGTCTGATGTTGTCCATCGCGTGAGAAGATACCGCCCCCTGTCTAATGATGTCGATCGCAGGCGCACTCCTTTTCGCTGTCGCCTGTGTCCATGTCCATCCACTCCTCCCCAATATCTGTTCTACCCGGACGTTGTCGCGTATAGCTACCTCATTGCGTTCCACAGTGTATCTCGCGTTTGGAAAGGCTTTATCCAAACGGGGTTTGTACAGTTTCCACGAGACAGAGGTAATGGTAGAGGACGATGAGGAGGTCGCGGCAGGGCGCTGAGCAGAAGAGTTCATGCAAGGTCTACATTCCCACACTTTTCCGATCACTACACGCTTCACAAAGTCTCTTTTCTCCCGTGATGTTTTCAAAGCTGCGGACTCATCTGGGAAATGCTCCCCTAATAAGGCTGCTAGTTCTTCGAGGCTCGTTTGGGCGCGACACAGGAAAAGGAACTGCTTCTCGTCTAAAATGTAGAGGGAAAGATTGAACGAGTTCGCGGAAGAAGGAAATGAAGCTGACGAAGTCTCTAGCTCTTCTGACTCAGACTCTGGCACATCATCCACCTGCACCGTGCAATCAATGGTATTCAAGTGTGGCGGCTTCCATTTCAGCAAGCGAGGACAGGTGCTGGGCAGATAAGGATCGCGGAGTGGCGTGAAGACTAAACCATCGGTCTCATGACGAGAATAGAGGATATCATCGTCGTCGCAGATAGCCATTTCTTGTTCCGTCTCGTCCACTACATATTTTCTATACCCTGGCAACCTCCGCAACAGTCTTGGCAATTGACGCAGGAAGAAGAAATCCTTACTCATGATCTCGAAACCAGGTAGAAGTAAAGGCGAGTTTTGATTTTGTCCGAATTCATCAGCCACTAACCTCCACAAGGCTATGAAATTTTTCGCCGTCTGCAGCCTATGCACCAAGTGATACTGACTGACGTCGCAACCATCAGTGATCATACAGTCAAAGAGCAGGAATCGCAAAACCACCTCCCCATTTTCGTAACGGTCGAGGACGAGCTCGCCATCTACCAGCCAGTCCCCGCGGGATCGTAGAGACGATGGCCACAGGACTGAATTGGGACTTTGATGTCTGGTTGATGAACTAGAAGATGATGATGAACTAGAAGATGCTCCTCCAACAGTAGCTGTACTTCTAAGAGAAATCAACCTCCTAGCCGGTTCGTACCACTTCGTGATTTCTGCTATTTGGTTTTTTCGGTCCATCAGATAGCATCTTCCACGATGTTCTAGAAAAAGATAACGTTCCCCGTCAGTCTTTTCACAGACAAGATATTCCTCTGGATTCAACACATCCTTCAAGGCTTCTTGCGTCAGCGTGACAGGCTGTGCACCTGGAAACTGTAGTCGCCGGTCATGGAACCTTAAGTAGTCACAGGTCAGCTGTAATAGCCGTTCTACTTCCCTGGCGTCGGTGATGGGTTTGAGGCCTAGGCGTTCGTCACGGACTTGCTCTAGGGAGGCTGGCGATGATCTAGCAATGCTATCTCTTGTAGAAGGTGTCGTCGTCCTTGGTTGTGACGGTGAAGATGGTGTGGCGGCATCTGGCCGAGCGATACTAGGAACTTGTTTGCTAGAGTTCGTCGAACTAACATCTCTTGAAGTGGCCGCCTTCAAAGACTGTTGTTCCCTCGCAACGGTCAGCATGGAGACGCTCTTATTTGTATGCTTTCCAGCCAGCGGGCTCTTTGCAGTGGAATCGCACGACGAAGAGGGAGACCGTTCTGCAGCGCCATTCTGTTGCACTTGTCGCTCAACAGCATCTCTTTGTTCCGTAACTTCTTGCTCGAGCTCGCGCTCGACTACTGCTTCGTCCGCTTTATTCGGAGTAGTGCCCTTCGAAGTAGATGCTTTCCTACTCCTACTTTTCGTTGAAGTCGCCTTTATTGATGTGTCGCCTTGCTCTACTTTGTTTTGCTGTGTCGCTGGAGTAACCTCTGTCACCTCTATTTTCTCAGCTGATATCAGTTTCTGTGATCGCTGACGTGGGGGCTTCGCTGCTGCTTTCCTTGAAGGTGCTCTAGAGGGTGCCCTAGAGGGTGCTCTAGAGGCTCCCCTTTTACTGCCACCGGAAGCTGCCGCAGGTGCCATGATATATTTTGTTCTACTTGTTACTACCAAAGACCCAGAACTGTCAACTGATGTTCAAAGTGCTACTGTTAGCGAAGAGTGTCATCGTTCGTATCGCCAAGCTACTATGAAAATTGCACTAAAGAACAACTAGCAATGCGGCTCAAAAAATCCCCGCTACACACTTCTAATTCCGTCCTGTAGAAAATAGAAATTGAAAATGTATGAATGACGAATCTCTACTCTTACTTAGAAAGTTGGATTTTTTCGTAGTGAAATCGTCCTTCCTGCATCTCTTGGATCGTCCTCTTTTCTTCATTCATAGGCTAGATCTTCTGCGAGCACGAAGATCTGAAGCATCTTTTTCATGATCTTGAGTGATTCGATCACTCAAATCTTATCTTGCATCGTAACTACACTGGAAGGGAAAAAGGCTACGATGGATCTCAAAGGCGATGGATCTGAAAGGAGGTTTCCAGAATTCTGTTTCATGGAACACAGAGTGAGTGGCGGGTCGATGTCTTCTATTAGGGAACGAAACTCCCTTGGCATCCTTCGGAAACTAAATTTCCATTGTGATAAAATAAAACCACCACGCAATATGTTTATGTGGTCTTTGTTTCTTTTACATCCTGGAGAACTGTGATCACAACGTGACATGTGGTCACACCATTCTTTGAGAATTTATCAACATCAATATCCTGTCTGAATTCGATCGCAAATTGTTCTTTATGGGGGTGGTCGTCGATGGGGGTGGAAAAAGTACTCATTATTTTTTCTTCGTAGATCTGCTACCTTCAGGCATCTGGAGGAAGTATGTTCGCGTAGGGAACGTCCTTCTCTGTGTCATAATCGGTCTTCAAAAACCATGGTTTCGATTTATGTGGAGTGTTTTTATGTATGATTCTATTGCGCTGAACTTCGTTCGTTCACAGGAGTTAGTAAGTACAATGTTGGATATGCAAGATGTAGTTGTACATTAGGGTCACTTAATCAATTGTCATGTCGAACTAGGAAATACACAGGCAAAAAACCCGAAAATCAAAATAAGGCTATCCTGCTTCACTGGACTACACTCGAAATTACATTTCATAATTTTATTGCACTTCTAAAACATCAAAAAATCGAACACAAACTTTAGTTCAGCGGGTTGAAAATACTGTAGCTTGCTGACTTTCCGCGACACGATGAACGCCTAGCTCTTCCCTGCATCACTTTCTCTCTCTGCAACTGGAGTTGTTGCAAGTCAACGTGTACTTCCATATCGGGAAAAGCAGGATGAAATCTTCGACCTGCGACATAGTACAAGTCCTGATCATCTTCATCGTCTTCGGAAGGCGAAAGATCCTCAACATTATTGCTGTAGCTGCTGTTTCTTTCAGTAGGGGTTTGTGATGTCGAGCTTGCTGAGGGTTCCTGCTGTTGCTGGGTACTGGACAAGGAGGAGATAGCTCCAGTGCTGCTGCCTTCCGATCTGGCGGCTGGACCTGCAGGAGCACTAGGTCTAGACGCTTGTGGTCCTTGCCCTTGCCCAGCACTTGCTCCCGACGATCCTTCACTCCGCGACCCACCAGCTAACACAACCGACCGACGACGCTCAGCCTGTCTATCGGTTTTATCACGCTGCACATCTGCCAGGTAATCGCGGTCGTCATAGATGTAGTTTCCCCTACAAATCACCGGCTTCGTCACATAAGCATCCAACTTTCGCATCATGCAGCGTTTCAAGTCCCACACCGTGTGCCACTCTCTCAGATGTGTGAGCAAGTGTTCGTCACCGTTCAATTCAAAAACGTGCAGAGGTTTGTCCAGCGTGTCGCCATAACGCTCGCGTGCACGGGCTAAGGCTTTGGCTCGACGTTCGGCGTTGAGCTGGGTCCAGAGACTGGTAGTCGAAGTGCTAGATGGGAGAGTCGTGCAATTTGTCGTGTCCTGATTCGATTGTGATTGAGGTTCTTGTGAAGATGGCTCCTCCTCTGTTTCTCCTGGCTCTTGTTCACCATCATCATCCTTTTCATCAACACGACCATGCTCAGACTGTCCTTCTTCTGCAGATTCTTCTTCACGTTCTTCTCCTTTTTCTTCCAGTGCTCCTTCTAGATCCAGACCATGATCACTGCCAGCACCCACGACTTGAAAATCCACCGACGTGGGGTCCGCATCTACTGGACGGCCAGACAATATCTCCCACTCTAACAACGTCTCCAAAATAGTATCTTCGTCCTCTTCATCCACCGCTCGAAACATAGAGGTTTCCCACAGCATCTGCCCACGAGGACTCATTTTCCTAGGTTCCATCCTCTGGACTTGATTGGAGGTTGCTGAGGAACGTTTTACTTCTCCCGGACTGATGGCGTGACCAGTCTCGACCTCAATCTGAGGAGCGCTTACTGTCTTGGAGGCCGAAGTGGAGGCAGTGGACGAGGCAGCAGTTGGGTTTCTACTAGAAGACGATGGACTGGTTGCATCGCTTGAATATCGAGTGCTTGGATCGTTTGAATATGCTCCGTTTGTAGCTGCTTGCTTTTTCTCCGGGGTCACAAGTAGCTGCTCGTAGTTGTTCTTGTTGACCATGTTGGCTCCAGAAGATCCAGATGCGCCATTCCCTGAAGCCAAGCCGGTTCCCTCACCTCTTCCACCTCCTCCTCTCACCTCCGAGTCTCTAGTCGGACTGCGTTCGATCGCAATAGGTGAAGATCTGCCACTGGAGGAAGAGCCAGCTGAAGTTGCACCAGCAGAGGTCGCAGCGCTGTCTCCTTGATCTCCTGCGCGTCGAGGAGGACTGATCTTCCTCACTTGCACTTGAAACTCACGCATTACGCGGGCGGATTAGAAGAGGGAGAAATTGATGACTTGAATCTGTTCGGCGAGCTGCCTAAGATTTTCCTGTGAGCCTGACGGGAGAAAATAATAGTTTTTCAAATATTTAACGTTGGTTGAGCGAGCTAAGTGTCGTTTAGGGAGTCTTTGTGGAGAGCAGAATGGGTCCCAAGAAGGATTCTAGTCCCTGCTAGGTATCTCTAAGTAAGAGCCGATAAAAATTAGTGACAAGAACTCTTGAAGTAAAATAAAGGTGGCCTTAAGAATAAAGCGCATGTTCGGCCCGACCCGGGGGTTGCGCAGGTCGAATCGGCAGGGTTCGCCGGCTCGGCGCCAAGTGAGCCGGGTTTTGCTCCACACGGTTTCCGGGACGAAACATCTTCCTTTTTGTCTATTGTAGTAAAAGAGTACTTAAAAAAACTACTTGTACTTTGCCTGGGTATGATGTTTGTTTGTTTTGATGCGCTCCGGGCGACGCGTACGATCCCGCCGGACTTCTTTGTGCTTGGGTATGATGTCGTATGCTGATGTGATGAAGGAGCAAAGAAGCAAAAAAAAAGCTGAAAGTTCCTTCCTTTTTTAGGGTACACAGGTTGTGATGAACATTTAATGGTGGAATGAAGAAACACTCCTTGACAGATACTATGCTTGCTCTGCCAAAAAATTTCAACAAGGGGCGTGGCCCTCGACAGAAACCTTATGATAATTCTGAGGAAAAAAACAAGGAAATAGAACTACCAAAAACGGGGCAAAAAAGGAATCAAAAGCGATACCTCATTCGAGGATCATCTCGTTCTCCTGCGAAAACAAAGATGCATTCGATTCAGGCTTGACATCTTTATCAAACTCAAACTACAGAGACCGCGTACGCGCTCGTGGCGTCACACTCACATCGAACAAAATGAGTCTTTTATACACTGCTCTTCCTTTTCTTGGGTTGTCGGAGCGTGAGTGTAAACGGAAAAAAAAAAGTTTACCACTCCTGAAAAAAACATCTTCTTCTCTCTCTCTCCCTCGTGGACGATGTCCGTGATGTCAAAAAACAGCATAGGCTTCTTTTGCGAAGAAACCCGAACACGACGACAAACTTCGGAGATTCACTCCATTTGCTTCTCTTTTCTAGGAAATTTTAGTCAGTCGCAGTAGAGAGTGCTGTCACAAAAGTGACACCAAAGCAAAATGGAGAGATCTATCGTGATAGAGTGCGGAACGGCCACACTCTGTGTGTGCCTAGATGTGGATGACTCACGTGTTTCTTTCTTGTTGTTGTGAGAAACCAACTCAATCAACGAAGGATTTGGTTGTGGCAAAGTAGTACATTGATTGTGTGCTATAAGCAAATGATTTGAAGAATCAAAAGTCCTCAAGTTCTTAGTACAGCTAGTGGTACTGGAAACGGTTGTGGAGAGATCCGCAATAGAAATATTCTATTTCCATTTATTAGGTTCTGGTCCAGACAGTATTCATCAATAAAACTTTAACTTTTCTTGTTCCATATACGATTCTACCAACCAGGGTAGTTAATATCAGAGCTGGCACTGGGGTTTACTACTACTAGTGTCCTACATCGAGAACAGGTCTGAGATCCTTGGGACGTTATAGGGAAAGTGAACTATCACTAATTCTAAAAATGGGGACAAATGAGTTGAGTAATGCGGCTTACTCTTAATTTAACAATATTCTGACGCGTGGAGATCGAGTGGTGAGCATTTCAAGGGTTCTGGGTAGCGAGTTGCGGTGGTAGTAGTAAGATCAGGTGGCAGTAGCGACTAGTAGCGAGTTTGTATTGGTTGCAGCTGTAACTGCTAGTCGTATCTTCAAGCGGCAGCAGGTTAAGCAACGACGGGTAGTAGCGACGGGAAGCGATAGTTCTTTCATACTCAATGCTTGTTGGTTAATGACTATCAACACCCACTCACATGCTCTCCTGCTTAGCACCCGACGTATAGAAGTAGCGCCCAAAAGTACTACAGAGAATCTTCAAGCGGACCCTCAGTAGAATTTCAACCTCGTGAATATCTCGTCCATTCTCCTGGGATATTCGTCATGGGACTGTACTAGATCCGACAGATCATGATTCTCCACACCCTGAGCCTCGGTTACAGGTCCCAACCCGGCCACTGCAATTTTCCACTCCATATAACGGTAGAGGAACCCAAGGATCCAATCCGAAGTGATGTAGCCATTGATTAGACGACCGGAAACGACCTGGGAGTGATTTTTGTGAGGTGAGAAGGGAGGTGTCTCAGAAAACGATTTAATCTGAAAATTGTACAGCGAAGGTGGAAGGACCGATTTGTTAGTAGGAACAAGATGAAAAAAATGTATTTACCTGTCTCGCCCTTTCCCACCCCTCACCCTTCGGCGAGCATGGTGTACCCAACAACACTGCGTGCATCACGCAATGAAAAGCGCCTAGAGCGTGCAATTCTTGGAGGCAATAGTAGATAACTCGTGCACCCATGGAGTGACCGACTAAAACCACAGGTCGCTGGCCTAAAGCTTGTCTATCGGCAATGGCGTTAGCTAGTGCTTGGCCGGCGAGTTTGGCACGTTCTTTGATCACAGCCCATTCATGATCCAAATCTTTCATGAAAGAGACGACGTACCTGTGGAAACATAGGTAAGAAAGACTTCACTTTGGGGTTCTGTTGAGAATGTACCTGTGGAAGCATAGGGAAGAAGGAGTTCACTGTGGGGTTCTGTTGAGAATAGGATTATTCAAACTATATGATTCAGATAAAATCTTGTTGAGTCCTCCTTGATACAAAAACGTTGAATCTAACCACGAGGACTCATGCACATATTAATTATAAGTAAGTACATGAAGAATTGAATCTCCATAAATGTAGTTTGTACCATGGCCAAACAATCGCATAGGCTGCCGAAACCGAGACGGTGGCTACAGTAGCACGCACCCACAGATTAGCTGCCGCTTCTCCAACGTAGCTCTTCACGGTGTCTGAGAGGACGCTTCCTAGCTTCATCAATTGCGCAGTTTCCCACCTCAAAGAAAAATGGTCACTCTTAGGAAAGTGCTGCGCTGCTACTCTGCGCCAGGTTTCGGTGACTTGCGACTCCTCCTTGAGCCAGCCACTGACGAATACAACCAACTGCACTGCCCCCGATTCGCCCGCCGTAGTCGCAGTGATAGGTTCGGTTTCTAAACCCTGCAATCGGTTCCTGCGGAACTTGAGACCCACAATTTGCTCCCTTGGCGGTGCTTGTTTTGACTTCCAAATCGTACTCTCCAACTGCAAGTAGCTTCCTGTAGTAGCGAATTTTCCTAGTCTGCCCTTGTTTGTCGTGAACTCTAATCGGTACCCAAGATTCTTGCGGTTGTCGGGTTCGCTGAAATAGCCTTCGACTTTGACCAAGTATTCGTCGGCATCCAAGCAGAAGGCGTCGAAAACGGTTCCGTCATCTTCATCCCCATACTCGACTAACCGCCCGTCAGCAAAAAACAGCTGCAACCGCTGAATATAGTGGAAATTTCCGAACCCACTGATGCTAGTGATTTTCCGCTCTTCGCTCATCGGGACGAACACGAACTCAGCTAGATCCCCAAAACGCTTGCCCAGTTTGACACCGGTCAGGCCTGCACCAATCGTTCCGAAAACTGCTACAGCGCCAGCAGTTCCGAGGGAGGATAAGAAGACGCCGACGCCCCCAAGAGTACCCGCAACAGCAGTACCAGCTGCACCGAGACCAACGGCGGCGCCGGCACCAGCAACTGCGGATCCGATGGCGCCTAAACCCACCGAGACGGCTGGGGCAGCGAGACCTAGGTTTATTTTAGTGAGAAAACATCGCATCCTCATTGATGGAAGACTGACAGGGTTAGCAATACATGTCTGTTGCTTATCAAGCGACTGATGGCAGACTGACAGGGTCTGTTGATTATCCATTCCAGTTAGTAATACATGTGAAAAAAGACTTAAAAAATTCAAATTACCTCCCGTCAAACCCAGCAGCAAGCCTCCTCCTATGACACCGCCAGCCACTTTCCAGTACTTTGAGCTGTTATCTACTTGAGATTGATCGGTTTTGAGAATTTTGAACAGTGCGCCTCCTATATCCCTCTCCCACGCTTCGCAATTTATCACGCTCACATCAAATCCCCGTGCCGCTACTCGGAACATGATGACTCGACATCTAGCGTCCAACAATCCTGATAGCAAGAGTGCTGCGATCAAATCGCGAACGATTAACAAACGTTGTTTGCCACTGCTGAATCGCTGCACTAGGATTTTCCGGAATTCGATTGATTCGTTCATATGGACGCAATTGCGGTACACCTCGACTAAGGGTTCGTACTGCGTTTTTCCCAACTGCAAAGCCTCTTGCAGGCCTTGAAGTAAGCCTAAATGCTTCCGTATCAAAACTTTGCGAAACCGCGCGATGGATTTGGCGTTTTCTGCTAGCATCCACTCAGCAGGGACCCTGGCAGGGCCACTGCGCGAGGACGTGGGAAGCTGGTGCGGTTGCGAGGATGCTGCAGATGTGCCACCTTTATTAAAGCTCAGCATTCAATGGTCACTGACTCTGAAAGAAATGGGCCCCATGCCTCTCCCTTTGCTTTTCCTTCATTTTTCCCTGTTCTCTCAAGAGGGATCTCAGTGACCAACCCCAATGACCATTGAAAGCTGAGCCTTAACTTTACCACCAGGGCCAGCGGCCGACGTTTTCCCACCTCCTCCTCCAGATGGGATATTGCGCTTGAAGCTCGAACTGCTACTAGAACCTCTCCTCGAGGAGGAGGAGGATGACGGCGTTGCGGCATTGTCTAGTATAATTATACTAGGACCACTTTTGACACCACCCTCTTTTCCTTGTACTAGTCCCTTGTCCCTCGGCGTCGTCGAAGCTGGGGTACTTGCGGCAGTAGCACTCGTACTAGCTGCAGTCGGTGTACTACACACAGACACTGTTGAAGCCTCTTCTACTTCTTGTTGGGCTTGGGAGTTCATCTTGTTCAGGGGTTTTTTGTTCGTTCTGCTACTTTTGTCGTCTGGTTCAATCTCGTCTTCTTCTAGGAGTACGTCGTCGGGCGATCTCGACGCATCTAAGATAGCTTCCTCATGCCGATCAACAATACCATCGATGGAACTACTACTGCTACTCGTAGCTGCTTCCTCGGAACCACTACCAGACGAATCTGATAACATCCCAGAATGGCTTTTCTTCGAACTGTTTCTACTCGAAGAAGCAGTTCCTCCTGGTAAAGCGTCTCCCTCTGGTTGGGCACCTTTTGGTCTGGGTCCCTTTTCTATAATTGATTCCTGGGAAGTACGGGGGGGTAGTTCATCTTTTTGTTGACTTGAGCTCACATCTGCGGCTTCACTCGCCTCCATTTTCGCCGAATCTGCGCTCTCACCTTCCTCGGTGGCTTGACTCTGTATAGCGGGACCGAGTCTAGACGGAGGCGCAAAGCCTTTACCGCTAGCACCCATACTACTCGAAGTCACGCCCTTATTCGCGGGAAGCTTAGATGGTAGAGACCCACCCTGCTGCTCGTTCAAAAATTTTTCTTTACCAGAAGGGCTCTTCTCAGCTGAGTAGTTCTGTACTGTCGTACTAATACCACTAGCATTTGGGTTCTTTCCTGCAGATGTTGAAGAGGCTATTGAACCAGCAGGCGAAGTCGCTGATGTTGATCCTTGCTTATCCTTACCGGCGGAGCCAGCGCCTTTACCAGCACTAGTGGCACTAGAACTAGTTATTGCTATAGAAGAGGGACCGCCAGACGATGCTGCTGGTGTGTTGGCTGTAGCGGTAGTAGTAGCAGGGACAGGTTTACTGGAACTAGCGTTAGCAGTAGCACTCACGACAACAGCAGCTCCCGCTTGATCCGGCTCATCCTCTTTTTCGACGACGCGTAATAAAGCAGCCAGATCTCCAGCAAGTTGTTGAGCAGCACAAAGAGCGAAAGCGAGTATGATGTCACTCTTGCCGTTATCATCCAAGTCACGTAGTCGGAAAATTAGAGAAGATGGCTGTCGACAGATTCTCAATCTTCAGGTGAAGACCAAGACCTAGCTGCGTTTGTTTTTTTCATGTCTACGTCATCGCTTATCACTTTTATGTCAAGGTATTTCTTTCTATTTTTTCCTATCCTTGTTTCATAAATTGATATCAACTTCGGTTTCCTTTATCAAATCTGCAACCTCCTCTGCATCTGCCATTCTGAGCGCCATCTGCTGTTGTAATGCTTCATGTGCTGCAATTTGCTCAGGCGTAAGCACATGTTCTTTTGGGCCATTTTCACCATCATCTCCGGACTCGTTATTGTTGTCTGCTGGGTTGTTTTTACTACGTTGTGGTCGTGCTGCTGAAGAGCCTGCACTTCGTGCTGAGGCGTCTACTTCTCATGTATTAGAAGGGACTATGAATCATACCTAGAGGTGTTGCTACTCACTTCAACATTTTCCACTAGGTTATTGAATCACACTGTTTCACTTTCGCTCATTCTAACTCCTTCTTCTACTTCTAGTTATTCCCAGTAATTTCTTTATGTGCGAACAAATCAACCCGCGAGCATAATTCTCCCTCTTCCCCCTGGATCTCTGTCGGACGACGCAGATGCTCGTGTGACTCGACTGCTAGTGGAGGACGACGTGGAAGCGGTACTGTACGATATTCTCTGCGACGAAGCAGAGTTGTAAGCAGTGTCTTGTGGTCTGCTGTTGGTGTCTTGTGGTCTGCTGTTGGTGTCTTGTGGTCCGCCATTGCACATGTCCTTGCTTTGGATAGTATTGGACAAGCGTCTACCTTCCGAGGACGTCGGCACCTTCTTTCCACTTTGCTGTACATGTTTTTGTCTCACAGTGACGTCGTTGGAACCCTCCATCCGCAGGCGAACTATGGTGCTGTCGTCTATATATTAGAGGAGGATTGTACTAACGTCCGCGACGATAAAGTACATGGCCGTGTGTGATTTCTACTTCTGCTTACAACTGAAACAAACTAAAAATAAGCTACTTATTCCATAATTACACTGCAGTACCTAACCAACATCGACGACCTTGTGGTCTACTCTTCAACAAAGTTGAATAAATTCCTATGTGTCATCAACATAATCTTCTGCCACTACTTCCCATCTGCAGGTTTGTTGCCCGACCATCCCCTCTCCCGTGCCGAGCCCGTCGTGGCCATCGCAAGGACCAACCAGCAGTGTAAAAGGTGCATCACCTGCTTGTTGCGCAGCTCGTGCCCACTCATTCCGCAGATTCAAGGCCAAAGGTGATAACTTGCCCTGACTCGTTCTTGTTGTCGATCCCGAAGAAGCACCAGCGGACGACCCGCCTTGTTCAGGTTTACTTTTCACTTGTTCCGGAATTTCCTGCTCTAACATTTGGTACTCCTTATCCGGATGCGGACTTCCGAAAGCAATACAAAGTTGACGTCCATACTCCTTTCTAGGTCTCGCTCCACTGCCATCAGCTGGATCCAACCTCCCGTCTTGCTCCGCTGAAGTGTCTACTTTTGTATTAGAGGCGGAACGAGAGGGCTTTGTTCGATACTAGGTGTTCATCCAGAGCCCCTCGTATTTCATCATTATTATGATAAATAATCATGACGTCTATCCAACGTACCTGTTGATCATCATGGTAAAAGAGCAGGGTAGGCAATGAAGCTTCATACTATAGAGAGTTAGGCTAGGTTAGGTGTGGGTCCACTAGGTAAACCAGCAGACTTCAGTGGCTACTGAAGAGCCAAAAACACGACTACAACCTACAGCTGGTAAGGCTACACTACTTTCTACCTTTAAATCTACTCTAGAGAGTCTGATGTAGAACATTTATAAATATTTGTCTTCTATAATATCATCGGTGGAGCACTCCTAACTAGCAAACAAAAAATTAAAATATCATAATTTCCTGTCGTCTACGATGCCGCCTTTGGGCAACTGGCAATCTCTCCCAGAACCGCACTGCGCCACCTAATGCTTGTGAAAGCGGCGCCTGGGAAACATTTGAAACGTGAAATTTGCACCAGCACTTGTTAGTGGGCTAGTTTAAGAAAAAGCAGGCTGTAATATGGTAAAGACATGTCGCCAACTATCATCACAATATAAGTTTAAGATATTGCCAATCACAGATACTTACCTGAAAATCTGCAACACGGCAGACGCACAACAACTAAAACGTGTTGATACTCCCAAAATAAACTCTTACCTGGAAGTGCAGCACCGCAGACGAATGAAAGGAGTCAACTTGGCTGTGCGGAGCAAAGTCGGTCTGGGGCATGAACCAAGCGCCATCAAGTGCGAACTCGCACCCTGTGACGTTATCCACAACGATCTTTATCTCCCTCATCTTGGCAGTCAGGCTGGTTTATTTGGGCGTCCTCTAGTACTGATTGAAAGTGCTGTATGAGAGTAGTTATCTTCGCGCGTTGTCTTGGTCACCAGAGGAGCATATTTAGGCTGACTGGTGTTTCCGTCCCCCCGCCAGAAAAGCACAGCGAGAAAACTGGCTGTAGTCCCCAGTTCTTGCCAGGCATTTTTGAGATGAGGTCGTCGTGAGTTGCGCTAGTACCGACCGCAAAGGCGAGGAAGACATTCTCGTCGGAAAAAATTTACACAGAAGTAGAAGTAGAGGACGACGTCATTAAATCATAGAAGACAGTCAGCTTTATCCTTTTTCTTTTACTGATTATAGTGCGACTACAAAGAATAATCACCTCTAGACTTACTTTTCAACAGGCACATCAACTGTTCGCGTGGGTGGGGTCTGTAACATTGAGACGCTGGTTGCGTAGAATACGTATCAGTTGTACTTCTGATTGATCGTTATCGTGAACTTTATTCTGAAAATACTTTCTTGGACAGTATACATATTTTGATTGTACTATACTCTCTTCTAAGATCTCGCTCTCATATTACTGCAATATGTTCGGTAAGATCGAACGAACTTGATTCCATATATTGCACAACAGTTTTTCTCGAACAATCAGCTTTTTGTGAACAACTTTTCCTTGCTGTTGTTTTGCAGCTCTTGTCTATTAGATGGACATCATTAAAGATGTCCAGAAATTAGTAATTGTGGTCATGAATGATATGAATTTCATCAACAACTACTCTCCTGAAAATGGTCGTAGGAGACACCTTGGAAGAATCTGGGAGGTTAGAAGTAGTAGAGGATTGGGTTTACAAACTGAATCTGGGGTAAGGATTGCGTTGACATCCCCGCACTGTTGTAGGGATTGGGTTGACTGTCGGAGACAGCTCGAAGTGACCAAAGTGTAAGGTCTTGAAGGTGTTCCACTTCCCGACTTGGCGGCTTGATGTGAATCAATCGGTGCACTTGAACACAACAAGGAAGAGCCAAAGAGCTCAAAGGTCAATCAACCTTGCTTATCATCTTGATGGTCCTGGATCCTTTAGGTAGGAGTAGTTTAACGTGAGTACAGTTCGTGAGAGAGCATCAGCGTGACTGTGCTCGATTGAGTTGGATTCTAGTGGTGTTCAAACAAGAACTTCCTCCTTCGTTGTGGTTTGCCGTTCCTTGCTTGTCTTCCTCCGGCGGTACGACTTGGGCAAGAACTTCTACTGACCTTTCTACGGTTTGGCGAACCTTTTGGGCAGTTAGCAACCTACAGGAGAACAACAACATCCAACATTCTACTCCTACCTTGAAGCAGAACTTGTGGCTACTTCTTCTACCACTACAGAACAAAAACTTCTTCTGCTTCAGCACTAGACTAGTTAGCAACACTTGTGTTCTTGTTCGACGTGTTCTAGTGTTCCCCCGCGGCTACAGCAAAGATGTCATCTACCTGGCGTCTGCCGCCGATAAGCGAGAAAAAAGACTGGGACGCATGGGCCCACTCTGTCAAGATGTTAGCGCGGTCAGTCGGAATTTATCCGCAATTCATCAACCTGGTGGATCATGAATCGAACCAGATCGAGGATGCTAATCCACTTCTCGACGCAGCACAGCTGGAAAAATATTTGGCCATGGAAGCATCACTTGCTACAGCGGTCCAAGGAAAAGCCAAGACGATCACTGTCAATGCTGGCTGTCTCACGTTCCTGGACACTTACCGTCAGCTGCGCAAGCACTTCAGCACCAATCAGCAGATTGACAAGATGAAGATGTACAACGAGCTTCAAAATGAAAAGTTTGAACTCAGTAAAAACAGCGACCTAGAAGTTTGGACTTACGACCAGTATGCTAAGGCGCAACGGGTCGGAGCTCCAATGCTACCAGCAGACCGGGTCGAGGTTCAGATGAAGTACATCCTGACCAATCTTCTTGATCCGGCACTAGATGACAAGATGGCTGAGTTCCGCCAGAAGTTCGACGCAATGACCTGGCAACAAATGCTGGCTGAGGCTCAAGACTACGTTAACAGCGGTCAAGCAGGAAAGCAGAAGGAAATCCAAGCACGGACGAACCTTGCGACCGTGTCCAACAACAGCAACGGCAACAATTCTGCATTCAACATGATGTGTTCTAGTGATCCGATGCAGAATATGCTCATCCAGAATCAGAACATGATGATGATGATGATGATGATGAACAACAGCAACATGAACACTCCGGGCGGTGCCTCTAGTTCCAATCCAAATGCCTTCTTGGCTGGTGGTGGTGGAAGCAGTTCCTCTGACAACCGCTGGTGTACCTTTTGCAACAAGCCGCGTCACACCGATGACAACTGTTTCCGCAAGAAAAAGTGGCAACAGCAACAAGCTGCTGCGGCAGCCACCAAAGGTAGCGGCAAAAGCACGAAGAAAGGCGGTGGTGCACAACAGCAAAAAGGAGGTGGCAAGAACCAGCAGAAAGCAGGTGGAAAGCCAAAAGGACCAGCACAAGTGAAGGGCAGCTGGAAAGGAAAGGCGAAGGGTGTTTTCAAGAAGCACTGAGCCAACAACGAGAAAAAGGACTGCCTTGATGGCAGCTGAAAGGAAGCTACATGCTTCATAGTGTCTACACAAGCTGAACCAACACAAAGTTTTTCAACAAAAGAGGACAGTTATAACATGCTGAATGTGTCTTCGAACTCAGATAGTTTCTTCAATCATAACGTGTCTAAAAGTTCAACATATAACTTCAAGTCATACAAGTCAACTTCTTCAAATTTCAAATATGTAGCTCCAGCATGTTACAACTGTACACAGCACGACCAAGAACAACAAGACAAGCCCTTTCCCCTTTGCTACCCCTGCGAGGTACCCCCCGAAGAACACAGACAAAACATGGACTGTGAGTCCTATTCAGACAATTTGCTGTTGACAACTGATTTTGACTCCAACTATTTCAGGACCAGTGATCAGATGGATGATATTGACTATGACCCAAATAAAAGTGAACTATTTTGCTGTCAGATCGATGATAGCTTAGATGAGATCCGTGTAGAGATAAATTCGGCGATGACCAAGGAACTTGCGTCCTCCACTTCGTCTACAAATCCCTCTGAAAAGAGCAAGCTTCGGGATGACGATTTACTTGATTCTGGGGCCTCTCATGTCGTCAGCCGAGTGCTGAGTGACTTTGTGAGTTTCAGGTCTAACCCTGTTAAGATCTGTGGAGTAGATGGCAATCTGGAAAGTTCTGGGAATCCACCTAGGATAGGGAGACTGCGATCAAATCGCTTAGGGTATTCAGTGGGGATTTATCATGAAAGACTGCCTGTGAGAAGGCTTTGCCCAACAGCTCCCCTGAATGCGCTTGGATGGCGAGTGATATTAGATTCTCCGCCAAGTCCTTCAAAGATAGAGTCGCGCATTGCAGACGTTCAAATCCCAGTGGTAAATAACCCACCAGCTTTGCCTTGTTTGCCAGACGATGCTTTATTTTTGCCATCGAAGTCTGGGGGTGCTGGTATCATCAGCTCGCGCGAGGTAAGTGACTTCTGCGCTGAAGAGCGAATAAGTAACCTTGTCACTATCGGATGCAATTTTTCGACGGATTGCTTAGCCGATTGCACCAAAAGACGCCGCGTAAACATAGAGCTTACCGAGGGAAGCAAACAGTTCCAGGCTGAAGCCTTGGCCGACTGCGTAGAGGACTTAGAGGCACTAGTGTGTCTGTCCAAGTTAGAAAGACATAGGCGTCGTGGACACATCTCAATACCGGGTGAGAAAGTTTTCTGCCCTGAATGTGCCTTAGCGAAAGGTGTTCGAAAAGGTTGCCGTAGTGAACGACCTCAAAAGTACATCGACCCTACGCCTTTAAAGCAACTTGACGCGGATTTTTGGGGCCCAGTAAAGCCAAAAAGTCTTAGAGGTAACTCATGGCTCTTAGTGGTAATATGCCCAATTATATCTTTCGTCTTTGTGTTCCCGTTGCAAGTAAAAGACCAGTGCTATGCAGTCGTTAAAGAGCTGATCAAACAGCTGCGCGCAAGTGATAGTAAGGACTTAACCGACAAAGTAGTCTGGTATGTCCGCAGTGACAATGACCCACTCTTCCGCTCAAAGAAGTGGGAAAATACACTCCAAGAGCTCAGCGTTTTCTGGACCCACTCGGTACCATACACACCGCAAGAGAATGGTGTCTGCGAGCGTTTTATGAATACGCTGGGTCCCGGTCTAAGGGCTATTTTAGTAGGCGTTGACCTCCGCTTATGGGACTATGCTGCGGAATATTTTGTGTGGACATGGGTCAGAATCCCTAGAAAAGCCTACAAACGTGCGCCACACTTCAATGGGAAGTCCCCCCATGAAGCTAGACGCTTAAGAGTGAAAGGGTCACTGCAAGTTGACCGGAAAGTTTCCCGCTTAGAGTCCACAGAGCCCGATGAGCTCGATAACGCGACTACTGAATTCGATTCGAAGTTCAGGAGATTTGGCTGCTTATGCTATTTTCTCAAACAACCCGTCGAAGCGGTTGGGAAACTTGTAGAGAAGTATATCAAGGGCGTATTCCTCGGCTATAATGATCAGAGCAGCTGTTACCTAGTAGGTACTTATGTCTCAGATGGTCGCTTCACCAAGAAAGACGGTGGACTAAGATGGGCTGTCTATGAGACTCGCTGCGTTAAGTTCGTCGAGAGTATACTCATCGATAATGTAGATTCTCTACGCCCAGGGTATTCCGAGGGTGTGATCGTTAACGATCGCCAGATCCTAGATGTAATTAGTGGCTCGATGGACAGCGGCTCGGTGGTCGGGGCCGGCCAGCCTTGTGCTCCGACGTTGCCTGCGCCTGGTGGTTCTAGTTCATCTGGTTCTGGGGGGGGCGAGTCCGCCTCCTCCCCGTCCGTCGCGCCTGGTGCAGATAAGAAAGTGGAACTATTGGACGTCCCAAGTCCAGTCTGTGACAAGGCCAGCACGGCATGTGTTCCCGGTGAGGAAAACAAAAGTGCATCTGCGAGCATTCCTATGCTTGCGGGTGATAAACAGCCCGGGGGGGGTGAAAAACAAAAAGCCAATGATCCTCCAGAGGAAGAGCAAAGTTACAAATTTGAAAGAAAGCCAGACGTCACTTATGGACAGGCCAAAAGAAAACGAGGCCGACCTAAAGGGTCTAAAGACAAAGTCCCAGGTGGCAGAAAAAGAAGAACGAAGAAGCAGATGGCAGAGCAGGTAGACTCTGACGAATTCTATGGCGAGTTCGCTGAAGTGATCGAAGACTGCTTCTATGTCGAAAGTATGGAGGATGACCTAGAGCCTGGGGAAATAATAGAGGACGTATGGGTGCAGTTATCAGTGTCAGAGGCTGTAAAGGGACCTGAATCCCCACACTGGATTCAGGCCATAGGTAAAGAAAGAACTAAGCTAGAAGCGTTCGAAACATGGCGGAAATGCAATGAGCAAGAACTCAAATCGGCAAAGGGTGTAGTCCCAATTGCCTTAGTGCTTTCAAAGAAGCGCGATGGCACATACAAGTGCAGGGCTGTTGTCTTAGGCAACCTATACAAGCCAGGGCATGACTTTGATGTCTATGCGTCTGTTGTTAGTTTTGGCGCGAGCAGGTATCTTTTAGTTGATGCTGCTGCTGCAGGAGATGAGATCGAGGTCTTTGACATTGATAATGCATTTGTGCAAAGTCTCATCGACTCCGACATCTTTGTGCGTCTGCCTCCAATCTGGCGTGAGGAAAATGATACCGGCATAAGAAAGCTAGTCCGTGCTTTATATGGTCTGCCGCAATCCCCTAGGCTTTGGGCCAAGCACTACGAAAAACAGCTTTTCTGCCCTGAAAAACAGCTTTCCATATATTGCACAACAGTTTTTCTCGAACAGTCAGCTTTTTGTGAACAACTTTTCCTTGCTGTTGTTTTGCAGCTCTTGTCTATTAGATGGACATCATTAAAGATGTCCAGAAATTAGTAATTGTGGTCATGAATGATATGAATTTCATCAACAACTACTCTCCTGAAAATGGTCGTAGGAGACACCTTGGAAGAATCTGGGAGGTTAGAAGTAGTAGAGGATTGGGTTTACAAACTGAATCTGGGGTAAGGATTGCGTTGACATCCACGCACTGTTGTAGGGATTGGGTTGACATAGAAACACTGTTGTAGCTCAGCTGATCGTGTTCTTCCGCGTTCCTTCTATTCATTGTTCATGAGTGCGGTCGCCATTTTAAGATTGGTCATCATCATGCATCTCTGGTGGTCATCTTCTACCTCTGGTGGCGAGAATAGGTTGATTGAATTCAATTTCAGTAAACGCGACAGGAATGCTACCCGCGACACTTCTAACTTGGGAAATATATTTATGCTCCTGCGAAAAAATTATACACTTCTTGAACCGTTAAAATGATAGAAGTGTTTGTGTTCTTGCCACGCTTGCTAACTGGTAAAAATAATCCTGTGGTCATTGTTATGGCGAATCAAGTATAATTCAGTTTTGTTTCTTTCACACTTAAGTACATTGTCCGTGATGGATAGATTGACTTCTCATTTGCATTTATGATTATGTTTATGCTGTATTATAAGTGTCTGCAGATCTGTTGCTGTTCTTCATGCTGAAGATAGTTGTGCTTGTGATCTCATTCGTCCTTCCTCTATATGATCAACATCACAACCTCCACTGTGATGTAGGCCACTCCGTTCCTCCAACTTAAGTACGTCTTACATTGAGTTCCTCGTCGTTTACTCTGTCAGGCGTACTTATTCATCCTAATTGTTGCCGTGAGGCCTACAACTGCAGTGTACCAAATCCCGGACAGTGATGCGACTCTTTCTCCATGATATCTGCCGACACTCTCCATCCTCGTGCGTGTCCCCTTCCAGGTCAAAATATTTGCATTGTGCATTAGAGAAGTTTGGCTTAACAAGAAATATTTCTTGATTGATTTTTCTCAGATTTCCAGGTGGAACAATCCGGACGAAATACTTGTTAGGAAGGTGGGATTCACGATAAAAAACCTTTGATATATTTATTACGCATTTGCAGCTTTATTACAGATGCTCGCCGGTGTTGCGCATACAACATTCCGATGTATGATTGAACGGTATGAAACTACTGCTTTTCATCTGTTGTTCTTCATGTAATTCTAATTTTAATCGCGACTCATCTCAAGAAACGCTAGTGCAGCGACGCGTCTACAATACCACCTGTAGCCAAATACTAGTGAGTGCGCGACGGCCATTGTGTTCTCTGTATTTCGTGAAAAAATGTTTGCTAGATAGATTATAGTCCAAGGTTGTGTCCGCAAGATCGATGACGTTAAAAAGCTGAGCTGCTCTTACAAAAGAGTGCTTGCGCTCTTCGGTGCACCTTGCCGCGACTCGTCTATCACTCGAGAAACTGACAGAGCGAAAGGCAAAGAGAAAGATATATGTGTGCTATGGTCATGGTCATATAGATACTTCAGGTTCGACCCTTACTTATAAAAATATCACGAATAAACAATCAACCATTGATTCGATTGGATTCGAGGAAACAACAACTCCTGTTCGCCTTAAGAGCCCATACTGTTTTTCCGCTGCACTCTGGGTCCGTCAACTTCTCTGCGCCCTTGTTCACCTTCGTACTAGAGCAATGTCGATGAAACACCTTGTGGTCTTAGAGGAGCAATCGGGCAAAAGTAACACTTTGATCAGATCGAGCTTATTGACGAGGGACAGTTTGTTTTTTGCTTTTCAGCTCTTCTCTTCCTTCTTTTCAAGATGAAAACAACGTACATAGCTGCATTACACAAAAGCCCAAGGAAGTCCCGAAGTTTGTTGCGGGCAAGATAACAAAACAAAGCCATAACGCGATGTCTCCTTCGGAACCGGCGTCACTTCCTCGTGCCTCTCCTTTTTCCGCTTTGGCTTTGGCGGATTGTCTGTAAGGATGAAGATCATAAATAAACTAGATCTGGCCCAGGATCAAGATCAACAAGACCCGAGGAAGCTCGTCCGACCCCGATCCCCAAAGACTAACAGCACGGGGGCCCCTGTCCTGATGATGAACACAGGAGCAAGGCCATGCATGCTTCAGCCGTTATGAGTGAACTTCCAAGGTTACGAGACAGGGAAAAGACAAGGCCTCGGCATAGCTCGAGGGACACTATTTGGTGTGCTCTAACATTGTCAACATCTGAAAAAAAAGTAAATGAGATGAAATCTCGAAAAAAAACACGGAGTGGGCATGGATATGAACTGAACAATCCATCGGAGAACAGAGCTACTTCTCTACGGATGACAAAACGTTGCTAGACCCATGCTAATCCATGTCACCGGAAACAATAGAAAATTCAAATTCATCACAACAATCACGGATGGGAAGGGCAGGTTTCCCAACAAGTAATCTCTCGCAAGTGATAGATTCCCCAGCGAGCCGAAGGGAAACAAGGGCTCCCACAAAAAAATCAGAAAGATGAAGATGAAGTTACAAAAATTCATGAAATTAGTACTCTCGCTCTTGTCCGTATCATCTTTGCCACCCGCCGGCTGTAGCTTTCCCTTTTCCTCTTCTTCGACGTTCCTCCTGCTGCCGTCGTTCTTGTCCGTGCTCTTCGAATTCTCGACCTTCGTCTCCTCCATGTCAGCCTCTCCATTAGATACCCCTGGCTGTTTTGCACCTCCTTTGGCTTTCCCCTTCGGCGTGGCATAATTTAGAGCGTGCGATAAATTCAAATCCACATTGACTTCCAAATAAATAACCTGTTGAAGATTCAGGAATTAAAGAGGACACTGACTTATATCTTCCTCGGATATGATTAAGATTATGATATTTGTACTTGATCACATGATCAGTCAATCGAAGTAAAACTCCTCTTTTTACTAGATTTCCCTTTCGGAATTCGAGACGATGAAAACGATGTACTCGACTAGGAAGTTCGATAATAGAACCTAAACCAATCGCAGATTCAGGACTTGAAGAGGACACTGACTTCTGTCTTCCTCGGAGAAATTTTGAAGAATGTCAATGTGTCCTTTTTTATATTTTTCTATCGTAGGTCTATGAAATGATCAAGAGCCTTAAAGCGTTTGGAGGAGCCTCATCGAAAGCCGCGTCCTCGTCGATCTCGTCTAATTTAGTATCTCCCTTCTCCTCATCACCACAACTTGAGTTAAGCATTAGAGGGATGAAGGGTTCGTGTAGGAACATGACTAAGATCAAAGAGTTCTTAGGAAAAGGATTAGAGGATTCGAGGGGTGAGGATTAGAGGCGTGAAGTACATGGGCTTGAAAATATACATTTTTGCTTAGGATTATTTATCAGATCAGGATACATTATCAAGAGAGGTAAGCAGCCTCGAAACAGGGTAAATCAAAATAAAAAATGATCAAAGCTGCTGCAATTCGGTTGCAAGCTCTTGCGTCTTTATTTTTGTAGTGCCATGCCTATCCGAAAGGGAAGAGCGTCATTCTTTTGTGGCTAGTGCTAGCAACGCCGATAGGGCAGAGCCTGCGTTATGTATTTGTAACCCAGTCTTAAGCCGTTCTCCAGAAAACACGTAACCGGATCGATCACCGACCAAGCATCCAGCGTCACCAAAAATAAAGGCCCGATGGATTAGAAGCGGTATATATCAAAGAACGTAATAGCACTAGAAGTTCTTCCTAGAGGTAGAGAAACCACTGTTAGTTTGCATCATTAGGTAGACCAACCCCGATGACCATTGAAAGCTGAGCCTTAATAATAGCGCTAGAAGATCTTCCTAGAGGTAGAGGAGCCACTGTTTAGGATAGGATACATAGGAGTGGGCTCACCTGCGACAAGGTGAGCGTATAGGCATAACTAGTCGTTGAGCTTTTTCTTCCTACGTACTGGAAACTAAATTCATCCTACGTGGAAACTGAGTTCCTACTTCTCGGTAGACTCTTCTACGTGTAACCCCTTACGACGGTATAATAGTACGACCCGTAAATGTAGTACATCCCGGAGCCCAGAATTAGAAGCACGACCAAAAGAGCCACCTGAAGTCCGTTTGATGCTTGAAGGGAATCAATACATAGGAATAAGACAAGGAAAAGTGAGGCGGTTACTGCCTGAAATGAAATTCAAAGATTTTGATTTTTTTTCATATTGGAGCTGGTAAATTCAATAGAAATCAAGTCAGTGGTACCTTTTGCCACATTGATCCCAAAAATCTGGATTCGGTCCGCTTGGGAATGGTCACGAATGCGCTTGCGTGATTAGAAAGAGGCTAATCATGTTCTCGTTTTACCCTGATTAATATAATCCGTAGGAGATTCGTTGGAGACAATGTTATAGAGTTCATGAGACAGTTGTATCACGTCGATTGTGCACACTTTTTATCATAATCTCAGTCTCCGACTCAGTATCTGACGAGCTCTCAGGACTCGCTCCCTCGGCTTGTTTACCGCTCAATGGAGAACTACGAGTTCGGCGGGGACCTTCTCCATTGTCGGCGACATGGTCCCCGACCTTCGGACCGTCTGTCTTGGAGGCCTTCTTCTTGGAGGCCTTCTCCTTACGAGAAACCATCTTTCTTGGTCCTCCAACAGCGAGCTTCTTCTTTCTACGTGTAGTCAGTCGCACGTAGACAAAGGTAGTTGTAATGTTGTAAAAAAATATGAATATCAGATTGGTGATGTAGTGACTTCTTCAGTCACTAGGTACTACTTGGTACCTCATTTGTACTTGGTACATCTTGTTTACTCTTTGCTTTCAGCGAATGCTCGGTTTCTCCTACTTTATTTGGGACAATTGATAAAAGATGATTGGGATAATTGGGATGATTGCAAGAATTTCACTAGCAACGACGTTTCGTATGATTCATCAACCACAGAAACGAACGATATTTTTCACGTAACCGAAAACTTTCGCTTTACTTACTTTACTACGATTGCTTTCGGTCTCTCGTCGCTCTTGTCAGATCGGCCCTCGTCCCACTCAATTGACAGAACCTTTTTATCGTAGGGAGCTTATTTGAGTGCCATCTAATTCATATCGACGAACTAACTTCACGAGATGAAAGTGACGATGCTCTCGTAGAACTTCTTGTGCGTACTAGAAAAGTGACGATGCTCTCGTAGAACTTCTTGTACATGCTAGAAACTTTTTCTAGTACGTCTCGAGCTCGACGAGTCAAAGACTATGCGATAACAACTACAGTTATTTTTTCAGTAGGTTTTTCGACGTTTTCGCTTTTTTGACACAGGATTTTTTCTGTCAAACAACTAGACTTCTGCTAAATTGTTCGCGCTCCTTCTAGGGACCTTGAGCGACCAGGGCACTTGAAAAGCCCCATCTTGACACCATGCGCATCCACGTGTGGTGTTCCTACTTTCCATCAAGAAGCAATATGGTTTTTTTTACAAAGATAGACTAGCATCAAGTATCTATGCTTTCTCTTTTGATGCTGAATCTTTAATCCGCTGCGTTCCTCCAGCGTAAGGTTTAGTCCACCGTTTCCTCCACCAGCACAAGACAGCCCTCACGACTCGCGGCTACGTCAAGTACACGTGCAGCAGTGTTGCTGCCATCATTGGTGCCCGTACCCGTTTTTTAGAAAGACTCGTTGGCACTGTCCCTTTACCTTCTAGTTGTCAGTGTCTGTTCCCACTAACTTTGACATTGTCTTATTCCAATGAAACTGCGATCATTTTTTTTTGTTACATCACTTCCCCCCTACATGATCATGATCTCAGAGGTAATCAAAATGTATCAAGATAGGCAGTCAACAGATTCATTCGCATCCATATCATTCTGGCAGTATCCTCGTAGGCTGGACCAAGTCTTTTGGTAAGCATCCGCTCTGTCGTCCGTAGGCGAAGAGAGAGCCGTTTTTGGTCAAGAGGAGGGAAAATCGTGCTCCACCTGCTAATTTGGTGACCTCGTCTCTATCCTCCGCAAATATCTCGTCATTGTCTGCTTCTGATGGAGGTGGAGAGTTAGAAGAATGAAATTTCTACAGCAGAGAAGAATGAAATTTCTACAGCAGAGAAGACAGAGGTAGTGCTTAGATAGATGTCGATTCAGAAGTTCGATTTTACAGATGCTAAAATTGAGTATCTGAGACGATCTCTCTCGTTGTCAACATGTGAATTCTTGATGACACTCAAGCTCAACGGAGTAAAACAAATCCCATTCTTCTGTAGCATGAAATCGAAATCGATGACCATAATTTTGTGGGTTTTCTGATCGGCGTCTTTCTCTGCTTCAGCTGATCTTGAAATCCGGTGTGGCGATAGCCATGCGCGATTTCCCCATGTGATCACTTTGCCACAGGTCGTCACCACATCTGTATGCGTGTCACCACAGGCAACGTCTCTGACTACAAAACCTTGCGTAGCCAGTGATCGCGAGATTAGAAGTAGAGCATCCCTCGAAGTACGTAGTACTAGATAGCAACGTCTACTTCCAGCAGGTACAGTCGAATTAAGGGATAACTGTGAAAATGGACGTAGTGATAGATTGTGACTCGGACTTACTTCTAATCACTATTCTCTGCCATAAGACTAGTCTCGGGAAAGGCTCAAAGGAGAAATTATCCCCCATGCTTTCGTCTACGCCACACTGTCCCTGATCGTTCTGACCCCAGCAGAATAGCTCGCCTTTGGCTGTCAAAGCTGCTTGGGGTTAGAGAATGACATAATTCTATCCAGAGAGTATCCGCGGCTGAATTAAGGTAAACAATGTGCATGCATGTGTAGTCATCACGCTGTCATGTCTATTTTGGTAAAAACGATACTCTGCAGTGCTTTGCCATTTTGCAATATCTGCGAGTCATCAATTACTACACAAGTATTTTACCTCAAACAACGCCATAAGAGTGATGCAGTCCGACGGACACTTTGACTATCTCGTCAGCGCCTATATGCGTCTGAAACACTGAGTCCGGATAGTGCTCTACTTAGAGGTAGTAGTTTTTCACTATCCCGAGTCGCGTGGGCTGCCCGCTTTGCCCGTACACAACTCAGCATAGTCCACATGGGATAGTATGTAAATGAAGATGTCCGGGTTGTCCTTTAGGTGCTAGATTACCAAATTTGCGTCCCCATACAACTAGTAATAAACGTACTTAAACACAACTCAGCATAGTCTAAGTCCACACGGTTTAATACCCCATACAACTAGTAATAAACGCGTAAACACAACTACTCAGCATAGTCCAAGTCCACACGGGATAGTGACATCTAGTCCAAGTCCACACGGGATAGTGATATTAAACTACACACGGGATAGTGATCAAAAACTACCCTTAATCTACTAGTTCCAGCTCAGTGCTATCACTCACGTCACCGAGACCTAGAAGCCCATACTCCCCAGATCCAGTAGTAAACACTTTGCCACTTTGTGCGAGTACAACTGTGTGTCGTTCTCCGCAGACGACCTGGATGTTTTTTGTAGTGCCTAAGATTATTTAGAATAGATTATTTAGAATAGATTATTTAGAATAGATTATTTAGAATTTTTTGATTAGTGCCTAAGATTATTTAGAATAGATTACCTAATACATCAACACTCGTCGTGAAATCATAGCAGGTACCACGAGGATTGCACGATCACTCGCGAGTCGCGCATTACTTGTTAGTGAGAATCATGTAACAAGCAACGCGACTAAAAAAAGAGCCAACTGCAGAGCCAATAATATTTCATGTATCATTTTTACCTGTTTCACTTTCTCCCCATCCGGTAATGGAACTCTGGTTGGTTCTGATACGTCTGCAGCTGCTTCGAACCCCAAGGCATTCGCACCACCTAAGAAACTTCCATGCCAACCCAAGATTTAGAATGGATTGATGACCCGTGTACTCATCGCAGAAGATTGGTTCTTTCGTTATAGTTTTGAGCTGTGATGGCCAACCCAAGTAAGATGAAGTCATGAAATCGACAACCCAGTAGTTATGAGTAGATTCTGCAAGATTGTTATCAATTGTTATCTATCATCAATTGTTATCGATTGTGACCAGGGAAGGTAAGAACCAGCCGTGTCAACGGAATATTCATTCATCATCTCCACATTTAATCGTTCGTACAAACCATTTGTAATTCGAAGCCATAACATGTGCACAACCTTGCTTCTTCGTCGACTGCTGCCGAGTGAAAGCCGCCACAAGAGAAGTCCCGGAGCTTTCCCTCATAAGGAACCTGGAAATGAGGTGGTACAAAATCAAGGTTTTCCTGCTGGTCGAGACCCGTGCGCTGTATGGAAATAATGAACTCGAGTCAGTCGAAAGACGGACTGGCTTTTAGCTCTAGAGGATACTCCACTCGTTCATAAGAATGAATACCTTCTTTGGTTCCAGCTTGTCCTCTCCCTCCGCCTTTCGACCTAAAACAGGATACTGGCTCTTTCCGAATGTAAACAAGTCTCTGAAATTAGAGGAAACGCTTGTTCGCATCCTTGAGAGCATGAGCAGGCCCTGACTGGTGTGGCCTTTCATATTTTTCTTTCCTAGGTACTAGTACGAAAAAAAAACTATAAACCTGTTTTTGCCATTTTGAAAATTTTGACCAGAGCAGTTTTCCACCTCGAGAATACATCTACTCCGATATTACTATCCTTAACACCCGTGCTGCTCGACGAAGGCGTCACAAGAAAACCCCCATGCTCTTTCCCAAGCGACAAGCATCGTGCGGATTCGTCTCCCGATAGCGTCATAATCCGCTTCGGTGGCGACATCTTCTTCCATCTCGAGTACCATGAAGTTTCGCTAGGTCCCCAATGGTAGACAGCTCGCTGCGTCGCCGCACGCGCAGACGAGGAGGACGCGCTGGTGACAGTCATGGTTTCCTCGTCGCGGGTGATGTGGGAGTAGTCAAGTTTATAGACTTATGTAACATGTACAGAAACTTCTTCTTGTGTTCTTAGCTCTAGTGATAACAAAAAAAACCTTGCGCTGGTAATTTCAACTAACACCACCTTAAAAGATACAAACCTCAAAGTAGGTGCAAAGCATAACCTTTTCTGATGTTTAGGGAAAAGCAGGGACAGCAAGATCTTTCTTGATGGTGGAATCTATTCATCATGATCACCCGTTCTCGATCCATCAGCGTGATGTATACCAGTATCATGGATGTGTACCGAGTGAGCCACAACAACCATCGCCGCTTTTTAGCACCAAGGAATAGCTGGCGACATATTCACCACGAACAATTTCGAAGGATGAGGAAAAGCAGCTGCAGCTCGAGGCTGATGAAGCTGGAGTAGTTCAATTCAATTCAATTCATTGGCGCGACTCCATCTCCCCATTCCTGGGCGTAGTCGACGAGAGCCACAAAAAACGGCACACCAGGCACAGTAGTTTTTGTTTTTGATAATGTTGAATGTTTTTGGAAGTATCGTCGTGGCACATTTTAAGAAAAAGACTTACCTTTCATGCGGAGTATTCGTGGATATGTTTAGGCTGACACTGAGGTGTACTATGAGTGCTCATCTCAGATGATCTGTGATCTGTGTGCCTATGGTCGCTGCAAGCAAAAAGAAACTCTTAATGCTGCTCATAATATGGTACCTATTCTTTACTTCATAGTAGTTCCTATGTAATCTACGTAATTTTTAGTACATAGTTCCTAGTCCTACGCATATTTCATTATACATAGCTCCTACGTAATCAGTGACTTAACATGAAGTATTCATCATGGGGTGCGTATTTTTGATCCAAGGATTTCTTACAGGGAAAAATAGCTGAAGATTTGAAAAATAGCTGTAACCACCATGCAGAACTACAGCATATTCTATAGCTTCCACGACTTTTTCCATGTCATCAATTGTCAATCACGAACGAAACACTCAAAAACTGTTCAACCCCCATCCAATACACGTCTATACATTTCTCGTAAGTTCTTGCATTAATACTGCATAAGTACTTATTCCTCCTTGACCGTTGTAGAATACATAGCACGTTGTAACTGGATAGAAAAGAAAATTTGTTTCTTTCATTAATTTCGTATTGAGTAGGTATTCTACATGCACGAGCATAAACGTATTCTCCTCTTGCTGTGCTGCTTAGCGTAGGTTTTTGTAGGTTTTTTTCACGATATCATATGTAAGTAAAACTACAAGTGATGATCTGCATTGATATTAATATGTTTTCATGGTTCATCGTCCGTCCAACGTCTTCCTATGGAGCGGTTGATTTGTTTTTGCTGTAAAAGTTTAAATGTATTAAGATTTTCAATCCTTTTCATCTTGGCCTAAATCGAAGGTTTCCTGAGTTTTGCTTGATTTTGTTTGCAAGGCATTTCTCATAATAGTATTGCTTGCATGGTAGAAGGAGAAATCGTGTGCCACCTCATCTGGGATTTCCCTTCACATTGACTTAGTTATTTGCTTAAAACCTGAACAGTATCGAATAAAAAGAACACAAACGAACCAATACCATTGCCATGATTTTGATTATACACCAGCTATCTTGTTGCGCGTTAATGAATACAATGTTGAATAATACAATGCTAATACAATGCCATAGTATACAATCCTCCGATAATACACAAGCGCATAACCACTTTTCCCTATCCCAGTTCTTGATAAGTCGTAAATCGCAAATTTCTAAATTGATTGTTCCAATCCGTTATAGTTTTCAGTTTGTAAACGCAAAAACATGGTTGTCCAAATGTAATATCGTATCATGCAGACAGAGCTCAGCCATAGAGGTAATCGAAAAATACGAAGAGTTTACGGAAGAATATTTTGTGCTATCAGGAGCACTATTCTAAGTACACAGCGCTTATCCCACCCCTTTCTTAAATTTCTTACAATTTCATTCAACCACAAGGGGTACAACTAAGTGAGTCTACACTTCTTCGTCCATCTCTGCCGCAGACACCTTCCGCCCCTTTGGTGGTGCCATTTTTTGCGCGACGATTTTTCTTCTTTCTTCTTCCTCGCGTTCATAGGCCTCAATCGCCCTTTTGCGCTCTTCCGCGATCTTACCCTTGCGATGAGCAACTTCGTTGCCCTCAGCGAACTGACTGCTGCTCAGTGGATTGCGACGCACAAAAACCTCATCACCTGGAATGCAGACCTTGACGTCCTCCTTTTTCGCGCGACCGTCTTGGGAGACGCAACCTGTTTCGTGGTGGCAGCGGTTTGAACATTAATTGTGCGCTGGGATTTATTGCCTTTTCAGAGAAAACCATTTTTCCAGACCCAGGCATGCGTCTATCAACATGGGAGTTGTTTCACGTAAATGATTTTGCTGCTTTGCTGCACACATTGAAGAAAAACTACATGATTCAATCAACAACCCAGTGAGTGTAAATTTGAGTACCTGGCGAATTCTCGTTCTCCACTGCAACTGGCAACGACAATGTTGGCTTCGGCAAGAGTCCACCTTTGAGGCTCGCACGATGTCCTAGCAGGAGACCAAACTTCTTCTGCCACAGCAGTCTGTCTTCCACGTTCTTATCGATGACCGCGATTGGTATCCTTCCAATCCGTGTGTTCGCGCCAAGTAGAGTCTTGTGCCTGTCACTCGCTTTTGCCGGTTTGAATGGGTTCTCTTTGAGTTCGATCGACAAGAAGTGCATCACTCGGCAGATGGGGGAGACCACACTGCTTGTGCCGAAGGGCATGCCGTGCTTCTGCCTCTTCTTCACCGAAGCAGCTGACTCACACATGGCGATTTCCTGCGGTCGCTCTTTTTCGTCGAAACTCCGGTAGCGCGTGACATCAGGCCCATCGATCACATGGAGTAAAGAACTCACATCTGGGATCTCGATTTGGACCTTCTGACTCTGTCCAGAAGCAAAGGTGCTAGACTCGAGGTTCTCGACATGAAGGACGCGGGAAGCCCACTCAGCCTCGAATTCGTGCCTGGAAGAAGAGATGTTTGATTATAGTGTTTTAGATGTTTTGAAGGTCTTCGGAGAGAAGTTTTGAGGTAAGCCAACATCATGATCTTCATACTTACACCACAACTGGGTCACCCAGCAGTACAAATACAACCAACAACAAATTGACCCGAATCAGTATTCGGGCAACTACAAGGCATCAAACTAAAACAGATCCATCTACTAAATACCATTCCCCCTTCAACAGCGCCAGGTCATGGGTGTCATCGTCTGGGTGATATTGACCGCGATTTGAGATCGGCGGGTAAAGGGTGTAATCCAAATAATCATCTTCCGTCATATCGGATCCAACGGGTTGGCCCTGTGGTGGGGTATATTGGAGAGGATAAAATTTGATTGTGAGCAAGCTGAGCAACAATGTGAATTGCAGAAACACAAACAAAACTTCTCGTTCCTATCTACTGCAGGAAAGACATTACAAAGGGGGAAAAGCATAGTCATTCGCCAAAGTTGAGGCTATCTCTTCGAGTACTATAGTACCATCATCGTGACAACTTCCGTCAAGCGGACAATCAGTTTCTTGAAACTCGCCGTTTTTTGCGCCGTGTTACGCAGAGTGAGTGATATCGACAGCGGCTGTGCGAATTCGTCTTTCGGGCTACCCTCAGTGTCAACTGCGCCGCTTCTTGCTATTTCGTTGAAAACAGGACTCTTCTCGACTGCCCGTCTCTCAGATTCGGTGCTGAATTCTTGAGGGGTTGCGTTCAGGTAGATCTCACCAGGACTAACATTCACGTCTTCCAAAACGGCTTCGGTTACCGCTTTGCCGCCGGGAACTGTGTTGAAAAGGGGATCGATGAGAGGGATAGAATTGGAAATTCAAAAACAAGTAAGTACGAATTACGATTTTCAAAATCACAAAAAAACAACGAGAAAGAATCAATTCTAATTCTCAGTGAAGATCCTCTTATCCCCAAAATCCTATACCACATAGCGTCTTCCCCGGTTCGTAGACGAGTGGCAGCGCATCTGCGTGTAATGTGTGCGTTCCCATGATATCTCGGATATCACGCATTGCATAGGGATTCTCTATCTGCACTTTGATTTGGCTAACACTCTTATTAATCTTCCCGGGTGATGTGTCTTCTCCGTCGTCTCCGTCCTGTGCGTGGTTTGAAGCGTATGTTGACAGTGAAGGAAAGAAAGCTTGTTTGACCATGAATTCTTTTGGGAGAAAGAAAAAATTTAGGTAGTTACCATCTTGTCACGTCATGTCGTGGTGCCTCCTGTATAGCATTGTGTATCTCCATCGAATGAGGCCGTTCAGTGAAGTAGTACCATCTCGAATCACATACGATTAATTTCCGAACAATATGAACATTCTAAAGTAGCAGTACCTCCAGCATCGATCCCGTTGTGCTGGTAGATTTTTTCCTAGCCTTACTGCTTTTCCTCGAACTGGCAGTGCTTCCGCCAGCTGCTTTCTTCTTCCTTCTTCCGCGGCGACGCATCTTGGATGCGGCTGTGCCGGAAAGCATTTCCCCACCCTCATAGCTTGTGGGGAAGCCTTTTTCAGTCAGCTCCGCTCTTGTCATCGCTAGGAGCTCCTCAGCGGAATAGACTCTGTCATTTGTTTGGAAGGATAAGATCTTTGGTACTTAGTGAGCTGGACGAGGTTATCATGAGAAGTATTCAAGAGATAGAGCTTTCAAGTAGGGGTAATTAACACAATCGAGATGAACAACATGGACGCCACGGGGTAACAAACTCACATGCGCATAACATGATTGGGAATGTTGCCTAGTTTCTAAATCTAATCTTTAAATATTCCCCTCCTCCGTCAGTGTGTCGTGTATCTAATCTTTAAATATTTACTTGCCCTCCTCCGTTAGTGTGTCGTGTCGTAGACCTCTGGCTTCGCCGGTTATAATCCCTCTAGCAATCTCCTGCAGGTGCAAAGGTGAATAGTACACGTTGGCTGTTCCGCGACAGGGGAAGAAAATATTCGTCTTCATATAATGCGGGACCAACACGTCTGCTGATTGCCTCACGAACAGCTTGGCTTTGACCTATGGGCGGAAGGTGAGGTGATGTTGGATTTATAGTCGCTGTATTTGAGACTGTGTTGTTTGATCCTTCCGGACGTAGTCGATTCTGGTGTCTAGCAACCAAATCCACTAGCATCATGATGACCTATATTATGATGACTGGAGTTCATCTACCATTCTACCAAATTCCAAGATTCCAGCAATCCCGTTTAAAGTAGTTACCTTGTAAAACACGCCTGCGCATTTATCGAATGCCTTGTCTCGCCATATGCCGTCTGGGGTAGTGCTCGGTGGGTAGAACTCTTTCAAGGGCCACTTAATGCTAAACGGCCATTCGCGACCGGCCGTTTGATAAATCGGTAAGCCGCCAGATGTCATCGTGGGTTTCATATGGGGTGGAGTCTCTTCGCCTTCAGCTCCTGTTGAGGTGAGTGTTTGAATTATGGATGGTTGTTCTTCGTTGTGGAATTTTATATTTCCTGATTCTTAGCATGCGAAAAATTACAGTGAAGCTACACCCTACTGAACTAGTTACTTCCAAAGAATCAACTTGGTGTAAAATCATTTCCAGTCTCTATTTCTAGTCCACTAAACACACTCAAAGAATCTAGTAAAGAAGTCAGCAGTACTGTCAGTTTGCCAAACGACGAATTTTTCTTTGATGAATTTTTCTCTGCCAAAATAAACTTGGCCGTCAGCCCACCACTTCGCAATGGCTCTTCCCGTAAGAGTCATTTCTAGTCTCTCCAAGTCCTGATGCATGTCTCGCAACAAAACTATCTGACCGGTTAGCTCCTGTTGGATGGTGGTGGCAGAGGTGAAGATGGGATGAATTTCAATCATTGATGCATGGTAAAAGTAAGAAAGTATTTGGTACTAGTTCAGATTTCAGGAGCTAGCAGCTACCAAAACAAAATTCACAAATCACGAACAGTACCGCTCCCGGAAACACCACCGGTATTTCCGCCGCATCAAGTCGCAACTTCAATAGTGGGTTGAAGATCACTTCATCTGCCTGGTTACTCTGTCCCCGTCTTGGACAGTACACCTTAGTACTGTCGAACGGCCTGTTCCGCCGTGACGTTACTACTACGCCAGCCTTCATCTTGCCTTCTTCCGCGCTGCTGAAAGCAACTTCAGAAGGAAATCTCCGGTAGAACTGTCCTCACGCAGCGTGCTGTAGAGACTGCATCGGAGCCGTGGATCTCGTATCGGAAGATGATAAAAATCAGGCTTCGGGGCAAACTTTTTGTAGGAGTAAATAAATAACTAGGGTTTGATGTTAATGAGAAGTGGCAAACGACCAGAGAAGAAATTATAACACAAGTCAGGATGGTCGTAGTACAACGAGGGTACAACAGAGCAAACTGCCACTTGTGTAAAGTAGGGTTAGAGGGTGGACAAACTAAATCAATTTTCGGGTGTCAATATTACTTCTCATGGAGAGCATGATCATAAAATCAAGATCAACCATGATGACAAGTACTTATAACAAAGCTTGTTACATCGATAATGAGTTGTCATGAGGAAAATTGGAGTGTGTGTGGCAACAATAATGAAGCCTGGATGAGGAATGAGAGAGGGTCAAAAGTTCTTATCTCGGTGGTTGAATGTCTTACCTATCATGTCTAAAGATAAAGCCCTAGGCTCTACATACGATCACTCACGACCATCGCCCCGTAGGCTCATGGCCCCGGTGGCGTCGGCTCCTCACATGGTCTTTCTCTATCGGTACACAGAATCATCTCTCTACCTCAGCATATCCCTACCTCAGCATTCCTCCTACGCAGTACAGATGATACCTAAACCTGAAAGCATCTGCATCGGTTAAGAAGATTCCACTTTCGAATGATTTTTTCTCACATAGTGATCATCCTCTCATGCTCGTAAACAGATAGACATCATAGCACTTCTCTCTGAAGAACAGAACATCGTTCTCTAAATTCGCAACACCCAGTCTCTATCTCTCGCTGCACCCTGATTCGCTTTTCTCTAGAACCAGATTACTCTTTGCTCTCTGAAAAGAGATAGTGCGTTCACTCAGGTGAGTTGGAAAGCCTGCTCTCTGCTCATCTCTCATACTCAAAATCTCACAGTGGTCACTGAAAACAAGACTCTATTTTTTTGTTCCACCTTTGATTCACGTCCAATAAGACAGATTCCTTTATTCACTCCACTCTCAGGACAGACTGGTTCTAAGACGTCAGCTCTCCGACCTCAATCATAAAAGAACAAATGCGCCGCAGGATGAATCAGTATGTTATCATGATGTTGCGCGTCACTTCCATTTCAGTTCGTAGTTGTCCTTATTTCTTCCAACAATGGTGCCATCACGTACCACAAATCCTCACTGTCCGAGACAACATTGCTTTTACGTCCCAGAGTAGGATTCCTCTCCGATTCACGTTTCTTTTCCAGGAACTCTTTTCTTTTCTGCATCAACTTAGAGCTTGAAAGTTGACCCTGATCTAGTAGTTCGCATATCATCTATGGCTTTCCTACTTGAGGAAGCCTGCCATAGAGATCTATGCTTATAGGTGAGAGAGGTCAACTTCCAACCCTTAATCAACCCCTCTATCAATGCTGTGCTTTCTCTTCGTGCCGACAGCTCTAGCTCGCCACCTAATAGATCAGGCATCCGATTTGGCGGTTGGCCACCGGCAAAACTGTAGAAACCAGCCACTTTGAAAAACGTCGGAAAGTGTATAGCGGCAAGAGAGCCCGTGGAAGTAGCGTACATTTTGATGAGGTAATCCGGCGTGAACCAAAGAGCGACTGCACTAGCTGCTGCAACGATACCGTACGAGGCTGGAACCAGGGTCAGCGCGTACATTAAAAGGGAGACGCCAAGAAAGTTGATTCCGAGGAATTAGAGCAGGTGGCAGAAAACTCTTTCATTAAGGGTGCTCATAGCAGACGGTCGCACTACTGTACTTGATTTTTACTTACACCATTTGGAAATTCACATCTCAATTTCGATCATGAGTAGCATCTTCTGTACCCAACTGATCACTTGTAGAAGCATTCCTTCGCCCTACTTGATGCAGAAGAAAAAATTCGCACTGATTGTTCGAAGACAGCGTATAATCCGCAACGTTCGAAACGATGGGGCTGCTTCTACTGTAGCGCTTCCTGTAGAACTTCTTATCCGCTCCATTGCCGCAGAGTCATATGCTTGTGCGATGCCCAAGTGTGATACCATCATCGCAAAGAACAGACACAGCAAGATAGACGCCAAAAAGGACACACAGCACATAACTGCCGACACTTTGCCCATCATTCTGCCGTTTTTAGCCGTAATCAGTGGCTTGCCCCAATTGAAGCTTGAAGAATCGTCGCTATCGTGGCCTGGAAGCTTAGAAGTGGAGGAAGTAGACTTGTTCTTTTTGGTACAGTGCTAGTTTATTGACTGTAGTTGTCAGAAGATTCACTTTGTAAATTATACCAAAAAGCATCACTTATAGAAGCAGACTTCCTCCCCGCCTTAAGAAACGTCGAATAGAAGAGTGTTTCGGTATCCAAGACGAGAAAGCCGTATGCTATGAAACCCAGTAAACCCGAAAAGACAATCCATAGCTCGGTCATGAGGAGCAGTTCCCTTACTTGCGCTTGGGGATCTGCGAAGACCAGGTGCAAGGAGCCAGCCCATAACCCTAAGGGGCGAAACTTCGTTCTAGGCTTTTGATGTGAGGATGTTTTGTCTGGATTCGGATTCCCACTAGCAAGAATATCTTTGACCACGGGCGCCACGTCTAACAGCAAGTATCGTCTGAGAATATCGCGACACTCAGCAAGCTCACGCTCTTGTTTCTTCCTATTCTCTTCTGACGATTTCAGGCCGTGAAAGCGAGAGAGGCCCTTGCGAATTTCCTGGAGATGTTGTAGGCCATCGTCTTCCTTACCAAGATCCTCGTTGCCCGCTGCTCCTTGGCTTGCGTCTTCCTCTGCAGCGTCGATTCCGTCCTCTGCAGTTGGGTCAGTGCGGACCTCATAGCGTTCGTACATCTGCGAAGCAAACATGATTTGCCTTTCGCTTGGTTTTTCAAGAAACCTTTGGAAAGTACACAGTAGTTTGTGGAAAATGGCATCCTATTCCTTCTTCCAGGATAAATTAAGCTTTTTTGAGAGGCATCAGTTTTTTCGTTACTATTTTTTTGCTGCACTTTCAGCATCTTTCCATTTCAGGAACGATGAGTCTCTGTACTACACCGCACCGCACAAATGCAGGACCAGAGGCCTCGTGATTCTTTTCTTCACCTGCATACAACAGCTCGTGTCATACAAGTAAAGTCGACAATATTCAGAAAACGGTGTTGATACCTAATCACCGATCAATACAACAACCTTCTGTGTGTGCACGTGAACTACCTGACCACCCCCTGAGTCATCACCTCTTCACACCCCCAATACAGCAAACATCTGCCCTGTCTCCGCTTCGGCAATGCCGTCTTCTCGCGAGTAGATTGCTCGAAAGTGCGCGTTGATGAGCGGGATCAGCACATATCGGAAGTTGCGGCAGAGCGCGACGAACTCGAGGTATGAAAGTCGAAAGTACTTACATAGGGAATAGGATGGGATCACGCCATGGGATGTGGTCTCTCGTTGTCCATGTTGTCTACCTATTTTGACTTCCATCATGCCATGGGATGTGGTAGGTCGTTGTCCATGTCTACCTATTTTCTTGACTTCACTACCAGCTTGTTAGCTTTAATCCTCCTCATAAAGCATCAGTCACGCCCCCCTGTCCGAGATGTTCCGCTCGATAGGAGTGCAGCACATTCACCGCCCCAGCGCACACTTGCCGCAGGTGGAAGACACACGCTGCTCTGATTCCCGGAATGGCGCACTGTCTTAGCTCGTTGAAAGTCGCGATCAGTTCGTTGGCAAAGTTAGAGCTCTCGCTAATTCATCCCTGTGGCAATCCCTCAACAATATGCCACAGTATTCCCCTTGTATGGGGATGCATATTGTTGAGGAATTCCTATAGAGATGGATTAGGGGTAGCCTTAACAAAGACTGCTAGAGGACGATGCCGCATCAGCTGCAAGGCGTTCTCGACCATGAAGGAGACGGAGGAACCAGCGGACATCTTCATCGGACCGCTTTGTGTCTGTGGCGCCACAAGCCAGTCGTAGAGGAGGACCTCCTGTTGGAATCGTTCTAGTGCTGTGTCGAGACGCGACGTTACGAGATAGATCCCCCGTTGGTGAAACACCGTCTGCACAGCGGGAAAGAAGCCACAACCTAGCGTTCGCATGGTGTTCGAACAATGCATCACGCACTTGAGGATACTAGCGAGAGCACTCGCATCAATCTGGGAACCACGGAGAGATCCTGTAATTTACGGGATTGGAAGGTAGTTGTAGGTTTCATGTCGCACCAGGGAGAAAAGGCTACGGGCTGATGTTCTTTCGCCCCATCTTGTTGATATAATTAGAAGAACTTATACGAGACGAATTATTTCAACAAGCACCTTGCGCCGCCATCCCATATTCAGGCACAGCCAACTGAGAGGAAAGAAGATCGACAAACCATCGAAGCTGCAGTTGTAACCAGTTCGCTAGGACCATCTCTGTTTGCTTCTTCTCATAACCACTGGCTGACTGAAAAAATAAAGCCTTGAAATGCATTCCGATGTCGAAGACCTTTTTAGGGATAGTGGAAATCAAGACAAGTAGTAGTTACAAGTTGTTCCCCTTGATGTATGAGTATTGACTACTTTTGGACAAGATTAGTTTCGTTGTACTTCTTAAGCAACTTTCAACATTCAAAGATTAAATTCATCTCAGATATCTTCATATAAAGAATCGAACAAAGCCAGTACCAGATGAATCTACAAGTAGTACATAAGTCCGCATCAAATCCGACGCTGCGCGTAAACAGCTAACTGGGGATGCAGCTACATTCTTGTCGATCTGCTTCCGATGCTTTTGTACGAAAATGCCCCTTTGGTCTAGAAACAGAGATCGTATCTGTTCTTCCGAGTAAGCGCCCAGCCGTCGGAGGTAACAGAGGTTAGATTCGAGTTTTATTCGCAAGTAGCAACGGTGACGAAATGCTAACTCCAGTTGTAACGACCTACAACTTGAACTTTTTACTCAGCTCTAAATGTAAATTGTATAAGCGATATTCCATCATAACAATGACCCTGACACAAGCGGGCAAATGTATATCTGTCGCCAGTTGTGACAGCAGGCTTTCTTCGAAGTGTTGCCTCTGAGCCGCTACTTGAGTCTCCAGCAAGTCTAGTAGTGGTATTGCGAAACTTTCTCCGCCACTCCCACCTAACCGCTTAAGCCGGGCTTTATGGGATTGGAAAAGGTGAGCTGAAAAGCCCAACAGATCCACCACCTCGTCGTACATCTCCCTCCGGATACAGGCGTCTAGAAGTTGCGGGACTTCGAGCAGTTCTTGGATAGGCTGGATAGGGTTTGGGTTTAGGGTTTAGGGTTTGAGAAGACGTGGTGTATTTGTATTTTTGAGGGCTCGCTTTTTGTCAGGAAAAACAAAAAGGTCAATGGTGAAACATGACCTAAGTTGCTCTATTTTTCTTGCCAAATAGCTTTGAAAAAGAAGCGGACCAACTGGACATTGACCTCCTCTATATTATGTTGTTGTTGTTGTTGCTCACTGTCGACTACTTTTTATTTGTAAGAATACCGTGTTAGACTACGGAGCTTCCTCATTTAAGAATGTAAGAATACCGTATACTTCTGCAGTATATTCCGCAAGCTCTCTCGCTCTTGCGCCAGGACTGGTGCAACGTCCGCGTTAAAGCTCTCAAGAGCACTCTTTAGCGGATCAAAGATGTGTGAGAGTGATTTATAACGCCTCAGAAGTTCCGGAAATTCTTCATCAGTAACTGACGCTGCGAGTGTCGTATTCTCCAAAAATGCGCCGACGTTCTGTTGTGTGGACAGACTAGCTAGAGGGCCCCTAACTAGAAAAGGAGAAAAATTAATCAAATTAGTTCTGTTGTGTTTGATAATGATGATTGGAGGTGTACTCGTCAACAAGATTCGCCTACGTTGGTTATGTTTTGAATCGATAGTTTTTATGTTACCTCCTTTGGAAACTAGAACTAAGACAAACCTGTGCCGCCAGCTCCTCCATCTCGGATTTTTAAAAGTGCAACTCGGTTGACTCCTTTAAAAAATGAAAACAAACCTGTGACGCCAGCTCCTCCATCTCGTTTTTTATAAAGTGCAACTCGTTCTTCAAACTTGAGGGTTCTGCGCAAATCTTCTCGTATGGACTGGCTGCTAGAAAAGGGACATAGCTGCGGGCAATGCGGTAAGTCGCGCAATTCGGGTCACAGTCTTCTTTGCTTAGAGCCAGAGGTAGTCTAGTTTCTTTAATTTGGTAGTAGCAAAATTCGGATCTTCGCTGTCCTCTACTTTGTTTAGAATGAATGGGTAGTCCAGATTCACAGCATTTCAAATTACGATCTTCTCCTTTTGTAAACATGATCCCATAATTTCGAAAGCAACAGCGGAAACAGAGTCTCGATACTTGACGGGTTCGGGTCGTCCTGCGATGTGTCTAATCCATACTTGCGAGCCATCGTGTGGAAATCTTCCAGTGTTGCTGCTGGGCCGCTCTTACCTCCATTCTGTACTTGTCCTCCACCTATCGGTTCTCCTGTCGTTGCAGGACTGTCAGCTCCTCCAGCACCTGCACTCTTCACAGCTGAGGTAGAGGACATTGACCCTCCAAGTTGCAGATTAGGGTTGTTCCTCGAGAGAGGTACGCCCTCACCGTCCGTAGAAGGCACAGGAGCCGTCATCTTTATTTTGTACTAGCTTTTACTACTGTCTGGCGGAAGATTAAGATGGTGAAAGAAGATACTAGTCTTATCAATGTACAAGTGGTGCTAGTCTTTGAACTACTTGGAGAGTACTTACCATTTTTGATGATTTGCCCTCCTGTACTGATGTCTGTTCTTTTACTATAACCTGCCTAAACCATCCACATCATGAATATCCCCATCCTGAATTCTACTTTTCTAATTTGTGTTTTCCTATGGGGAATACATTGTAAATCTAGCAGTGGACATCCATGACTCGTTTTCATGAAGGGCACGATGCAACACGCTGCAGGAATTCCTCACCCGTGAAAAGCGCACGCATGGAAGTGCTTGCGCAAGGCGCAGCGTCAAGAGATGATTGATGTTCCTGTTATGCCCAGAAGCTTCGCTAGATGTAGGTCCCATAATACGCAAGCATTGTCTGTTGAATCTGATCAGCAAAGAGCATGCGTTAATATGTTTGCCCTTGTTCCTACAATTGCGCAATCATGTACTAAGGGAAATCTCGATGTGTTATCCTTCCACCTCAGCGGAAAAAAATGACTGATGTAAGTACTTGCTCCATTCCATCGCGGCGCGTCTATGATCACTAGCAGAAAGGCTAGCAGACTAGTCGTGCTCATACATTCCTCTGACTTTAGATGTATTTGGTCCACCTCGTCCCTTTGTAAGTGTCGTTAAATTTATCCTACATTGGACACATCAAATGGCAATGGGGGTCCGACCTGACCATCACCTTCGTGCCCTACCCACCCAAACTTAAAACGGTAGCCCTTTCCACCATCTCGTCTTGACGCAAGGTCGGTGAAAATGGCTTTGTAAGGCGAGCAACTATCCAAATTGTCGAAATTGTACCTGGTGCAAAGTATGTAAGTAGCAGCAGTAATACTGTACCCAATCGGCAGACAGTAGATCTTGCGCTCTTTTTGGCCGATATAATTGATGAGGGAGCCCGAGTGTCACAACACAAAAAAAAGAAGAACGAAAAGCGCCGAAGCCCCGCGCTAGGCGGGTCAGTCTGTCAGCCAGCCAACCCGCCTAGCCACCATCCCACGGTAAGCAAACAACGAGCGAGTCCCGCCCCTCGCGCGCGGCATTCTCCCCCTGGGGGTGGTAAGACGCTCCAGGCCTGAAGCCCGCCGCGGGGCACTCTTTGCGCAGCCACCCCACATGCGTAACCCGTCTGAAATGCTCGGAGCCTTTTTCTGCTCGAAGTCGTCGAGGAGGCTGACACCGTTCGAAGGTCTTCAATCGCAACCCGCTTTAGCTACTCCTCAGCCCGGCGCGAATGAGCCAAGCCGCGCCCCCTGCTTTCTCACCAAGTTCGCTGCCCCTCGTTGTTTTCACCTTCGCGCCTGACACCCTTTGACAGACTGCCCCAACCAATGGCCTGCCAAACTCGCGGCCGCAAATCAGCTGCGGACACGTCTCAAAAAATGCGGCGAAAACACGGCGGGGCAGCGCTCATGAGTTTGCCAAGCTGGCCCCAAACGCTTTTGCCAGCGCTGGCAGCTAAATCCCTTCAGCCGTCAAAACCGTAAACGCGGACGCCGCAAATGCCTTCCATCATAGGTGCATACTGCGCGAAAGGGTGGCGCTAGGGGCTTGCTGTGTCTTCGCGGGTACTCCCGGGAGGCATTGCCGCCAGCCTTGCCACCCATCCCCCTTGCAGTACGCTCTCCCACCGCAGTAGGTAGCTCCGCTGCCAAATGGGGAGCGGCGCTGGTCTCCCCTCATCGCGTCAGGGTGCTGCCAAAGCCCCGCCGCCCCCCGGCTCCTCGCCAGCTCGTCGAGGGTTCCATGGCCCTCGACTAGCTTGCACGCAGCCCGGCAACCCAGTGGCCCACCCTGCAATTACTTCAGAAAGACCCCACACGAGCTGCCGGTCATCTCCTTGAGCGCCATCCAATTGGGGGCGCGGCAAACCGAGCCGGCGAGACTCCGGGAGCCCTTCTGCTGCGTATCAATATTAGAGAACGAGGGACCGCCCGAGGCCACACATTCGCAGCCAACAGCGAAGCTAGTGCCCTGCCTAGAAGCCTAGACGACGCAAGCGAGCCCTTGAGCGCCCAAAAACCGGAGGCGCCGCTTTGGCACCGCGCCCATCGATCAGGGGGCGCGGCCAGTGTCTCACCACGCTAAGACGGAACGCGGCCGCGCCCGCGGAAATGCCAAAGACTCACGCACTGCGCCAGTTTCTCCGCCTGGCTTCGTGCGTGGCTTCTGCTGCTGTTGGCGCTACCGTCCGGCAGTTGGAAGCTGAGCAGGGGCCGCCGCTCTGCTTTTTTTGCGTCAGACCAACCGCCGGCGCCGCGTTCCGCGATGCGGCCAAGGTCTGCGTCCCGGGCGTCGAATGTATTGCGCCAGCGCGCTGCGCGTGAGCGCCGCGCGCTAACCCTGACGGACCCATACGTTGTCGGCGCTCGCCCGCCACCTATCGTCGCCCGCCTCCGAGCACACAGATACACACTTAGACAAGCACTTCAGTAAACTACGCTATTACCAATCAAACCAGCATTGATGGCTATCGACCATCGCTTTGGTCCTCTTCAGTTCGTCAAAATGGTTGGTCACATATTCCGCAACCCAGTTGTACAAATCCTCTGATACGTAATCCTGAGGCCATCGAATGCTCAGCCTCTTCCAATTCAAATGGTTCTGAAATGGCAGAATAAATCGATCCGACAGTATGATCGGGATGCAGCCAGCGAAAAAGCTTGTAAAAAGATGATTAGTCCAGCTGCTTGTGCCCTCTGGGATCAGGCAGAAATGGCTTTTTCCGATAACCTCGAAATAATTCGGGATGAAGTCGCCGATTGAGGTGTTCGCTTTCCCTTTAAAATACTTCTCGATGTCGATACGAACCTGGTTGTGTGGTCAAATAACTTGGAATTCAACTATTCAAGGATAGATTGGGAACAGAAAACAGCAATTCTCTAGTGATTTTCATACAACTTGTCTCAACCTTTGCAATCTCAAAGAAGAGGCACTTAGATGCCACTTCACATAGCGAAAATATCATTACCTTAACATTCTGATAATATTTGTGGTTATTCCCGGTTCTTCCGTGGAAGGAAAACAGTAAGGTGCGCTCTTCCGAAGGCAAATTCCATTTCCTTAGTTCCATTATCCTGTATTCATCCAAGTGTCCAGGTATCGTCCAGTCTTTCCACGGGGAGTAGCAACTAGGGCCATAGCCAGGGGTAATTAGAGAGGAGCCTTCGTCATCCTTCAGTCTTTCATTGATTGATTCCCCTCCCTAGTAGTACTCCTCGACTACCAGCGGGACGACTGACTCTCCGTCTCCATTTGGGATACGGATGATGAAGCAGCTTCCATAAGGTAAAAGCTTCGGTCGTCAAGAAGATGCTGTTGTGGATGTGCTCGCGCCAAGACGGAAAAGTGTGCGTGAAATTCACGATGAAGCCTTGATCGCTGAATATGAAGACATGGTCAGCCCCACTGTTTCGGCTAAACCAAGGCTCCAAATATTTGTTGATCAGCGTCGTGAAGAGCTCGTCAGCGTTGGAGATATTGCGTGTTTTGTCGTAGTGGTTCACGATGATCACGGAGTGTGGATCGGCTCTTTCCTCTGCGTAAGGGTCGTCGGCCTCTGACGAGAGATTCAACGGCGGCAGAATGTGCGCCCTTGTGGTCAAGCCGGTTTGTCCTCCTCGTCTAGGGGTCAGGTGGTAGTGGCAAGCCCGATAATCCGGGACTAAAAACAGATCTGCTTCCTTCGCTTCTTGTGTGCGACACGAGCTGTTCATCAAGTATCGGTGTAGTATCACCTCGACTCCCCACTGCCCTGCACTACAGAACAAACCTCCACGTTCGTACTCGCCTGTCTCGTGCAGATATATTTTCAAGCCCGTACCAAAACAACTCCTTCCATTTTCTGAGGAAACGTCGATGAAATTCCCCAAACCAAGCAGAACAGCCCAAGGAGCTGCGCCAGTTGGGCCGAAACCTGGCGGTCGAAGTACTGGCCCTTGAGGTATTGTCCAATTCGCCAACAACCTCTGTGCACCCAACGTCTGTAACAACTGAGCACTGGCCACGTAGATCTGTTGTGCTACCACTAGGCCGTCTTCAAATTCGACTGCTGGTAAGGCGTTGAGGAAGGGCTTAGAGCATTTACGTGCTAGATCACGTATTTGTAGAAGATGCTAACGATCACGTATTTGTAATTGGAAATCAATCGGAAAAATGGCTCGTCGGTTGAGATTTCCCTCCTAGTACTTCTGGCGTGGTTCAGTGAAGTGAAAAAAGCCCTGTCGCCTTAAGGATAGTTAATGCTCCGAAAATGCAATCCACAAACCACATTCCTTGTCCAGACTCCAACTGTAGCAGTCTTTCTGGCGTAGCGATCGTACCCCACCCTTGCGGATGCTTGCTCATCAAATTGTAGAACGTGGGAATTAGAGAACGTGGGAATACGAGATTTTTTCGTTGAACATATCAATGTAGATGTCCTACTACGTGTACTACCTTTCAGGGACACTAACATTCTAGAAAGTCTACAATAGAGAGACCTATTTGAATCTAATTACATCAAGAACAATAGTGGCTATAGTCAGCTTGTTAACCTTAGATAGTCGAAAAAAATATTTTCACATTTGAGATGAAAAAAATCCTGAACACAGGATGGAGAGGCTGCTTTGCTGCGAAGAGGACACTTTTTGTTGTGTTTTGCCTATGGTGTTATTTGGTTGTATAATATGGGTGGAGCCAAGGTAACTAGGAAAAGAAAAAGGATAGTAGGTAAAGGATAGATAAGTACAGAAATATTAGTATGGCGTTATTTGGTTGTATAATCAAATTGAAATTTCTATTTCTTAAAATTGTGATAAAGTGACCTCTCTTACTCTTCTCATAAGTAATGTCTCTCCAACATGCGAGGCGTCGAATCCAGCAGTTCGCGAACGTGGTAGGTGTCATGAAATGCTCTAATGTGGTTCCACGTCGCTGGAGTTAGAGCTACCGCGCTCGCATCCCTGAGAGCCTCCCTGGCTTCTTTTTCAAGCAGAAAAAGGGCCACGGATGGTGCTGAGGATGCAAGAGCGGTAGCAGCCTTAATAGAGGCAACGAACCAGGTATCGTTCCATCGCAACAGTTGTTCAAATCTTCGCAACATATACCACGCGAATGCGGAGATTCATCGAAGAAGGACTCACGGGGACGCAGAGGGTCTTGGCTACTAATTATATCTTCACTATCTTCCGAGTCAGCATGTCTGTCTTGTTCTCGCTTTCCTCGTCTCGCTGACGCAGACGTAGCCCTTGGGCGACCATTCTCAAGCATTCGTCTAATATCCTGTCGATAGGGCCATGGGACGTCATCCATAGGTTTGGTTGGATACAAAACTTCACTTCTGCGAGCATCCTCACTCGAACTGGCCGTTCGTTGCGGTGCTGCATGGTCTTCACCGAACGTTAAAGCTGGAGGAACTTTGGGTGGAACGTAGACGTCCCGAATCAATTTTCGAGGCTCTGCTGCGCCACTGGGTGGTTTTTCTTCTTCGGAGGCAGAGCTGCTTGTTCCAGATGCTGAAGATGGGAGTACTATTGTTGTACTTCTTCTTGATGGAGGTGGGTCTCCCTGTTCTTGTTCTCTTGGTTCATCTCCATTCACACTTCCTTCTCCGTTAGCTTTCTTAGCTTCCCTTAGCAACGCTTCATCCAACACTGTCGACGCCAGTATCTCCCTCTTCAATTCTAAACGCCCTTCACCTAGCACTGTTGTGTTGGTCCATATTCTCCTACTGCTTTCAGAAAGGCTGTTTTCTCCACGTTGTCGCAGCTGCTCCAGCATCAGTTCTTGAATATGGCTAGGTAACAGTTGCTCACCTCCACTTCCTTGATGGTAAGCTCCTTCAAACTCAACACCATCTCCACTATCCGACGGTCCTGTTGTACTAAAACCTCCACCCTTCAAGTTCAGCCCATTCAAGTGGGGAAAATCCCTATCTTGGCCCTTGATAACCTGGACATGCGTTGGCGGTGGATCCCCGTGATACTGGCTTACATCCACTATGCGCTCTAGGTTCCATCCATGCTCCTCGATGACCACCTCATAGCACTTGCGTAGATACCCCATCGAAGGCTTCAAAGCGAAATCGTGTGCAAACTCAACTTTCACACCTTGGGCTGCTGCGAAGAGAGTACTAGAAGTAGTGCTAGGAGTGGAGCGGAAAGCTGTGGTGGGGAAAGTGAAAGTTGTTGTGGACGAAGACGTAGGAGTAGAAGAAGGTGTTTTTGATGTTGTTGATGTGAAAAGAAGATCGTAGATTAGTTGCAAGCACATGAGGTGGAGAAAGAGCATAGGCCAATTGCTGCAAAGTCCCCTTCTCAAGGCATTTGCCCCTCCTCCTCCTCCTCCTCCTCGCTTTCCACCATCTGAAAAAGCTTTATCGTCTCTCCTTCGTTTTCTCCTAAAAACCTTTGCTTCACACCCACGGCCTGCATCAGATCTAGTATGCCTCCTTCTTTCCTGTCGCTGTCGTGCACGCAAATTAGCTGCGTCTATTATGGTACCACGTCGGATGGTGCTATCCACAACTTTGTTGACATCCTGCTCCTCTGGTGCATCGCCATAAAGACCGTAGCCGGCGCGGCGGGCAAGAGACAGCATGCTCGCCAATTTCTGGGCACGTAACGAATTCGGCCAGGTTTATCATTAGGTTTACGACGGCATAATGTTGAAAAAATTGATCTATAATCGATGATTATTGCACGGATGATAGATAATTTACTGCCATCTGGATTTAACAAAATTATACCACTGCTACAAAAGGACGAGTATTTCGTCGAAAAATTCTGCAGAAACGCCTACCTCTTCCTCGCTTCAGCATCACTAGCTCTTCTCGCGCCGAGAGCACTCCTCCCTTAAAGAGAACAAGAATATAAGTCACTGGCCCCTCTCAACCACGCGTAGGAGCAGAACACAGTTGGAGATCTCATGACTTCAGACGCGAAGTGGATCAAGCTCCGGTGATCTGAACTTGACCACTCCTAGCTTATTCAGCAATTCGAAAGCAAATACCAAGTATTCTTTCTCCGCGTCTTCAGGGAATCCGTAACTCGGAACCCACCCCAAGGGTGCAGCAGACAGTTGACGGACAAAAAAGTAATCAAGTTCAAAAGATCTTTTTCAATACACATGTAGCTTGAGGGACATTTCTGATTAACAATCATTCCCGGATGAGTGAAGACATAATTCGATTGACATGGAAACTTGTGAAGACAGCTACTTACCCTGTATAAGTAATTGTAATTGATTTTCCAGTATTTGTAATATTCTTTCACCAATGAGAAATAGCACTTTCAATATACTTTACATTCTACCCAATAGTACTGTTACTACAAAGACTTCTTCGCAAAGACTCCATCGTAAGTGTCTGTCTTTTCCCATCACCAGATGTATGGGCCTCTGATGACACTGTCCGTAGTGCCCGTAGAGACTAATACTGATAACAATTCAAGGCCAGAGCATACTTAGAAAGCATCATCCGGCGTCAGATCGACGTCATGCATATTGCACGTTTGATCCCACGAGGAGGTGAGCAGACGATATCTGTCCCCGCGTGAGCTGAGTGGGTCGCGCATCCATTGGACACTGGAAACTGCGAGGCTATGGCCGATGAGGGATACCTAAAAGATAGTTGGGTCGAGGGTAAATCTGTTGGTGATACCTGAAAGAGTGTTTTCGAAGATTATATTAAAGTTGAGGTTTGTTACAATAAACTTTAAGATAATCCAGCAGTAAAAGCATCTTACTCCTGCAAGCATAAAAGCGTGAACCTGGCAATACGTAAGCGTAAATGTAGTGAAAACTTAAACATCAAGGTACTTAAATCTATGAGAAATACAATTCCATCGCTGAATCCATCGATCTTTATTCTGGCGATGTCTTTCGCCATCCCTTGAGCTTGTTCTGTCAGTTTTTTCCTTTGTCTATTCCTCGTCTCTGGGCTACTGTCGATGTCAAGCTTCTTTCGCTTGTCGAGTGTGGCCTTGAGTTTGTCTTTGCGGAGTGCTAGATCGTTGATGCGGAAGCAACGCACAGAACCGTCCTCACAAGCAGTTGAGGCGTACTTTCCGTCTGGGGAGACGGAAATGGAGCGGACCTGCAGTAGTATTGGGGGATGACGTGTAGTAGTGGGGACAAAGGCTAAGGACGTTGATCTTGTGAAAAGTAATGTCCTATAATACTGCCGCAATATGTCCTACCAATAATATCCTCCCAAGTCTGTCCACCAAGAAAATCCTATACCGACGCAATATGTCCCAGATAGCTTTCTCCCACGTCGGCCGTAAATTCCCCAGACCGCAAGTCCCACTTCTTGCCCTTATTATCGTTACCGCAGGATAGCAGGGTGTTACCGTCTACCCACTGTAAGCCCATAACTGCCTGTCGGTCGTGCGCATGACGTAACTCGAAGACAGATTCAGATTAGAGGAAGTGATCAGTTTCTTTTTACCTACGCATGACGTCGAGTCCGGTGACAATTGACCAACAACTCTTCACCATCCTGTAGACCATGAAGGAAAGGATAGGAGTAGGCTAGGGTAAGAGACGGTAGACCGCAATACGAACTATAATAGAAGCAAAGTATTTCTGAATACTCACTCCATGGTTTGGTTTTTGGTGAAAATAGCGCACCTTCTCAATAAAGATGCCATAATTATAGCTGACCATATTTGCAGCGACACTTGGAGAAAGATAGAAGGCTTTCTGCATGTTCACCCTCAAATCCCATATTCTGATATGCCCATCTTTTCCGCATGTAGCAAACGTGTTCGGGGAGGCCTATGGTTTGAGTGTCATGACTACAGGATGTTTGGTGAAATAAAAAGAATATCATCAATGTCTTCCTCAGCAAATAAGCCAACGAGCAACAGCTGAACTACGAAAATTCCAAAAATTTCTGTCGACACTAACCTGGGAAAACTTCGCTCCCGTCACTGCGCTCCCGGTTCCGATGTAGGTCGTGGGGTCTGTGTACCCCACATGACAATCCCAAGACCATACGGTACGATTACGTTCAACGTCTAGTACAGTACCACCGCCAGTCGCGTCACCCGCCAAAGCCATAGTTCCTGCCCAATCGACTGTGTGCACGTTGGCATTCACAGCACGTGATTGGAGACGGAGAGTCTGATAGAGTTTGGAGTGAGGGATTCAGTGGGAGTGGAGGAAAATTTTCTTACTGTAAGAGAACTATGCATATTGAACAGGCAGAGACAGAGAGAGTCTGGCCTATAATACTACACGATCTAAGCAACGTACAAGAAGATCTGCTGTACGACTTGTCGCTCTCTGTCTACGACGAGCCAGTTCAGTACCAGCTTCGGCACTCCATTTTCCTGTGCCAGTGCGAAGATACTGAGTGTCCCTTTTGAAGTCTCTGGGAAATCTTCTATGCATGGTCCACCAGATAAAGCCCATTTTTCATCCTTCGTTACTGCTAGATCGTAACTCGGTAAGGAGTTTAGCTCCTGACATACACCAATGCCGCCAGTTACTGTTAATGTAATTGTTGTGATCATGTTTGGAGAACAATATAAATAGAAGGGTCTCCGAAGTACTTAAGTCGTGGCCACATGTCGTCTACGAAAGATTGATAGATTGGCCCCTGATGATCATAATGGAGCACCCTTACCGGAAATCAATAACAACTCGACGCAATGCAAGTAGCTGACTCATTCATCTTCCTATATTCTTAGAAGGGCTACACGCTAGAGGTAAAAACGAACCGGTTGTTTTATTTAGTGCCTATAAAATTTATTAGACACAAAAAATGATACATGTATTCCCTCTCCCCTCACTCCACACCCGCAACCCGTCGTGGCCACCGCTAATAAAGCTTTTCCCGCTCTTGCCAAGCCAGGCACACGAGTCGACACCTTTCAAATGCCCTTTGAGCTTGACTATGGGCTCTTTGGTTGGTGGAATCCGATATTTGTCTGCAAACTTGGCGTCGTGCTCGCATTCGTATTTGTAGTCCACACTAGCTAGGCATTCAAGAAATTCGTCGAAGTCTGGAAATCTGTTGGATCGTGAAGTGACGTGTCAGATCGAAAACTATTACGTAAGGTGGATGCGAAAGTCTGTAAGATAGGAAACTGGAAACGGAAACAAGTTGCCGTTGCGTAGAAGGAACAGAAATCAATATACCTACTGCACCCGACCTACCACCAGGATAGAGGATAGTACTCCCAGGATAGTACTGCTCCCTAGTACCTAACACAATAACGTAGTTCATGACATCAAACCTCCCAGTACCTAGCACGATAATATTCGTGACATCTTGGGTCCTGTGGGTCTTTGAACAAGCGCATATCGCGTCTGCTCTTCGCACTGTTGTAGCGGTTTAAGGCGCCACCAATCAAAGCGAAGGGATCACTGTTCCCCATAGCAATCTGCTGCGCTGCAACTTGACCGGCTTGGGAATGAAGTAGAAATATAACCATGGGAGGAACAAACTACAATAATTCATCGGCTTGCGTTGAAAAGGCCCAAATTGGTAAGCCCTGGGCTAGTTGTTGAACTAACATGAGTGTCGAAGATACTTCACCATTGTCTAATATCTCCATCTGAAGAGCTTCTGCCGATTAATCCCGTTTGCGACTGAATTTGCTCAAAATGAAGCTGGACGTTGTACCTTAAAATTACATTATTTTCCTACTTTCTTCATTCTCTGTACAACTACAGAACTGCGACCTTCTCCTTCAACTGACCAACACGACAAGGGTCATAAATCATCCCCGTTGCGCTTGTCCCGGTTGTCATCGTAGACATACCACCAGGTGACATCTCGCCTCTAGCCGTGTTCAGTGCTGAGCCAGGATAGAAACTGCTACTGGTACTCGCTGCCATGTTGATACTGTCCAGGTTGTTGGCGCGCAATCTCGACACATCTAAATTCGCCATCTTCGCTTTTTCAGCTAAGAGGTCGGCTTCCGGCTTCAACAGGTACTGCCACTCCCGCTCTGACAGGGAGTCTAGGGTTCGGTTGCTTAGAAGAGGTAGCTTTTGCGTTTGCTACTAAACAACCACCACTCAAATAACAAGATATAATCCTATTTAGAAACCTAAGTCCTAGAAAAATGACGTGAAGAACCACGATTCAAAGTGGGCGACATCAGGTGAGAAGAACTTAATAATAATAATAATCTACCGATTCTGGGGGTAAGTTACGATGAAGTGGAGTGGGGAAAGAAACGAACCTGAACATATGGCTTCAGAATGACTACTCTAGTACTAAAAAACCATAAAGTTTGTAGCTTTTCCGAAATCGCTTTGAGGTCGGGCATTTTATTTTCGCCCCGTGTTCCGAAGGTGGGGAGACGTCCAAGAAATAGGCATATGATGGTGACTTGAAGATACTCTGACTCTGTACTTCTCAATAAAAAAAACCAAGACTGCTCTGTTCTTGTTTCTGGTGTTCCGTCGTCTTAGGAGGTCGGAAGCAATTATTCAGAAAACATTTTTAGCCGCGGCTTCATATGCAGATTGATTTTACATTGCATACACAGATCTACAGACGCAGCATGCCAGCCTGGTTTTCTTTTTAGCAAGCCTCTTTCTGACCTCGAAGATCTCCAACATTTCTCGAAGATCGCCGTTTTTGAAGATTGCTTACTCTCCGATTCGTTACGCTCCTGATGTTCAACTTCATTTCTCGAAGATCGCCGTTTTTGAAGATTGCTTACTCTCCGTATCCTGATGCTCAACTTCATTTTGACCGATGTCCAACTGATCCTGTTCCTTGGCTTTAAAGGCTGCAAGCAGGCAGTGACTTTTTGCCTGTTGGGTCCCATACTTCTGCATGCCCTAGCACCAGTGCAGATTTCACTAGGGCAGATTTTACTAATGCAGTCCTCCCCATGTTCAACTTCATTTCTCTTGTCAGGGCTTAGTACTGTTCCACTGCTATCTTCCTCCGCTGCGATCAGGCGCTGATGCATCATGCGTCATGCATTGGGGTCATCGAGTGTACAATTGGCAGAGACGGAAGTTAGCGTACTCTAGAGCTATCCACCGCATGGGGAGTTTATACAAGCCCCCCACTTATGTTTTGATGAACATCTATTCCATATGAAAAATTTTTATCATGTAGTAGTACGCCATGTAAAAGTCACTGCATAAGCATATGATACATTCACACTGTATCTGTCATCTTGTGAACCTTAGATATTAATCAAAAAACCTGGTTGCACATGAGAAACAGGAAAAACTGTTCAAAAAGCATGAGATGCGTTACTCCTTGGCGAGAGAGCCAACGCGACACTTCCTTCCTGGTCCGATTTTGCTCCATCGTCTGCAGCAAAGGCAGCTTGGTCTTCTCCTTCTGCAGCCACTGTTACCGTAGGCGGAAGATTGTTTGCACTCTTCTCTCCTTCTTCTGGAGCTCTCTTTCCTTTGGCTGCTTTCATCTCAGCTCCATGCTTTTTCTTTATTTGGTTCATCTTGCCATAAAAATGGTCGTTCCCCGACGAGCCGAGGTTTTCACCTAGTAGAAGTCCTTGCAAGCTTTCCACAGTGCTAGAGGCTGGGTTTTCGACATTAGGTGCAGCACGATTAGCACCTCCTCCTTCCAGTTCCATTTCGATATCATTTACATCGCGAACCAAATTCTCCATGGATACGGAGAACGGTTCTCCGCTCCACGATGGTCCCGCTTTCTGAGCCTTCTTTCCGGAGTGCAATTCGCGATGCAGCTTTGCTTCCTGCTCCAAAGCCTCCTGGACAAACGCTGAACTTCGGATCTTATCCTCCTCTTCTCGGAGCAAGAAAGGATCTGGCCCACCGAATCGGCCTCGCATTTCGGCGACCTTCGCGTTATGGGCCAACGGACGTACCGATGCCTGATGCATGCGATGCTCGATCAAGGCACGTTTTACTAAGACAGACGCCTTCGCCTGCGAAAGTTCGGTCGGATTTGGCAGCTTGCTCTTCCTGGCTGCCGCGTGAACCTCAGAAGTAGCATCAGCAATGCTTTTTCTCGCTGTTTCACTCGAAGCAAGGTGCACATTGCTACTGTTGCGGAGCATGGCGGCAGATGGCGGTCTCTCAGATGATGGATTAGAGCCCGATAAAATGATTCATTTTCAAAGTTCAATTCCTCAGAATCTCATAGTGATAAGACCACAGAGAAAATTGTTGTGCTGTGCAAATGAATTATATAGTAAGAGCGCCTTAAATGGAGGGCCAAGTTCGAAATAAGGAACAGTGAGGAGCGAGCTTTTCTTTCCATCATCGGAAGTTTCTTGCGGACCTAAGACAGGAACCAATCCCGCTTCCAATGCCCTTGCTGCCATCTGGTGGCTTAGCACCTGAATAGACTTCCTGAGCATGGCATTCACCTCCGCGTCATCCTCTGCGGTCCTCAAATCTTTCGCAATGGTCATCGCACACTCCTCTAATTCGGTATCATCCGTTAAAATGTGCAATCTATCCGGTTCTGGTTCTCTTAGAGCTCAAAGTGTTTCATTTAATCTTGCCTCCATTTTCTCGCAATGATCCCAAGAAGGAATAAACTGCGAGGAAAAGGTCAAAGGAACTCCTTGTAGAAATGCAATATCTTGAGCCTTAATTCTCCTTCCGATTCTTGAGTGGTCTCACGGCCTAATTTTCGCGCGGTGGCCTTATCTAGCGCTCTAACGGTGCCCATATGTTAGACCTTGCCTAAATCCATCCCGGTCAGCGTCTTGGCTCCCTTTTCCCCTTCAAAATGAGACCAAGATGCTGGGCGGGAAGATGCATTTTCATCTCAGGCCTTAAATGTGGTGTAAAGCATGTTGCACATTGTTCTTCCATTTGTGACACACGTTTTTCAACATATGCTTCACCAAGTACGCAAGCTGGATTTCCTCCTGAGTCGCCCGCGTTGAACGCGCCCACAAATCCACCTCCAACGCACTCACGTCAACGGAAGCAAACGAAAATTTCAGAGTGTCCAAAGCCTTCAGATAGAATGCGTGCCACGTGCCTTTTGCGTCCAAATCATCCAAGTCGCCGTTCCAAGGGTCCTCGAGTTCCTCGGCCACTGCAACTAAACCAAGCCAGAAAATTAGACCCGCCTAGTACCGAAATTCATCCTGAAGACGAGGGTCTTGCTACTAGTCATTTTCCCTTTTTCAATTCACTTCCAACAACTCCAAGATTTTTTTTTTTCCAACAACTCCAAGATGCTCATGCTTTCAAAGATGAATACATGAGTAGAGTAAACCGTAAGAAAAAGTATAGGACCAAGAATCCTGCCAATTTGTAGGGGAAAGTTTCGTACAGACCACTCGGCTGGAGTTCGCCAGTCAAAGACATGACTGTCTGCGAATCTTTCACAGAAGCCTCGACCACGGTCAACATGGTCACCAAATACAAAGAGCAAACGAGAAAGTGCAAAAACTGGTAGGGCAGAACAGCCTCTCGGTAGTTCGAGAGTTTCATGCTCAACTCCTGTGCGTTCGAGATTCGTGCTGTTAAAGACGCCCCTTGAGGTGGCGAGATCCATCCACGCCTCAAAGCAGCCGCGACCTGACACTTCAGACGGTAGACCATTTGACCACAGGCTCGCTCCGCGTCCACACTTTGCGTCAACAAGTCGTCTACCACGTCGATCCCATACTGCTGAATGGCCGTGCGGGACGCCGCACCGACCGGAGAAAGCAGCGTGGCGCCGCTCGGCAAACCCACGCCACTTCCTGCGTTGCCAGAATCCAGTTGATTCTGCATCGGATCCACACTTTCGTTCGTGCTCTGCAGCGCTCGCATCAGGGCCGCGGATTTTTTCATCCCCGCAGCTTTGGCCCTTCTCGCCTCGGCATCAGCTACGTAGGAAGACGCATCTGCAGGACTGTTGTTCTCCGCACTGCTTCCATTCTTAGGGGCCGCAAGTTGACACTATCTCCTTTCTCGCTATCGCATATCTGATGTATGGCTTCACTCCTAGCACTTGAAAAAGCCGTACTACATAGATGGATTCAGATACTCATAGAGAAAGAGCAGAGGCCAACTTCCAAGCCTTAATATTCGGCGTTTTTCCTATTCTCTTCTCACAGTAAAAGCAGCTATATAAGCGGCGTTTCTGCAGTCCAGTCATCTTTTGTATTTTCGGACCCCCTCCTAAGTCGGAACTGCTTACACCCGCTTGACTGATCCGAATATCACCCTCTTCCAATTCCGACAAATGTGGCAACCCTCCTGCTCTGCTTCCTTTGTTGTTGCCTCCAACGTTCACTTGCCTGCCCTCAAGCAATTCTTGGCCTTGAAACAATCGACTTTCAAACTGCAAGGCTTCTTCGGGATCGAAAATCAAGTTGCGGGCTTTGATAAACGGCAGCACACTGGTCTCGCGTTCGGTTTCACTGCCAAAATCGGCAAAGGAACAAACATACGCACAAATAGTGTAGCCGTACACACGTCGACACAGTTCGTAGGGCTCGCGCGCACTTTCCTGATCAGTCCATTGCAGGGACAAGCAGCTGCAGAAGGTGCTGACCGTCGTGTACAGCTCCCTCGACAAACCGTGCATAGTCCAGAAAACATCGAAAAAACGAGACACCGTGAAGTTCAGATAGAAAATAGCAGCAAAACCTGCCACAACCTTCAACTCGGAGCCCATGGTAAACTCCTGAATGTCCTTTTCCGGAAGGGTGATGACCTTGTAATGGAACCCGACACGGAGCAACCAGTAGCCGAGTAAATGCAAGTACAACAGCGGGTCGCAACAAATTCTGGCTGTGGCCGCATCGATGTAGGTAAACATTTTCCAACGGTCGTACCTGTTTGATTTATATTTGAAGGGTGGTAAAAATAGTGACTCGGCTCTTAGTCTTTATCTTCACTCTCGAGAAATAAACTCCTGCGCATCTAAACGACCCTACAACACAACATCTAAGCCCGTCTGCGAACAACGTGCTCAATATAAAGCCCTACATAGATAGGTATCTGCGAACAACCTCCTCAATAACAATAAAGCCCTACCTATATAGATTATACCTTGCTTCCTTCGCAAATTCCTTTTTATAGACGCTCCAGAAGATCATCTTCTCTGTGACGTCTTCCTCCATTCCCTGAGCCTGTAGGGCGTGGCTTCCTACGTGTTGCCATAAGGATTTTATGCGCGCCTTTTTTAGATCTTCCCTTTATTCGTCTTTAAGCGCATCTTTGGCCTTTTTTTCCATCAAATTTATGTTTCAAAGATGCTGCTGAAGATGAATTTGGGGAAGCCTTAACTTTTGACCAGCCAAGGCGGAAGCGCCAGCTTTCTGGCTTTCTCTGCGGACGGCACGCAGCTCGCGGCCTTCTGCGACGCGGCCAATAGCCTTACTCATGTTGGAAGGCATGGCCGCCTGGACCATCTCAGTAACACTGGAACGCTTCGGCATCTTTTTGGAATTAGCGAACTAGCTGTGTTATTTTACATCGATTTAGGTGCGTTAGAGAGTTTTGGGCGATGGGGAGAAAAGAGGGAAAGCTTCAAGTTGTAAACACTTTTCTGGTATGAAAAGGCTGGCATTGATTGAAGATAGATAGTACATAGGATATGACTCGGCCTTCTTGGTAGATTAATGACACAGGAACCTCTATGATCCTCTCTCAGCAGACTTTTTCTCGCGACAGACGTTTTCCTTTGTCACAGAGAGACTTACTGTATACCTCAAGCTTATGGCATGCGAACAACCCAAATCTTCAACAGAGTTTGCTTCTAAAACATCTCAACAGATGAATCTGCTACGTAATTACTCTAGACGCAATATATTTGACTTCGGCCAGAGCAATTCCAAGACCACCGTTGCGACGCAGAGTATTCCTCGCACACCTCTCACTGACAGATAACTTACTTACTCAGTATCGCTCACATCGTCTCACTGGATGAGGATCACAACAACCGCTGCCGAAGAAAGGAATGGCACAAACCGCCGTGATCACCTACATTGAAGTAATTGTAGTTCTAAACGTTTTTAGTACAACATTTCTTATCTTGGTTCACGAAGATAATTTCCTCTCCTTCTCGGGGCAAAAAGCCTTCTATGTAGTTCTGATTTCAGCCGTGTTTTCCCAGTTCGTTCTTGTAGAAGATCCCGCATATTATATATTTATAATATTCCAATGTAGTAGTTCAATGGTATACAGTTAGAAGAGACAGTAAAAGCAATATTATGTACAGTTCTATGCATAGTTTCATTATGAATATAAATGCTTTTAGATTCATTTTTGACGTAGGCAAAACCTTGCTGCTCAGGAGTACAAAAATACAAGCTCTGCTATGAAAACCTTGATTCTACATCTCCTGTCATATCTATGAAGTAAGTGCTTCCATTCCCTTATCCTTATGCGAGTCTCTTCATGAGTAACTCTCCAGTGCTCTGCGAGTGGCCCATTTGCTTCGCCTTCAGGATTGGCGGACCGCGATCCAGAAACTGCGCTCTCCCTAGAGCTGAATATGTTCGAGTCAGCCTGTCTATGGGCTCACTGTCGCGTAACCCGGCTGGGCGGATAGGAGATTAGAGATATTTCTATATTAGCAAGGAAGTTGATGTACTAGTGCAGCTGGTACTGGTAGACTGACTTCTTGGTGGGAATGTAGATCATGTAAGTCCTACAAATTTGTGTAGTCAACAAACGAATGTGACAAAATTATACAACTTGAGTGGTTACTCATTAGTGTCATCTGCCTTAAGGGTAGTCGTAGGGACGCTGAGGAAACCGCACTCGATTGCGCGTTTCAACGTCGTACGGATCTTGAAAGCCGTTTTTGTTGAACCTGAGAGATATTTGAAGACGAGTCTACTTGTTGTAGCCGCGATTCCGAGAGTGAGTCCTGCTTGCATGTTCTACTTGTAGCCGCGATTCCGAGAGTCAGTCCTGCTTGCATGTTCTCCTAAATAAACAGATGATAGTTAAAAGTTGTTCCCCTTTATGTACGAGTATTGACTACTTACTTTTGACTATTCAAGCCACGACTTCTGCATCTGGTTCGATGTCATGTCGGGATGCCGCGGCGCATCAAGCTTGCATGTTCTCCTAAATATTTAAACATAAGTACCTATATCATAGACCATGGAGGAGAAGCAGTCTTCTATACGCACCAAGTACCAACTCCAATTCCCATCTTTATTCCACGTGGCGATTTGATCTCGTGACGTCACGGCCAATTTCTCAGCTTTTATCAGTGCTTCGGTGCGAACGAGATCCCAGCCAGCTGGGTCAAATTTCCTGCCCTGCTTCAGTTGGAAGGTCATCTTGCGGGTTTTACCTTCGTGCTGGGATCAGAGTAAAACGAACTATTTATGCTTCTTAAATCCTATCAGTTCGGATGAAAGCATTCGATATCTGCGTTGTGGATCGTTTCGATTGGGTGGAAAACTTTTTTGCCTGCTTAAACTACTTCGTCATTATGGTGTGTCGAGGACCTGAAAACATCTTTTTAGCAGAAATCAATCTGTCTGAATAGAACCAAAGAAACGTCTCGCTTGGCTCAAAAAACGAAAAGACATCACGAGGTGGAAGACAAGGGGGGTCTATTTGGATACAGCCTGGGCAGTGGGAGAAATATCGTGTTTGTTTTTTGTGTCCTCGTCTCTCAAGAGATATAGACTCAACTTTTTCGATTTACCGATCTGACTGGAGCAACAGAGACCTTACTTTCACACGCCAATGATGAGCCCACCGATACTTGCAGAAGCCACGGAACACACTAGTGCAACACAAATAGTACACACTGACACCAATATGATCAGATGAACATGAAAAACGTCTCAAGATGAAAGGATACTTCATACAAATCTCAGAAACCTCCTATCGAGAATCATCCTTTGTCCAAAAATGACCCGTGCTGCTTCATAAGATAACGAGACGAAGCACGTGTGCGCCACTCTAGGCTTGTTCACCACACCAGACTCAGATTGAGTCGTCTACTTGCAATCAATTATAGTATCGTCCTGCCGTTGATAAAGATGTTGTAGTGGATTTAGATTTAGATTGAAACATTAACATTCATTCGTTAAAAAACACTATAGATTTCGAAATCCGCATCGATGTCACTGGCGAGTCGCCACACTGACGGAATTGGATATTGACGAGGTACGTTTATGGGAATAGGACATGAAGAAACTAAACTGATAAATAGAATAAGACGCCTAAGACATGAAAGAAGAAATGGACTAAGGTATACTTTGCATTATAATATATCAGGACATTACCTAGTTCTGGGAGTTGTAGATCTGTACTTGATCTACCAAACACTTGTACTCGATGCCGAATATCCTAAATGCGTGAAAAAGTCAAAAAATTCTTCCTGGTCCGACAATTCTGGTGTAATTTTTCTGGGTGCTTATGACTTTCCATGTTCGTGTGATGTAATTCCGTGTTTATGTCTTAGATAAAGGTATATTTACCATTGTATTCTGCATGAAGGGATAAATACAGAAGTAGTTATTTTATTTTTTCACTCAAGCCAGTACAAATAGCCTCAACAAAAGAGACGCGCAGGCACAAGTAACACAGAAGTTCGACACAGACAGAGGAAGGTGTTGTCGGCGGCAGCCTAGCTTAGTCTGAGCTATTTACGATTGCACTAAAAGGTATGCTTACTTACCATATTTATATACTGTGTCAGTCAAAAATGTTTCATTGAAATCCAAAAAGAAGTGACTCTTGCTAGAGTTCTGCTCTAAATATCTTTATCTTCCACAACAACAACTGAATGATGTGCCCCTGCTCCCACTTTGAGCGCTGACTTCGTCTTGAATGGAATGCGGTGGGCGTTTTTGACTTCCACATCGCCGTCCTGTTGGTCTTCTTGATTTCCTAACTTGTACATAGTAGCACGCCCAAAGGAGTACAACTCTCCTTTCTCCGTCGTCACCAAAGCGTGATCTCCGCCACAGGCTATTGAGACGACCCGAGCCCCTCCGAAGAGAGATGCTGTTGGTACCCCGGTACTAGAAGAGGGCCTGAGAGTAGGATTGAACCCTGGAGCTGGAGGGGTACTACCGAATTGATCTTCTTGTTGTACCTTGTTATTGCTTTGAGGTGATTCGCCGAAAACGAAGCTGGTTTGTTGAGGTGGTTGTTCAGCAAGAAAGGAGACTCCTTTGCCTTCCGTCACCTCCGCGGGTGGTTCAGCGGGCACAAGGGAGAAAGTTTTGTTGAGCATTCTATCCTTTGTTGTAGTGGCAAGTTGTTTTGTTGTAGTTTCATCAACGACCTGACTATTTTGGTGTGCTTCAACGGCCTTCGCCCGCTCAGGAGCCTCTTGCGTCCCAAGAAATTCTTCGTTCACTGGGAAAGAACCTTCTCCATTGTGATCTAGCTGATTACTTGTGACGATAGTTTTTTCAAATGCGGAAACGCTGTCCAGTCCACTGCTATCCATCGCCTCCCATGAAGATGCTGGTGTGATACGACGAGAGGAAGCTGCCGTTGACGGCACGGCTGTAGGTGCTGCTGAAACTGAATCCGGGAAGGCACCAAAAGTAAGAGATGAAGCCGTTTCTGTTGAGTCCACTTTCGCAGTAGCACCAAATCCGAAGGCAACGTTCTTTGCTTCTGGCAGTTTTGAGTCTTCAGTGGAACCGGAAGCAACAAATCCAAAGGCAACGCCATTCGTTTCTTTAGCTTGATCTTGTTGCTGGAGAGAAAACAGCGGATTCGATCCCCAAGTGTACAGCATTTGACTTCTGCCATCTTTTCCCTCGTCCGCATCATCCACTATAGCCACAGTGTAGCCCTGCCCACCGCCAATGAAGCGTAAATTTTTGGCAGGAAAGCCTCTCAAGTCTGCCATGTCTTTCAATCTTCGACTGAACTGGCCAAATACGAAATAGCCTAGTTGTCCATCACCGTCTAGACCTACAGAATACCCGCGATCATCGGCAGTGACAACAAAGGTTGCATCAGAGGATACGCCAATTTTTCGGCAGATGAAGGCTGGTGATGAGGACCTTGTTGGAGATTCTTCTAGTGCGGTTCTAGCCATTGGGTCGCCAATCTTCGCTGGAAACAAATCCAACACTTTTTGGCGTTTTGCTTTCGCCAAGACACACTGACCTTTCTTCCCATCTTTCGCCTTAGACAACAGTGTATCACATGAGGTCTGCTCCACCGCGTCACCTCGTCCAAGCTGACCCCAGGTGTTGATTCCCCACGTATAGACGTGACCTTTCTCCGTCAAAGCAACTGTATGATTCTCCCCACACGCGATGTCGACGATTTTCTCCCCATTGAAAAAATTATCGGCATTGATTTCTACGGGAAAACGTGCACGGGGAATTTTATTTCTGGAAGTGCTGGAAGTGAGCCCGTTCCCGTTGTTGATGTTGCTGTTGTCTGAAGTAGATGTTCGTTCGGATGTTACGTGAGAAGTTGTCGGTTCAGTCGAAGCGGATGATGGTGTCTCCTCTCCAACGGATGAAGGCGCACTCACCTGAGATGGGGAAGCAGACAGAGAGTCTGGAAACCCCTTAAACTCCGTCGTCGTCTCCCTATAGGTACCCCAACAGAAAACGCGACCATCAACGCTCAGAGCGCAACTGTGCGAGTCCCCAGTAGCTACTTTGGATAAAAGCGGGAACGGGAGTAAATCTGGTTCTCCCGGTTTTGCAACTTGATTTTGAGCATCCGGTACCTGTACTTGTTTCAAGAACCCCAGTACCGGTCCCGGAACGTTTTCTTCAAGTATATTTGTCTTGCTGTCGTCGTCTTCTTCATCACGGATTATTTCAGCGCTACCCGGACCAGGAGTGACTCTGCCCAATGCACCCTCATCATTCACACCCCACGACCACAACTGATACGCGTTTCCAATACAACTACTGGCACGGCCTTGAAGATGGTCCCCACCCAGAAGATCCGAAGGTCCTCTTACTTTTCTTGCAAGTGCAATCGTGTGCATCCCACCAACTGCAATGTCCTGAATATGCAAGCCGTTCAAGGCCTTCACCAGTGCAGGTTTCTTCTTTTCGGGGATACCTTCCCCAAGTCCTAGTTGCCCAAATTCCCCCGTTCCGAAGACGACGACTTGGGTAGTCGGAGCATCGTGGATGGCCTTGTCTTGGCGTTGGCTTTGATCAGCTGTTGAAGATCCGCCTTGTTGGGAATTCTCGGGTCTATTCGCGGAACCACCTTCTGCTTGGGAAGGAGTGAGGCTCACCGTGCTCGGGGAATTCAGCGCCTCCTGGGAGACGCTGTCCTCGATTACAGTCAAATTGCCTACTGTAGTTGGCACAGCAGAAGTTGCTCTCGGGCTGCTTTCGTTCACTCCTTCTGCAGAAATCGGTCTTCCACTTGGAAATTCAGCCGGTAATTGCGTAATACTACTCCCACTACTTTCTAGTGCTTTCCGAGGATCTGCCTTCCGAGATGACGCTATTGAAGCAAGCCTTTTCCGATTGTAGAAACTACTACTAATGCCAATACTACGTCCAAACAGTGTGTGCTTTTGGTCCTCTGGGATTTCCCCATGATGTTCCACATCTCCTACAAGAACTGATACTTTTACAACCTGCCCAGGGCCACCACTACTAGACGTAGTTGCCTCGCTGACTAGTTCCGGTGCTCGTCCTCCCGCAGATGAAGTATTAGAGTCTGCGAGATTGCCCTCATCTTGGCCCCCTCATCTTGACCCCCTGTACCTTGTATTTCATGCTGAGAACAATACAAGGGAAAAGGGTACCAAGATGCCAAGAAAGATGGACACTAAAGGTTGACCTTAAAAGTAGTTCCTATCGAAGCACTTCTTGGCAAGAAACCTACGTTGGCTCCCACAACGATCGAGACAACTACTGCTACCCCGAGCAAGGCACAAACGGCCAATTGAACAGACAATGCCGTTTGCGTGGCTACTCTCGCAGGAGGCCTAGAAGTACTGGAATTCGACATGTTTGTGGTTGTGCTACCTTTTCTTAGACCACTAGTACTTGAAACTTAGAAAAAGAAACTGATGTTTGTCAGAACATGAAATTGAATCATTGATATTTCATATTTGGCTACCATACTAAAGCTTTCAATTTTCCACCCTACTTTTTGAGGATGCGAATCTACTCGGCAGTCTGCCTAAGATTTCCCTGACGATTCCACCCTACTGTTTATTTCCTGCTATTTTGGTAATCTACATGCCGAAGTTACACGGCTGCCGTGTTCTAGTGCTCGATACAGAGGTTAGGTTAGGTTGTGGACAGAGAGTGACTATTTAGATACAAAATCTTCTTTCGACATCAAAAAATAACAAATTCTTCAGAAATAGACAAACCGCGTGCAAAACCTGAAGATCGATGTTGCGTGTTTGAAGACTATTGATGGTGGATTCTGGAACAGGGGAACTAGAGGAACTAGATGAAAAACGCGTGTTGCTCACAGGACAGAGTCTATCTTCATAAAGAGCATTTTCTGTCAAGGCTCTATCCTTTTCTTCCATCAAACTTTCCCTGCGTGGCCAATACTTGACATGATAACAAAGATTTTCATTGGTTCAGGAAAGAGTCAATCCACCTTCGAGGGGAGCATATCGATATCATTAGGTCGTGTGTGTGAAGGCAATTACAATGTGACATCCGCATCGATCAGTAATGAATAAAGGCCTGCTCGCATACTGATCCTCATGCAACTTGCCTACAACTTACCAGTAACAAGGGCTTATATTGCCTGATGCAGTCTCTTTGCTCATCTCATCGCTGCCGCACGCAATTTTTTCAATAACAAATCACGCTTTTCATCCTGGGTTTTCAACTCACGCCATTCAAGGAAGGACATGTCTACAACTGTCCAACCGAAATCTTCTAAACTACGCGTTCGGAATACAGCACTGCCTGTACCACTATTGAGAGTCACAAGACGGTTGGAAAGTGCATCGTCGGATGGGGAACTTAAGGAACTTTCTCCCTTATCTTTATTGTATGCCATCGACCGCAACGCACCCCAGGTAGTTATGTAAGACGACGATGATCCGGCAGCGCCTTCAAGAGATCCACTTACTGTTGCATCGCTCTGTGAGCATTCTTCACCACCTTCTGGAACATCGATTTCCAACAAGTAATGCGCAGGTCCGTTGATCTCAACAGCAAGTTTCCGTGCTGGAATAGCGAGGTCAATTTTGGTCCATAGGATATCTGGATGCTGATACTCCTCAAATATGTCGAAACTTTCTGTTTCTTGTCTTTTCCCCTTGTCTTCCGCCCCTAAGATTTCCTGGAGCAAATCCTTAACCTCAGTATGCATCGCAGATATCACGGGCTTGATCGGTACAGGAGTGTTTTGGGCTATGAAGGATTTTATCATTTTGGTTATATTTTCTTCTGCCGAGCCACAAAGGCGGTTTTCAGGAAACCTTCTCTCCTGCTTTCCAAGCCACAAAAGAGCAGCATATAAGGCACGTTTTTCGGACTGGGTTATGTTGCATGATGTAGGATGCTTAGTTCCGACATCCACTAGCGTCGGCAACAATCGCAAAGCCGATTTCACATCATCAAACACAGCAGCTGCCCAAAATAGTGAAATTTGTGAGACACTGGACAGACCCGCTTCGTCTTTCAACAAACCCTGATGAACAGCTTTTGAATCCCGACAGAAGTAGTCCAACATAGAGAGAACTAAACCATCTTTTCCACACCGCCTGGCTTTCTCGGTGTAGTTCTCGCCCATTTTCACTCCAGGAATTTGAGGCTGAAAGTTTAACACTGCAAAACTCTGGATCAAGCATATCGCTTCCCTACAGGAGAGCGACTTTCGCGGAATATAATTCATCGAAATCCACTGTTCAAAACGCCTTTTGTCAAGGATTTTCATCTTTGCGGCTGCCCAAATTGAGTGAACCACATCGAGAGGGCTAGAGGGGTTCTCGATTACCAACGCTGTGTAGACATCAAAGAGCCAGTGCCACCGATGTTCTAGGACATGGCCATCTTGGTGTCCAACGTAACTCCCAAAGGCCCATAAAAGGTTGGCGCGCGTCTGGCTGTCGCTATCGCCCAGGTTTTGCACCTCCCTATTTCGTGTGTGAGTGAGGTCCTGCTTTATCTTTGCTGCTGGTATTAGAAAAGTGGCTAGTTGTTGGCTAGGCTTGCTCACAAGGACATGGAATTGACATCGCCTTGTTTCCTTCAAAAAGGTCAGATCAGACCGACGGAAAAGACAAAGATGTAAATTCAAAAAGTATATGTCAACACCTCTTCGTCATAACAGTCTTTGCCACCACCAAGGCCTCAGAATTCGTTTGGATTCGATGGCCGCAGAAGCTATCATTGCCATGCCCTGCAGTTTAAAGCCGTCCCATCGGCTCTGTTCACAATGCTGCCAGATACCATTGGATAGGAGACACTCGTCATCATTCATCAAAGCCCCAAGTTTGCTGAGCGCGCGGACTACCATGGCCATGTTCTGCTGGTCGAATTTCTGCACATTGATTTTGCTTCTAGGAGTGGTGCTAGCGGCTTTCTGGTCGCTTCGACTTTCTCGTCCAGAGGTGTCCACCAGATCTTCTAGATACGTATAATCCGGATGTGACTGTAGTAATTCAGCAAAGCGCAACGCCGATTCGCGTAAAGCTGTGGCTGTTTCCTTGTTGGTCGTGGAAGAAGCATGCTCCCCTTCCCGGTCGTTTGTGTCTTCACCAACGCCTATTAGCCTGTTTCCCTTGACACCTCCAAGATTTTCGAGAAAAAGCGCATGACAATGGATTATCGTAGACAAGTCGCGAATCGTTGCTAAACTGGCTCTGCCTGACTTGTTTTGCTGCTTGACGAGCTTATCGGCTTGAGGCATGTGCCGCCGCACGGCATCATGCATCAACACCAAAGTCGAATCAGAAGGTGCTAGTCCTCCCAACTTTGCTAGGCCCCAGCACATGTGAGTGACATCTAGAGGGGTCATGCTTTCGACAGGGAATGTTCCCATCTTGTTCGCAATTGAGGAAGCTAGGGCTTGCTTCCAAGTAGTGTTTGTTGTTGTTGGTTTTGATGAGTTTGTGGAAGGTCTGCCTACTTGTACTAGTCCTGATGATGGCACCACAGCCACTAGTTTCCCTAGATTGAAGCAAATCTGCGAGAATTCACGTGGCCGCAAGCCTCGCCACTCTTTTGTCAATCCTTCGTTAATAATGGGTCCTATGTCCGCTACGTCGAGAGGAGCCTTTGTTCCATCATGTTCTAGGACACTCGCTGGTGCACCTCTGTCCTTAGTTTCCTGAAGCGCGACTAGCGCATGTAGTATAGCCGCACAGTCCAAAGGGTCTCCGCGCAACAGTCCAGGTAAATCCAGTGCTGATAGAAGCTGTGGCGCGTTGGGTAGCGAGAGTTTTACAGTGGTATGCAGCAACGATGCCTGCTCTCCGGCAGCAAATTTTACTATGCCATTTGTATCGAGTAGATGCTGTAGTATTTGCGTAGCGACGTCTTTTCTTGACGTTACTAGGTTCAGATTCTTGCTTTCAGAAGACGAAGAAGAAGAAGAAGTACTACCACCATATTGCTCCTTAGGTTCTTTGCAAGATCTTCCCTTGTTCTGTGGAGATTCGAATACGCCAATTGCCCAGAGTGAGCGACTAGCATCACTAGAATGGGTAACAGGCGTTTGACGGAGGCGATTCAGGAGAAGGTCAACAACTCGAGTGTTGTTAAGCAGGTTCATTCGCTGCAACACAGCTAAGCTCCATAGAGCATCAGCTACGTCTTTGGCACCGAGCCAGTGCGTTTTAGGAACTCGTGTGTTCTCCGGAACAGGGAAACCTGTAATTAGAGGTTAAGGAATTACATTCCTCAGAACATCCCTGACTTATTTCCTACTGCAAAAAGAGCCAGGGATGCTAGTGAGGGATGTAATGTGGGAACCCTTAATGTAAGCTTCTTCTCAAGAGCCTCTGTAAGCTTTGCGCCTGGTTGTATTAGAGGTAGGTTTTTGGTGCTCGCGGGTTCCCCCGCTTGTTATGCCTTTCTCATCCTAAGGGAGAGAGGCATAAAAAGCGGTATAAGAAAAGCACCTTTAACCTACCCTTAATTGTAGTAGTGGTGTAGTGGTACTTGTTCCCAGACCTGTTGAAGTAGGTTGTAGTAGTGGTGTAGTGGTACTTGTTCCCATCCCTGTTGAAGTACTTCTTCCTCTCCCTACACTGATCTTCCCACATTTTCGTGCCCGCTCCGCGCCAAGTGCAAAGCGATATAACCGTCCCACCGCACGCATCGCCGTATCTGCCTCGCATTTCGCTCCTTGTTTACATTCCTGGTCGTTTCCTGAACCTGACTTTGACGACCCTGCTCCTTCACTTCCTACTTCATCCCCCATTAAAATGCTACCTTCTAGTACTGCCAGGTCTCCCTCCACTGGCGCATTCTTATCGAATCGTAAGCCTTCTCGTGATACCAGCGTAGAAGTTCTTGAATTAGATATTATAGGAGATGCACTTCCAAAGGCCTGACCTTTAGGCGTCTTCAACGCTCCTCCTTTGGTGATGCCACCCCTGCTCCAGCTGGAATCTGACTTGCGCTGTGAGGTAGAAGAAGATGTGGATGGGGTAAACGTACCACTACCCATCTTGTTCGCGACAGCCGCTGCTGCACTAGCGTGGAACGCACGTCGGATAGTGCAACTTGTCGCCGGAGGGACCCTCGTTGAAGGCCACCAGGTGGCAAGTGGCACTGGTGTGCCCCTCAAGCTGCACGATCTCCTGCGATATCTTTTCATTTTGTCGTGGGTACCGTTTCCTACTTAGAAGTCGTCTTTTTGAGCAATTAGAATCCTTCATTCACTAGCTCTTCCCATGCAACACAACTCGAAGCGACTCTTTTTTTTTTCCGACGCCATCGGCGAATCTATCTATTCTCGTTTATCACCTTTCTAATCCATCTAAGACGAAATGCCGGGCATACGTTCGAAATGATGAAGTGGAAATTCTAATTCATTGAGGAGGGGTCAACACATCGTCCTTTCCTCTGTCCATTTGCAGGTGAACTCAACGCTGCGGACGCAAAGCCCCTTCTCGAAGGCGCTTCACACTTTTAGCAGACATACATCTTCAAAGGATCGGACGAGATATGTTGCATTTTGCAAAACTCAAATCAGAATGTTGAGAGACTTCACACACAAGAAGCCGAAGCCGACGCAATCGAGATCGTCCATCTTCAAAAGACATAACTCCAAGTTCTTCCGGGGCCCTCCAGCATAACCTGAAAATCCAAAAAATGCAAGCTGTATTCCTAGAAAGTCAGTGAAGTATCACGGTAACTATAAATTGAAGAGGTGCAGCTACAACAACTGCTCCTAAAAGAAAATGGCATAACATATTCTCGTCTAGCAAGACCATCCATTCCAGTACTTGTGTGCAAATGCAATTCATTCTATAATGGAAATATGCCAACGCTAAGTCCAATATATGAAGACACTACGACACTCTAACCCACCGAATAACTACTTCGCCTGCGTAGAACAAATCATTATCATCACGATGCACATGCATCTACCAAGTCGTCGTCCGACCTGAGACAGAAACCGAATCCCCTCTCACAATCGAAATGGTTTATCAACTGCAGCAACGTTGTGCTCTCCCTCCATAATCGTGCTTGCTCGCCTCCGTCATGTCCTCCGTCGAGGAGATTGCCGCTTTGCTTAGAGTTCTTCATCTTCACAGACTTAATTCAGATTCAGCTTTGTTCAACGCGTCGTGCAGCGTACTAGCTCCTATTTAGTATATCTATATGTACTAGTTCAACATCATCTACGAAGTCGCGCATGATCTCTGAAACAATGCATCAGGATTTTTTGGGGGACCATTGCGAAAAACAGGTTAGGATGGGTTATGGATACTGGACAATGAGCCCCCCCCGACACCTGGCTCACCTCCGATGAAAAACACTACAACTAGCGAACTACATGATATTCTCATAATATACCACACCCGTATCCCGACTAGGCGGCGATCTGCTCGCGCCAGGTCTCGTAGCGGGCCAGAGAAGAAGGCGTTTGGCACTACCTCTTGCCGCAACATCTCCATACTGACTACAGACGCGTCCAGTTTGCGTCCCAGCAGGCGCTGTGGCGATAGAATGGTGCTTCCTGCTACAACACCTTTGTTGGCTGATGCACCACAATTGGAAGGACTGTCGTAATTTTGCTGTAGATGTTGCTCTTCACTCCCCTGGTCTCCTACTCCAGGACTCGAACTCGAAACAGGATTTGGGTTTTCTCGTACTACCACCGCTGTCTGGCACTCATCTGTCATCGGCACTCGAACGAGCTCAAAATCTAGGACAAGGACTGGGGGAACGACGATGCCCCGAGTCTCAAGGCGATCTGCATCGCGACTCGGCGGTGGGTCCCAGACTTTTCCACAAATCCTCTCGATGCTAATCCATTCGTTTCTCGGATGGGTTAGCGAATGATCCGGTAATTATTGACAGTACACAGGACGATGCTTTTACTATTCCTACTCATTCCAGTTTTTCGTCTTCTCCGCTTCAATCCATAAAGTAAGCAACAGCATTCTCGCCACTGCCGACTCGTTTCGAACACTAGCTGGATTTTTGGTTTCCGCACTGGAAGGATATCCATCTAGCGACGCCTTTTCTCTAACATTCTTCGCATACGTCTCCATCTCCCGTTGTATATCCGGGAAATGCCAGCCAAGACAGTCCTTCCAGGTGTCGTCGGTGGGGTAGTTTAGAACTAGAAGCTTGGCTATGCGAAATCCATTCTCTTCTAATGCTAGACGTAACCACAGTAAACTACAGTTGGTTATTAACATGTAGTGTAGTAACCACAGTAAAAGAAGATGAAATTATGCTCCCCAAGATCAACTCAACACGAATCTACATTATCAATCCTAGTACAGAAGCCCTTAACATCTCCCCTGCGAAGCATCCGCTGTATAGTCTTGGCATATCCACCAGTGTCCCGTAGCCATCTAGACTGCCTGACACAAGGGTGTTGATCTTTCTTCTCAGAGCATCGTGCAAAAACTCTGCTTGTCTGTCTGGAGCTTCCTTGATCAGGAAATGGAGATGACGCATCTCTAAGCGTGGAGGCCGTGGTTGGATGGGCTGTCCAGGTACTCTAGCTGCCCCACAACACGCTGTGATCAAGGATTGACTTTGACCCCCGCCGAAGGTCCGTCCAGATTCTTGTGCAGGAGGTTCATTATTTAGGACTGGAATTCCCCTACGGGTACCTTGTTCGCTTCTTGTTTTTGTGCTAGCAGGGGCATTTGACTGCGTTGAGGTACTTCTAGACAATTGCTCTGCTGAAGTGGTAGCATCAGGTGTACCACTTTCAGAGTCGTCCGCCTCAATATTGCTCGTAGAAGATGCTCCAAAGGTGACGACCCTTGCGGCATTGGCAAGATGATGATCCCCGGGACCAAAGCGAAACAGAGTCGCTGCTGCACTAAAGACGAGATGTTGAAAGACAGGCATTCTGCGCTTCGTAGTATTGAAAAAAGAAACAAACGATCAAGAGATCATGAGCATCTCTAATTATAAATACAACACAGGGACGAGGACTCAACTTTTCTTGCTAATGATTTAGGCAGCATGATCTAAGACCGCTAACTACCTGCGCTGATGATTGAGTGAAGTGCCGAGGCTCAGAGACTATCTGTAAAAGGGCAGGCTCTTGGCGGAGAACTTTGAGAAAGCCGATGCATTCGAAGCTACAGCACATGATACGAAATGCGCCATCGCATCTCTCAACCAATGCGAGGGCAACCCACTGGGAGCACGAGAGGAGGGGCGACCCCCTAGCTTCAAAGCCTTAACGAGGTCCGCAAGAGTACTCCCCCGCCACCCGAGCAGAAACGACGGCGCCGTGCCGCAGACTTTTGGGGGCGACTCGCTAGTGCCAGTCTGTCCGGCCCTACCTTGCATGGGTTTGCGTCGCTGTCAGACCATTCAGGGAGAACAGCGCGCGCGCAGTCTTTGCCAGTAGGATTGGCCGGAGCTGTTCCTATGCCAAAGACCATCACACACACACACGGCAGAACGCCCTCGAAGCCCAGCCTGAGAGCATGCGGAAGGCCACGGCCAATCTCTTGCGCGGCTCCGGGACTCCCTGCACTTCCCTGCATGTTCGCGGGAACGGAACAGAAGCACCTGCTTCAACTGCGTGCATCGCTGTGCCGGTCGCTTTGGTGGTGCTGTCTGAGGTCGATGGGGCTCCCACCAAGTTCACCCAGCCATCGCCCTCGCGGTGCTCACCGCAGGGGGGGGCCGCTGACCGCGGAGGCGGACAAAGCGTGATCATGAGCGCAAAGGCAGGGTGCAGATGGTTGCCAACGCCCGCAAAAAGGCGGAAAAGAACCACACGGGACCCGCGCCGCCGCAAGCGCGTGGACCTCCCCAGGGAGAAAGCCACGCCACGCCAGCGGCTGCGCCGGTGCGACATACCCTCGCAAGACGCGGCAACCGGTCCAGGCCCAGCACTGCACGCAAGCGAACAAGACACCAACAGCAAGAGCAACACGCCGCAAACATGCCGCACCGCCACCGCCTTGACCTGGCTGCGCTGCTCGGCCATCGGGCTCGCCCGCTCGATCGATCGATCGACCCACCCGCACCCGCACCCAACACAGGCAACGAACCAAGGCGCCAGCGCTCGGCCGGGCCAAGAGTGCCGCCGCGCGCCGTGGTCGTCCCCCCCAGGGCGAAGGGCAAAAGCCGGGGCGGGCCCGCGCTGCGTGGGCGGAGCTGATTCCGCCCACAGAAGGGCCGGCCAAAATCGCACGGAATTCACGTAGCCGCAAGCGCGTGGGCGGGCCTCCCGGTTAAGCCGCGCCAAGCCAGCGGCGGGCTGCGCCGCCGCGCGCCCGCGCGTCTTAAACCCGCAAGAAGCAGCAAGCCACCCGGGCCTTCTACGGCTAGCACACAAAAATCAAACGCGCCGCGCCGCCACCGCCTTGACGTGGTTGCCCTGCTTGGTCACCGGGCTCGCCCGGCTCATCAGCATCCGCAGCCCACACAGGCAAGGCGCCAGCGCCTGGGGCAAGGGCGTCGCCGCTGTGGCCGTCGCCGTCTGGGGTGTTAAGGAAACAGCCGCGGCGGGCTCGCGCTGCACGGGCGGGGCTGGTGCGGCCGCTTCCAGGAGCGGCGCGCCCTTCTCTGGTTTTTGGCGATGGGTCAGCTTCCTTTGCAGCTTGCGGCCGCGTTGCAGCGGTGTAGTTCTTTGGTCTTCTCGTGGTGCGTGACAAAATGAGCCGGATGGGGTATACTCACGCAGTGGGGCGCGTCAGGCGTTCCCAGTTTGTGGCAAGTGCAGCCGCTCTCGGACATGGTGCCGACCTTTTTCAACATGTGCGGGCGCGCTTGCTCTTTCCGGCAAAATATGCAAGCAATTCAGCAACTTGCTTCCCTACAACTTCTGGCACTCACACAGATACAGGCGCAGCCCCCCCTCTCTCTCTCTGTGCTTTCCCCAGCTCTGTTTACCAAAGTCAGCAACAATAACAACAAGCCGCGACGCCGGCTGCCCTTCATGTCGGACTCTTTTTTTCCATAAGGCTATATGCTGCCTCCCTTCTAATCACATAAATACTTACGCCGAGCAGTTCAGCAGTTAGATACTGGGGAAGCACAGAACCGCATGCCAATGGCCAACAAGCTACAACTTTCGGAGAGAGCTATAAGCCAGTAGCCTCTGTAGAAGAACTAAGGCGCAACCCCTGAGAGCAAGCTTGCCGGCCTGCAAGGTATGACATGCCGCTGGGCAGATGAATGAAATTACTGATGAAGCCGACCTAAAATAAAAATGGTTGCTACAAATATAACTAATACCAAGAGGCAAATCAGATAAGCAGACCTTCCTACGCCTTAATATAATAGATTTAGATTTTAGGTACTCAGCTACGGCGGTAGCGCCAACCGCTAAGACTTGTAGGCACAGTAAATAAACAGGAGTAGTCTACTGTTTTTGGGTCGGCTTGATGAAGAATGTTTTTGGCAGGAAGTGCCTGCGTAAACATTGGGGGAGTCGGATGTATACTTCTTCTACTTTTTTGCGCTGCATCACATTTAGTGGCGGCCTTTGGCATCATATCCTTTTGGCATGCGTTTGAGAAGATGTCCGTATTTCCATAGGACTCCATGCTGCCTCTCTTCTAATCAACTAAATAACTCTGTCAAGCAATCAAACAGTTACATACTGGCGGAGCATAGGACCGTATGCCAAATGCCAACGAACTACAACTATCGGAGAGAGCTATAAGCAATCTAGCACTAGGCCCACTCCTCTCAGCAGATATTCTACTCTAGAGCCGTGCCACCAGCGTCACAACTACAAATATTTTTTGCTCTATAGCCGTTCTGAACCTTCGGGGCCTAACAGTGCCACCCTATTTTTTTTCCATTCTACATATATAGCCGTGCCACGACTCTATAGCCGTGCCGCCAGACTCTACTAAGCAAGAATTCTTGTTAGAAAGAACAGCAAAAAGCGATTGTGTTTTCACCAGCGTTCTTTTCGGTAGCTACCAGCATGGAAAAAAAGCTGACTGCAGTCGACTTACGTCTTTCACCTCCACGACTTCATTCACAACAGTTTTCAGCCAGCCATGCTTAAGCGATTGTCTGACAGTAAAGAAAGGTAGAAAAAAGAAGCTAGTAGTGTTGAATTCTCTAAAAAAAGGCTCTTGCCTAATAGCTCCACTAGGCAGGAGGGGGCATGGAAAATGGGATCGATGAAAATAGGTTCATAGAGGAGATCCATGTTAGATATTATTATTTGATTGTATCTAGTACTGAACTATTTGTTAGTAATGGCGCTATAAACTACTAGAGATGGACAAATCTATATGAAAGCGTGGCAATATCAGATCTAGACTCCCGAGTCGACGTAGCATCATCATGATCCTAGATCCCGAGTCTAGACTCCCGACTCGACGTGAGTCGACGTAGAGCTATATCTACAAACAGAACGACGTAGAGCTATATCTACAAAACAGAACGACTTTTGTGCTGCTTGCGCCATTGCTATGGACAGAAAGCATAAATGTAAATTACTTATTGCGGGCGGAGCAGACCTAACTAGAAAAAACAAAAACCGAAAAAAGAAAAGTCAGGTAAGTACTTATCTACTACTAACTAAGCGCCGGCGCTGTCGTGGTCCTGTCAGTAAATGTAAATTACTTATTCATAATAACTGTCTGTCACAATTGGATCGTCAATCGATGCATGATATCATCATAACGGAATCGATAGAACGGAATCTGTTATAATATCACCATAAGATTTGCTCCATAAAAAATAGACCGTTTTGCACGCTCATAAAATAAATGAACAATAAGGGCTAAAAAAAGTAATATAGTCACTCGACTACACCATTTTCTAAAAAAAGACCAAACGCTCATGCCGATGATGCACGTCTGTGTCTAGGTAGTGTCAATGTCTAAGAAAGAGAAAATGTCAATGGTCTAAGATCTACTAGTATTGTGATAACTGAACATCAAGTATTGTGATAACTGTGACATCTAGAATTGTGATAAGTGAACATCCAGACTCACAACCGGCTTTGCACAGCGACGACGTCTTCCGCCAACATGTTCCGAGTGAAGGCTCCCCGCGTCGCTACCTGAATTCGCATCACAGGTACATCGAAAAGGTTGAACGGGTCAGGCACTTCAGCGGGTCTGGCGCAACGGAGGTAAACACTCTTCCTACTTGGTCTGCCAGGCCATTGCCTTTCGATGATCATCTGGGGCGTAGGGATTCCCTTTTCGTTGGTCATAGAGGCGGTTGCTTCATCTTGCAGGATGCGACGTAGCCAAAAGTCGAAAGGCTCTTTGTTTGTGCAATCACGATTAACGTCGATGGTGAACCACGTGCCGGCACTAGTTGTAGCAGCGGACGAGGTGCTCATAGTGGAAGGAGCAGTGGAGGTGCTCGGGGCGGCACAATATGTAGGGGCGTTTGCACTTGTCTCAAGAGCGGCGGGTGGTAGAGGAAGACTATCTGATGCGGCAGTAGGAGATGTTGGAGGATCAGAAGAAGGACTGCTGCCGCTGCTAGTACCGTTACAACTGGCCAAAGCACCCTGCTCCTGATCCACTGTACCACTGCGAGTCCCACTACTACAGTTACACGAACTAGCCGAAGGAACATCAGCACTACTACTCCCACAACTCCCTGCTCCTCCGGTAGCATTACTACAAGAAGCAAGAATCGTTTCTCGAATTGTGGATTCTATCAACGCCTTGTGCTGATCAAACACGAGATGGCCTCCAGGCACCTGCACTAGTACGTCCGCATCTATCCACTTTGCTAGCTTCACGGATTCCTCCGCACGCAAAACTTTGTCGCGATCGGCGGAGACAAGCACAATTTTACCGGCAACGGCCGTGCGAGCAAGGGCTAATTTCTCAGGTATCATATGAGCGTAGAAGGCAGCTTTGCATTGACTGAAAACGCTGACTGGGGTAGACAACGGGACCGCGAACGGCCTTGTTGCGTTGGGCTGTAGATGTTTCGCGAGCATCTTCTCCAGATTGCCTCGAATAAACGACAGCAAATCGTTGGCAATTTTGTCCTCGTCTTCGTCTTGATGTTGTCCTTGTGGTTCTCGTTCATGTTGACCTTGTGGAAAGAGAACTACACGCACTGGTGGTGATGTTGATGTTGATGTGCTTCTTGTATTCATCTTCTTCCCATGATTTTTTCCAGCACTTCTGGTATCAGTAAATTGAAGGTTTTTGGTCCTCGTTTTCCCCAATACTTCGTATACCTCCTCATCCACATCGAGGATTCGTGAAGCATTATGTGCGTACAGGATTAAACCCATGTACCATTTCACTTTCTTATTCCGAAAGTATTCGCTATCGCCGCCGAGCTCCTCTTGATGCTTGTTCACATACGCACAGAGAGCAGAGTGTAAACGCGCAAAAACGGTCATCTGCTTACCTGCGGCTTCGACCTCTGCTAGGGAGAATTCTGGCACGAATTTGAGATACTCCGGGCCATACAAGTGGATGAACCACGCGTGGAAAGCCGTGCGCTCCTTTGTCCAGTGTAATGGAGGAAGGTGAACTGGTGCGCCTTCGTTATGATGAGCCCCTCTTCTCAGTTCATTGGTTGAAAGACGACCCTGCTGATGAACATGATCTCGCTGATGTTCTAGCTTTTGCTCTACTGGTTGTGCTACTTGAGGTTGCAGTTCATAGGTGGAAAGGCGACTTGCGTCAGTGGGGAGTGTTCGTGCCTCCTGTAGTTCCTGACCGGATGGAGGTGCTGCTTGCACTTCATTGGTCGGAATTCTCCCTGCGTCGTCTGACGATGCCGTTCTTGCTGTACTTACACGACTACCACCATTTTTGCTAGTACCACGAACCCTCTCTCCACTACTAACAATCTTTCTACTTGGTGATCCAACCTTTTTGCTCGTACTCTGCCTGGCCCCTCCTGGCACCGGTGATGGCGCAGTCGAAGGAGCGTGCATAAACATGTCATAGACCTGCAGTCCCAATCCACGCATCGTATAGAAGTGATGCACCTCAGCTAAGGTATTCAGCAAACTCATTGACAGGATTTTCGCACCTGGATACTCTGGCAAAGGACTACTTGACGCTGTGGTTGAGTTCGTCATCTTCGAGGATGCCATCGACATCCGCTGCTCTGCTTTCTCCTTATCCAAAGCAAGAACGTAGGCCATGTGTTGTGAAAGCATGCCTCCGAAGCTGATCCCGACAATGTGGAATTCTTTCCACTTCAATCCGTGTATAATGAGGTCTAGAAAGTCTCGTGCCAAATTTTCCACACGCCATGTAGTCCATTCTCGCTTTAGGGCTTCTGTGGTAGAGAGTCCTCCTGGTCTAGAAGTAGAACCTTCTAATTTGGGTCCCATGCTCTGATCGATGGAAAATCCGACACCACGATTATCTGGAGTACAAATCGTAAAGGGAGACGGTTCTGACCCAGATCCCGATCCTGAAGCTAGCATGCCTTCAACCGTTCCACACCAGCCAGCTTGCGGCACACCCATGCCTTGGACGAACAAAACACGGGTCGGGCCGTCACCAAGGCTACGGTAATAAATCAACGTCGGCCGGCGGCTATTACTGTTCCCAGTTCGAAACCAAGGCATCTTCGTTTGTGGTTTGTATTTCTGAGTGATTTATATTTTTTAGGTGTGTCTTGAGAAGTCTTTTTCTCGAGAGTTGGTTACTACTACAAGAGAGTTACAATGAATTAAGCGTATACAAGGTGTGGGTTACAACACTGTTACATGGGAGGCATTGAATATTACACTTATGGGAGGTCGTAGCCGTTGCACAAGCTAAATAAGAATCGATTGCATAGGAGAGATGCTGACCTTGTAGTTGTACATTTCAGTATTACTATTTGCGCTCGAACTGAGCTATTTCAGCTTTGCGGCGAAAAAGGGCTACAGTGACGATTTAGAGAGAGTTGCTCAACAAATAGCTACGAGCAGAGTCGTCAATATTACTAAGTGGTGCGCAAAGGTTAGCTGGCAAGCTGTGAAATAGCAAAAAATGAAAACTGGCGTCTGCGAGATTCTTCAGCACTGCCTGGGCGTTAGCAATTCTATTCCCACTGTATTAACCAGCGACAAAAAACGAGAGCGCCGGCCAAGGTTTTAAGCGGCTTAAAGCTAAGCCGCAGGAGGGACAGAAACGGAAGCCAGAATCTGCAGGGCTTTCAGGTGAAACGTTGAGAGTCTGGCTATGGATTCACGCCCAAAAGGAAGTCCGAAGGCTTTGAGGCCGTGCCAGAGTGGACGAAAAGGCGGAAAGGCCTCAGGGCTTTCGTCTCAGGGTTGGCGGCGGAGTTTTCTGTCTCAGGGTTTTGCGTCTCCGGGCTTTGGCCGCGGCTTGGTTGGTTTCTTTCGTGCCTCAGGGTTTGCCCTCTCAAAGTTGCCCGACTGCCTCAGGGTTTGCCCCCCTCAGAGCTGCCCCAACAGCTTGGAGAGTGCCAAGCAGCCAGGAGAGCGACACGAGCGCAAGGGGTGGAAAGTGGGCACGCCCTGTCCTCCCCCGGGTTTCCCGGGGTTTGCAAGTCAGGGGGCAAGCCCGGGCCCTCTCAGGGTTTCCCAGGGTTTCAAAACCAGGGGGCGCAGGCTCCGGCTGGCTTTCAAGCCAGAAGGCCGGCGGGTCAGCGTTTTCCCGAAGGTGACCGCGCCCGCTGTTACGTACTGGGAGCCACCCAAGGCGTTGCCGTACGCTGGCGGCTGGAATCGCGCACGCGGTGCTCAAACCGTTGCGCCGCATCTGGCTCCAAGGCCCTCTCGTATTCGCAACCCCGCTCCGGTGCAGCGGCGGGGACGGCCGCCCCGCGCACCACCGGAGCACGACCAGAAGCTCCCAACTCTGGTCGCCTTCAGCGAATAAGGCCCGCCCACCTGATTACGGGGGCAACACATTTCGGGGCGCGCCCGTCACTAGCAGTTTCCCCCCCCCATCTCGTCCAAACACTTCCCATGCACCTCTGAGCCCTCGGGCCACGACTAGTTTGAGGACAATTATCGTCGTGAGAACCACTTTAAGAACCTAATGAGCCTGTTTGGCGACAGGCAACAGCGCTCTACAGATCCAGCAGTTCTAAGGGCCCAAATTCACTTGTCTATCATAGCGACCGTATCGTAACTCCCTCGTCTATCATATCATAACGACAGCGCATGCAACAACCGAAGCCTTTTGATGTACACTCACATCTCGTGACTTTTGTTGAGACACCGTTTTGCAGGTATTCTCTCAGGCGTGCTAACAAACATACTCGAGGACCTCTCACTCATGCAGACAAGCCCGAAGGAACTCACTGAAAAAAAGTTAAGTATTCACTTACGTACCTAGGTTAATAGCTGGACAAAACAAATACGAACAGAGAGAACTTGTTTCAACAGAACACGATTTATTCGCAAGGGAGCCCTCACCCCGTTTGGTAAAAAGGTATTCCACAAGTAGAAAGTTTGCCTATGATATGATCACAATTTAGCGTGGTAATTCTCCAGAGTTATTGTACAGTTTCATGAGACAAAGAGTTGCTTCTACGGTATATTTTGAGGGTGGGGCTGTTTTTCCTAATCAGCCGCCCACCTAGTCTCTCCTCTTGGTCGATTGAGATGTTGACTCCACTTGAATCCCTGAGTTTGTCAACCTTGCAAGGCGAAACATACATCGGGACAACCTGCGTGCGACGTCTGGGAATCTTTCTCTTAGTCTCTCTCTTTCTTCACACATAGAACTATATCAGTATAACTCATTCGTTGATCATGAAGACCTCCACTAAACTACGTTTGGCCGTGGCGTTGGATATTTTACAATACGAAAGTCGAACTTTTTAAAAGAAGGAAATCCCAAAGTCGAAAAGATGTGGCTGGCAAAGTTTTTGTTGTTTTTTGTTGGTTGGAAGATCTTGCTGATAGATAGTCATCATGTACTTGTTCAAAAAATCAGGTGTATGAACTTCAACTTCCTACACAACTTCTACGTAAGATGATGACAATAAATCAGAATGCCTTACAACGTGACGGATCGGCACTATCCTCTTCATCTTGATCAAACCGCCTGTAGTAAAACTTCGGGCATGTACACGAAAGCTTCGTTTAAGGCTTCCGACTGAGCACGGCCCATCACGTGGTGAACTTGTCACAGTCATTGAAAGTCAAAAAATAAAAGTAAAAAACTCGTGGATATTCTTCAAGAACAACAACAAAAACACTATTTGTAAGAGCTTCTTCAATTTTTCAGAGAAAGTTTTTGAGCATAATTCTCTTGGTCTTCTGGTGCGCAGTATTACCTTAAGCATTTGTTCTAAGTTTTTTACACAAGGGCGCAGTAAAGCTAAGCTGATAAGTTTTTTACACAAGGAGGCTAGTTCTGATACACTGAATTATACAAGAGTACGGCAGCTTTTGTTCTAGTTCTAGTACTCTTTGTTCTGGTACTTTTCTTCTCCTATCTACTGATGTAGTGGTATTACAAGAATCTCGGGTCAACATCCATCGTCGAGACGTAGTTCCAGTATCGTTGCGCGATACCAGGTCCCTCTCGCTTGAAGAGACCTCCACTGACTGATTCCAGAAACCCGCGTTTGCTCGAAGGTAGCTGCAGAGGATTGCCAGTGACGTTACTCGGATTGCTGTTGTTCTGGTTCGCTAGGGGATTTGTACTAGAAGATACTACTTTGGAAGTACAACTGTCCATTGTAGATGAAGTAGCCAGCTGTGGCGACCCCTTAGCGCCTTCAGCCTCTTTGCGTTCCGCCATTGCAGCAGCGAGACGGGGAGACATGACAATGCGACCAGGAGCGAGTTTGTCTACTATGGCAGAACTAACACTGAGAGCGTTCACAACACTAGGATTCGTCTCTAACGACCCTGGGCCAATCACATGGACCCGCGGCACCGCACCACCGATCACATGGATCTGGTTAGCGTTGTATGAAATGAAAACGGTTTCTTTTATACGTAGAAGTCTTATTTTACCGCTTTGGATCCATTTTAACGCTGACACTATGGCCATGGAGATAACAGTAGTAACGAGTTTAGCTAGAGAAGCCTGGCCCAGAAGCATCCGGTAATCTGGTCGACTCGGGCCATGCAAGGCCAAGCCGGCGAAAACTAAGATTTTTAAGTAAAAGGAACCATTTTCACTTCATATGTTGTTCGGGAGAACAGAAGAACTACTGGGAGATGTACTGCTGGTGTCCCTCGCCGTCAGCGTAAAGTCCGGAGAAGTAGATAAAGCCATATTGTTGTTCGGCTCTACCTCCTCAACATTATCGCTATTGCAAGTACCATGTTCTTCGCATCCAGCAGAAGCACGACCCATGATGGGAGGACCCTCTGCCAATGTCCCACTACTGCAGTCCAAAGCTGCGCGAATCAAATTGACGCGTTGCTGCATAGGTGAAGTTGCTATTTGCATCGCATTAGCTGGACTTCCACCACCCACCGGACTAACCATGTTCAGCATGTTGTTCTGGTAATTCTTCTCGGAGGGCGGATGGAGAGTTATTAGAGATCATCTACTTCTGTATCGTGGTTTGCAGTAACGTTGAAAACGTGTAAGTAAATAATATCATCTAAGTAAAGAATTATCAATGCCTAGTCCAATAAAACTATAAATGAAATAATAACTAACTAACTAAAACTAAATGATAGGATAGGATAGGATAGGATGCCGCTGCTCCGCCTCCACGCTTGGTGGGGCCGCAAGCTTTACTCCTGAGAATCTAGTACGTATTACAAATAGAAGAATTATTTCACAAGAACAAAAGCTTCATTGCCTTAATTTCTCATCTCCACAAGCTCCCAACTTTCCCAGAGGTGGCAAGAGCAAGCTAGAAGACCTCGCAGAAGATACCTCATGATCCAGAGGAGACGACAAGCACGACGACCCACTTGATTCCACAGGAGATCGTGCAGCTACGGTCGACACATCGTCATCCAATTGCTGCATTGTAGCACGAACGAGGCAGGTTCCACCTGCTACTAGTTCCTTGGCGTTCAATTGGTTGTGGTCTTGGGAGAGTGAGCGCAAAAGGCTGTCAGCAGACATGGGAACGGCGCTTTGCTCACAAGCAAGGACAGCAGGCGGGTCATGTTGGGAGGAGACGGAAGCCATGATGTGGTTAGAGGATGGGCTACATTGGTTGGTACGAGGAATCGATGTGAAGTTCTTGTAGTAGTTATAAGGAGAAAAAATTAGCACACGGACAAAACCATCAATAGTACACGAAATAAATAACACAAAAGAAACACTTTTTCTTGCAACTAAGAAAAACAGCCGATTCATATTTTGTAAACGCAACAACGTCCCTCATAACTTTCGGATTCGAGTTTTTATTGCCAAGTGGCCCAGTAGCTGTCGTAGAGACAGCGTGCTGCATGCTATCTCTCTCTGGCGGCTCTGCTAGCACGGCGTCTTTCCTCAAACTTGTCCACATCGATCGCCATGCACTAGTCGAACCCTCGCGTGAACCCTCAGGTGCTGAAGGACTTGACCCTGTAATTTCAAGTGTACTGTCAACACGGCAGTCGCGAGTAAAAAAATAATTTGTTTGACTCAGAAAATATCTTTCTTGAAAAAAGAAATTGGTATTTCATTAAAAATTATTGTCATTTTTTCAAGGCAGAATGAACTTTTATTCGTCGTTCAAGAAAAAGCCGGTATACTGTTGGCGGAGCAGACCTACCTAGAAAAAACAAAAACCGAAAAAAGAAAAGTCAGGTAAGTACTTATCTACTACTAACTAAGCGCCGGCGCTGTCATGGTCCTGTATCCTGTTAGTATTAGTACCCAATGCAGCACCTCGCGCACCCTGTTCCGTTCTTTTTTCCAATTGTGCTACTTTGCTGCTGAGCGTCGCAAAGTTCTTTTCCAGCTGCCTAATATGATGATCCTGCTGCTCTATGTGCTTGTCTTGATCTAGAGTCTTAGAAGAAAGGTAGTCAGTGGTCGTAGTGGTCAGACGACGGTCCGTTGTCGTAAACGATCAAGAAAATCTTGGAAGGAGAAGTTTTAGTGAGTAGAGTACCCCCTGTTCTAAAAGGAAGGAAGTTTAGCAAGCCTCAAAGTTTTTTCAACGATCCACGAATGAGTAACAACAAAAGTCATCAAAACTTCAGATATATTATAGATATAACCACACACTAGAGCCTATGAACCCTAAATCACACTAGAGCCTTAAACATATGCCGGTCTTGTTGCAAGATGTGTTTGTCTTGATCTCGAATATGCTCATCCTGGTTCTGGAGCTGACAGTACGCGTCGCGTAGTTCACTTACTATTTGAGCAGGCTCAACAATGCCACCAAGGCTGTACACCCGAATATTCTCTTGCTCTTTCTTCATCTTTTGTGTTTGAACAACTACGGGAAGTGGTGCCAGAAGTGAAAATGTTTGAAAAGGCCAAGTAGTGACTCTTTGTTGAACAATCTGGTGATGCCTCGTCCAACTTGGTGATGAGGTCGGTGGACCTGGTCTTGAAGTCTTCTTCTGCTTGGGCAAGAACTGTTCATACTATATTATTTAAGCCTTTCCTCGTACTACTAGTTGGGCTGTTGCCCGCTTCTTTTTTCTACGAGCGAGTCGGAAGTGTATCTATGCTGCTACTGCTTGGGAAGCGTCCTTTCAATGCATTTTTCTCTTCGGATATGAAAGCGAATGTTAAAGTGTCATAAACAAGTCTTTTCTATCTCGTCGCGATGCTGCGTTTTTGGATACTGACCACGATGCTTTATTTGATTGCCCACTAATCATAGCAATTACGCAAATCACTCTCAGTTCTTGCTCCTGACTTTTGATTAATACGCACGCATATGGACAACTCCGCCTTTTCAACTGATGTCTTTTGATTTCGAGTGATATATGCAAGATATTATGGAACAATAGAGTAACATCTTGAGCACATCACAGTGATAGGATGCATTCCAGGGATTCAGCTTTCCTAATTTTTCGTTTCCTGTACGCTGCTTCTCTCACGACGATTTTCAATCTGGTCTGACCAATGGGGAACGGACTAAAAGGAGGGGTTTCGAATGGCGAAAGATTTCTTTCGGGGAAAATGCTTGGGAACAACTCGGTCGTCAGCGTTGAACAAAGTTTTCCTGTATATGATTACTCATATTATTTTGCTCACCTGATTGGCTATTTTCAGTATCGGGTGTTGTTGTTATTTTCCCGACAGGGGTGAGCTGGGATTATAAATTTATCGGGTAACCTGGGATTAGATTTATCCAGTGCCTCATTATATTTCTAGTTGCCGCTCGGCGACTCTCTTCTTTTTTCAAGACGTTTGTATACGATGCCATGGAAGCGGACTGCGCGGGATCACCAACGCCGGAGAAGCGGCTCGCGCGCGGCGCGTCATCGGCCGGTGGATTTTCGCCGAAGCGCGGCCCCGCGCGCCCCCCTCGTTTGGAGGGCGGGCAGCCCCGGGAAGGGGGAGGGGGGCGGCGGGCGCGCCTCCGAAATCCTTTCAAGTGCGAGGCTGCCAAAACATCCAGCGCCCACGCCACCCCTGCCCAAGTCCTTAGCGATGTAGTGAGCCACACGCAGGACCGAGGCAGCAAGAGGTGCCCGCTCGGTGTCCCGGGGCCGCCGCTCAGCCGTAGCGAAGCCGGTGACCAGATGCCAGAAAAGCACAGAAAAGAAGAGAAGGCAACACGCGAAACCCATGACGAAATGGACGGCAAAAGAGCAAACCGCGGCCACGCCTTGGGCAGGATCGGGGGGAGCAAATGGAGACAAGAGGGGGCAAAGAAATCCAAAAGGGAACCGAGGCGGCGCTGTCCCTTGGCGGTTTCGCTTAAGAGTTTCGCGGGGGGGACTCCGATGGCGCGCAAGTGTCTCCCAAGATATCATAACAGGACCGCGGCGCAGAGGTGGCCGACCCGTGGCCTTATTTTATAAAGACAGGGACGCGAGGAGGCGCGAGAAACAAACAAAGGGAAGCAGCCGGCGCGAAACCGATAAGCAGAAGCCAGAAAAGCACAGAAAAGAAGAGAGGGCAGCACGCGAAACCGATAACAAAGCGGACGGCTCAAGAGCAAAACGCGGCCACGCCTTGAGCAAGACCGGGGGAGGCAAATGAGGAAAAAAGGGGGCAGAGAAATCTACAAGGGAACCGAAGCAACGCTGTCCCTTCGCGGTTTCGCTTAAGGGTTTCGCGGGGGGAAAAACCTTACCCCCGCCCGGCTTTGAAAGCTTGGAAGCGGGTGAGCCAATATCAAACCAGAAGCAGGCCGGGCCCAAAACAAAGCAGGCCCGCAAGCTTCTTGACATTGACAGGACCCCGCGGCCCTCTGCTCTAACATCAGAACCGCGACGCCGCACGGCGTCCGTTCTCATTAAAAAAAAAGGAATACTTGAAAGAGGTTCCAAAGCTTTCGCTTTTACTGAGAAGCCTAGCCATGTATGCTCGCTCAGATAGCCCCACGGGCAGAACTCATCGCGGAACTCGGTGAGCATGTCCGGGCCCTCTTATCGAGTTCGATCCCCGCATGGTACGAACTGGGTGCGCAGTGTTTCGTCTTATTTTCCAAAAGACTGGCCACAGATGGGAGGCCTCGCCGGTCTCCACGTGGCGGCTTTTCGATAAAACCGCGCGCGCCTCCATCTGTTTCCACTTCTTTCATTTCGCGAGATACGCGAGCGAGGTCGTCGCCGTCTGGTTATTTCACGCCGGTCGGCTTGTGGTCCCCTGGCCTGGCTCGTCTGTGTTCCAGTTTGGTCGGCCAGCGTCCTTCTGGCTTGGCTGCTCTTGTGTTCTACGTCTTCGCATGTGCTCCCCTCGTGTGCTCCTGTCGTGTGTCTACTCTCTGCGCCGTGGCGCGTCGCCCCTCTGGCGGCCGTAGGCCGCCAGGGACGAGGGGGCAGAGGGTTGCCTTGCTGGGCTGTTCGCGCTGGATTATGCGGCGCACACCCCGCGCCCATCAGCGCCCACCAGCGCAGCGTGGCGCGTCGTCTCTCTGGCGGCCGTAGGCCGCCAGGGACGAGGGGGCAGACTGTTGCCTTGCTGGGCTGTTCGCGCTGGATTATGCGGCGCAGACCACGCGCCCACCAGCGCCCACCAGCGCAGCGTGGCGCGTCGTCCCTCTGGCGGCCGTAGGCCGCCAGGGACGAGGGGGCAGAGGGTTGCCTTGCTGGGCTGTTCGCGCTGGATTATGCGGCGCACACCCCGCGCCCATCAGCGCCCACCAGCGCAGCGTGGCGCGTCGGCCGCCAGGGACGAGGGGGCAGAGGGTTGCCTTGCTGGGCTGTTCGCGCTGGATTATGCGGCGCAGACCACGCGCCCACCAGCGCCCACCAGCGCAGCGTGGCGCGTCGTCCCTCTGGCGGCCGTAGGCCGCCAGGGACGCGGGGGCAATGCGTGACCATCTCGCCCCCCGCCCCCCTTGTACAAGGTTAAACGTTTGCGCGACTGTGAACCCAAACGACGAGCCTGCGCCGAAGAGTGCGCCCCCGGACTGCGCCCAACCATGTAACCCTGTCCAAGGGGGGCGCGGGGTACAACGGGAGGCGGGGGGATGCGTCAGACAAACTGTCGCCCGTGTAACTGAAGAGCTAAGGCATGCCCCATCGTCGGCCGCCAGCGGGACGGTGCGCCAGAAGGGGCGCCTTGCCAAGCTTCTGCGGTCTTACCGAACGGCGTTCGCGATTGAAGTTATCCCCTTCGCTCTCTTCGCGTGCGTGTGCTACCTATACCGGGCGCACTTCTGAGAGCTACAGGCGCACAGGGTTAGCCTTTGCCTGTAAGGATGTCCCAGACTCTTAAAGAGAAGGGCGAGCCTATGCCCCATGGTGTCGCCTGTCGTCTCATTCGGTTTGCGTCGGTAGCCGGAGGGATTGCAGAGGAGACGGGTACGCCAAGCGATCGGCGAAACCGATAAGAGAACGGCGGAAGCATCTGAGCAGAGACCTGAAAGACCGAGGCGAAACCGATAAGGGAACGGGAAAACGAGAGAAGCGGACTGGTCTCGCGATGTAGGGACTGGCGTGCCAAACTGTGAAGAAAAGCGGCAAAATATCAAAAACGGCCCAGAAGCGCCGCCGTCCCTTAACGGATTCGCTTAAGAGTTTCGCGAGGTTCGCGCATAGTATGCGCCGCGTGTGCAATTTTTCGCCTTCTTTCGCAGTATTCACCTGGAGACTATTCCGTGGGCAACTCAGAAGGGGAGTGCTTTCCCTTCTTTGCCTCGTTGTGTGAGTTCTTATCTCCCTGTAATCCCTTCAAAAAGTATCTTTTTTCATCTGGGCACTTTGAGCCCAGATGAAAAAAGAGGTCTTACCAGTTCACTTCCCCCCTAAGAGTCCCTCACTGGCAAGTGGTACGCGCAACCCTTACCAGTTAGGGATTATTAGGGGGGTAACGAACTGGTAAGCCCTATCAAAGAATTACCAATGTTCTCGTGTACGCGCGTGCGATACATTTGAAAATCTTTTGATAGGGCTTACCAGTTCGAAACCCCCCTAATATTCCCTAACTGGTAAGGGTTGCGCGTACTCCTTACCAGTGACCGACTCTAGTGGGGAAAGGGAACTGGTAAGACCTTTATTTCATTTCTGACATTTTATCAATTTGTGAATTAACAAGCCCTCACGCACATACTTTCCTCTTGTTTCTCACTTTTAAGGACCAGCTTATCACTTTTTACATCTCTTTTTTAACCATCCAAAAACAGGCCATCGAGCAATTTTTTGGGCAAGGGGTGGCATTTCATTACGGCAGTTTGACAGCTGAAGTTTTGCGACGCTGGTCGTTGACCTGCATCTATCCGGCATGGTTGGAGTGGAAGCGCTTGCAGGTGCCAGAAGTGCGAGACCATGCTCATTTCATTTTAAGGCAAAGTGCTTGAATAATAAGTGGCGACAGTGTAGGCTTGCTTGAAGAATGGACGGCCATAAAAATGGCCACGCATTCTTAAAAAATAGCCAGCCCTTCTTAAAAAATGACCGGCCATTTTTTCTTAAATGCATTTCTAATCGCCCTGATTTTGGACGCGATGCCGGTTCATACTGCGATCGTCTCGCCAGACCTCCACGTCAACGGGTACGCGTCGCTTTTCCGTGATTTTCATCTTACGCTTGTGCGACCTGAGGTGGGGAAGTATTTAACTTATGATGTGCATTTTTAATTTTTCTTGGACCTTCACGCCAGAAATTGCTTGAAAAAGAACGGGATTTCTGTTGGTCACTAGTACTCGCATAAGCCTGCTTTTTCTAATCGTCGCCGCTTGACGTGGGGCCGACGATCAGAAGCTTCAAGGCGAATCTACGACGATTTGGCGAAGGGCCTCGCGATCCTGTTTTGGACCTTTCACGGACAAAAGAAGTTGCCCGCTGGCACTGCGCTCGCAACAGCAACATGGAGTGGTTTTTGCGATGTGGATGGAATCCTGACAGGACGATGAAACCTCACACGCCAGGGATGGAGTTGCACTCTCGCTTGAGAGAGTTCTTGAGGGAAAACATAAGCAAAAGCGCACATCTGAGCCATCCGCGAAGGTGCTCAAAGGGGTCCCCCTTTGAGACTTGTCCGAGTTAATTGATATAATATAACTTACACTCTTTATTTAGTAGGTGGCTGGTTGGCTGAAAAAATACTTTCTAGTGGTGATTAGGATCAGCCACCAGGATTTTTTATTTTTGGCTGGATGGAGAAACGTCGCCAAAGCCTTGCAAAACATAAGCAAAAACGCACATCTGAGCCATCCGCGAAGGTGCTCAAAGGGGTCCCCCTTTGAGACTTGTCCGAATTGAGTTTAATACTGAGTAGCATCCTT